AATGCACTATTATCCTCTTAGTGCAGCTACAATCTTCATAAAGAATTTATTTAGCAATTTGTATCCAACAATTTTCATTTTATCGCTTTAGAACATGTTCATATATTGACACTGGGAAATACTTTATGGGTTTCCGTTGGGAGAAAATCACTTTTGTTTGAATTGAATTTACTTTACATGAAAGTTTTCCTGGAATTCTCTCTACGGCATGAAGAACAAATACTTTCAAGAGTTTCACTGTCACAGTATTTGATGTTGGGAAATTGCACAGAGTGTGGAATTGAGGAAAAGTCCCTCATTAGTTGTCGTACTTTGCTTTTTGGGCAAAGAGAGGCTCCCAGGGAGTGAAAATAGCTGCAGTCAGCTGAGTTTTCCGACATGGCCCAAAAACCCGATGCGCTTTCCCCGCATTTTCCATGTACGTGTGAGCAGAGCTGTGCCACCCAGTATCATACACACCGAACTGCAGCGGTGTTGTGTCATTTCTAGAGCACTGCCCCAGATTTTATTGATTTTTCACCCATTTGCTATTGTGAACCAGTTCGCTCTTAGGGTAGAAACTTCACCCGCCATCCATCATGGGGCTGTGTGGTGCCTCTTTAAAATTTTCCGCCCTATTTTCTGATTAATCTGCCTCCTCTTCTCGGCTGCAATATTTTCTAATACAGCCAGGAATCTTTCTTTTTCCACCATCTCCAAATGATAATATACTCCTCGCGCGAGGGATTTCATGATAAGATTTATTTGACTTTGGAAGTTTTTGTGAATTTTTCCCACAGAATACTCGTGAAAATTTGCGTGGGGAAATACTTCACGTGTGAACGTGGGTAGAATTTTTTGTTCGATTTTTCCCGACAATATTCTCAGACTGTGATAAACAATATTGAGTAAATCCAAGTGCAAATTTATATATCCAAGTCTTTATTGGGCAATTTCACAATATTTTCATGCCATTTGAAATACTTTGTAATTTGTAATCTTTGTCAGAGATAAGAGACTTTGAGAAATAGTCACTGAAGTGAATCATACAATTTCATAAGATTGAGATCGTCTTAAATACATCATATTGGAAGAACACCATATTCAGTTGAGATAAGAATTTTTGGAAAGAAAATCATAGTGACTCGTTCTCTGTACTTTTCTCAAATTACTCAACTTATCAAAATTTCGCGTGACCCAAAGTTAAGTCACGTTGTGTTCTTTTCGATATCAGATAAAGATTCCATCCATAAATCTCCATCTCGATACGAATTGACAAGTTAGAGGTAAAGTGTCGTTTTGTATTTACAAATACAATCGTCTCAGAGATTTCCGCTGGGAGGAAATGAGATTAGGAAATACATCACATAAAATTGAGCGGCACAACAGAAGGAAATCGCGTGATAATAATAAAGACAACACTGCAATATTTCTCACAATAATTTACCGCGATCTTGAGATTTGGCGAATAAATCTCTCCTCAGACCACGGAGACGAGCCTCATTGCATCACCATATCAGTCTATTGTTGTTATGTCTTATGATATGTATAGCGAACAGAGCGCATTCTATGTAAATCAATATTCATGAATATAAAGTGTGTCATTAAGTGAATTTGCACCTCCTACAAGTTTTTATTATCACATTGAGGCCAAAAGTGATAATTGAAGAGTATCGTACTGTTTACAGTATAAATTCAATTTTTATCTTAGCTCGAAACACTTCATTGTATAATGTGCCACCAATTGTATAATTAAGCGGTGATTTCCATTTATAACCTCCGCCATATCTCGTTTTAACACCATTTCCAGTGTGAGTGCGGTGGTGTGATTGTAATTTGTCATATTGGCTCATTTGTATTATCCTCGACGGGTTAATTTGTGGTGAAAATTTTCCGAGTTGTATAATAAATATCGTGTCTGAGCGTGATTGAAAAGTAATGCGAAATGAGGAAGATCGCTTGGAAACAGCGAAGACGATTTTATTTATTTTGTTGTTTCATTGAGACGTTTTTTCGTGCGTTTTTTTTTTATCTCCGTGACGGTAAGAAATATGTCCAACAGCAAAGTTGTTAGTCATGTGAGGTGACGAAAGTGAAACTGAAGAAAATATCATGCGTTGAAGAGGAGAAAATTTATTTGGGTTGCACAAAAATTGGATTTTATCGAACCAACCTAAGAGGATTTTTACTGAAATTTCTGCCTGTAATGTGAAATGCTTTAAAGTTATTTTTGCAAAAAAGGGATTTTCTTATGTGGGGATTTTCCCAGAAAGTTACACTGAAGCATCGAAAGTGAGTTTTCACAGATAAGACGGTAATTCTTTTTTGTGTGAAACGTCGTGTTCTGGGAAAATTCAACTGATTGAGTAAAATGGGCAGAAAGGTCACTTTTTTTGGGGGGTCTTTTTCTTCGTCTCAGGATCAAAGCCGAGGGGCATGAGAAAAGGAAAACAAGGAAAAAAGTATTCGCCAGTAAAATTAATTTGCAGCAATCATTGCCAAACATTTTACAATTCGTGAGAGAAGTCTCAATCTCTGAAAGTGTTTCATAAATTATTTTTAGATTAGCACATTCTCAAAATAACTCCTCGCTAATAGTCCACTTTGGCATGAAATGTCTCAAATTGTTGTTGATATTCAAACAAGAATCGATGGATTGTGTTAATTTATTTTTCACTTTGGGCAAATTGTATTTATTTCGCTCTTCTCGATGGTCTTTTTGCCACATCCTACGCCCGCCCCATGGAAAACATTCAATTATAAAACACAATTAGGCTTGGAGGAATTTAAAAAGAAAAGGTCCTTTAGAGGGATTATACGAGGCCTCTCCTTTTAGTCCGCGAAACGAGTATATATGAGTGAATCTTATTACCTTCACAACTTTACATGACGTCGCGCTTTTATCGTTTTGTTTTTTAAGTACCTGGATCACGCGAAATGATAATTACTTTATCATACATATACGTGATAAGAAAATAAGTCACCAGGTTTTCTCAAGCTGCGCAGTATACATTCAAAACATTCCTATGTAATACTTGAAACCACACATTTTCAATGGTGACTGATAATGTGTTTTTTTCTGCTGAAGGGGAAGACAGCATAATTGATAAAGTCCGTGCTTGTATACTTTGTGAAAATGCGAGACAGTGATTTACAAATGTTGTAGATAAGTGGGAAAAATACCTGATATACGCAAGAAAATGTACATTCTGGCATTTGTGGCGGGAGCTAATTGACTTTTACATAAAATTAAATTTACCTCAATGAATGAGTCAATAGGAACCAAATATACATTTCCTACACGCGAAAATTTGACATCGCGCTTCCCTCGAAGAGAGTGATTACCTTTTCAAGGGGAAATCGATAACAAGTCTAAAATTATTTCATCATAATCAAAACACAGTGGCCAAATTCAATGATATTTCGGCTGTTGGGCACTCCTCGGCGCTTCTAGGAATTCTCTAATACAGACACAAGGGAGTGATTTAATGAAACTATCTGCGAATGTAATAAAAAGTTCTCTGAGCCATTGGGAAATTTAAATACTCTATAGATTTCTGCAGTGCGCTTATCGTAGCACTGAAAGGAAACAGTTGATTTGACAATTTCGCAACATGATGTGCACAAATTAAATTATATATATTTACCATAAAGTAAGTTTTTTACTGCAATAACATATAATTACCTTCAGGACACATTTCCAATTAAATCTCACAAATAGAAGCATTAATTTAGTGATAAATGGCATATGCATTCGCATAATGTTTTTTGTTGATTCATTTAAATCAATATGGACTTGAGGCGTGATTGAACAAATTTCACACAAATTAGTCCACAAACAGTGCGGGCAGTTGAATTAAATGTCATGTACATAGCCACAGTCATCACAGGAAGAGATGAGAACCCAAATTAAATTGAAGACGGAAATATAATTTTACAATAACACTCATAAGAGAGCAATTTTGCAGCACTCGCCGTTTTGAAGCAGATGTTGTATTGATTTTCCTCATTAAAGCTGGGTAGGATTATCCGGGTTTCCACTTGAGTGGCAATAATTTTCTATTCCCTTTGAATGCTCCTTTCGCTATTGAATGTCTCTATAAATACTATTTTGTGAAGTGGCTAACAGAATATTAGGTCACGTTTCATATTGCTTATGTTGCTCTCTTTCCTGCAAAACACTCGTCAAACTGACTTTTAGTCACATGACTCGTCAGGAGGTTTTTTCCTCTCTCTTTAATCACGTGTCATCTTTCCATAAAGTCAACATTGGCATTTTTATGTAAAGCCGCGAAATCAATAGGGCAACGGCGTGTTTCAAACTATACTTATATGCAAATGAACAGAAATTGTAGAAGGAGAAGAATTTTCCTGAATTGCAAAGTTCCCCAAATTGGATTTATGTTAGAATGCTCTCGCGTTGGGGAAATTCATATGGTATCGGGGACGAATCTGTGCTGAGTTGTGACTGAGAGAGGAGTTTTCAGTACAGCATTACGTGACCTAGTTTGCGATACATAGATAGATGAATAGCATGAGTTGACTTCTTGAATGGTGTCCAAGTAATGCAGGATGAATATTTGTTTGTTTCATTGATTTATTTTGCAACTCGCCAATCTAACTCCCCTTCCAAATCTCTCCTGCAACTTCCATCTATTTCTGTTTGACGAAAAAAAACCCATCTAATTGCATGCGATCACTATGCAATGTAGCCTACAAATCTCAATGCGATTTAATTAATTCCTGCCGGGAAATCTATCAGATTTCACTGCAAACTTTATTGCTCAATTTAGTCCATCCAATTCAAATCGTAACTATAATTGAGCAATAAAACGCAGCTTGTAGTTGATCTTGGTGTATTTTTGCCAACCAATGTGAGTGCAAATAAAAGAGGAAAATAGAATTTTGAAGAAGTATTTAAAAAAAAATCACGAAATCTCTTATATACACTGAGAAAACTTCAAATATCCTCGGATATATACATTTTATTGATCAATTGTGTCTCTCATGCTTACTTCCAGACCAAATCCAGACAAGGTGATCGTATACGATTGCTGTGGCGGAATCAATTGTGAAATTGGCAGAACATCTGCTTGTGATTGTATTACCCACCCACCCGTGTTTTGCAAGTTGCTGACGACAAAAGATGCATATAGAAATCCAAGTTGCACTCAATTTTGTCATATCCTACCTGTACAACAAATTACCACGTCGCCGTGTGAATTTATTCGGAGAGGAGCTTGAGAAGGCGCTCAAGGACAAATTTCAAGGTCACTGGTATCCGGAGAAACCCTTCAAGGTGACTATTTCAGCCTGACGCCTCCTGGCTGGATCATGCTGATTGACTGGTGGATTTCTGTTGCAGGGCTCTGCATTTCGTTGCCTGAAAACCGGAGACCCGACCGATGCTGTCCTCGACCGGGCGGCCAGGGAGAGTGGTGTCCCCATCAATGACATCCTCGAGAATCTTCCATCCGAATTGGCGGTCTGGGTCGATCCCGGAGAGGTGTCCTACCGGATCGGCGAGAAAGGAGCCATCAAGGTGAGTGTGAAAAGTCTGCAGCACGATAGAATTTCACTCACATTCAGCCACTCTCTGCAGATCCTCTTCTCGGAGGCCAGTGAACACCACGAGGACTCCTCCTCGGCTGATCGCGAAGTCACGAAAACATTCAATCCAGAGGCGCAATGCTTCCGGCCAATCGATGCGGTCAACTCGAGCTTCGGCGCTCTCAGCATAAGTCCAAAGACAACACCCAATGGATCGCCTCTCACGTCCACTGGGAGTCCAACATTCAAGAATGGTGCTCTGACAACCAGTCCAGCACCCGGCACCGGTGCCCCCTCATTCCTGCCACGCACCCAGGCACCGCTCACCTTCACCACGGCCACATTCGCTCAGACCAAATTTGGCAGCACCAAGTTGAAGACCAGCTCCAAGAGAGCAAACAGGTGAGCCAGACGCACTATGTGCAGCATTTTTCCCAGCGGAGAGGAAATCCTCATCTTTCCTTTCCAAGAAGATCATCTTTATGGGCAATTTCACGGTTTGCAACAATACACCGTGAATTGTGGGAACGGACGCGGCAAAAATAGTCGTGGTAATTGAATATCTATCAAGGGAACGAAATGATATTAATTGACTGGTATATTTGCTATTTTCCTCTATCACGAAACTGTGGGAATTAGCAAGATTATTCAATTACATAAATTGGTCTGCTTCCCAAATTAGACTTGAACAATTCCCAGAATACTCAACACGCACTCAATCGATTCCTGGCAAAAATGCTGCGCCCTTATTCTCTTATTTTTACACACATTAAAGGACACACCATGTGCCCTTTAAAAATGCATGTCCTACGAGTCACTGAGAGCCCGAAGCGAATGGAAACATCTATAGAATTGTCTCTAATTCTGTACTGGCGTTGAGTACATTATTCTGGCAGAATCCATTTCTATAAATAGAGCGATATTGGGGACTTATTTTTAAACTCTTATCTCCAGGGATGTTAGCAGAGTGTCAGATAATCCTCTGTTATCTGGTGTGCATTATCAAGTTGGTTCTTTATCCTAATTAGAATTAACGTTGGTAGCGAATAATTTACTTTGAGAAATCCCTACTTTAATCCCTTTACTTACTTTATCGACTTCAGGGATGTGCTAGAATCGCTAGAATGGATTTCCAATGGTCTTGAAGGGTGTTTTGGTGTGAATTGAAATTGTTGTGAAAGTGTTGAGTCAAAAGTTCACCTTCTTTCTCTCCCCGAAAGGCAATTCCCGTGCAGGATGTCGCCCACGGAGTTCTCCAACTACATCAAGCAGCGAGCTATGCAGCAGCAATTGCACCACTCGCATAACCACAATGGCAACTCCAACGGAAATCACCTGGGCCCCATCGGACCGGCATCGCCATCGCGCTCCATCTCGCCGAATCCGCTCACGCTCGGACTCGGCAACGACCCGTACTTCTTCCAGAACCTCAACATGGGCATGTATCCGCAATTCGGGGGGCCGCGTAGCGTCTTCGGCGACTCTGGGCACTTCGGCGCCCCGCCGCAGGACATGTACTCCTCGCCCATGAGTAAGTTCAATTCGTACCAGGAGCCGCACAACTTCTATGGCAGCGGCGGCTTATCCAGCGGTCAGCAGGGCGTCATGGGTGGCGGACTCAGCGGCAGTCCGTCCGCCGGACTCTCCGCAGACGCCCCAACGGCGCCCGGCAGCGGCTCCGCGTCCGGCCAGGGAGCCGAGGGTGGCTCCCCCGGCACCAGCGACAGCGCCAAACTCCTCGACGGCCTCAACTCCTTCTACAGCAATGCAGGTCCGTATCAGCATCTCCTAGTCGCAAACTAGACAATGTACATTGAGACACACAAGATCGGTTGCCACATAATTTATTTTTCTACACTATGTTTTGTACTTTTTTATTGAGGAATACATGAATATATATTGTGTACATAAATGAGGCGTTGGCAATCATTCGCGATTGCTTGAAGGATACTTTTAACTCACCTGAAAGGAGCACTTGTTATCGACTGGGGATGATATGGATAATTTCTCTTCTGTCTAGCGACTCGAATTGATTAGATGTGGAAGGAAGAGAAATTGTACTACTTAGAAAATACACTACACAGGGTAATACGCGAGAATCATGGAAAGATATCGATGGTTTCTTTTTCGCGATGTTGCAAAGCATCTGAGAGAAAGAATGGTGAAGAAAATATGTCATAGGATTTGTCTGTTGATTTGAGTTTCCTATGTTTTTTTTCGGTCTTCTTATTACCATGAATTTATCAAAAGAAATGAGACGATACTGTGTAGTAGAGCTACACAATAGACAAGAGAAATTTAAGAAGAAAAGAGTCACCCACCAAAATGTATCATTATAATCTACATTACATGCAATTAGAAATGCAAATTGATAAACTATTGTAAATAATTTTATTTACATAATTACTAAAATATAAATGAAATAATTTTGTACGAGAAACAGTGGTGTAAAGGAATTTTTATGGACAACAAAATATTAAGGACAAAAAAGAAAACAACCAAAATGTGACCGAGAAGATATAGAAACACTGTTATAAGACATGGAAATTTTGCCGTCTCCAGAAAACTTCTAACAAAAAGTATAATGTTGAAAACAAGATTGCGAATGAAGGTTAATAAAAAAACACACAGTTTTGAGTCTTACAAACCACGAGTGGTGAAGAGAATTAACAAGCAAGAAACAAACAAGAAAAAAAAACACTGTAAAGATGGATTTTACCTTTACGGCAACTTTTAAGATAGTTTATACTTTATTTTTTCACTTGCTTCGTATTGAATACGATTATACAGAAATAATGAGACATAAGATGAGAAGAAATACATAGGACTATATTCTTTTAGAGAAGACATTACATATTAAAAAGTATATTAGGATATATTTTAGCAAGAGCATGTAAGACCTGTTTATAAAACCTATTGTAGACATTTCATATAACAGATGATAATAGCAGAATATAACACAATCGTTTCATTGTAGATTATATGAAGAAAAATGCTACAAGATCATAAGATGATAAATTATGTAGACATAATTTTTTACTATTTGTTACCACTTTTTTTGAAAATGAAATCTTTTTTATTGTTTTTTTTTAAATTATAAATTTACTTTTTTTGTATGTAATAATTGTTTTCCAAACTCAATGTCGTCCATTATAACACTGAAGATATTTTATTTTTTATTTTGAAAATACGAAAGAGTTTTGATGATATAGTTGAAGAAAATTGATAACAAATAAATCACGTGAAGTATTCAATACTATCTAGTCGGCTTATTCTATAAAGAAGAAGAGGAAGAAAAAAAACAACTATAATATTTAGTTAATAAAGAAAAAAAAAACAAAGAAAAGATAAAACTAAATTTGCATATCAGTAAAAAACAATAAAGTAATATTACAGTGAGATGTGAAAAACATGTAAAAAGTTGTTTTAAACGTAAATAAGGACAACATTTAAATTATTCTAGGCTTTATGATGTGAAAAAAATAGTGGGATAAAGCATGTAAAAGAGGAAAAATCAAATGATATTGACGAACACAAAATTTTATATTAAAAAAAAACTGTATAAAAGGTGCTAATGAGAGGTGGAGAAAAAGAGTCAAAAACCCATACAACTTTCTGCATATAATCTGAATATTTCCCGTGAAGTTCATTATTTATTTATCTACAATGTTTTTCAACTAATTCTATTCTGTTGGATAAAGCTACCAAGAAATCATATTTAGAGCAAAAAGACAACAAATAGACCTTCCTTTCTGTCCAACCTCATTTAAAATTTATCAATTTACTTTAGCATTGAGAGTAATCACTATAATAAAGCTAATTGAAGTACATACTAGAAGAAACATGTACCTTTTGTGGTAGAAATTTTTATTAAGCAGTACCTGCCGTAAACATTGAAAATGGAAGTGAAACACTTCAGAATTGTATCACATTGCATATGCATTGCAGAAAATAATTATTGTATAGTGAAAATACGCATTATTTTCTAATGATAACATAAATAATTAGATAATTGCGTTATAGAAAGACTAATATATTTTTTATCTCCTTTTTTTCACGAATAATTTTTTGTTAAACTAGCTTTTCTGCACCCAAAGAACGATTCCATGCACTCCTCCTTCGCTGGCTTCATTTTGTACTTTTTATTAAATAAAAATGAGAGAAAAGAGATAAAGTGTTGAGAAATATTTCATGACCTCATATCGGAGGAACATTATATCAGTGGAGCAATTCTACTTTCTATGTTTTGTACTTTTTATCCTTCCCTTTTTCTTCTATTTTTGCAAATTGCGACCAATTCGGAATAAAATCGAGAGTAATTTTCACAGTTGAGTTCAATTCATTTTGAATGTATAATGAAATGTTTGACAAATTGAACATATTCAGGAGGATATTCATGCTAATAGATTTGCATAAAATTATCCTCCCACTTGAACTGGAAATTCTATGAGAATTGCTCTCAGCAAATTCGAGCGCAAGAATATATAGTAATTAAGAGTAAATGTCGATTTCACCTGCAAAATTCGCATTCAATGCATGTAAAGAAATATTATTAATAATAATAGATTATATATAATAAATGTAATAAAAAGTCCTTTTAACTTTGAGATAATGATAGTAAAATCGGTAGCATAATGTATAAAGGTAAAGAGAATACCAAAATTATTCAAGTGAATTATTTGATTACAGTTTCTTTTCGAAAGGAAAACCAAACACTATTTTACTTTCAGTGCAAGTGTGTAAATATTAGCCTGAGACATAGAACATTGAGGATCACATAAAGTAAGAAAGAAAGAAAGGAAAAAAAAGTGTGAATATAAATACTTTCTAGATTTTATTATAAAAGTGAAAAAAAGTATAGGTTTAGAGTGTAAAATAATTTGTTACTTTTTTATAAATCATTTTATACAATTAAAAGTGGATGTTAAAAAGTCTAAGAAAAGAAGAACTCATGAATGATTGTTATACACACCAATTTAAATAATATATTCTTGTTTTATTTTTATTTACTCTCCTGTTTTATTTGTTCTCTGCTTTTTCTTTCGTTTTGCCGTTCACCTTTTCCCGTGATTTGGTTGTCGACGAGAAAGAGAGAAAAAAAAGATGAAAATATACGTATTTTAGATAGAGATACAGAATAAACATTCTTAAACATAATCTGGTGAGTGTAATTGAAAAGTTAAATACACCATAAAATAGTACACATCTCAAGCAGTATAAAATTCAAAGTGAACAAAAAAAATAATCCTTATCAGTGTAATTAAAGAAAGTATTAAGTAAAGAAGCTAAATGTGCAACACCATCTTAGACATGGAATACTAATTAAATACTAGAGTTTAAAACTAGAATTGGAAAGATAATTGAATCACGAATTTCCTCACAAATCTAAATGGATTTTAGACATTTTTCAATAGCTAAACGTGAACCACTTCTTGTGTCTTTTTACCTATACTTTCTTCTGCAACCTTTATTTTTATCCACTTCCTTTGTCAGAGTGTAAAAGGTGGAGAAAAATCATATTTCTATTTTTATACACATTAATAAAAGGGTACCTTTTGACATGGACGAAAGTGAAAGGAATTTTATAAAGGTGTGTAAATTGAACATGAAATAGATTTTCTGTTGTTGGATAATTGGAGACATTGCAATAATCCAGCTTTTTCTATATATGAAAAATGAGACGGAGCAAAAGGAGGAGGGTAGTGTGAGAGCTCTTAAAGCCACAATAGAATATTTTAATACATATAAATTGTATATAAGTAAATTATTTTTTTATCTTATAGTGTTAATACAATATACAGTATTATCTTTATAGAACAGAGGAACATGTGAAACATGAAAAACTTTTACACTTGACGTTTTTTCTTGGAGAAAACCCGGACACGAAACGTTACAGATGAGTAAATTCAAGTGTGAAATTCCTTCTACCGACGCTTAGGATAAGGCGCGCAGCATAAGTGAGGTTAAGAGGTGCTGGCTTAGCGCTCTGTCCAAATGGCTTAGGTGCTCCTTGGAGACTTTTACAGGAATTCTCTCTCATGTAGAACTTAAAAAAAATGATGAATGAATCTACCAATTGATCATTATACAAGAAGTTTCCCACCTTCAGTACAAAATGAAAAAGAAACGAAAAGAGATTGACGATGGCGTGTGCGAGAGAGAACACAGAAAAGGATGAAGGATAGGCAAATATAAAGAGGACTCCGATTTCTCAATAAGATTGTACTGTTTTTAAACTTTTTCTCAACAAAAACAAAAAAAAAACACAAACACTCAACATTCAACGTTGGTGAATAAAATGTGACGAAGAGACACTCTTGAAGAAGATAACCTTAATATGGCAGATAAAGAGAAAAATATTGCATCCATAATAAAGATACCTTACATAGAATTAAAAGATGATCTATAAAAATAGGAAAGTTAATTGATAGACGCCCAAAAAACTGTATTTGGCTTCTGGCGCTACAAGTACATGATGAATACAATTATTTCAAGATTGCTAAGTTCTTCTCCTTCATTTTATATAATAAAAACGTGAAGACAAGAAAAGAGAGTTTATAGAATTCTGTGAGAATTTCTAACTTAATTTTAAGTGAAACATTCTGCAAGTAATACAAGGAAATATAATAATAAAGAGTAATTAATCAATATGACAAGAAATATCATACATGTCTGCTTAACTGCTTTCTTACATAATGGATTTTAAGAATGGACGAGATGATGAAAAATGTCGATAAATACTCTTACACCAGCATTCCAGAGTATCCCCCTCCACACCCCCAAACCCTGGCAAGTGGTATGAAATACTCCTGAGTTTTTCTCTAGAAAGTTTATCTAACTTATCAATGCAGAAGAAGAACAATTTCATACGTACATGTAGTCTATTTTTTATATTGTCTCTTTAAAACCAGAAAAAAATGATATTTCATATGTTACAGAATTAGTATTGAGAATTTAGTGAGAGATGACTTGTAGACGATTGAAAGTGAGTGTACATTTTTCATTAGTCTCAAAGATAAAAAGAAAATGATGAAAAAAATTGAATAATGTGATGATTTTTTTACAGTTTATCTAATGGATGAATAAAAACAAAAAGAAAATTTACATATATAATACAACTAAATGTATCTATTGAATATTAATTGAAAAAAAAACTTTATATATTACACTGTAATACATAATGTTAGATATGTAGATGAAATTATACTCTTTGTGTAATTTGTTCAAAATAAAATGTTTCTACACTACGATTGTCGTCTTTTTTTTTCTTCAATTTTTACTGCTATTAAAGTGTGTTGAGAATTGTGTTATCGAGAATCATATCTTCGCTGTTGGCGCTGCTGTCGGATTCAAATGTTATCCAGACATTTGCTGTGAGTTTCGTCGCATATGGCAACCCTGGCGGCAGTGAGATTGCTAAACCGCAGCCATATTGTTCTTTCCTTCAAGCGAAGAGCGTGTGTCGTTCACGATAAAGTGTGTGTTTGATCGGATTTTTTGCTGCCAATTGAGCTATTTCCAGCCAAATTTCATTCTCCAACAAATCCTCAACAAATTAGGCAAAAATGGGCGATGAGAAGAAGGTGAGTTTCGCCGCATTTTCCCCGTGAATTTTATCGACCGAATTGGCTTGTCCGGAACGCCGCTAAGCGGCTTTCGAGACATCATTGGTCAACTGCAGAAATTTCGCACTATTTTCCACGGATTTGCCACACTCTGTGCCAATGGGAGGTGATTTGGAGTGATGTGATGAAGGAAGCAAGTCGTTTGGGGTGCATTGAGTGTGTGAGCGAAGTGGCAATAGAGTGGGGTGCCGGGGGCGGAGTCCCTGGTGAAGTGAGGTTATGTTTCTCCATTGAGATTCCCGGACTCCTCGTGAAATCTAGTGTTTTATCAAGTGACTGACTTGTTTGTTTTGCTTTTTTCGTGACAGGATAACAAGATGGGCGAGTCCGAGCACATCAATCTCAAGGTGCTAGGGCAGGACAACGCAGTGGTGCAGTTCAAGATTAAGAAGCACACACCCCTGAGGAAGCTCATGAATGCCTACTGCGATAGGGCGGTGAGTTGACTGTGTTTCCACCAATTTTGCACTCATCTAATTCGTGTTTTGATTTTCGCTTTCAGGGTCTGTCTATGCAAGTAGTCAGATTCCGCTTCGACGGACAGCCCATAAACGAGAACGACACCCCTAACACCCTGGAAATGGAGGAGGGTGACACGATTGAAGTGTACCAGCAACAAACGGGCGGCTCTAATTAACTCAGCGACGGTGAAGAGTGCAGAATGGGAGCCGCGATGGATTAATTTTATTGACAGCAACACATATATAAGGGAAGAATCAACAGAAGGATATAAAAATTAGAAGCGTGGGTGAAATTCCTTTTCTCTGATTTACAATATTTGACTCAACATACTTAAGAAAAAAAAAATTTGTTTGAATACACCAACATTCCCATCGCCAAGATCTTATTTTGTGTGAATCGCTGCTGATGGAGAAAACACGGTGAAGTGAAAAGGGGAATGATAAGATTTTCTGTCTTAAGATATAATTTAATTTTTCATTCAGCAAATAAATAGAAGTCTCTTAATTATAAAATACCACCAATGTATTGGCATTAGCGAATTTACTTGCAGCTGATCATTCAGCGCTCGTCGTCACGGGAGGATTTTCAATTGAATGATCTCCTGACGAGGAGTGTCGCCAGCATGTATTTCACTTTGGAATATGAATAAATAAATCAGGAGTATTTTGTGTGTATTTCATCTGAGAACTTCACGCCGCACTGGATGAGAGCTTAATTGATTAAGCAATAACCTCAAATTTACAAATTATCCCCACTCAGAGTGACAAAGAGTAGTTTTTGGTAAACAATGGCGCTGTCCGGAGGTGTTCTCGCTTTTCTCTCTATTTTCACGGTTTTTCCGGTGAATCTTGCTCTCTCCCAGAATGAAAGTGCTTCACAGACAGACTTCCTGCCTATTGTGATGTGGCACGGGATGGTAAGAAGAGTATTTCCGCTGGAAAATCCCTTCTAATCAACACACTGTTCTCCAGGGAGATTCTTGCTGCTTCCCATTCAGTCTGGGCAGCATTAAGAAGTTGATTGAGGCAGAAATCCCCGGGATTCGCGTGACCAGCCTTAAAATAGGGAAATCTCTGGTTGACGACTACGAAAGTGGCTTTTTTGTTCATCCAAACAAACAGGTAATTTTTTGTTATTGATTAATTGTGCCCAGACAAAGTGCGAAAGTCAGGACAGAAGTTCAGTGAAAGTGAGATTCACTTGAATGCGTTTTTGGTTTTGAACGTTTTGAATATTGATCTTTGCGCAATTGTGTACTTTACAGGTTGAGGAAGTGTGCAAAAGTCTGAGTAATGATCCCCAATTTGCCGATGGTTTTCATGCCATCGGCTTCTCTCAAGGAGGACAATTCTTGTGAGTTTTTCATCACAATCTTATTGTTCGTGACTGAATTGAATTTTATTACTGATTTCAGGAGAGCCCTAGCTCAAAGATGCCCTTCGGCCAAGATAAGGAACCTTATCAGTCTCGGGGGTCAGCATCAGGGAGTTTTTGGTCTGCCCAATTGTCCATCTCTGAGCTGGAAGACTTGTGAGTACTTCCGGAAGCTCCTCAACTACGCAGCCTATGAAAAGTGAGCAGAATTCTCCCTCATATGCACATGCACATGCAATTCTCACGCACTTTCCTTGCAGATGGGTTCAGAATCTCCTCGTGCAGGCAACTTACTGGCACGATCCGCTCAATGAGGATGCCTATCGAGCAGGAAGCAGTTTCCTCTCTGACATCAACAATGAGAGAGAGATCAATCGAGATTATATAGACAATCTTCAGAGGTTGAAGCGATTCGTGATGGTGAAATTCCTGAATGACACCATTGTGCAGCCCGTGGAGTCTCAGTGGTTCGGTTTCTACGCTCCGGGAAGCGACAAGGAAATCCTTCCTCTCAAGCAGAGTCGAATTTATCTGCAGGATCGTCTGGGACTGCGATCCATGCCACTTGTGTTTGTCGAATGCGAAGGAAATCATCTGCAATTCACCCAGAAATGGTTCATTGACCACATAATTCCTTATCTGAAGGAAAAATAAAAAAAATCGTTACCATTTGATATCCAAATAAATCGAATCATATGAAATCGATGAGTAGTCGATGAGTGATGGTCCAGCTGTCAGATTTGCCATACGGAATTTTTTCTTAAAATGTGTTTTGTACAAAATCTCTAACTTTAGAACCTCTTTAGTGGCCCAAAATGACTTAAAGTAGTACTTAGGACCCCTCCTCACATCATGAGATACCAATTTAACGTGACTAAACCAAAATGCATCCTTGTTGCTGCTATTTTACTTATCATAGCAATAAGTGTTTTTTACAACTACATCCTTTCCGCGAAACTGGAGGAAACAAGGAAGAGTTCAGGTTAGTATTCTTAACATGATCTATTCCTGATGTGCTTCTAATCCTGTGGATTGCAGGCACAAAAGCTGGAGATGGCAGCGAGAGAGCGAGTCTGGGTGCAGCGGAGGAGAAGCGGCAAGAGGATACTTATGATTTCAACGAAAACCTTATTGTGATTTACAACCGCGTCCCAAAGACTGGATCAACATCCTTCGTCAATCTGGCGTACGATCTGTGCAAGAAGAACCACTTTCACGTGCTCCACATCAACATTACTGGGAATATGCACGTGTTGTCGCTGCCAAATCAAATTGACTTTGTCCGGAACATTACAGCGTGGAAGCAAATGAAGCCAGCGCTGTATCACGGTCACATGGCGTTCCTGGATTTTTCCAAGTGAGTCCCGAGAGCTCTCCTGATTGATCAGATATCCCACAATCCGTGCTGAATTGCCATTGCAGATTCGGAATGCCCGCAAAGCCGCTGTACATCAACTTGATCCGGAAGCCTCTGGACAGGCTGGTCTCCTACTACTACTTCCTCCGCTACGGCGACAACTACAGACCGAATCTGGTGCGTCGAAAAGCGGGCGACAAGATGACATTCGACGAGTGCGTGGAGCTGAAGCAGGCGGACTGTGATCCCAAGCTCATGTGGCTGCAGATTCCCTTCTTCTGCGGCCACGCCGCCGAGTGCTGGGAGCCCGGCAATCCATGGGCCCTCTCCCAGGCCAAGCGCAATCTGGTGCACGAGTACGCCCTTGTGGGACTGACTGAGCAAATGGAGGACTTCATCTCTCTCCTCGAGGCTTCGCTGCCGCGACTCTTTCGCGGCTCACTTGATCACTTCATGAACTCCAACAGAAGCCATTTGAGGCAGACAACGTCCAAAATTGCACCCAATCACGAAACAGTGGACAAAATTCAGGACAGCGAAGTGTGGAAGATGGAGAATGAATTGTACGAATTTGCGGCGCAGCAGTTTCACTTCCTGCAGAAGAAAATGACAGTGCCCGGAAAGAATATTCTGCAGAGCTACATGTATGAGAAGATAAGACCCAAGTAAAAACTGCCCTCAACACGGGAATGCCAGGTATTTTCCATGGTTCTCTCACAATATAGCAATTTAGAGACAGCTCTTCCTGCTGGGCGCTGTCCAGGGGAAAAAAACGATCGGAAGCAGCTTTCACGTGTCGATCATCCCATTTCCCATGATCTCTTCTGGGAGTGTGAGATTTTCCTATTTTCACTCACGATCACTCGCAAGTAAGAGATTCCCCGTTAATTTGCCAGCCAGGAAATGTTTGAGATGTGTTATTTTCTCTGCGCCCACGAGTTAAATTGCTAAAAGAATAATGAAAATATTGCATAATTTGCGCTTGATCTTTTCAATACGATCACGTAAAATCTGATTAAATCTTTTACGTTCGATGCGTTTTAATGAATATTTTTATTGAATTCATCATGAATGAGAAAACTGTTTTTCTGCGTTCTCTTTAATGACTATTTACAGAACAAAATGCTTAATTGCTTTAAGAAATTGAGCTGCTTTTTGTTTTGCCAAGTGCATTTGGAATGTGTACAAAAATGACAAAGATGGCTTTTAAATTATTCATCAATTGTGTGTGTTTTTTTTACAGAAATGCACACAAATATTTACAAAATATACATATTTTTCATGATTCACTTAAACATGACGTTGAAGCAAGTGAGAAATACCTCAAAGTCCGGTGTCGTTTAATTATCTTTTTAACCTTTTTCACCATTTGTGACTACGGAAATTTCTTATCTTAATCATTTTTATGACGTTTTATACTGAGCGTATGAACAAAAGTGTCATAAATTGTTGATTGATTTTTTGCAATGGCTTTTCATACCTAAAATCAGAATTTTATGAATATGAAATTGACCTTCCTCTGTCTCTTATTGTATTTTTATTATCTATCTCTTGTCATTTACGGTTTTAACAGTGAGAGAGAAAAAAACAACAGGCCATTTCCTTCAATACAAAGCGTGAAATTAGATATGAGAGATTTCCGAGGAGATTTCCTTGTTTAACTTACGTGGGCGCGAAGAAAGATTGTGCGCCGGCACGTGAAAATCCTGGAGACAATGAGGCTCATCATTTCCCCTCTGTAATCAATCAATCGGACTCACCAGATCAGCATACAGTTCCAAAGTCTCTGGAGTCGCGAGATCGCCTGATGTGGTTCCAGCTTAATTATCCGCTGCGTCAGTGTTTACACTTCCACTCTATTCGTACAATTGCCCAAGTCAATTGTGAGCAAATGCCCGAGCTTATGGTAATTATAAGGCTACGAAAGTGGACTTTGTATGCGGGGATTTTCTGATTCACAGCTCTTTCATCATTTGATCGTCAGAAGAGAATCTTCCGACAATTGAACTTTGTCTCCATCGTCAAGAAAAATTACTTTGGAAGATTATGAGGAATAGTTGTTATTTTGCTTGTTATTTTGTAAATGGGAAATTAGAGAGCGAAAGACTAAACTCCAAGGTTGACAATTGGGTGCGCCCGCGTGGAAATGATTGACGATTTGAGGACACAGTAGGGAGAAAAGTGTCTTCAGCGAAATTGCCTGTGTTAAGATCATTTCCGCGGATGCGACGTGCAATCATGCAACTCAAATGAAATTATATAATTCCCATTTGCTGTCCATATAATTAGTCATTTTCCACACTCACGATGGAATTTATAGAGACGGAAAATGCTGTTTATGTTGAAAGTGTTTACATTCTTCGTCTTGATCTTTGGCTGCTCTTCAAAAACCGTGCCATCATTGGATTTGTAAGAGAATATTTGTTACACGTGGATTATACATTTATTTTCACATTCTTTTCGCAAATTATTTGAGAATCTTCACAACTTTCCTCGTGATGCGCACAGTGTTATCTTCTGCAGTGTTGATTGGAACAATTCGACAAATTGATGAATTAACGGAGAATGATTGTTTTCAACGCAATGTATTGTGTCATTATTGTTCGCAAAATTGTCCCCATCAATCCTCAGCAGGGAAGCGTCATGAGGCTGTCCTTCGGCCATCTCCTCATCTCTCCCTAAGGTGACCAGAGTGATTTTCCTGGACACAATAGCGTCGTGTACTTGAACTCGGCTCGCCTCCGCGCACTTTCCCAGCTGGCACGATGCACATTTGCATTGCATGCGAGGGAGTGTGACCCCCAATTGCGGGGGAATTTCCCCGTCGACGCGAGAATCGTAAATCCGTGCATCTCATCGTGCTGGCTGGAGGGAGATGGAGAATGAGGTATTTTCTCTGGCAGCAGCCCAGGCCAGCGCCAGTCAACAGATGAGTCTTTCTCCAGACGGATCGACAGTGTGCACGCGGGGGCATTAGAGTGTTGGGAAATTAAACTCCAAGTGACCTTTTGGGCAATTTGTCTCGGGAGTTGCGTGATGAATGATTCCCTTTCTTGCAATTTAATGGTGCTGCAATTGTTGTGGATCTGAAGGGGAGGGAGTCGTTGCCTAATCGCCTGCTCTTTGTCGTCATTTGCTCAAACACAAGAATGTCGTGCAATGTGTGTGACTTTGAGGTATATCACGGGCTGTCGAACATTTTCAGCTAGTCAATACCTCCGGACACTCGCGATTGGAAGCACCTCGTCATTCTTTCACCTGACGTGACAATTTATTTTTTTTCTGCCCCATCGACCTGATATAGAGTGCTTATACCCGTTTCGCCAGCTGTTCAGTGCGCGGAGATTTTGTGATAAACACCCTCATCCGGATTGACAATCCATAGAGAGTGCGCTGAGAGACAAGAAAACTGTGATCCCTTTTGTCGTGCTGGAAAATCACTCAAGCTGCCCAGGAGTGCAATCTTGCCGTGATTGCCACCATAGAGATTTTGTGAAAGTGTTTTAATGCCACGCGATAGCCGAGACTGGAAGTCTTGGAGTGTTTCATAACAAATCTCTCGCCAAAGAGACACACAGCGAGTGAGGCTGAAAGTGAACAATCAGAGAGACGGAGTCTCGCGTGAGGAAAGAGCCATTTCTTGGGTTAACCTTCAGTGGAGAGAGAGACAGTCTTGCGTGGGCGTTTTTGGAGAATCCAGAAGCGACTATCGATTGCTCATCGCCCGTCCACGTGGTCGAGGAGGATTTTGCGCGCGCAATTTTGCCCAGACTCTGCTTGGCGCGAAATCATTCAGCTGTGATTGCATCAAAGCATAAATATTAGCGAAAAGGTATTTTTCACTCGAGTCTAAAATGAATAGCAATTACCGCACTATCAGTTCACTCTCTCGGGGGGCGGCAAAGTACTCGTGAAATGGGTGTGATTTTTTTCTGCAATATTCAGAATTGCCGCAATTGAACTGCAAGTTGGGTCACATTATTATTGATTCCCATTGCCACTGTTCACGCGTTACTTGTAACAGTGGATGCATTTGAGAACACAACTTATTCACCCCTGAATTTTCCGTGGCTTTTCACGTGCATCGCGTTGCACAAGAGCCCCTCAATGGTAAAAGTAATTTATGGAATTGGGGGATTTTGCTGCCTTCTGCATTATTTTTTTTCCAATTCTTACCTTTTTGCGGCGGAAGTGATTTTCCTTTTTCCCACTGTACACAGTCTTTTTGTCGAAAGAGACACATACACTGTGTCATTATTCAAATGATTCAAATGCAAACTCTTGTTTGGATATCGGTGAAGCGCGAGGAGAATTGACAGGTGGAGAACCCTCAAGTTCTTTCAATTTCACAACTAACCGTAAGAATGTTCTTTGTGCAAATATTGCTTTGTCGCGAGATGATTTCAATTTTAATATATTCACTCGTCACTTGTCCATTGTTGCACCTTTCAATTGCCACCTCTTCACTTGAGGTTTTGACCTCCACACGGGCTCAATTCAATCTGCATGTGACATCGGCGCAATTGAGTGCGGTGGGAAACAATTAATCTACAGTTCGAAGAGAGATAACAGATCACCTTTCTCGCGATCTTTTTTGTTGCTGCATCAAGCTCTTGTGCTCACTTGTGTTCCCTCTTCACGGAAATCCCGATATGTTTGCAAAGCTCTTTGTGTGTGGGAAAAAAAGCTCTCATCCGCACAGAAACCAGTAAATTATCTTAGCAAATTGTGTGTACTTAAGATTGGATCTTGTCGCAAAAACTTGTCTTAAATTAGAAAACATGAATATTTGCGATGAATTTTTTATCAGAGCATGAACTGCGGAAAAATCTCATCTTGACCGGCGTGTAATTTCGCGTGAAGAACGTTTTTACGACAATAAGACTTTGACTTGCAATTAACGGACACACACGACTACTTTTTGCCCATGATTCATCGACGGAGGCCCACGAAAAAAGGTGGCATAACTCGTATAGTATAGTTATTTGGATGACTGGAGCTTTTGTGAATCTGATGACAGAGCCGAAGCAGGTCAAGAAAGTACCACAAGGAAAAGAACAAGAAGGTCTAGGCAGGTGACAATGAAACCATGAAAGTACATGCTTGTTTTTCCTTTTGTATGCAAAACGACAGAAATGCTGAAATTGAGTAGATCTTCTCTGGGCATTTCACCAAAATCCGTGTCAATTTCGTGTGGGAATCTTCCTCCACATATGTTCATTCACCATTCCTTCGACTGTTTGCCATCTCCCCTGATTCTGCTGGTCAGTGTCTCACTTTCTGGGTCTGTGTAGTGGAAGCCACGGCGCTCTTCGTGGGCACTTTCATAAAGAAGTCCAAAAACTAAAGTTCACACTACAATAAGTCGGCTAAGAGTGAGGTGAGGAGGTATATAAAAAAGCAACCCAAATGGTGTAGACACGATATATATGCGCGTGTGGTGGATGGCAAGACAAAAGTGTATGGGAATAAAATTGTGGAATTAATCAAATGGGCCTCCAGTACGAGATCGAGTTTCTTTTCGACAACACGTTGAGTTTCCCCGTGATATCTTCACTCCTGCACAACACTCTCCTTGCCTGAGTGGCTAATGCTTGATCTTGAGGAGGATCTCTTGCACTTTGGGCTTCTGTACATAGAGGAGAAACGCAACTCCACGCCAGTGGAGAATGTTGCAGAAGAGTATTTAGATTGCGAAATATCTGCGGAAGTGTTTGATCATAATTCAGTTTGGGTGTGCTCGATGATCAGTCCAAATGTGATAGAGTGACTGTGTTTCTTCGCTTCTGTGACTTCATTTGCCTCCCGCTGATAAGTTTGGTGATAGGGATATTTTCCTTCCTTTTTCCACGGATTCTGACTAATTAAAATTATCGCACAATGAGTAAGTCTTTCTCTCAAATGATAACCCTTGAACTTCCTCCTTATTATCACATGACGCGCTGGTAGAAATTACACAAGGCGCAAGATTTCTATTTCACATACAATTCTCTCTACAATTGAAAGTGAGATTTGTTTCCAGTGAGAATTTCTACAATTGATACATTTTCCAGTAATACACACGAACCTTCAATTGTTCCAGTAGAACATTTTGCATAGAAATCATGAGAATTGAGGAATCCTCCAATTTTTGCATAATCTTAATAACCGCAATTTACTTAAAAACCTCTCTTTCTCCCTCTCTTTCTATCTCTCTGGCTGGACGGAGTAATTTAAATGTAATGAAACACTGATATAAACATGCAATTCCGACAATATTTTATCGTGAACTTGGAATAGGGTCAAATCCTAATCTCTTATGCCGAATATGATTCAGTGAGAGCAGTTCCACTTTCCTCTGTCTCTCTCCCTATTCAGTTGATCGGAGTTCCTCAGCTGTGAAACATCATATAAGTTTTTTGGGAAGATTTACCGTCTGTTCTTCCCACATTTGTGTTCGGAGAGTTTCTTTTATTGGTAACATAAAAATATATTAAAAAATCAAAGTGTTTGATTCTTGGGAAATTCCCCAACTTTCCATGCTTAACTATTTCGCGCAACATTTGCAAAATTCTCTCCGCGATTTCCGCACTGTGTCAATTTCTTGTAAATGGTGAATAAACCTGCACTCATGAAGAAGGAAAACGACCATTTTCATGGTCATCGGCGCAATGTTATTAAAGCCTCTCTTCGTCGCTTCTTATTTCGTGTTATTAACGCCACCAAAATACACACACGTTTAATGCACTTAGTCAGTGCGTCGTTCATTGTCAATCTTGAATCATACCGTATATAATTGCCTGACGTGAATCCTCAAAGTTACTACTATTTTTTTTTCATGACCAAATGCATGTTTTGCTGAACAAAGTCGCTTTCATGCTATCGCGCTTGTTGACATTTTTTTCGTACTATGTGAATTCCTCAGTTCTCATTTCCGCTTTGTTGTTCTTTTGGGAGTTGTGCTGTTTTGTGGGAAAAAAGTGTCAATTCATCTTATGCGCCTGAAGATTTTTTTTTCTCCGCCACCCACTGCCAAACCCTCTGAAAATGTATGTTGAACATTTCTGTGACATTGCAAAAGTCGCAAATCTCAGCATCAAAAGACACAAACACACACATTTCGTGTCTAACTCGAAATTTGACCAATTGTGATAATTAACAGGAAAACTTCTTTGTTAGTCTTGTGAATTCTCACAATAGATCGTCTTTTTTTGTGTGCAATCTCTTGCAGAATTCCCAACCATGTTGACTGACTTTGATGAAATGCCCGCCATCAAACTGGGCGAATACACACTGACTTTCGAGGTGAGTGGATTTTGCTTGTCTAATGCTCGAATAAGAGTCACTAACAGGCGCGATCCTTGCAGCTGGATCCTCTAGGGCCAGTGGGTCAGAGTATTGCAGAGAGAGAACTGCGGGAGACACCGGAGAGACAGCAAAAAGCCACCGAAGAGCTTCGCACTTTACTTAAAGGTGAGAGAAGTCACTGCGAGACAAATAATTGCAAATCTCGTACTGATTTTTTCCTCTTGCACGCACCATGATCGTGACCTTCAGTTAATCTTGAGACTGGTGCGATTACGGGCAATATTAAGAAGTCGTCAATCATCAGACGCAAACAAGAAGACTCTTTTTTTTAAGCATTACACACTACATAACTGACCATTGTTGCCTGTGCATAAAAAGCCCACCAGATCTCACTCTTGAGTTCACCTTTATTCGCTGCACGATCTTCAAGTGATCTTGAGGACTTTAGCATTTAATGGTGTTTACACACCTTTGACTCATAGTCTCAATTGCACTTTTGTCATTTTACAGAGGAAAAAGACTTGGTGCTGCCGCTGGACAATGATGGTTGGCTCATCAGGTTCTTAAGGCCGTGTAAATACTACCCGGAAAGTGCCAGAAACCTTGTAAGTTACGAGAGTCCAAGTGGGACAGACCAATGAAAGTTGTTGGCGGGAGTGTAAAAGTCACTTTTGGCCATTGATCTCAAGAAGAGTTAAATTTGCATTTCGTGTTTTTTCGCGAGCGCAGAAACCTTTTCTCCCCTCTCATTGAAAGAGTCCATCAATGGCAGAAGTTGTGGAGCATTTATTTAAATCACGAAAGTCACATCCAGGAGGAAATTTTGCAATATATATATATTTTAATTTTCCACATTTTTTATAATTGCTCCGCGCGCGCACCGCGTGGAATGCCTTGTATTTTATGCATTCACGTTTTTGCGGTCTTGTTGTCTTCTTCAGGCCAAAGGCGTCGAAAATATATAAGACTTTGCAATCTACTTACCTCGCGCGATGGTGTAACACTTCCTCCACGCTTCATTGAGTGGCGCTTCCTTGGCGCTTTTTTCGCGCGATGCGGGCGTGAATTTCACAAAATTTCTGTGCTCCACAGGTGAAGAGCTACTACGGGTTTAAGGTGAAGCATAAGGATCTCTACGATGGACTGGTGCCATCGAAGGAGGCCAACATCTTCAAGCACAACATCATCACGGTGTTCCCCAACCGCGACCAGCTCGGCCGGCGAATCCTGCTGCTGGAGCTGGGCAAGCGGTGGAAGCACAAGGAGGTGAACCTCGATGAGGTCTTCAAGGGCTGTGTGCTGTTCATGGAGGCCGCCATGGTGGAGCCCGAGACGCAGGTGCACGGCGCAGTGGTCATCTTCGACATGGACGGATTGTCTCTGCAGCAGACGTGGCAGTTCACACCACCGTTCGCCAAGAGGATTGTCGATTGGCTGCAGGTATGTGTCGTGGCGAGAGTCCCTCGCAAATAGCCAAGTCACTCACAGCTCCCTCTGCGCAGGAATCTGTTCCTTTACGAGTGAAAGGAATTCACATCATCAACCAACCCAAGCTCTTCAACATCGTCTTCGCGCTCTTCAAGCCCTTCCTCAAGGAGAAGCTGCGCAACAGGATCTACTTCCACGGCTCAGATCGCGACTCGCTGCACAACCACATCTCGCCCAAGTGCCTGCCGCCCGCGTACGGGGGCACCATCGAGATGCCCCGCGTCACGGGCGATCAGTGGTACCAGCTCCTGCTCAAGTGCGACCAGGAGTTCTGCGCGATCAACAGCTACGGCTTCAAGCATCTTATCGCCAAGTGAGCTCATCACTTCTTTCGCTGTACAATAAACTCTAGTTGTAATAAAGGGTATTAGAATTTACGGACTTGCCGCAGAATCTGCTGAAAGGTTTGCATTTTCACTCTCAGTCGCGTCTCGCATCTACAAACCTGTCCTGCAAAGTGTTGACTCTTCGCGCAAGTAAATTACAACTTACTTCTGCAGCAACCCGATGATTATCTCATTATGGAAAAATAAAGAAAACCTCCACGAACAGGTCAATAGCTAATCTCCGGGTTCTTTCCATTTCTCCGAATGCAATTCGGTTGTTAATTAATTTTGGGAACGCGATAATTATTTCCTGGTTTTTTTTCTCCCCCGAGTGAACTCTGGAGATTTGATAATGGGGGAGTATTTTTTCGACTTCGTGTCTGCCTTCCAGAGTTCATTATTTCGCCTTTCTTGCTTCCAACTGATAACTAACTCAGTGCTTTTGATTGCATTTTTTCTCTCTTGTGTGCTGTTAATTAATCCATAAATGATCTAAAATGGGGTCATTGATTTTTCATCACTGAAAAATTCATAGTTGATTCTTGAGTGAAGCTATGCAAGTGTTTTTTGAACAATTGTACAGTTTTCACGTGTTTCGAGATGTGTCTTGGCTCAGCAATTGCGCTCTCATGTGTTGAAGAGGAAAGACTATTGGGGCTAAACACAGTTAAATAGCGTTATAATAGAGTAGTTGAAATGAGTTTAAACATCGCCAAATCGGGCTTTGGAGAGACAGATTCACTCAGATTACATCAGAACCGGTTGTGATTTTCAATATTACATGAATATTTATCAAATGGCATTTAAATTCAGGCGGATTCATCAGAATCAAAGCGTGGGATCTTCACAGTCAGTAACGAAACACAGTCAAAAGCAGCATAAAAGTGTGTGAAGTTGAAAAACCAAAAGAAAGGTAATGAAAAGCAGTATTTTTTGTAGTTCTTTATTACTTTTATTTTCTTGCATTCAATAATATATCAGGAAATACATACATATATTGATAAAATATCGATTAAGCAGCAAAAATTGTAATTTTGTATAATATATGTATATATATGTATGATGTATATATGTATATAATAAATATAATGTATAATCCATAAAACCCTGATCAAAAAATTTCAGGCGTTTTACATTTTTTTCTTACTTTTTGAATATTCTTTTTTTTTCATCCATCCTCTTTCTCTTCTCATTAAACTTTTATGATTATTACTTTTTTTCAACACTTGTAAATTCTAAATTTTAATCATTCGCCAGGTGTTATGTTGTAAGGTGTGTATGAAAAAACCACTTAAAATTGCGATCAAAAAACATCCTCATATGAAGACAAAATTTTCAATATCTCTAAAATATTTTTTTTGTGATGGTTTCTCATCATTTTTTTTCCACTCCACATTTCCATTTCCTCACTAAGATTTTTTTTTCTTCTTTATATTTAGTGGTGTTTTCAAGGGTGTTTTTTCATCTATCAATATTTTCATCGTTCTCATTTATGATTTACTAGATAATTATTAATTTCAATCAAGTGTGAGAATAAATGTTCTGTTAGAGACTTTTTCAGCTACGTGGCTTCTACTTAAGGTTTTACATACAATAAATACGTATTTTTATTTTTATTTTTTTTTCATTAAAATTGTGTTTTCTCGCCCTTTTCTCACCTTCTCAAGAATCTATATTTTTTCTTTTCTTCTATGTTTTATATATACTTGAATCATGAACAATAGTTAATTTATTATTAATTAAATTCGTTAGACAAAGACGACTAAGACACAAGTAATGTTTCACGTGTTTTTTTTTTTCTTCGTTTACTCTATTCCACAATTCTATCTTCTCCTCGGAAACATGGAAAGTCCACTCTATATAGTCAAACTGCAATGCTCCAAAATCCTCTCTCTATGTACTCACTATTAGGGCAGTTATTTACACAGATAATCTTATGTTTCATACTGGGATTCCTTCGAGAAATGCTCAGGTTTGTGGTAAATAGTTTTATTCTTTGATAGAAGAGTATATAAGATATTTTTTTCCTTTCTCAATTACCAACCCTAATTCCTTAAATTATCCCTTCGCCAGAGCCAACGAAAACTGATATTTCGCCATTCTCTCTTCGGGAGGGAAAATGATTTTGTGATATGTACTTGTGCTCATTCATTTCTGCAGTTCCGTCTTAAAGGTGCTTCTGAGGCATTTTTAGTTCTTCATCTTCTTTTTCTTTTCTTTTTTTGATTCAATAAATGGTTTTCCAACAAATGTTGCGTTCTTTTGAATGACTTAGTCATACTAAAAGTAACAGATAATAAAAATTAAACAAGTCAAGGCCTAGCAAGTTGGTTTTCTCTCATTTTTTTTTTGATAACACACACACGAATAAATGAATATGTGGCACAGAGTTTCTTCATAAATTTTTCTCTTACAAAAGAAATACCTCTTGATATTACATTTACAATAACTCTAAATTAGAAGGTAAATAAAAACGAGTTTTTTTTATGAGCAAATACTTATCATTTCTTCTCATCTTCCAATTGTTATGCTACATTTATCTTCACTTAATCTTATTATTGTATATGCTATAGCCTATGCCTTATCCAATAAACAGCAATAACTATCAAAAAATATTATAGAATTATACATCAACTTGTCATCTCTAGAAAAAAAAATATTCATAAACACTCTGACGCATGTTTAGTTCTCTCACTACTCTTCGCTTGATCAACACCCAAAGTAAAGCAATAATAGTTTATCATGTTTAAAAGCTAACCGAAGACGAGGTTCAGAACAAGATCATTTTCTCTCTCTCTTGCCAAACATCGTTGATCGTTACTTAGTATATAAATAAAAAACAAAACTTCAAAATATTTGTACTAAAACGCTGACTACGAAAAGGGAAAAAAACAAAGAATATATTGTAAATAATAGTATTACAGAGACACAAAATTATGTAAAATCACCTCTTAGGTTCTGGTTACAGATATAATTCTTTTAAAACGGCGGTTTTGTTACACATGTTTTGCAAAGTAAAAATAAAACACATTTACTGCAATATTATTGTAATTAATTATTAAAAAAAAACACCCTTACTCTTTAATCCTAGTATAAATTGTGGAATGTAAAGTTGCAATCTCTTAGCTGAACTAGATATTTTATGTTGTAAAAAATGTGTAAAGCGACTTGCGTGTTTGTAAAAAGAAACAAAGACTATATTCAAAAAAAAAAATTCGAGATTCTCATTATCATAAAATAAACAGGGGTTTTAGGGCAAAAATTGAAAAAATAAAAATAAACACATATCGTTTTCAGATAGGGAAACATAAAAGTCACAACCATTTGTGGTTTCCATTTCATCTTTTATCCTCGCAATTCATTCCTCGCACTTGTATTATATCATTCTTCGCAATAATCTTCCTCATCCAAAACATCTCCATTTTCTTTTTGTGTATTTAGTTCTTAAAAAGCTTGAAAGTATCATTTTATTGCTTCTCAATTTGTTTCCTATTTTCTCTATGTTACCTTAAAACTTTCCATATTTAATTGTTTTTTCTTTCTTTAGTCATTACAATTTTAGTCACAAATGGTTCTTCAAAGTGGTCACCAGTTGCAAAGGTAAATTAATTTGGTTTACATTTGATTATGTGTGATTTTTTTTTAGTAAATATTCTTTTTTTTTTGTTTTCTTTGAATCTCACGTGTGACATTTTCGTTAAAAATATCTCTTTTATCCTTTTGTGAAAAAGAAAAGGTATATTTCATTTAGTGAAATTTTTCATTGCTTCTTTTCTCAATTTTTTTTTGTTGGTTTCATCTCTAAACAAGTTAACTCATAAATCTTTCCATTTAAGCCCTCAATAGACTGTTTCCTTATAATCTAATTTAGTGACTTATTTGTCCATCTTTCTTTGTCATCCGTGTCAATTCGGAAATAAGCATCAATTCCAAATCTTAGGAAATCATCTTCTCTCACTTCTTCACTGCTACTTTGCAATTGTGACGTATACAACAAACACCTAAAAATTTGTTTACGTGGTAAAATGGAGTGACACAGCTTTCATTGAAGGAAATTTTCATCAAATATTCTCTTACATCATAAGTGCTAACATGTAATCTTATCATTTTTTTTCCACCAGTGTAATAAATGTTTTCTTTCTATATTTTTACCTACAGCAAAGATTTTCTTCTTTTTTTTGGTACAATAAAATTCTCACTTTTTCACTCACTTGCTCCCCAAATTAATAAGATGTTTACGTCTTCGATTCTCTAAAATACTATTACGGCAACACTCATATTTCTATTCTGTGGTCATGTCATTAAACGTGATTCCACCAAGTTTATTCCATCAGCTACATAATTATTAATGCATGTAATAAGACAAGGCATTAAATTTTTTCATCAAAAGATCCTAAAGAATGACTTCAAAAATGAAAAGGATTTTACATCTTTAGATATTTGACCACGTTTAATTTTTCTTTCTCTCTTCATTTATCTTGTAAATACATTTTTATTGATTTTATTTTATTTAGTATTGTCTTTGCTAGCTGTCAATATAGAATTTTGACCAATTTCTGAAGAAAGTTCGAGAGAAATAAAGTGAGAAAGAGAGAGTCACTTTTGTCAGAGAAGAAGGAAAAAAGTTACGAAGCAAAGAGTTTTGAGAAATATGAAATGTGCTTTTTTCCATTTTATAGACTTTTCATGTTTTCACACACATTAATGAAAAAATATCATTAAGAAAGTATATTTCACAATGATTTCCTTACACAGTTTTTTTTTCACTAAATATCATTTATACTTTATAAATAGCATTTAATAGGGGAAGACATAAAATATGAGGCGTATTTTTCGTTAAACAATTTTTTTTTTGTAAATATTTTTGTCAATTTTTTTTGTTACAATTGTATGTATATTTGTGCAATAGCACATTTAATTTCTTTCTCTGCTCCCTTCTACTCCAAATACTCTAATAGTGTGTATAGTTTTTATTATTATTCCACATTTACTTCACTGGTATTTTTTTTCATCATGACTACATTTGAGAACATCAATGTTTTTTTTTATTTTCTTCCTCTTCATCTCTTCGCCCAATGTCAAATTGTTACAATTGTTTAGATACGAAGAAAAATTTGTGTGTATCATTTTTTTTGAGTAATATATATATATAGTTATTTTTCACATTACACTTCTCTCTCATTATTTTCCGTTAAACTTTCTAAGTGTATATATTAATATTTTTTTGGGGCGGGTAAAAAACAAATAAAAAACAATGCAGTGTAAAATTTTGTTAATATGGATGGAATGACTATACAATTCTTTTTTTTATCATTACTATATTGTTTTTTTTCCTTTCTTCCTCTATATATCTAAGTATATAAGACAATGCAGAAGAATGCATAGCATTTGTGCACCAATTGGAATTTTCACTCACGAGGCTCACAATCATTTGGCGGAAGGATTTTCAAGGAAAAAAAAGAGAGAATACACCATTGAAGAGATGTGGGACTTTAGAAAGGGGTTCACAAATGCCTTTCATTCTTAATGCATTCACATTAGCATGTATATAATTGATAAAAGATTACTAAAATATGTTTTAATGTAAAAGGTGTGTTGGTGTGAACAACAGTTACACTCTAAAATGTAAATTCATTTATTTATTAGCTACACTTCATCGTCACTCAATTTATATTCTAATATAGCCTCAGTGGTCGAGAGATATTTTATGAAAAAAATTGCAGTTTAATCGTCCTTTTAGTCAATATTGTTGTTTATCAACGTAAAACAAAGCATCTTATCCTCAGTTATTTTTTTTTGATCAATGTCACTATGCGTTAATTTTCTGCCTTACATTATTCTATTGCTCAGAAGAGAACCATAGAATTACAATTTTTGCAAGTCCTTACACTATTGATTCCTTTTCCATTGTTTAATCCTATTGTCTTCACTCAAAAAATCTGTATTTTTTTGGTGTTGATAGAATTATTATTTTCATATATAATAGATTTTGATTCATTTCCATGTCAAATTCTATTTTTTTTTCCTTTCTCACTTGTAATTTTTCACCTTAAATGTTATAAAAATGCATGGAGAGAATATTTCTATTGTATATAATTCATAGTTGTTTCATTTTCCTTAATAGATTCTATATTAAAAATAATGGCAATTTGGAGTAATAATTACTAATATTAAATAGGTAATTCTTTCATCATTCGTTCATTTCAATTTTTGTACATGAATCTACAGGGTATGTTTGAATTCAGTTTCACTTTTCTTTTAGTTAGTAAAAAAAATTATATATATCAAAAATTTTCTATCACAACAAACCGCAATTTAAAGTGTTTTTCCTTTTTTTCTCTTGTCAGAATAACATTTTTATTTACCGTGTTCCTTTTTTTCCTCTTTCACCCTCTCTCATACTCTGCATTGCGGAGAAATTGAAAATTTTCATAATGTCTTGTGTATATTTTAAATTACCTCACGTTTTTTTTTTTCATCTCCATGTTTAGAAAGATTTCATCTTTGTTTCCTTTAGGCTAAAAGTATTAAAATTCAATAGAAGAGTCGTGTGTTTACAGTGCACAAAATATTTTTTCTTATCATTGTGATTCTTAATTGTGGGTTTCAATCTTAATAATTCCATCATTCAGGGTTCCATCGTAAATATTACTTTTTTTTTCTTCTTCTTCTTGTCATTTAAATATGGATGAGCAATTACATGTTCAAAAAATACACATTTACTCTATTACAATATATTCGTTTTGAAAATATATATTTTACAGTACAAAGAGACCAAGTCAGTTTATTTAATCCCCTCTTTTTCATCAAAATATTAATTACCGATTTCTCAAAACGCGTCTCTTTTCACCGTCAATAAATTTATTATCCTGTTCATAATTCAAATGTATAAGAAGGTTCCTTCATCTCTCCTCTTTTTTTTTCACCACAGAGAAAGAGGTGCTTCAATAAGTGTTTAAAAAGAAAGTTCTGCCGACTTATGATGTTAAGGACACAAAATATCCTGAAGAAAAAAACTTATCACAGGCATGGTAAAAATATTTAAAGTTCTCTCCAAGTGTATACGTATTTTTTGCATCTCTCTTCTTCTGTATGTTTACTCGAATATGAGAAAAAAAGATATATATATATATTCATTTCTTGCTCATTCGTAGACTTTTGCTCTGCAAGAAACAAATTGTTATTGTTTAATTATATTAGGCATATTATCAATTTACTTAATTCTCTTCACAATTACTTCTTTCTATCTTATTGAAATTTACAGTGATTATTCTCTTAAACAGTTAAATTAAATGTCAAATAAAAACAGCTTAAAATGAAAATAATTGCACTGAATACATAGTTTTTTTTTTGTTTATCAATATTACCTCCGGAAACCGTTAATATCATTTTCTCACCTTCTCACCATCTCTCAAAATACAATAAAAAGGGAAGCGTATTTCGTGATATGTCATTTTGATCATTTTAGGAAGTAGGAAAAACAGATGATAACAACATAAAAAAAAACACAAACTAAAATACTTTCAAGGAGTATAAAATACATGAAGAAAGAATTCTGTAAATTTCAATGAGATTCGAGACTAATTCAAAAATTGCAAGGGCAAAATATTTAGCATTTACGCGGTAACAACTTTTTTTTTTGCTCTTCTTTCTCAAAATTCTAAATTTTCCCAAATAAAATCTACAAAAACATGTTTTTTTTGTTTGTCCACAGATCGTTTCCTAAATTAAGTAACCGCCATTACAGTTAAAAATCTATTACATTATACTCTAGCATGATTGAACCTGTTTTTTTTCACTCCCTAACAATACATTTCTTTTTTTATTTTACTTAAACAAACATTACTCTCTCTTCTTATGCTCTTCATTCCAGCTCTCTAAAACCGCTAGGAAAAAGTTTGATTTTTCATTGAATTTTTGTAATATTTTTTTTTGGTAAACTCCTTCCTGCTCATTTAACACTTACTATATTATGTACATAAGAAAAATTGTAAATATTTTTTTCATTATTGCTTATGTTTATATCTTTATTTCCAAATTCTCTCTTCACCTTGTCGCGCATGCCTTGTCTCAATTATATGTGGTTCATTCTAAATTACTCCTTAAATCTCATCTCTTCGTCATTTGTCCAAAGCACAAAATATTACTCTGTTACATCACTACATCACTAAAAAAAAGACTTTGAAGATGAATTACACAATCCATACATTAGGTGAATATTATTACTACATTTCGAAAAAAGACTTAATCTTTAATATAAATATTTATTATATGTATATATATATATATTTAGGAAAAAATAATGGCACTATTTTGTTTTCTTTTGTCAAAATTTACGTTTTACACATTGTCGTCTCATCGACTTAAGTTCTCATTTTTTTATGCTTCTGTCTTACACCATTTAGGATAATTGAACACCGATAAGTTTGAAGAAATCCACAAAGAGGAGCGAAAGGTTTTTAAATTAAAGAATTTCTTCTCACAGAAAGATTCTTGACGATTAATTTTAGCATTTTCTTCATCATCTGTCACTATTTTGAAATTGACATTCTATTAATTAGAGATAAAATTTCCATTCGTCTGTCTTCCTTTCATCTTGATCATCTGATATGTAAAATACAACATTACAAGATTTCTAGCAAAAATTCACTACATTTTTTTTTTCTTCCTTGGAGATGCATTTTATATTCAATAAATTGTCGAAATGTTTAATTTGTATAAACATCAACACGAATAAATATATTTATATATCAGGATATTTTCGAAAAAGGGGCTCTCAGTTGCTTCACGTCAATATCTATTCCTTATTCCAATGTCAGTTTCTTTTTATTTTCTTCTTTATTAGATAAATTTGATTGGTGTTGATTGATTGATGCTTTTTTTCTTTTACCTCTTCACAATCTCAATTTGTTCTCACTACAGAAACACACTACATTATCTCTATTTCTTAATACCACTAGAGAAAAATGGATTGAAAGTTTAGCACTGTGTCATTTATTACGTTTAGAAGTAAGTTTATACGTGTTGATCGCTGTGTATTTATGCACTTTTTGATAATTTCTTTGCAGTGTCTATTCACTATTACTATTTTACCTCTCATCTTCACTTATTTTCTCCATCTTGCTATGAAATATTGTGTAAACATATTGTGACATTATCGAGCACTTCTAATATGCACTCCTTCTACATTACTCTATTAAAGTGTTTTATTAACTTGTAAATGTTTGTTGTTTCTTCTCTTCTTCTTTTTTTTTAGTAGGATATTGTAGTTGAGTTTCACACTTCCCATTTCTCTCTATTTATCATCTATAGAAAAAAAGAATTCAAAATATAATTCTTCTCCACTGCATAAAATTTGATGAAACCAGAGGGTTTTGCTTTCACTCTAAATCAGTTTGCTGCTTAAGTTGTAAGACTTAACTATTATACACCACATATTCCGAAAAGTTCAACGCCAAAATCATGAAATACTCCTCACTTGTCACTGTGTCTAATTTTATGAATATATAAACCTGAGCATAAGTCTATTTTTAAATATTATTCTTGTTTTTTAGCTTCACTTTAAGATACACATTAATTTTATATATCATTTTTTCTTCCTTTAATAGTTATTACAAAGATTTATCATCTTCTTCTCTTATTGTAATTTCTCACCGTGACTGTCTTGGTCACAGCAACGCCCTATCGATCATCATCCTATTACCCTTTCATATTTCTGGTATTTCTTCCGCTGTCACCCACTAAATAATTAAGGAAATCACAAATAAGCTTATCTCTCATCGACACAACGTCTTTCATCATTCGAAAAATAAAATTATAAAGGACAAAAACTCTTGTGCAAATATATTTGTTCATCTCTGTATTCATCATTAAAGGTAGCAGTTGTAAAAGTCATTCAAAAAATCATAAGAAAATTAAACAAAAAATAATACGAGTGATTGAAAATGGAAGTTTAATTGTATAGATTAAAAACTTGTAAATAGAACAAAAATCAGCAATCATTTAGACTCTTTAAAATCTTTGAGGAACTTTAAATTGTTGATAACATGTTTTCTCGCAATATTATTAAGTTTACATACATATTGTTTTCTCTATTCTCCCCTCCAGTTTCCTGTTATTCCTGTCATTCACTCACACATAATCTCTCCATTCGCATATTTCTGTACCAGTTCTCCATAATTTTCTTCTTTTTTTTTACTTCATTACATATTAGAAAATGTGTAAGTGTAAATTTGTAAATCATTGGGTTTCCTTTATCAGATTACTCTTGATTTTTTTTTCTTCTCATAAATAGTAAATATATTTTTCTACACAACTTCATTCTTTTTTGATGAATTTTACTTGCTTTCTTGCATTATTTTTGCCTACAAAATCTCAATATTATTTTCATTTTATATGTAATTCTTTCACCACTTCCTCAATCTTCCCCTTTCTCCCGCCTAATATTCAAATTATACATTCACTGAAAATTCTCGAAAAAGCGTTATGTACCGTTACTTCAATGTATATGTATAATATATAAATATATAGTAAAATACTCCTTATTATAATGTTATAATATGTAAAATTTAAGGCAAAAAATATCATCAAATATATACTTTGGATTGTTTTCAGCTATACATTACTTTTTTTCATCTCATCTTCTTTATTTCATCTCATATTTTTTTCTTCTTCCATTTATTTAAATTCAAATATTGTGAAGTTTTCAAAAATTAATTAATAAAAATGCATCCTTACCAAGTAACATTAACAAGTAATCAGGTTGTAAAATATCTCTACTTATTTGTTAATACAAATAATAAACAAATAAAAAAAATAACACACACGTTAAAAAAAAATTCTGGTACAGCGTGTCATGACAATTTGAATATATGTATATATATATCTATTGACGAAAAAGTAAACATAAAAAGGAATTTGAATACGCGTTTCCCCTTTTATACACACGAAGCATTTAGAAATCTACTAATAAAAAAAAAACTCTAATTTTTTATACCTAAGATTTGTGGTTGAAATAAAGAGTACGTGTTATTTCCTTTCTCCAATTCGTTCTGTTACAGGTAAAAAATTCTTTTTAAATTTTCATCACACAAAAATCATCACACCTTATAAATGTAAAAGAATAATTATAGTTAATAGTAAACAAGGGACCATGAAATATGACAGGGAAAATGTATCAAAATAATAATGAAAAGATACCAGTATCAATAAAAAATACACTACTACAATCTATTTAGACCGGTTCCGTTCACAATGTAGCATCTTTGATTGCATAAAATTCTCATCATGACTCTAAAAAATATTACATTTGAAAAAAAATTTCACACGTCGTTTGTATTTATATCCATGAGTTAATTAAAAAAAAATCAATATAACAACTTCTTACATAATCATTAATATTTAGAAACATAAATCAGTCGTATTTGCTTAGTAAAATCGTATATATTTTAAAAAGTTACAATGACAAAAAATAACAAATGAAAAAAACATCGAATTTTCCCTTTTTACATGAACATAAACTTCATTCAATATATAATGTCTTCTCTTTTTCATTGTGAATGTTGGCATTAGTCTACAGTTACTAAAGTGAGGTTCAAAAGGAGTACATACATAAAAGACACTAAAAGGTGCGTTATTCGTAGCATTACACATAATTCTGTCCATTGTCTCAATCTTCTTCTATGTTTTTCTTTTGCTAATGGAACCAGTCATTTATCTTCAGTTGCATTTCATCCTTATTCTTATCTCTGTTCCCTTCTTTTTTTTCATTCATTACAACAAGAAAACGCGATTCAATCGAGTTCAATAATAATAAATACCTTATAATGTACATTAAATGTAATTGTTTCTAAAAATTGACTCATTTGTGTTTTTTTCTCTCTCATTATTTCCATTTTTTTTCTTCTTCTTCTTCTTTATTTCTTAGTGTATTTTGGGGAAAAAATAAGAAAAATAGTTTCTATCTTTTCCACTGAGGTTCTCTCTAAAATTATCTCTTTATAATTAATATGAAAAAAAAACTTGTAGAAGCGATTAAATTCTAAAGGAAAAAAAAAATTTCTTCTTGTTATTTGTGTAAGAATAAAAAGGGGAAAAATCTTCTTCTTCTTCTTCTTCTTTCTCTCTCTCATCCTAATATTGTATGTATATATATATATTATAACGCATTGAAGATTGAATAAAAAAAAAGTAAAATTAAAATATAAACACGAAGAGATCAATAAAATGTTTTAACGATTTGGTTTGAGAATTCTTCCTTCCGCGACAATCACTGGATATAAAGTGTGTTTAACACAAGAACGTGATGATTATTTTTGGCCAACGTTACCACGTAACCCTCAGATGTGATCTTCAATCCGCAACATCGCGACACCTACACACAGGAGGAGATTGGCAAAAGGCGTCATGACGCGAAAGAGTAAGAAAAGAGAAAAGTGAATGGCACAACTTACCTTAACATAGGGACACTCGTACTCCGACTGAAGAACACCCTCGCGAGAAAAGCACGCCACATGGAAGCGATTTCCGTGGGAGTCACCAATCAGAATGTCTCCAGCATCGGAAATATCAATTCCATTCGGGAAGCATGTGACTTTCTCGTTACCAATGCGATACTTGAACGTGCCATCCTCTGTGAACACGGCCACGCAATGCCCCTTGAAGTCACACACGTAGAAGTCATTTCCTGACGAACAATCAGAGCACAGAGCATTAGCAACTCTAAATCCTCTGCAAACACATGAAGGAAGAAGACTTTAAGACAAATACTCACCACTTATGGCAATGTCTGATGGCTCACGCATGTGATTGCTGCAATCGAACCAATGCACGAGATCTCCTTCCTCAGTTATGATAAAGACAGTCGGCGAGACGCTGTCCACAGCAACAATGTGTCCCTGATTTGTGACTGCGAGACCAGCAACAATGTCAATGTAGCTGCAATGAGAGCAATCCAATTGTGTTCAAGAGCCTTGCACACAGTGTCCTGCAAAATCATTCACTCACCGGATGGCAATCTTCTTCATAAAGTGCCCAGTCTTGTTGAATATCTGCATTCGTGAGCGCTCATTGCCACGATCGCACACGACAAACTTGTACGTCGGACGCATTACGGCAACCTTGCGCGGATACCAGAGTTGTCCCTCCTCCTTTCCAGGTACACCGAACTGGAACTTGAATGCCCCATTCTTCTCGAAAATCTAAAACACACATTTCAGCAAAGTTAAAACTACTGAATTCAATCACAAGTTAGAATAGAATAAACTCACCTCAATTCTGTGATTGTTCGTGTCAGCCACAATTATCTCCTCATCAACTCCCAGGCAGAAGCCGTGCGGTGAGTTGAATTGCCCCTTGGATGCACCAAGAGAGCCAAATTTGCAGCGAATCTGCATGGGTGTGGCCTTGGAGCGGCCGGGAACGCTGATGGATGATTGAAAGTTGGAAATGGTCAGGTCATCGCTCAGCGATGACATGGATGTGCCATTCGGCATGATGGAATTCCCAGAGAATTCGTTGATCAGAATGTTGTCCACACCTGGTGATGGTCCACGCGAGATCAAAGAGTTCCCGCTTGTGATGTTCCAGTTGGAACCAATACGATTCATATTCTGGCTCGTCTCCCTGTGATTGTTGGCTATTGGTGTATTGTTGAGGCCCAACTTTGCCAGCGCCTGCAGATTGTTGAACGCATTCTGATCACCGGACAGCACGTCGGCCAGAGTAAACTGTGGTGATGGACTAGGATTTGACGATGGAATGATGGGATCAGCCAAATCGGCGTGCTCCACGAGATTGGCCAGCTGATGAATGTTGTACTCCGCGATGCGAGAGAGTCCAGGCAGAGCCGGTGTGGCGCTCACAGTTGTGGGTGGCGGAACCGTTGCTCCATTGACCAGAGGCGCCGGAGTGGGACACTCGGGCGCCAGGTTGGTTGGCAGGGCGAAGCCGCTGCTGCCGCTGGCACTGCTGCCACTCCCATTGCCCAGACCCGACATATCCCCGTCGAAGGACGACTGCATCGAAGTGGGCAGCGAAATGGGGCTGCTGGCCGTCACTGAGCCCGTGAGGGCGCCCTGTGAGCTGCTTGATGTGCCATTATGTGAGCCATTGGCGTGCTGATTGCCACTAATCAGGATCGGCGGCATGCCGGGCAAGGTTGGCGGCGGTGTGCACTCCTTGGGACTCACAGGACTGCCCTCAGTCTGGAATTTTCCGAAGGAGTCATGAGCCAGGCGCTCAAACTTCTCAAAATTCGAATTGAACTCCACTGAGTAGTTGCTCTCGGCTTTTGGTGTTGTGCTCACAAGATTGAGGAACTGACACCCAATCAGCTTCTTCAGGCTCAGCAACTCAGGAGCATTTGACTGATCCAACACACGCTTCGTGAACTTGCAAGCATTGTCAATCTTCTCCACAGACTTCTCCACATTGTGCAGTACATCCATGATCTTGAGCTCACGCTCAGAATGGAGCGCTTTCAGCTCCTTCAGAGCATTGTCGCGACACTTCTCCAACACCGCCTTGAAGCTCTGATAAGACTCCTCAATCAAATCGCGCGCCACATCATGCTGAGTCTGCAGTTCATTCAGCGCCGACCCGAGATGGCACGCCGCCTGGTCGCAGTAATCCACCTTTCCCCTCGCCTCCTTCATCAAGTTCTCCACCTCGATGCGCACACACTTCTCGGCATCGCTGATAATCTCATACACATGATCGCCACCCTTGTGCTCCGCAATCAGACACTCATTGCACACGGGCACCTCGCAGCTGAAGCAGTAGTACTTGAGGTTCTCCGTGGCATGCGTAGTGCAGAAGAGTGGCTTGTGGATGGCCATTTTCTCGCTGGACGACGACTTCACCAGATCCTCCAGCTTCACCACCTTGTGGTTCTCGAAGCACCTCATTGACTGGTGGGCATTATCACAGCTGGCGCACAGAATGTTGGCGCAGTCGTTGCATCGTGAAATCGCATTCTCCTTCCCCTTGCACGATGTGCACGCCAGCACGCGAAGCTCGATGCTGGACAAATCAAGTATATTGGTCGTGACGTAGTCGCAGTGCAACGAAGCAACTCCCTTGGCACCAATCTGAAATATGAGTGAAAATTAAATGTGGTTTTTCTCTCTATAATTTATTCAAACAAATTGCCCATCAATTGCCCGAGAGCGTGAGAACTTCTCCAGCCTGATGGAGGAATATTCAGAGACAGAAAACCACCCACAAATATGCATACACACACACTCACCTTGGTTATTTGTTTGCAAATAGGGCATTCCACAGTGTACCCCAAAGCTGGGTCGGTTGCGCATAGTTTTGCAATGCAGATCTCACAGAAGACATGAAGACAAGATAATACTCGAGGTGATTTTAATTTAGTTCTGCAAGAAAGGGGATTTGAGGATTTACAAGAAAAAAAATAGGTCACGCTTGGGGCAGTTACTCACTGGCAAATTTTGCAGTCCTGATCGTGACCACTAGAGAGACCGTTGTTTTCTTCCAAAGAGCCACCGTGATCGTTGAGAAGGAGGTCGCTCCCGTAGGAGTCAGCAAACATATTGGCGACGGCGTCCCCGTTGGGCGGCGACGGGAAAGTCAGCAAGTCGCCCCCGGCGCCCGGAGTGGCCAGATGGCTCGCAGCGATGCCCGGATTGGCGATTGAAGCGGCAGAAGCAGTGGGATTCGCAGCGGTCGGATCGCGATTATTGTCGGCAAAGTGCTGGGTGGCGACGGCAACTGGTGCTGCTACTGGAGGAGTATTCTCTGCTAGAATAGTGTCATATGCGTCCAGCAGCGATGCCATAACACACTCCACTTCCCTGCAGCTACTCCAAGTTGTAATCCAGATAGAGTGAGAGTGGATAGAGGAAGAGTCCCGAGAGGGTCAAATGCAGTTGCTTTGTGTTGTCCAAAAAAGCGTCCTTCCTTCGCAAGACAATCTCTTTTCGCGTCTGTGTGCCTTTGTCTCACCCAAAGTCAGAGATTGCTTGGCTTTCACCCTTCACCAAAACTACGAACTGGCTGATTCCTCTTCCGAGTTTTTAACCTCAATGTCGCGTAGATTAGGCCTCAGATGCCCAAAGTCTGCAAAGAGACACCCACAATTAATCTTATCTCTGTCCACTGATAAGCCAAGATGTGCTTTCTGCAGAGTCGCGGGCGCGGCTAACCCCAAATTCCACCACTGACCGCGACTTTTCCGCGAGTAGAGCGAGGAAAAGTCCCCCAATGGCTCAACATCGCTGCAGAAATGCGCAATGCAGATGGCATACATATAGGTAGCGCTCCTGGTGTAACCTTGGACGCATTTACCCAGTCAAATGCTATTGATTTATCCCTCGATTCCACACCCTCTGCACAAAAGAGCGCCCCCAAGGTCGGGAACACCTCGAAAACCCACTAAAACAGCACAAAAGAGAGCAAAGGCGGCGCTGGGAAAAAATCTGAAATTGATTCTATGGGAAAACGCGTGCTTCAATTTTCAGTGGACTTTTCACGACGCAAAATCACAAATCCCACCACAATTCCAACAGCAAACGACTCTCTGCACAAAGCACTTGGGTTTTTCACTGAATTTCCCACTGAATGGAAGCTAAAAAGGGCACTTTTTTGCAAAAATTCTCACCTCACTAGCCATTCTAAGTTTAGATGAAAAATAATGGCGTCCGGAGAATGAAAATCGATTAAAATTCGATGAGACATGAACTGTCAAGTCGCGAGAAGAGCAAACTGAGCGCAAGTTTTCGGAGCGAATGGAGGGGATACACTGAGAAAAACAGGACTGCAATGCCCCGATTCCTTCACACTATCTCAGGAATACAATTAAAGGATTTCTTTTGGGGAAAATAGGGAAAATACGAGATTCTTCACATTTTTTCAAAACAAAATATTCTTGCTCAGAAAATGTTTTGCTAGCGCGCTCTATTAGATGATTGTACAACTCCATCGTTTAAAATATAATCAGTCGAACGGATTTTTATAAATTACACGCAATCATATGCAATAAAACTTACATAAAATATTTCACACCTAATAAATTCCCAATTTGAAATCATGCTGATTTTTTAATTTGATTAATTTATGAATGCAACCTCTTTGCTTTCATTACAATTTATTATCCAATATGCGAATTTCATAATATGCGTTTTTCTCCTAAATGGCACAATATTGCTTCTATGGTTCTGAACAATTTCCTTCTAATGTTGCACATCTTCTTCCTGCACATTGTTTTTATTTACATAATATTGGAACTCAATTTGTAGCACATTTCATTCCTACTTTCATCATGTCGAAAATGCCAAGGAAATCCAGCGAGAACATAATTGGAAACGGCAGTGCGAATAAATTTAATATCACGCTGGTCGCTACTCAGGTGGAAAAGCCCCTCAGCTTTTCTCAAAGTGGTGGAAAAACATATGAAATTATCGCATAGTTTTGAGCTTGGACGGATGGGAGCACACCACCTAAATTATGTCTCTAATGGTCTTTCACGATGAAAGTAAAGATAGATTTCTTGCACGATTACCTTCATCGCTTAAATATTCAAAATTCAAAGTGTGTAGGAAATTAATTGGCCAGATTATAATTTCCACGTGCATCACTTTGAGATGGTTAATATGAGAAATTGCTTTGGAGAGAACCGCTTTTCAATACCATGTGGCTTCTTCCAGCATTCTTGCCATCCCAAGAGCCCGTGAATTTGCTTTAATCTCACCTCTTCTCAAGTTCACAAGATGTGCTCTTGAGGCAGTTGGTTTGTTCACATGACCATTTGAGACATTTTGTAATTGAGTGTCTCAACATTGTAATTTTTGATGAACACACGCACAATTATATGTTAACTTACCGGACAGTTTCTCGTGTTGCAATTAAAAGTGTTGTTTTGTGAGAAAAACTAATTCCAAATGGTCCAAATTTCCGTTCCCGGGTGAAATCTTATGCAACGGAAGCGTTTTGCTTATCAGTTGTACGCTTGATCAATTCATGCAGAGCGAAAGAGGAAAATTATCACTTTTGACGATGCCGAGCTTGCGACTCATGAGATCATTCGCTGCGATAACACGAGAAATACAACAAAATTAAGAAACAAATTGCGTCGAACGGCCGTTAAGTGCGGCGTTTAGTGAGGCAACAGGCCTTAGAGACAAGTAAAACAAATATACCAGTCATTTCGGATATATATGTAATTTTACTGAATTTATTAAGCTGCTTTTAAATTACACGTTTTGCTAATAAAATAATTCAGTGAACTAGAGACACAACTAATGCATCTTGCTTTCATCCTACTGTATTTTCTACTTAATTAACCACAATTTAGGAGACTAAAACGTTATTTCTATTTACACATAATGGTTTTTTTTTCATGCTTCCCTCAATAATTTTTATACTTTTACTTCTTTGTCGCCGGACGCGTGATTCGATTGATCAGCCGCTCTTGCAGAAGTTGCAGAAGATCAGGCCAGAAGAGTCGCAATTCATGCACTTGAGTGACACAAATTCCGCCGTGAAGTGATTCCGGTGAACGGACTTCTTGGAGCCATTGCAGGACGGGCACGGAAGCAATCTGTAGCCGCCGCACATTTTGCAGGTGTAGCAAGGATCCAGGCACTGCGGAACAGAGAAGAGTACTTCATTAATATTCGACATTCTCACTGCACCAGCTTATTTATTGACTGTTGGCACACAGGTCAAGTTTGGTGGATAAATAAACCTTCCTTAACGTAATTTCTCAAGCGCCATAAAAAATCATTTTATGCTTTTATGATTTTCACGCGCCGCTCCTCAAAGATATTCAATTTTCAAGAATATCCGCTCATTTTATTGAGGCAAAAGAACGAGCGCTCTTTAACAATGTATAAATTTTAAGAGACAAACACTTTAATTCGTTATGAAACCCAGTGAAGTAATTTATCCACAACCAAAATCCGCTTTGAATGAATTATTGATAGAAAAAAACACACACAATGCGTTTTTTGTCTAATTGTGAGTCTAACTGTGCTAAACTTTTACTCAAAACAACACTCAAAATCCAACATAAATTAATGTCAAGCAGTCCATTGCAATTATACCCTTCGTGAACGGATTTCAATGGGTTTTCTGATTATCAAGAGCATATTCGTGAAGCCAGAATATCTTCGCAGGTGTGCGATATCTTCTCATTCCCTACCTTGTAGGCTTTCAGCATTTTCCTCAGTTCACCTTCCTCGTTCAGTCGCTCAACGGTTTCTGCATTCTGGAAAATGGGAGAAAATAAAGTACATTGTTATTGATGAAACCTGTTGCAGATTGTGTCAACATCACAGCATAATTTCTTCGATCGCATGCATAAAACGCCACAATATCACCTTTCCCTATAATCAATTCCGAAATTTCCATTAAATCGGGGTGAACATTTTTACTATCAATTTTTCCCATCAAAGAGATTTACGTTTCAACCTACAATCGCGATGATGCTTTTGCATTTGGATTGAACGGCTAGAAATCGGCTGAAAAGTGTCGGTGAGATTTTTGGCAAACGCTTTATTTGGCAAAGTGATCACATAATAAAATCGTGAAGAAATTTTGGAGAGGCAGAAAGAGACTAATTCGGGGTGAAAGAAAAGAAAAAGTGTGGCTAAAGTGCAGATTGTGGCAACGAAAACGCAACAGGAAGAATTATTTTTCACATTATGGATTTTTGTAATGAATTTATGAATGAAATGTATTTCATATATTAAATAAAAATCGCCACACGATCGCATTTTCCATGGCAAAGACTGTCATCGGCAAGTGCAAAAGTGATCACGATTTTCCAAATCGGCAACAAAAATTGCGAGAAATAAAACTTTCATGTCTATTTTCCACTCTTTTACTTCACTCTCTCACTTGAACGCCGTATAATTTATCAATTTATCTATAAAGCTTGCGCGACAAATGCCAAGTTTTCCCTCCATTTCTCTCACTACCATTTTTACCTTTTCACCTCACTTGTTCTGCTGTGTTGCAAGAAGAAGAAAAAATCGCACACGCAGTTCAAAGTTAGATGAACGCCAGATGCATTCAATTGTATGTGGAACAACACTTGAGGCTAATGATGATGGGATTCACACTCAGAGAATTCACAAAATTAATTTGAATTCATATTCAAATGGGCTGCAGTTTTCAAAGAAAGTCGCTCCGCGAGTTGTGTGACTCGAATTGTGATGAAGAGAAGAAAAAAAAATACATCGCATCTCTCCAGACGGATTTCGATTTACAATAATCTTTTTGAAAATCTCATTAAAATAGATCGTGTCTGGGTTGCACTTTTACCATCGTTTTTCTCTTTTCCTCACACATTCTCATCTCTCATTCGCGAGACTGAAGAAAGTGCACAAAACTAACATTAACCAGTCGAAATTGTTGTGAAAAGTCATATATTTTGGAGCCCTTTCTAAACATCCCATTTTACTTTTTCCCAGGGTAATAATTTTCAAATAAATTCTCAAATTTCCTGAAACAGCGTGAAACAACCATCACAGAGATCAAAAGAGTTCAACAACATCGCGGCTGCCAGATAAAATCTTATGCAACTCATCCCGTCGATGGAGGAAAAACCGACAATTCCTCGAAAATTTATGCAAAAAAGGCAAACATGCGATAAATCCGTGAAATAAATCGCGAAAGTGAGAAAAATATCCCGATACAGGTTTTTCACCGTTTATATTTAAATTTCTTTATGCACACACACATTTTGAAGCAAAAACGCAACACCGGAAGGCAAAATTTATCGAGACGTTAAACGCAATGAGACATTAAATGTGAGCAAAAGTGAAGAAAATTCCGTGGTCAGGCTCAGCGAAGAGGAGTTGCAAAACAATTCTTGCGGAATCGCGACAGAATTTTCGCCGCAGGGAGTGAATTTTGCAAGAAGTCACCATGAAATGTTGCATCATCCAGAGGAAAACTCCTCGCGGTTCACCCATCAGGGATTTTCTGAATTCTCCTTGGCATTTTTCCCGCATTTTTCTTCACCACTTCGGCCGTTGTTTGTTTTCCAAATCATCCGTGAAACAGAGTGAAATTGTAGGCACGAAATCTCTTGGCGTATATTCTTTGTCTCTATTTTGAAACGATTTGTTTTTCCCACTTTGTGGCTTGATTTTTGGCCAATTGCAGATACTCACCCCAATATGTTGACCGTCGACAAACAACTGTGGTACATCAATATTATCACATTGCATTCGATCTTTGATCTCCTGCTGATACTCGGTGCTCATGAAGACGTCCCGCTCCTCGAACTTCACCAGCAGCGTCCGGAGAATCTGCTTCAGACAGTTGCACTTGGCATATGTTTCCCGGACGATTCCCATGCTGGTTGTGTAGAGGACCACCTTGCCGGCGTCTTTCTCTTTGTAGTTCTGCGGAGGGAAGACAAAAGGGTATCGTGAGACTCCAATTGCACTGTGTCATTAATTATTTATTACGTCTAATTAGTTCATCTGGCGCTGATCTCGAAATTTGCCACCATCAATTTTTCATCACGCTTTAATTTAGTTCTTGTTTTTGCTACATGTGTATTTCATCTCTTTTTTTTTCGACTAACTGTTTCCCCAACAGTTTTCCACCAAGTGTGTATAGCATAGCATAGATTACAGATAGTGAATGAATGTAGCAGTCCGAAATATTTCGGTGGTAATGTACTGTGATACAATTATGAGCAATCTCCGCGAGAACAATAAAATGTCTCAATTGATGATTCTTAAGTCGTGGCGCGCTAATTAAATTCTCACAAATCCGCTGCACGACATGTGGGAGAGAGGTCATTTGCAAATTTTCTTTGCATATCTGCTTTTCACCTCAATTCGCCGTAATGAGCATAAATACATGAAAAACACGTATGCAAATTAATCCTTTACACTTGAAGTGGAAATTCATTTGCTTCATCAATTTGTGAAATTACTCCTCATTTGCCTAATTAAACACTCTTGGAAGCACTCAAGAAGAATGTTAACCCTTAAGTGCACTCGAGTTCCTTGCTTGCGTGACTATTGAGAGCTCTGATAGATAACACCGTGCGCAGGATTCAAAGGTGAATGTCAAAAATTTTGCATTAACCTCACGAAGAGCACATATTTTCTCGAAAAATTTCAAGGCGATTTCACATATTTTTTCTTTTTTGCAAACACCGCGCAATGCCGCACGTTCTTGCTTAAGCAAATTACTTTTAATTTGCGTGCTGTGTTTCTGGTGAACATAAATTTCTCGAGTGGAAGTGAATTTTGGGCTTTTTCGGGGTTTTTCGGTTAATATGTCATGCACTTTTGCCAAAGAGTTTGACTGTGTGTATGAAAGGAAAACAGCACACAATCTCAGTGATTGTGGCCAATTTGATTCGCTGTTGCACTTTTCATTTAAAATTACTTAATGGGCTGCAGAGGTGCCAAGGTGTTTGAAGAATTGTTCCAGAGTGAACATGTGAAATCATAAATTATGTTTAGCGTTGTTAAGAATAAATGGACAAGAAAATAACTCTCTCTCTCTCTCTGCCTCATCTTCAATAATCATGTGGAGATGCTCATGAAGGTTTGACGCACTTATTTCATCGCGAGGAAATTGCGCACATCTCGAAAGATCAAATTCATGCAGTTTCCACGATCTTTTATAACACATCACAAGATTATGTGTTTATTTGTTATTTGAACGAATCTCGTTGGCTGCAGACACTCTAGTAGATTTTGTACCTCACAACAAATTGTTACTTTCTTGTATGCGCGCGGCTCGAATGCAATGAGATTCGCTGTATGGAATTTCTTCGCATTCGCGTTCTACTTGAGCGCCCCAAGGGCACCATCATCCGCACAACAGCGAAATGTAACCATAGAAGTGCTCCGATTTGCATTGTATTGTGCATGAAAACTCGAAATTTCATCTCAACTGCACGTTTTCCTATGTTTCTTTTTCCTCAGCATCACTCTTATCTTGTTAACACCAATATCGCCGCATTGCTAATTGAGTCATCACTATCTAATCTCCACCATGCGGAGAAATTCGTGTTTAACTTCTCCAAATCATCAATAAACATCTTGCCGAGACATTCATCCGTAAATCCGTGCGCATAAGCGACACTTGACCCTTAACTTGCTGCAAAGGATTTACCCATGAAGCCAAAACGTGCCTTCAAAAGTGTCACTATCAGGTCAATCTCGCGCCACGCGTTTTCTTTCACTTTCCACGAAACAAGGCCATCAAATCACAAATTTAAATTCAGGGAAATTAGCTGCAGGCTTGTGGCGCATTTCATGTAACTCTGTCTCTTCACATCAACTTAATACTTATAATGCAAAATACGTCAATTTCGATGGCAACTCTCGGTTTTATATTCTGGTTTTATCTCTCTTCATGTCGACTAGACAATGTTGAAATGTTAAAATCTGACAATAAACTGACCATTTGTAGCGGGAAGAAGAATAAAAGATACACTTTACCTCACTCGGAAGAAGAAACATTGTTTGTATCTCAAATTCACAGATTTACGTAATTTTATAACCTCATGTTAAAAACAAAAATGAGTAATGATATTTTTGTTGGTCATTTACTCCAAAATGTTTATCTTTTCCTCACTCTTTTGGCTACACTCGTGCAGACCTCTTACATTTTTTTTGTTATTCAACAAGCCTTACTTTTTGAATGAATTTTGATAAATTGTAATTGACTGAAGAACAGGTTGAGTTAGTCTATCAATGTCTTGTCTGTATTAAAAAAATAAGAAATCCGCTAATAAATGTTTTCTTAACACTGTGTGATTACGCACAGAATTGTTAACGTGAACGGTAATATTCGAATGCTTAAATCCAAGACGTTTCTGGGTTTTGTACCGCCATTGAAGATGTTATCTAGATTTGAAACTAGTGAAAACATACTGAAATTAGATTGTGATTTCTCTCAATAATCCGTGAAATCTGTGTACAATTTACATACGTGTAGTAAAAGTATACAAAGAATAAGAAATTATTTTTTTATCAAATCCAACGAACATATTCAGCTACTTAAGATCGACAGTATTAGATATTGTGTTTTGTCGCTCAAACAAGTTCAAATTTTGGGATAGTTTAAATCACTTATTGTAAAATATTCGTGTATCTTCATTATATCTTTGACATTCAATCTTTGCAAATAAATTTTTATTGACTTTACTTCTGTTGATGCGCTCATTTGATCACCACTGAGTTTCTCTAATTTGAAGAAATAAACATGCTCAATAAAGTGTCAAGCATATTGATGAATTTCTATTTTATGACAAGTAGCAATATGTTTGCATTAACTTTGCATTTCTCACATTGTACATATCAGAGCAGAAACATCAGAGGAAAATCAGCTGATAAAAACATAAATTCGAAGTATTATTAAATGTTATTTCATTTGCATGCTATCTGTTGATGTGCGGATTCGTTAACACTTTCACCAAATGCTGTGGTAAATGTGAAGATTATTGTATATTGGTTCTCACATGGAGGATCAGCATTGACCAACTTTTAGTACATCTTGTCGCTTTTGTTGTTCTCTAGGTTACACAATAGTATCGTGTCTTTGATTTGCTGCATTGAGCCTATTGTATCGGCTTACAAATATCAAGTAGTGATATTTATTCAACTTATTAGAATGGGTACTAGAGAAGAGGAGGAATATACGGATATTTGGACTGATTTCTTCACACAGGTGATTGACATTGGCTCACATAAAACTGGTTTGTGAAGTAGGTGTCTTGAGAAGACTGTGAAATAACATGAGAAAAGTCAACAATCTTCACAGCCACGGAGATGAAATGCGTTTCTCAATGCCTCAACTCAGTGTCTTAGAGGAGGGCAAACATATACATAGAATGGAGCAAAATCTGAATGCAATTAAATCATTAACAGTGCGCAAACTACACCTCGACTTCTTTTCCTTCTGGGATTTATTGCGCCAGTTGAATTATGATATGTTTTTCCCTCATTTCGCATAAGGTTGCCTACACACAAAGATCTAATTATGGCAAAACCCTGATCTATTTATCCGCCTCTCTTTGTTGGCTGCCCATTAATTGCAAGGTGTCTCTCACCGAAGGAGCAGAGAAATACCCTGTCAATCGCGATAAATTGCTAAATAATTGATACAGTGATCAAAATCAATTGTGCCAATTCGTACACGCAAAAATCTCTCTAATTCACTTTTAATTTTCTCCCATGTTTTGAGAGAGTTTTCAGAGATCATAAAACTAATCAGCTCAATCAGAGGCGAAATTTTTCTTTGACACAAATTTATCTGATTTCATGGTGATTTAAAATATTACAACAATTTGACTCATCACTGTGCGTTTTTTTTCTATTCACCTCCTCTTGAAAAACTGAATGAAAATTATACAAATGAAATGTACAAATTGGTAGGTTTGCAAACAGTGGAATGTTTACAATTTTCACAGAGAAAATAACCACTTGATGGCCATTTCTTCGTCTCCCATTGACTTGGGCTCTTGTGCATCGATGTTTGAGTGAGACAGTGGGTAAAAATTGTGAAAAAGATAGTAGTTTTATAGAAATGTACTCGAAGAAATGACCTGCTTTCTCTTTTCTCTCTCGTCCAATGCGATTTTTTTCCACCATTTATTCAATTTTTCACCAGAAATTGCATTAATCGATAGATTCAGTAAAAGTCTATCTCTAAATTGAAAGTCTCTAACCCAAAAATTTTCCCCATAAACACCGTTCTGCCCTTGATAGAGGAGAAGTCATTGTTTCGCCGCTGAAAATGCTCTTTCGCCGGTGAGAATCTTGCACATGAAGTTATTAATGTGAAATGGAACCGTATTGCTGTGATAAGAGCAAAATCAGCGAAATGTGGTAAGTGATTTTCAGCTCATAGAGTTACATTAGTCAACCGGAACCCACTCTTGTACGGGACTCTTGTATTCTTGTGCAATCTCGAGGGCAATAATATGAGCATGAGACGGCAAAAGAAAAAGATTGAGTTTATTACAAAATCGTCAGGTGTATGAGGCCAGCATAAAAAAGCTCAATACTCTCAATGGCAGGAAAACGATCCACATAGCAGGTAATTGGAAAAGTATTAATAAAATCATATAGACGCAATTGCAACTCCTTGGGGCATTTCAGTGGAGTTTAGTCGGTCAGTTGCCTCTGTGAGCAACATTCATGCTGGTATACTCGAAAATTGTGCTCTCTCAAAAGAGAGCAATATCATTTCCAATTGAGCGTAAGTGCGAACTTTCAGTTGTTTCAATACTCGCAATTGTATTTGCAAAGACTGTTAATTTATGGTGATACTTCATCACAAGAATACTTGAGAATTTGAGAGAGAAAAAAAACAGCACAAACGGCAGGGAATTTTGCCTTTTTGTATTTTTCCAAATACCCCACAGTTTTGTTCTTTGGAACAATGTCCACAGCACAATTCCAATTGCCATACATGAAACCTGCAATACAGAAGGAATTCCAATGAATTCCGCTCATTGATCCCATTGTGAGCATTCGAATTAAACGTGAAATGCGAACAGTTTAAGACAATTCTGCCGGCAAATGAATTCAAACTGTTCCACAAAAAACTCTTAGGGCCAATAAAGATCCATGAGCAATAAACTCAAGAGACCTTTCTGTCTCTTGCTCATCTCTCCGTCAAGATTATCACATTATTCAAATTTTTCCTGGCAAACTTGCATGCTCGAGACAATGAATTATAGCATTCGCGAAATGATTATAATTATGGCAACGCTGAAATATTACATTTTATAAAAATTAGTGCTTCGCTAAGGAGAGAGACTTTGAAAATACAAAAGATACAGAAATGAGGAAGACCGTCTGAAATTATAATGATAATTGTCTTATAATTTTCCTGTCTTAACGATTTATCATTCTTGAACTGCAAGAGTTGAAGGCCTTAATTAAAATTGCCATGAAAATTTGTTTACTCTCTCATCTTCAAGCGTAATCACCATAGTCAAGAGTGCAAAATGATGATCGTCTTGAATTCAATTCATTTTCTCACTGATATGGCCGAACAATAGAAAAAACTGGGAAAATGGCATTCAAATATGCTTGGCTGGGTGTGAAGAAAAGGGGAAAGAATGTTAATTAGTCACATTGATCCTCGAATATTCCCCTTATCTTATCGACATGCTGAGGCGGCGTCAATTTATTAGTTTTACATTTTTAAGGCATGTCTGCTATTCGACAGGATTTATGATGAATGCGATTAATTTGGACGTACAATTTAGCCAGAACAAACAACATTCCTCGCGCACCATTCTTTCATGTCAATGGACATTAAATTGGAATTTTGCCATTTGTCACATTAGCGATATGCTTAGCGAATAAATCACTATCGCCGATACGCCCTGGCCCTATGCACATCTCTCCGGAATGCCCAGAAACTCCAATCGAAAATCCATCACATGTCTTAATTTATTTTTCCACTCGTGACCGCAGAGACTCCCAAAATTAATGGCTTCCGGTTGTGATAATAAGGGTTATTCTTTTACGCTTTTGAAGACAAACTCTTTAGTTGTAAAACTTTTCCTCTCCGTTCCCATTTCGAGTGAAATTAAATGACTTTTCTCTGTATTCCTGGCAATAAAATCAGAAATTCTACAGATTGTGAGTTACATTAACATATTAACGCATTTTGCAATGCAAATGCAGTCACATTTTATTTTAGCAAAAATGAGAAAGTAAAATTTTGCGAATCATTTAAGATAGATCCGCTTTATTTGCTATCAAATGTACCGCGAAAAACGAAAAAAAAAATGAAATTGATTCGACTGAAAGCGATTGGTAAACTATTAATCTATTTACTAGCCATTTAATTAAATGTTTTGTAAAGTTGATAAAGATTCCATTATCGCTCGTCACCATTTGGCGAATGTTCGGTGTGAGTAAAAAGTTTTTCAACCTGTCAAGAAAAAACTACACATAAATTTGAAATATATGGATTGGAACAAAGAGTGGCAACCAAACTGTCTTTTCCAGCACTCACTTCGTGTTTTGATCATTATAAAAATTTCATAATTACAAGAATTTCCGTTTGAAGTTGTTATGCTTTTTTTGGCAAAAAAGAAAATACGATGCAAGAACTGTAATTTTATATACTTCTCGAGACTTTTTTCGTACTCTATTTCGTGCAACAATCTGATGTTGGAGACAAAATGTGTCATCTCGCTTCATATTTCTCTGATTTATCGTCAGTGTCTTTTGCGTCAATTAGACAAAAAAAAAGAGTAGAAAAATGTTCAGCTTTTGAGGCGGAGAATAAAGAGACTTGGAGGCAGGATGGCAGATAATATGAGCAATAAAAATCACCAACTGTGCAAGCAATATTGTGGAATGTGCGCAGTTCGTCTCAACTTAATAGTAACCTTAAGATATACTTTAATAAACTAAATTCCGTTAGACTTTGTAATTTTATAATCTCCTGAGACACTCGCATTTCGATTGACTCGCGAAATGGCGAGTCTATAAAAATCCACGAATGTCAGGAATGAATTGTCAATGGATTTAGGGTCATTTTGATTCTCCTCAACGCTTGACCAAGCGCAATGTGATCCCAGGGAGGGGAATTCCATGTATTTCTGGTACAAGCATAAGGCACGGCGCGCGATTGCCTTCGAAGTAAGTGAAGGTTCATGATTTCGTGACCGAAATTTTTGTCTAATGCTAGATAATTACTTTTATAGTATTTTACATCAATTCTCATCAATCAATAATGGACAGGTTTTGAAATGTTGAAACTCTCCCTCACATACTTTTCGCTCTGCAATTAGCAATTTGAGTGCCATGGAAGAAAAATGCCTCATGCCACCCATTAATTCCACACCAAAAATTCACAATATTTAAATGGCGGCTGCTTTTAAAAGTATAATTTAGTCAATTGAACTTTTTGCCTCATTGTGTGCCCTCGCCGTAGGATTTGCTCAATACTTTCTCTCACGGCCTCACGGTTGAGCATCCACAGAGCGATAATTCAATTAGGAATTGAATTAATTACCTCACTTTCAACACATTAAATTGATTAACTGAAAGACATCCAGCCAATGTCCACCGATTTTTTCTCGATCCCAAACATATCGATGTCAAGTGGATGGCAAGATTAGTTGAGGAACTCGTTCTCAGCTTATCCGCTGAGCCGAAAGTTTTCCATCACTTGCAACTCTCCAGCCAACATGGAGTGTTTACCGAATAAGAACTCAACAGTGAGATACTCATGAATATTTTAAGATAAAAGTAACAGTATTGATGGCCCGCGAGGCAAAAGAAAATGTAAATCGATGAAAAAATTTACGGATTTTTGTACTCAGAATATTTTTTTGGGGGAATAAATTAGTTTTTAGAAGAGAATCATCATGTTTAAGCGCTAAATTCATGAGCCTAATTTTAAAGTCCTAAAATTACCAAACCTGTAAAAATTTTTCTATAAATATTGCAATACCCTAAAAATGATATGTATTCTCATTTTGATCAGATAATCTAGCATAGAGTCATTAGGAAGAGGAAAACCCGTTACGATTTGCATAAAATGAATGAAAAGCACTTTGAAATTCCATCTCGACTGTTTATGCTTTTTGCCAGTTCCAGTAAAGGTACGACAGAGAAACAATGGAGGTCTTTGGAGCACATTTTTCCGCCCGTTCACGCACAATATGCAGCAAAACATCAATCATCGATGTCAAAATCGCTGAGTGTTCGCGATGGAGATCAATTGGAGGAGGTGCGAACCCCATTTGGCCAAGAAGTCGAGGTGCTTTGGGGCATTATTTGCACGGGCCGTGAATTTTCACCCGAGCCACAATGAGCCAAAGCATGCAGATTTATTCGGCTAGAACGGTTTTTCATTTCATTGCCTCTTGATATGCTCTTTTTTGTATCTCTATTTTTTCGAAATGAAAATGGTAATAAGAAACCAAGCGAGCCCACGTGAGGCTCTCTCTTTGCCTAGTACATATGGTATAATTTTTCAATAAGTAGATTTTGTACTATTTCGGAAGTATCGGATATTGTATATCCAAACACTGTAATTTACTTTCTTTCGCCACGGCAAAAAGTCGGTACACTTCCTTATTTTCCAATGTGTTTCACCTCGGGAATATTGGGCGAAAAAGACAAACGTTTGTTTATTTTTTCACTCACTCGAGCTCTCTTGAGACTTCTCTATAAACCCCTACCATTTATTGTTGTTTATTGTAAGGCATTTCCACTTCACTGCATCTTGACTTGGAAGCTCACGTGCACAAATTTGAATGCAGCAAAAAACTTGGATGTTTAAAAGGTCTTTCGGTCTGCTTGGGGGAAATAGAGAGTGTCCAGATGTGAGTCCTCGGCCAATTCGCGAGAATATATGGGATAGATTGTGGAGGATTTCCACTGAAAAGTGCCAATATCTCAGGTGGGTGTGCAAAAAATCAATGCTGCGCCAAGCGAGAAATTATAATTGCAAATTTGATCCAAAAACCCAAATGTATTGTAAAGAGATTTCTTGTGATCTTGATCAGATCACAACAAACTTGGTGAGATCTGGATTTTTTGCCACCATCCCAGGCTCTCAATGAGCCAAGAATTTTCTCTATCTTCACTCACGAGATGAATTGTGGCTGCGCAATTAAGTGAGAATCCACGCGCCAAATTTGCCATGGATAGATTCAAGACGGGCTGGCTAACGGTTTGAGCAAGTAGAAAGACTTCTCGGGCAACTTTTCTAAATACAGAGTGTCTCACCTAAAGTGCTTCTCTATGAGATTTCTTCTCCCCAAAATACTTCTTCCAAATCGGATTAAAATTTACTTTTTATCAGGAATCAGAACCACAATAGCACAGATCTACTTTGTCATCCGAATTATCTTTCTGTTTTGTGTAATTTCCAAATGTTTTCTCAGAAAAAAACTCACGCATTTTTATTGAATCATTAATTTCTTGCCTGCATAATCGATAAATAGATTTTTTTATTCGATTCTGATGATGAAATTGAACAAAACACGGAAACCTTGCAACTTGAGCACTCTCAGTGAGACACCTTGTACTTAATATCTTGTATCAAGATCCGGAAATGTCGTGCCCGGAGTCATTTAGAACAGTTAGATTTAGTGGGCAGCTGCCGAAGGAAGAGCAACGGCTTCTAAGCTGAAATTCCAAGGAGGTCACCGGACTCACCTTCAGGTTCGACTGCATCTGCTGGAAAGTGACAATGCCATTCCTCACGCGGTTCTTCACGCCACGAATGGTGCCTTTGGAGCTGCGAATGGTGGACGTGCCGCTGTGAATGTCCCGGTAGCCGGCGAAGCTCTCGTCCGTGTCCACGATCTTCGGCTCACCCTGCGTCACCGGGTCCTGCACGTACTCGTTGATGTAGAACTTGTAGAAGCGGTCCGTGTCGTAGATCGGATCGAGGTCCTTCTCCTCCTCCAGCTCCTCCTGCATGGAGGCTATCGTGAAGTCCGCCTTGCCGTTCTCCTCCGAACGCTTGCGAATATCCTTGAGCAGCGAATCGGGCAGGAGCACTTTGGCCGCATCACTCTTGTCCACTATCACTTCGGCACAATTGAGGGAATCACAACTTAAACTCGATTCACTTTCTTCACTGTCCGTGACACTGCCGTTGCGCACGTGGCGTGACCCGTTCACGGGCTGCGGACTCTCGGGCGACTGCTGCACGGGCGATGTGGACCCGCTGCCGCCCGCCAGTGGGGTCTTGGACATCTTCTTGGGCAAGGGCGGCGGCGTGGCCTCCATGTCACTGCACGTGCCGCTGTCCAGCGTGTCCGGCGAGCACTGGCCGCTGCTCCTCATGCTGTTGGGGATGTAGTAGAGGTACGAGGACTGGCTCACGTCCAGCTCGCTCGCGGGCGTCTCGTGCTTCTGCACCATGTCCGTGACTTTGGGCTGCTGCGCGGGCTGGAAGGGTGCGTGGGAGTCCTTGGGCAACTTGCTGGGCACGCGATCAACGACAATTGGCACAATGGATACTCTCGTGGAGGACTTGACGGACGTCTGAGCTGCATCGACTCTCGGCGCCGATTGCTCGATGCGCGGGATTTGAATCTTCACGACGTGGCTCGTCTTCGGCGACTGGTGATGTTCCCCAGGTAGCGATGTCGCTGCTGTCGATGCGGTCAGTGCACCTGAGTAGACGCGTTGCGTGCGCTGGAGGAGCAATGATGGGGAGGGGATGTACACTGTTGCTCCTCCACTCTTCGCCGAAGACATGGAAGACGGTGTGACTTTTGCCCGCGAAGACTCCATCTCAAGACGCCTGTCGAGGAATGGAAGATGAGCAAAATTTCAGTGAAACATTTCAATCGCGTCATGCCTAACGGTCGGCGCGTCCAAACAAGGAACTGGGTCACTGCCTCCAGTAGCAAGCAGACACTTCTCGAATTCACGCTCAATCTATTGCTCCAAATCCGAAATCTCCCCAGATTATGGGCGATTTAGGGCCCGTCAGCCAATTTCTGTGATTGAGAGCGGCAATTTCCCAGGTAACACTTGCGCTCAGCATTTGGCGCAAACGTGCTTCTAACAATATATATTGCGGTCGGGCATGCGAGATGCTATCTTATCGCCAATGCGAGATTACTTTCGATAACATGACTGCTAATAAACAAATTAATCCTCTTAAGAAAGCTAATTACATTTAATACGTGCGATATTTGCCCATGTACTCTGCGTTTTGATTATTAGGGAAGAGCGGGGAACATCGAGGCAGAAATGGAAAGTTAAGTAGAATTTTTTTCGTGCAAAGGCTGCCGCTGTCTGAAAATGCCCCACTCTTCCCTATTACTGTAAACGATAATTGAGATTTTCAAAGCTAAGAACGCACTTTAAATGCTTTTATAGAAAATGAAATTCAATACTTTCTAGCTAATTTTCTAGCTAATTTTAAAAACATGTTTTAGCGCTATTTGAATAAATTCTTCTCTCATTCTGCCTTCCAGTAATTATATCTATTCTTTTCAATTTTTAGATACTGCGCGATTCAAACAATGGGGAGTTTTCAAATCAACAAATCTCCAGATATGTTTCTTATCATCCACTTCTATTAGTCAGACACAAACCTGACTTGTGAAATTTTTTTTTGTAGAAAATCATTCTGCTTTCATTTAACTCGTAGATCGTAAAATCACCCTAGAAACATCAGTCATCATTTAAATCAGTAAAAGTCTTGATATAAAAAATATTCGGTTCATTAACAGATAATTAATAAAATAATGCCCGAGCTGAATAATTATAATTAGGAGTTAATTTTATGAACTTGTGAGTAATCTCTCATTGTCAGCTATTTCCCACGATTGCATTAATTGGAATTTATGCAAAAAAAACATACCCATTCAATGAATATGTATGATGATAAATTATTACCATTCAACTCGTTCAGAAGCTCTGTGTCAAAAACTAAAGTAAATATTAATATGCGAGTGGAAAAGTGATCCAAATCTAATCACGAGCCTTTTCACGTACTGCAAATTCCATTAAAGAAAGCAAAAGCAATTTGTTTTGTGCAGAAAAAAAGGCTTGTTTTCGGTATTAAATGGTGCATTGAAGACTCAATATTGCTGAATTTGACTTAATGAAACTTTCAAATGGCGCCCGTGTTGCCGAAGCTGAGAACGTTTTGCGGCGAAGAAGTCACCAAGAAGAAGGTATCCCAGGTAACAAACACACTGAATGGAAAATATAAATGGTATACAGTGAGATCGAACGTGAGGGGAGAAACGATTGCTGGCTTCGGGATGATATTTGCAAACTCTCTTGTTCAATTCACTTGATCTCTCTGCTTGATGGCTTATCGGCGCCAAAGAATGTGGGTTTCATCACATAGCGCCTTCTCACTCTCACAGCTGCTCAACACACACCTGTATTAACTGAAGATCCACTGTGGAAAAGTTCCCTCACACCTCCATTCGAGAGTCTCTCGGGCTTCTTGGAACTCCCGCGGGAAGGCACTCTTCGTTCCAGATCAACTGCACTCAATTCCACGTGGAAATTCACACAGAAAACCCCACTGAACTCCCTTTGAAATCATCCATCCATCAGCGAACGCTCGCTGCGATGCGAATTTGCCAACACTGCACAATTCTCCGCGAAAATCTCTGTGTATAGTCAACTAATTGGCTGGGATTATAAGCGAAAACAGGCGCACCGCAATCACCTTCCTGTTCAGCAGGAGAGCAAATCACAGATATTTAACTGAACGACGATATAGTAATGATTCTGTGCAATTTTATAACGGTGCGAGCACATCGATGGCGGAGTCGCGATACGAGCCAACTGATTCTCGAGACTAAACTCAAGAGTCAGACACAAAATCGAACGAACCAACTGTCCGGATTCACACGGTGAAACATTGCGCGCGCGGGAATCGAGTGCAAAAGCGCGATTTGTGCCCCCAACACTCGACACGATAAGCCACGATTTTTTATTCCACCTGATACTCAAGTGCCATTTGTCCCTAGGAGTGGGAAAAGGCGCGGAACTGCACTGTGAATATCAAGCGAACTCTCCAATGCTAATTACAACTGACCACTTCCACGGCACATCACGTAAAATGCATATATGTACCCTATATGACGGATTTATGAGGGTTTTTCGCGAGGAGTTTCACCGAGAAATGCAAGAAATGCAGCTGATTAATTTGTCTCTGCACTGGCAAATGTGGCACTTTTTTTTACAGCACTGACCTCACGTGTGATTTATTCCCTCCACGGACAGGTGATCTCTGTGGCACTGTGAAAAAAGTGAAATATGAGTTAGAGAACAGCAAAGAAAATTTACACAAGTGGGAGAGTCTCTCCCAGTGAGTCTATTGGTCGCGGCAAAGCAGCAGAATCCGCAAAAAGTGGGATATTTTGCTGAGAATCCCATTTGTATTAAAATAATAAAAAAGAACATCTTCAACTTGTGATATCTCAGCTTTAATCTCTCGCGTAATAAAATGCCTTTTTTGGGAGATTTGGGAGTGACTTCGAATTGCCAAATGGATTGTTTATTCACTGTGCTCAAAATTTACCAACGGAATTTTTCCACATCACTCAATAAACTTAAGAACTCAATAAAATTCAAGCAAGAGGACAAGAAATTCGCAAGTTCTTGCTCAATGTGACAAAGAAAATCCTATATCCTAACACTTCTTTGTTTTGCTAATTGAATTAACAAATATTCAGCGCATAAATACGAAAAAAAGTGTTACCCAAAACCCCATTAGATCATTGGAGCAATTTTTATGCAGTCTCTGACAATCAATTTCGATTTTAACATTTTAATTAAATCCCCTTTCACTCAAAGTTCGCTATAAGTCAAACATGTGCTGTAAACGACCGCGGACAAAAAAAGCCTCTTTACATAAGGAGTTTCTCGCGGCCGAAGTCGGAATTCGCCTGAGACACTGGGCGATTTTATTGTTCCTCAGCAGTTCTGCTAAATGATGTTGATTTTTTCTCAACATTGGCAGACCTCTTCGCCACACTTGAAATCTCCTGAGGTTTCACCCAGCGCGAGAGCCAAGAATTCTCGAGACTCGGACCGCGGGCAGTCATTCCTTTAGCGGATTGTGGTGGATTGACTGGCGTTGTTGGTATTTTTTGCGTAATTCTCCAGAGAATTGCAGTATTTTTCCTCGCGGACGCCATTTACAAAGAAAATAGTTGAGAAGAAATTGAATGTTTGTCCGGAGACATGAGCTTTTGGCGCTCATTCAATGCAGAGCAAAAGGGTGAAATTAAAAGGCAATTTCACGGATGGTCAACACCATCGGCACTTTCCAAAGGCCCCAAAGTCTTCGGTCAGCAGCGCTGAATTCACTCTCAGGTGCGATTTATTGAAAATTCGCGCTGAGTAATCAATTTATTCACTTTTAGGCGATTTGTGTCTCTAATGTCTCTCCACCTCTTTGGCCAGCAAGGGGGAAAAAAAGCCACGCGAGAAAGTTATGTGTACAATTGCACATACTCTCCCCATCCGTTACATCTCAATAATGCCAAAGACAAACAAAATAAATGAGATGGCACTCGAACTTTGGGAGTGAATCACAAATCCGTGAATGGCAACTCTTTGTGACGAGGAACAAATTGTCGGGTTTCGTCACCTCTCGGCCCCCGCCAAATCTGGCCCACTTGGGCGGGCGTGGAAGGCATGCAGAGAAAGGTGTTAATTGACAAGAGAATTGGAGTCATTTCTGCGCGTCCTCGTCCACATAATGGCCACTGTACATTCTCGCGCATTCACGTCACAATCTCAATGATAACGCACGGATCAGAGGCCTTATCACGAACACCTTTTTGTTGTCTCCTAATGCAACATCGATTTGCGGAAAATTTATTGCCGCGACACCTGATAATCCACACCATTTGGCAAGGTTGATCGCGAATATGTGAAATGGGGCTCATTTTCCCGGAAAGTCTACTCAATTTATAATTGATTGTTCTCAGGTTGAATAGGAAATTAATTGCAATCAAGCATTAATGACGAGCACAAAGAAGCCAATATGTATTACATAGAATGATTGTGACTGAGTTGGGTTATAATTTTGGGTTATAAACAAAAATGGTTCCCAGAAATCTTAACTCACCTGCAGATTAAGCGCTTATCAAAGTCCTTCGGAATTTCACTTGTTCTCATTTCGCCCACATCAACTTTTCTTCGCAAACTTTCTGGATAAATTCACCTTGTCTGCGCGGAACACGTCACCAGTCGTTATCTCTAATCAGTCACTCGTGATGATTCCCGTGCGGAGATGAGAAAGGCACCACCTGAACTAACCACCGTGACGGTCGAGCTGTGGTGATGCAAAGCATCTGCGCGTCCTTGAGTGCTGCAACAGACTCCGCGGTTGGGGGCAAGAGATCACGAAGCGAGCCAACAAGTTGGCGCGCGGTGTCATCAGTTTCGCAACAAATCCCGAGATGAGACTTCTTCGGGCTGGGACCAGTTTTCTCGCATTCCTTCTGCCTCATTCGCGCCGCGGAGCCGAAATCGACTGTCATGATCATTTTTCACTCGCTCTTTTTCGGATGGTATTTCATTCTCGGCAGAGGGAAAAAGCACAGCCCAACATTATTCTGAGACATGAAATGGCAATTTGAGAGTGAAACATCTAATAGAGAGTTTATAAACGCGATAATTTTCTTCTATCCCAGACTGAGAATGAGACAATGATGAATTAAGAATTTATATTGTACCTACTTGATGAAGAATCCGAGCGTTTTATTGTTCGTAAATGCTTATTTAGCTTCTTGAGGCGACCCAGGAATTTTTTCCAAAATCTGTGACTCATGCATTTTTAATCTTTCAGATAGTAATAATCCTCCACAACGGCGATTCAACTATGATTTGTTATCTGTATTCTAATGAATAAAAATTTTAGGAATGCAAAGAACTGAATTTTACGATAAGAATTTAATTCCCTGCAAAACTTCCCCGACGTGACGACGTTCGCTTAATCAATGAAGGTTTCACAACCGTTTCCAATCAGTACAAGTCCAGCTGCTGCAAATATTCTCTACATTCCAAGTTAATAACATTAATCCTGATAATGCAGAAAGGTGGTTTTTTCGAGTTCAGCTGTGGCATCATCATAAACCGTTACAGCAGGCATTCTACCTACAAAGGTGAAAGCTCTCGCGATACGGCAAAGCTCGCAGTGCGAAGATAACGCCATGGAGTATGCAGAAGTTGGAAGTAAAACTGAATTCTATGCTTAAAAAGATTTTTTCATATATATTTCTCTTCCGAACGCCTTCTACAACATCATAACAAAACTAAACTTATCAATTGGAATGCAATCTTACATCTAATGGTCAATTTATTGAGTCTTTTGGCACTTTTCATGGCTTTCATCAATATTATGTAGTAATATTAATAAGGAGGGCACCTTTCGGATCACTTTTGTCAATTAGAAATCTCGCTATTTTGATCCCACTACGTTCAGATAATAATCTCCAAATACTATATCTCAAATCTGCACATTTGATCCACTCCACGGAGGATGTGACTGTATAAGGTGATCATTTAAAGCTAATTGGACACTTTGGTATTGAGTCTAATTAGTCAGTGATTTATAGAAGTTCAGATTCAATTGTAGGATCCCTTCTCGCTGGTCCTGTTGGCGTGAGATCTCGCTTGAGACTTGATCTCGGCTGATTTGATGCCATTCGTGAAGATCAGCGGACTGTCCGCCTCATCTGGTCCAGGAGCGCTCTTCTCCTTCTCCACATCCCTCTGTCGCTCACTCGATCGCTCCGATCGACAGATGAGCTTCAGCAGTGGGAACCAGAGGATCAGCAGGATCCCAAAGATGATCACAACGCCCGCGCAGATGTATCCGATGGTTGGCAAACAGAGCACCTGGCGCAGATCTGCGGCCAACTCTGGACTGACTGTTACCTTCTGTTGGAACCACAGGACGGGGAAGAACACGGTGGGAACGTCTTGATACAGAGCGATGTTTGAACTTGGACGAATCAGGAGATTGAGCTGGAATCTGGCAGCAACTTCCAATGGGATTCCCATGGTCTATGAGAGAGAGAAAATGTGTTTAGAACAAAATCTCGCCAATTTCACGTCTTCGACTTACAGGTTCAATGGTGAGGAAGAACTCGTGCTTCTCCTTGGACGGATTGATGCCCTCAACTTGATCGAGGTAGAACGGATCAGCGCCGTAGAAGTGAGGAAATGAGACGAATACTGGACTTCCGTAGCGGCAGGAGGAGATGTTCAGGACGCCCGATGGCATGCATTCGCCCGCGCAGAAGCACTCATTCTCAGGAAACAGAGTTCCATTGTCAATGGTTCGAGCGCCTCCGCTGTACTTGTAGCCCAAAACTCCCTCGACTTCGTATTCGGTCTCAAAGTCGAAGGGCAGAGTTCGGCACATGTCAGGCGAGAAGAATGAGACCTGATCCTTCTGCAGATGCGGTGGGTAGAATTCGCCAGCGGAGCCATTGATCATGCCACAATTGCCTTCAAAGAATCTTGTCCTGCTGCCATAGTTCCAGTTCCCAATTGTACCTATCTTGGAGATGTCATCGGCTCCCGTGAACATATTGTAGCGCCCCATGAGACTTGCAGAATTGTTGCGCATGTAGAAGTACCCGGCACGATCGAAAGGTACAACGATGTCTGAGGAGAAAGCCGACATTTCCTTGGCCATCTCGATGAGATCGTCTTCATAGCCATCGAACAGGAGCTCTCGTGCGGTCTTCGTGACGTGAACCTCCTCGTTGTAGAGACTCAAGCCGAGGGACACCTTCTTCTGCTCAACATAATTCTTCCAGCGAACAGTTTCCGCGGCGGACTGGAAAAGTACACAAGAAAGACTTGCAAATCCTCTCTCTAATTAAGTGTTAAGTGTCTAAAGACAGTAATTACCAGAGCCACAATGTTTACAGTGGTGATAATATCATCGAGAGATCCTCTACTTCTCTCAGCATCGAAGTGGAAAAGACTGAGTTTCCCGAAGCTGATTGTTGAATTTTCCGGATGCCACACGATATCCACTTTGTCGGGCTTCTCTCGAAAGACATACGGTCCGAGTTCCTCCACAATCGGCTTCACGGACGCATTGCCAAAGTCCTCGTAGTTTGTCCAATTGAACAGGTAGATTTCTATACTCATGTCTAATGGAGGAGACTTCCACGTATCGAAAGTTCGAGTATTTGGTGCTAATTTCAATTCCTACAACGAACACCAGTTTAAGAAATCATCCCAGATGTCTGAAATGCTAGTCAACTCACATTAGTAATTTGTGTGTCTAGAAAGTCCAGCCAAAACACGGCGAAGAGTGTGCCAAAACCGGCCAAAATCAACCCTATCGTGCCAAGGCAGCATTGCTTGCTGAACAGGTCCGTCATCTGCATGATCTGCAATGAGAAATCCTCGTTAACGAGTCCCTTGTGCAGCGCAACTCATTCACTTGACATGGATGAAAGATGAGATATTTCGTTCTGTACTTTCTATCTGTGCATAGCCAATGCCTGAGGTCAGTCTGGGCACGAGTCTTATCGTTTGTCTTGCCACCCAATCAGTGAGAAATCGAACTCAGCATTTTCCTTCAAATGTCACCAGGCAACTGATAGTGCAGGAAATGATGTTCGCCGGAGAGATTTCCCTTTGGAATATGGCACAGCATCACAGTGCATGTGCACTTGAATGATTTATCAACTAATTCATAATAATGTCTTCTTTTGCCAGCATAGAATTGTACATAATTGACTTTACTCGTTCAGACAGTTATTGTGGAATATTTATTGGATTTTCTGTAATTTCCTACATATGCCAGAAAAATACTTTATTGCAATTTTATTTTTTCCTAATTACTTTTAAATAACCCCTTGAACTTCTTGGTTATTCAGTATGCAATTCTTTCCATAAATGCTGCAGAAGTATTTTTCTTGGAATAGTTTGAATATATTTTTAATCTTCAGTAAAAGATTAGGAATTATATATGGGAATTCCAATTGAAATTGCGCATTGATTACGAGATAGTCTAACTATGAATTAAAGTCATTGTCATGATTTCTTAAATAGTTGCACTGAGACAAAACACAACAGAAGCACACACTTTTGCGATTATCCATTTATGCAAATATGTCAGAAAAGCTATAAGCTTATTACATTCTCGCAACTCAATTAAATAGCGTGATCTTGACAGAAATCATTAATAATCATCACACGTTAAATGCTTTATTGATTGCTGTGACAATAATTGATCATGAGCTGGCAGAAAAGTTTCAGCTTCAAATTTGGCCAAATCTGTAATGCCATTGACTCATATATTTTCGCCATGCGTAAATATTTGATAACAGTTTCATAATGAGAATCCGAATTGACTATGCAAATTTTACAACGTATTTTTCTGCTCTTGAACTTTATAGTGCGTCCTCAATATTGCGGAATTTATGCATATGAATACAAAGAAATGCATATGTTTTTCGAGTTCATTTTCCAGTGTCTGCAAGAGAAGAGGATCTCTGAATGATAAAAATGGGCTTTTCATTTGATATTCTCTCCTTTAAATTGAACAATTCATAAAGAGTCTCGACACGAAGAGATTGCTCTCTATGGCGCGTACTGCTAGTTGATTTTCTGTCCTTGGCGTAATGAGCCAATTGAAGTGACTACCTTCTTCAATTGCCCACGCCTGAACTGCAAGAGAGTTCAACAGAAGCGCACAGATGCAATTTGCACATCAGTCTTCGTCTCTGCGCTCATCTGTGTCTAGTGTCGGGTCAGCGGTGCAAATTTTTAATCAATCATGTAAATTCAATTTGATTGTGATAATTAGACTAAAGACCCGTGAAGATGGTCTCTGATTGATGGACTTTGACTGGAAGCACACATCTTGTCAGTCACTCCTCGATCTCGACTCCCAGTCTAATTGAATTCGGTTTCCCGCGAGATCGTCTGAGGAACGACGCGGCATCGCGTGGAATTGTCAATTAATTGACCTTTTGCGCGCTGGCGGACAAGCCACAGAGGCACGAATTATATGCAAAGCATATCTGCCGATGATTATAAGGAGGATCTGCCCAATGAGCGCGTAATCAAGTGGAACACGAGAGAACTATTTCCTAATTGCGGCAGACGATCGAGAGCAATGAGGCCATGTTCCCAATTTGCACATGCAAAGATTGTCTCAATCTTCCAGAGAGTCGCCAGCTTCTGACTCACTGTTGCCGATACAAGTCCAAGCTGAGAGGCATTTTATTGCCCAACCAGATAAGCACTATCAGTCCCATGGGAGTATTTGAGTTTACCCAGGGTTAAAGTGTTGGAGCACGAAAGCGGAGTCACGAAAACCTTTCAATTTATCACAATTTTGAGACGTTTTGCAAATTCAATTGATCAATTGAATTTGTCACACGATCGTCACATCATCTGGGAAATACGGCCCTAATCAGTGAGATGATAGAGAGCTGAATGTTGTGTTATTTGACTTTGAAACAGATAAATGTAACATAAACCATCGCACAAAACATTTGGAATATTTTGCAACAAGCCAAAATTTCAGTGCCAAATCTAGATCGAATAAAGGTTCAAAAAGCGCTTCAATTTCCGTAAATGTTCTCAAATCCGCATCATTTTTCCCACAACAAACTAATGAACATTTCTTATCAGATAAAACCACTATAGTTTTATCTCTCTGTGCATTTTTCTTAATCCATCTTGATAGTTTTCCACCTCTTCAGCTCTGATTTGGAATTAAGGGTATTTTCCAGATTGATTATGTTCACACTCGTCATCGGAAAGCCTCGCCAAGAGGGATTATGTTCGCGGTGAATTTTTCCTATGGCTATCGGAAAAATTGCTATCTGTGTGTGAGCAATGCTTAATTGATAAGGCGAAGACACAAATTTTGGCGAAAGATCACACTCCTTATCAGCGTGTAATCGCTATTTAAACAATCTACTCGACATTTCTTCATTTCTCCCAGAGCGAACAGATGGGACGAAATTCAGCCAAATCATCCGGGCTCAATATTTTATCAATTAAGCGCTATTTGCCGCTCTACTTCATGGTGTGCGTTCTCAGACTCTATAATATGTAAATTCACAAGGAAGGAGATTTGTCGTCCCACGTGCGAGGTGTTATGCTGAAGGAATGTCTAAATGTGCTATCTTTTCGCGATATTTTGCGAATATAACATTACACATGGCGAAGGCAAGGCGACAAGTTGTTTTGTCTGATCAGGCGCGTTCTTATTTACAAGGAGTGAGTATGTAAATAGATTGAATTGGTGGTTGAGAGAGAGAGCAGAAATCTCTCGCTATACTTACAATTTCAGTTTCATTCACACTTGCCACTCAAATCAACCAATTCACTTGGCTATTAATTCGTTAATTTTTTAACTGTCTCACCCACAAAAGACTTGAGTGAAGAAAATTGTTCACAATTGCTAATAATTTGGTCTATTGAAACTTCTGCACATCTTCCCGCGCACACAATTTCGCCGCCACGGATTGGATGATCTCTTGTTTTGGCCAGCAATTTGAATATTTTCAATGTCACGCACTCAACACACGAATTCTGGCTGTGCAAAATTCTCGCAGGCACTTTTGGCGGTGCAGGACTTTGATGAGGGGCGCAACTCTTTGTTCCACCACTTCTTTGTCCCCTTCAGGCTGTGGCTGAGTCTCGAGGAGCTGCGATTCTCTTTGTCTGTCCAAAGGAGCGACTCAAACTCAACTGATGGGAGTTGAGGAACTGATGCGATTACCAAGCCAGCAACCGAGAGTCTCTCGTATTTCTATAGCAAAACTCACACACATTTCTTCGCCTGATAATGTCACACTTGGCATTTTCCTCATTCTCAATGCTCGCATGTGTGCGAAACGCACCACAGTTTGTCACGAAGAATCATTCATTCGCATTATCATACTATTTAGGAAGACGATGTAAAGTGAATCCTTTCTATAATCAATTATTTCATTCGCTTCATTTTGTTCTTGATGTCCAATAAATTATGCGTAGTCAGAGTGTTTGTCATGATTGTATTGCAGTCATTGCAGTTGAGAGCAAATAGAGTTGCAAAGATAATAAATTTTATAGAGATTTCGTAACTTCTCAGTAAACAAGAACAACAAACAAATAGACTGAAAATAGTTCCCATTTATTTCATATTATCTTATGCGTTTATGGGACTTTTGAGTCACTTGAGAATCCAGACGCAAACTAGACTTAAGTTTGATTCTAAGCGCTGTAAACACTTTTTTCTGAGTACACTGAACTCAATTTGAATTTCGGTGGACTTGAATATGATTTTTCTAATTAATCTCACACTCTTTCCCGACGCAATAAAGAAAATTGGAGATTTCTCTATCGCCTCTCGCAGTTCAAGGGGTCATTTCAGTTTATTTTGAAGGAAATACACATTTCTTTTTCTCATCTTTTTTCTTTCAATTCTACACACGAATGCAAAAGGCCATAAATTACCCCTCCCTCCACACCTCCCCAAAATACATCACACAGACTTCACGGCTCTTATCTACCGTCAACTTGACTTACAAATTACTCTAACAACAAACAAGAAAGCCTCATTGGCACAGTTGTCCTGTTTTACAGTACAGAATTTGAGCTCCGCTGTTGTGCGAATTTTTACGGTTTATTTTTAACTCGGACTCCCAATTAAACAATTCCGCAAAGAACAAGTGAATTGGATAAGCGAATGTCTGTTGGAAAGTGATTCGCTTATCATCTCTTGATTACTATAAAGCGCGCAGGTGTTTTGTGGTCTCTTGAGAATGATAAGAATTTTATATCTTGAAGAGCTGGCCAGAGTGTGTGAACAGTTTACGTGTTGTTGAATTCTCCCATTGAGTAACACCATTAATTCAAGATTTGCTCATGAGATTAAACAATTTGTCTAGGCGTTTGCAAAATTCTTAATAGAGATAAGAAAGATTGCTGAGCATGAAACGCGGAAGGTGGTTGATTCTTACGATTAATCGCCTAAATGTAGGCAAAACTCTGCTTTCTTGCACTTTTCCAGCAGTCTTTCCAGTGGAAGAGAAAGCCAAATAAATCATAATTTCTTCACGGTTTATATGATTTTCATGCCAAAAATTCACCAATTATCAGAATTGATTGTATTTCAATACTAATTAACATAATTCCCAATTAAGCTGGAAATACATTTAGGTGACATAGAGATTAGGCGAAGATCAAGGAGAACAGAAAACAGACACATACGATCCAAATTGTAGCGACGCGATTACAATAGCCGCGATGGCCTGGCGACGATGTTGATCTGCAATGGAACATTTTCTACCACTGTCATTCGTGATAAAGAAAATGTTGAGAAGGGAAAAGGAGATGTAAATGTATGAAATATGACGAGGAGGAATGTTTACTTGAGCAGTTTTCGTAGTTAAATGGATGAAGCGGATTTCGCGGTTCTGGGGCAGCAGATTGACAAGAGTCAGGTGAGTCCGCAAGTGTGAATTCCGCCCTCCAAAGTCCACCCCAGAGAGACACCCATTTTCTTGCGACACTCTCTCATGTTGTTCCCCCCAAATTAGGTGCCTCCAATCCATCAGAAACGTATCCTCGCATTCGTGAATCACTTTGTTGTTAGCACGGTGACATTTTTGAATAAATTTGTGATAAAATGTGAGTCAAAGTTCATCGAATTCGAGAACAAGCTGCAGCGAGTTGAGGCCTCCCTCGAGATTGTCGAGAGCAAAGTGAGTAGTTTCCGCTGAAATCTCCCGTTCTAGTCACTCTAAATGCCAATCTCTTAATTGTCTGTAAAGTTAGCATCCATTCCGGGAGCACAAGAGGCAGGACGTGTGGTGGTTCAAAGGGAAAATGAGGCGAAAGCTCCAGAAAAGGTCCCGGAAGAGGAGGTGAAGGTTGATCTCACTGAGTCTCCGCAAACAGCTGAGAGTGAGCCAGAGAAGGCTGATGATGGTGTGAAGGCTTGTGAGGATGTCAGATACAGGAAATACTTCAAGATGGTGCAATTCGGAGTGCCTCCACCAGCCGTGAAGCAGAAAATGGGAGCTGAAGGACTCAATCCGGATATTCTCGAGTAATTCATGACTATTTACAATCACTTCCCAATGAAGTTCTCTAACACATTTTGCATTCTCTACAGCGAGCCGAGCAAAATCCTTCCGGATGGCATTCAATACCACGAGCCCGTGGAATCCGATGATGACTGACCCACTGAAGCCTTGTTCTGTAGCCTCCAGAGTCAAATAAAGTCACAGATGCTGGGAAATGGACAAATGCGGCTTTTATTTCACTTCTTTGCGCCGTCACAGACCTGGTCCACTTTAGAACTGAATCATCTGTCCCTTCCTCTTCTTGTCGCCGCCCAACTCGAAGTGCTTGCAACGCTTCAGAGGTGTTTGCTTCCGGAACTTGCACTCACTGCACTCCATTCGCAGCACAATCTTCTTGGTTGTCTTAGCCTGTAAACAGAGAAGAGATCGCATGAAAATAATGTATCACAGAAGCCTTTCCAGACGAGTAACTTGCCTTCTTCCTGAAGATGGGCTTCGTCTGACCACCAAAACCCTGTTGCTTCCTATCGTAACGACGTCTGCCCTGGGAAGCTCTCCTCTCCTTGGACTTCTTGTACTGTGTCACCTTGTGCAATTTGTGGCACTTGCACTTTTTGCAGAAGGTGCGCCTCTGTTTGGGAACGTTCACCTGGAAGACAAGCACAAATTTAGCGGCCTCATAACCTCTCCACGACTCGAAGCACTCTAACAAGCCATATCTCGAGATAATCGAGAATATTTTGATATGAACAGGAAGAGAATTTTGTGTAGCATCATTTCACAGGGGAAAACTGGGAGTATTTACCATTTTTCCTCGAGTTTTTCACCGACAAACTCCAGTGAGATCCACGTTTCCTCACAAGTTTTGATGTAAAAGACTGCAAAGATGGCCGCCGGAAGACACGATGACAGTGGTGGAAAGAGCCGTGGTGAGTGCCATTGGTGGTGGATTTGTTGTGGATGGTGGGGAAATCTCAAATTATAGTCTCGAAACCCTCTTATTGAACTCATAAGATTTTACTGAGACCCTCTGGAGGCCCGCAAATAATTCCAAAAAATTCTCCAGAGCCCCCGCTATGCAAGTGGGTATCAGAAATATAGGAAAAATGCACATGCGAGCGGTGAAAAATCATAAAAGCCGGCGGCGGTGTCGAAGGGGAGTTTTTCGCTGGGTACGCCATCTTTGGTTTCTGTGGAAGGTGCTCAGTCGTGTTTCAGCATTCGACCAGATCACTTGGGTGGAAAAAAAGCAGCAGTCGCTGAATTTTTGCTCTTTTCTCAAAGTATTAATTTAATTACTCTCCTCCTTTGACTTGGATCATACCAAAAGACAGCGTGTCCACGTTGAGAGTACCACACTTAACAAAGTATCTTAAAGTTACAAATTGTAAAACAACCTCCTTACACTACAAACATGAGTTCGACGGAGAATAATAGCGAAGTCGCGGTGGAAAATGTGACGACAAATGAAAAAGCCGCCGAAGCAAAGGAGCTCAAAGGCACAAAAAGGCCGGCAGAAGTGAGTTTATACTTGATAATTCTGTAGTTCTGTACTTATTTTTGTACTTTCCAAGAAATCTTCACATCGGTAGATTTTGCTTATTCTTGGTTTTTTTTTGCCCACTTCGGGAGCGTTCTTGCCGCTGGGATACTCGAAAGCGTGGAAAATTCGGGTTTTCCGTCGTGTGTGTGAAAAATGTGATTTCCCGAGTAGGCCATGACTTTCCCCCTCGTGTGAAAAGTGTAGTTGCAACGATTGTCCCCATTTTCTGCACTTCAGCGCTTGGCTTTCCCACTGAAAAGCCACGGAAATGGATTATCGACGCACGAGTGTGCCTTTTGGGGCCTTTTCCCGTGAAGCCGGCCGGTTTTTGTGTGAAATTCGAGGTGAGCGTCGCCTCTGAAAATGCTCAGCGTCCCCTTTCGTGCTTCACGCGCGTTGTTTCACTGGCGTTTCTCGAGGTATTTCCCTGCACGGAGCGCTGTGAAAGTGCAAAATGGACCATTTTCCAGGATGTTTGCCACCTAATCCCAACGACCTTGGTGGAAAGTAGCCACTTTTTGCCCACTTAGTTGTGTGTAGTGTGTAATGATAAATTTTTCAATGGAAGAAAAGAAACATGGCGGCCGCGCGCGTTTCTTCGAGTCTCGCCTTCAGAATGTGGCATGTGCTCGTGGGCTTGCGAGTGCATTGGCGCTTTTCACAGCCTGCCGCTGGGTTTTTCCTCCACTTGAGGTTGGCGGCGACGGCGGAGGGAAAGGAAAATCCCAGCCCATAGAAAATGGTGGCGCTCTTGTGAGGAATTAGGACAATTTTGTGTTCCAATTTAACGGCTAGAGGAGAGCGAGTGGGAGCGAAAGGGAGAGGGCAGCGTGTGCGAGAGGAATGGAGACATGGGTCGCGATTGAGTGTATTTATTGTTGTATGGTTAGTTGAATGGACTCACCAGAGGGGGGACTTGGAGAGGGGAAGAGAGAAAAAATAGCATGTTTTTCCTCTCATTTTGGCTTGGCGTCGTTTTCTCGATCAGCACACACACTCGCAACACAGCTCCAGAAGCGCCCTGGTTCTCGAGTGAAAAGTGCATTTTCCCAATGTCTGAGAGACAAACTCCTTGATAAGGAATCACCAGGCGCAGTGAGACCTTATCTGTAACGGCGCGAAAAATATATTTTGTAATTTTTAAGGCCTTTGTTTCTCACAAAAGTACATAAGATGTTTATTTTATGATGTCTTTCTCTCTCTCTCCCTGGCTTAAATAGCGCTGTTTTTTTTTGTCCTGTCGGTTTTCATACATTGTTTAGCACACATTGTGTGTTTTCACTGACATGAGAAGTGCGGGCGGCGAGAGGCTGTCATATAAGAGAGAGATTGTCGATATATTTGTTGGGAAATTGGCGCGTGAAAAGCGTGACTGGTGTCTATATTCCCTTATTCTCGGCTCGCACTCGCAACAATTAAGTAAATATACTACACTCAGGGTACTTTGGGTGTAAATCGCTGATTGGTCATATGTTGCGTGTAAATACTGTAATAGATTCCCTACACTTCCTACTCCCGTGGATTTTCTCCTGCTTTCGTCGCTCGCCACCAATAGTGGTGCGAAGTGTGGAGAGGTTATGATCAAAGCTACGATGGCTTCTCTTCATTGTGATGATGATGATATTCCCCCCAGAAAAAGCCATTGGAGTGATGATCTAAGTGGAAAATATAAGGAAAACTCTCTCTCTTGAGAACGGACTATCTCACACTTTGTGAGTGGGTTCAGTGCGAAAAGAGGATGGAAAGAAAATCAAAAGCACCTCTCATCCATTTCTCTCTCCCCCGAGTCATCGAGTGTGAGCGCGCTAGATTGAGAGAGAGAAGACTAGAGAGAAGCCGGCAGAAGGTCAGAGGAAAGATGTGTGCCTGATAAAAAGGTGCTTTTATAGGGGAGAGAAGGCATCAGACAGGCTTCTGGCTCAGAGATATTGCGGAAAAGTGATTTAGGGGGGAAAACTGTCTCCCACACGCTATTAAACCTCATCTTTCTCCCAGAGACGCAAGTGTGTGTGTCGGTGTGTGTGTGGCTTCACATTTTTCCGCTCTCCACTTCTTTCATTCTCTGCAATCTAAACAACTTCTTTGGTATGTGATTCTCTTCTCCCGTACTAAAGCTAGATTGGTGTAAGTGCGTCTCTGGTGGGGTATTTAGAACTATGAGTGTTGCGGCGTCACCGCCGCTAAACATCCGCCTATCTCACTCCATCTCGCATGCTTTTGCGGCTATGAGGCTATTGAGAAGTGCATCACGTGTCTCTCGGTGTCTACGAACCATTCACCACATCCCATTTGCCCTGAGAGAGAGAGAAAGAGAAGGCGTGAGAGTCGTTTCGGCTTCACTGCGGCACATTTTCCCTTTTCAAAAGGCCCCCGCGCGCGATCATGTAATCATAATGTGTGCGAAGTGGAGTAGAAAAAGGATGGATATTGCGCGCTTTTGGAAAGTACGCCTAATCTGGGTGATTTAGGTGATAAAGTGGGTCTCTCTAGGAGTGGGAGAGCGAGAAGAGCGTAGCAACACTGAGAATTTAGGTGGCTTCCTCCCCTCTCTGGCGGCTTCACACACACACACAAACACACGCGGAGAGTTCTTGATGAGGTCGCGCCGGGCTTTGAGGTGAGAAAGAGAAGTGTGTGTCTCGTGGTCTAGGGCGAATTGGGAAGGATGGAAGTCCCGCCCAGAATCCTAGCGGCGCACAAACACACGCCGAGTGTGTCACTTTTATTTTTCGAACAAGAAAATGTTGAAAGAATTTTATGGTTGAGGGGGAAAAGTACAGTGAGTACGGTTGTAACGTGTGTTATGAGGAGAGATGGTATTGCTTTTTTTTTAATGTTGCGCTTCGCGGGTGTTCATGATGTGGAAGGCGGAAATGATGAGGGTGCAATTTTATGGGGAGTTCCGTCAGTTTTTTTTCCTTCACTATCTCTTCACTTTATATTGATTTTGAACGAGGAGTCTACAAATGGGAGAAAAGGAGGAAATTTCCCGAAAGCTGGAAAGAGGAGGCGAGCTCGCTCTTTTTGGGTGATTTATATAGAATGTGGAGTCATAAGCGCCGCTCTACAGAAGCCATTATGTTTCGCCAATGTGTGTGAGAAAAACAAGTATATTTAGAGTAAAGAAGATTTAGGATGGGATTGTTGGACAACCGCCGCTGCGGGGCGAGAGACGCGACGATGGGGTGGTGGGGGTCATGAGATAGAAAGCTGTTTCATCACTCAAATGATACGGGCATGGGAGATTGCAAGAGGGAGATGGAGATTCGGCTCTAAAGCTCCTCATTCCTACCTAAACGCGCCGCGCTCTTCTGTGTTTTGTGTAGTTGTGGAGCAGTGGCGTAACGAGGGAAGTTGCCGGCATGCGCAATTCATAAATTTTACACGACATGACGCTGCCTTTTCTACTTACTACGCGTCCAATTTTCGTTTATTTTTTCCCATCTCTTTTGTGGGACTCCTTCGTTATTTGCTGCGTGTGTGTATGGCTTCCAAAACTGAACAAGAAGAAGAGTGATGATGATGGGAGATTGTGTGTGCGAGAGAGTGCGGCTTGTGGCCACAAACACGCGCACGCACACACATGCGATGGGTGTGAAAATACGTTAGCGGAAAAACGTTAGAGAGAGAGAAGAGAAGAAGAAGAACGCCTGACGCCAAGACTCAAATCTGGCGTTGCTTCATTGGGAGATGGGCTTATGCGCGTTCTCTGAATGGAAATTTTCGTAGACTTTCTACATGGTTGCTCTGCCCCGAGAGTTTCCCTCCAACTCTGCTCTGGCTGTGCGTTGGTTTGTGCGTTTGGACGAATGGGAGAGTTCAGGTGGTGATGGCTTGTGTATTGCTGCCAACTGTTGGCGTGTTCTCGACTTCTTGCACGGCGGCCACGCGTCGTTATCTCTCTCTGAATGCCGAAGAAAATGAAAGCTTATTGAATTTTCTTAACTTTAAGAGGCACGTTGTGGCTAATATTCAGCCACCATATCAAATATTTCGGGTGGAAACAGCACGAATGTGTGGTAACACACATCCGAGAGCCACTTCAGAAGAGTCTCCAGAGGCGGATTATTCACTTTACTAACTATAGCGCATTTTTCTCCTTGTGTGTCTTTTCAGGAAAAACCTGTAGAAGCGAAAAAGTCGAAAAAGGAGGAGAACGGCGGCGGGGATGACGAGGAGGAGGTCGAGGATGAGGGCGAGGAGGTGGAAGCTGAGGATGAGGAGTACGACCTTCCCTATGGCGAAGAGGATGTAGATGGTGAAGGTGAGTTGGCTGTCCTTTTGTGAAATGACAGATATATCCTCTGTTTAAGGAGTAGCGCAGATACGCTTAATTGTTCAATTTGCAAATTTCACAACCCTCTAATATGCTTTTTTCTTTATTTCTTGTGTTTCCTCCCTTCGCGTTGCGTCGTTATTTCTCGGTGTGTTAATCGGCAGATGATGAGGATGAGGAAGAGATTGATGGTGAGGACGACGATGATGATGCGTAATGGCCTCGATTTAGCAAAAAAAAAGGCTAAGTGCAGTGACTGAACGAACACAATTAATATATATAGACTATTTTATCTCTCGACTACTGTGAGTGCAGTGTGTTGTATAATTTTAAATTACAATTTTTGACGAGGATAAAATGATGAGGAAAAATGTAAAGAACACAAGAAGATCATCCATCAAGAATCAACAGCAACAACAGATCGTCTGACAAATGTTACATGGGAAGAAATAAACCATGTGGAAAATTGTAACTGCAGCAGGATTTTTTTTTGTCTAATAATTGTGTAAAATGACGAAAGAGCAAAGATACTAAATTAATTTGTAGAGAGAGCTGATCGTTTCATTTTAGAAGAGGAGTAATTTAAAAAAAAAGAGGAAAGAAAATGTCAAACTTTTGTTTAAAAAATCGAAAGAATGATAAAAGTAGCATGAATGTAATTAAAAGAAAAGGGAAAAATGAGAGAAAGGAATGTCACGAAGATCCACACAAGACACACCACCATCGCAAAAAGGGAATGATGAGATAAAAAAACACAGGAGAGAAGAAAAGTGGTAGAAAAGAGTGAAGAGAGAGTAAATGAATGTTGTGAAATGCCAGTACATGAACAGCAGATCATCTCCTGAGCCCGCGCCCACCCAAGATAGAAGATTAAAACGCAAAATCATGGGTATTTAGTAATTGTAAAACACAAATTCTATCAAATAAGATTGACTTAGATTCACAGAGAATGTCTTAAAAATTTAGTGTGACTTTATCTCACGATGATTTTTTTTTCTTTTTATGGTTTTGTGTACACAAATTTTATCTCAACTTGTCTTTGATCAATTCTTATAATTTTTTTGCTATAATAGGAAAAAAAAACAATAAACTAGGTTTTCTTTGACGAAACACAGAGAAGATATACAAGAGCAACAAAAAAAAACAATCTGAGAGGAACTCATGCAAAAATAGATTAAAAAGGTTATTTTTAATTCTTTTTTATATACAAATCTTACTTATAAAAATATTTTTAAAGGAAAAATAAATTGTAAAAAAGAAATGGTGTTTTTTACTGTGCAAATTGTGGTGTTCAGTTTTTTTCGTTTATCGCTTGCTCACGGGCCGATTTTCTGCTGACTTTTGTGTACTGTCTTTACCGCGCTCTGTCCAAGAACGGTGGGAACAGTCCTGAAGAGGAGTTTAGATTTGTGCTAAATATTCCTACATCATTCGCACTAAGAATGATGTTGACAAGTAGGAAATGAAATCCACCCACCTGACGACATGAAATGCTTTTCTTCGACTTACACAGAATCATTTCTCGAAGTGGTGGCGAAGAAGTGTGAGACAGAGGAGGAGTTTTAAATGTATTTTCCAACATGCTATATACAACCAAAATGTTTCTAAATATCCTTGAAGAGAAGAGATTGAAAATCTTATAAATCGGAAGAGCAATTTGATTTGATAAGGCGAATGAGAATCACATGAGGTTAGCGAAAAAAGTGAAGAAGAAGGAAGAAGTAATTTAATGGTAATATTTAAATTAATTGCATATAAAGGATAATGAAGAATTACACATGTAAAACATTAATTTGTATCGATTGCATAAGAAAGAGAGAAAAAAAATATTCCATCTCATTTGTGTGCAAGAAAAGAGGAAGAAAATAAACTTTATGTTAGATATCAAATCATTGTATTGGACAAATGTATAGAATAAAGATGCATTACTGAATAGAATCACATTTGACGTTCATTGAGAGGAAAGGTAGAAAGTAAAAAATCACTCAGTTTTAAAGGGTTTAAATCAATAAGGAAATTATTAAGTAAATCTAATAAATGTACAAACTGTTTTTTCTGAAGTATTTAATTTAAAGAAGAAAAAAAGTAAAAAGAAAACACTCATTTCTTGGGTAATCATAAAAAGATAAAAAATCAATGTGAAATCTTTTTTAGTTTCTTATTAACAAACTAACTCTTGATTAATATGAAATAAGTTTTGAGAGTAGTTGAGAAAAAGGGTTGAATTTCGTTTAAACTATCATTTTTAGTAATGTTCTATTGACACACAATTTTACCATCACACGTAACGTAAATTTCACACTTAATATTTAAGGATGTTTTTTTTTCGTGAAATCGCGCGAGTAAAAGATTGCATATTTCATCTGCGTTTTCACGAAGGTTTCTCGGACACGGAACATAATTTCTTCTCATTGGAATTTAAGAACAAGAAGAGCAAAGAGTTAAAATTGACTAATGGCAATAACGATTAAGAACCATAATTTTTCTCTCATTTGTAATCTGTAATAAATCTAATTTTCACAGAATCAAAGAACAAAGTGGATATATTGTGGAGATTGAAAGAGTAAAGAGAAAAAAAACAGAAGAAATGCAAAACTACTCATAAATAAAGAAGAAAATAACATAGAAATAGTTTATAAGAAACCGTTTTTATTAAAAAATGACAGAAAAGTGAAAGACATTGCATACAACTGGTGGCATTTCGCTGCAAAACAGCGAGAAAAAGAGGACGAAATAAAGGATTATTGAAGAGAAAAAAAATTGTCATATGTGTATTTGAACTTTTTTCATTCACATAGTATATTAAAATATACATAGAGGTCAGAATTTATAATGTAAAATGTAGTTTCATGACATGAGATTCACGTTTCCCCCACGTTTTTTGTCCAAGTGTAAAATCTAAAATTAGACGCCATGAGCAATTCTATGCAGTAGAATTGGGTAAAAATTAAGAGATTCTTCCGAATTATTCAAATGGCATAATTTCACTTTTTCCCCCTTTTTGACTCACAGGTGAAAGAATTGTCTGCCAAAATGATACTTCATCGCATTTTCTTTATTATAAATACACACACACACACCCTCAAAGAAACACCACAAAAAAGATGACACATAATTTGCATACAAGTCATATAAAGAAGGTTTATTTGTGGTATTTAGCATTGAAGATTGCAAGGACAAAAAAAGGAGCATTGATGGGAGGACAGATTTGACGGAAAATTTTATTGATGAAAAAGAAAAAAATGAAAACCAGAAGAAAAACTATTTTAAAGAATAAAAATATAGACAATGGAAGATTTAACTTCTGAACTCAGGAGAGAAAATAAATTAATTTGGAAAATGTTTCCCACACACTTTCTTTTCTCACCTCGGCGCATCATTACGCCCCTATTCGCGCGTCCAATTCCACCCTGGACGCCCTCTCATCCCCTGCCTGAGCGCGAAGGGACGGGAATTTCCGTCCGCAGCTGTACATATGTATGTATGTATGATGCCGTGCATGCGAGCCAATCGCCTCGAAGCGTTGCGCAGAGTCGGATCGGCAGGTAGGGCGGAAGAGAGGCAGCTGCGAGGCTTCCTCTCGAGTGTTTGGCTTCTGAGAATGGTGAGTGTGCAGAGGCGAGTCCGCGGAGGGGATAAGCATTCTGCCACCTCGGGGTCTCCTATCGCCCTCTTTCATCGCTATCTCTTCAGAAATCTCCGAGAAAATTGGGAAAACAGCCTGCTCAGAATGATGATAAATGAAAGTGTGTGGATTTTTGAAATGAATATTTACGCTTGACTCCTTCATTCATCATATATACCCTTTTGAATTAATGCAATGACACTGCCCGTGGAATTTGTCTCTTATCCCCTCGCAGCAGCAATGAAGACCCTCTGAAAAGATGTTCCCTTCGTGGAATAGTACCTATAAATATACCTACCCGAGTATCGAGTGAACTGAAAGCAAATCGCACCCTCATGCATAAAATAGGACTCTCGCCCTACGTCATCGTCACGAGGATGGCATTTTCCGGCGGATTCGCTTCATCTGCCCCTTCCGCTGTGACCTGGATGTGACGTACTCACCTAATCATTGATTTCCGCTTCGATCGCTCGCGCCAACAATTGGGAAAAGTGATTTTTCACACTAAACATGCGCACTGTCGCGTCTGCTGACCCAATTTTCAAACTGCTATGCGCCTCAAGAAACCCGCCAAATGTGTGGAGTTTGAAATCAAATCGCCAATGTCGATAATGTAGGCAAAACGGTAAGATATTCATTTTATAAGAGCTTATTTTATTGTATTTCTAAGTGAAAAGAATATGTACATAACATTTTAACAGAATTGCTCGATAGTTTATTCTATTTACAGCTAAATAATTCTAAAAAGTCTAATAAATATTTTTATCAACAATTTCCTTTGAATCATGTAAGCTAGAAACAATTGATCTTCGCATTTATCATTCGTCAATATTCATAATAAAATTTAACAATCCAGTTTTCTTATCTACAGTATTAGGCAGAGATACAGTAAAATTTCTTCTGAATGCTCTTGGAATAAATCCTGCTTTTCTGCTGAATTCAGTTGAAGTGTTTGCATTTCATGGTGCCATAAATATTCCCAAGTTGTTGATCAGCAAATTTGTGAAGTCCAAATTCGAGTCCAGGTAAATAACGGTCTTCTGGTTTTGCTTCGATGTCGGATGGTCAGTGTCGTAAATCAGAATCATCAGACTTGATTACTTGTAGTAGAGTAAGTTGTAGAAGACATTTGGATATCTAATATATCATCTCTGGCGGCTGACATCTTGAGGACTTCCTATGCTGACCTGATACTGGAGCATTCGAATCCGTAAGTCGAACGGCAGTGTTTTTTCGTACTTCATTTGCTTTAGGAAATTTCTTCATAATTCCTCAGCTCATTTAAGTTGTTCTTCAGTGGCGAACGTCCACAAAAACACTTTTATGAATTTGATTTGAAGATTGATGCCTTGGCACTCAATTATGTTTGATGGCTTGCTCATCCAAACTAGATTGTTTGTCATCATTATTATTATTAAAATAATCAAATGATAAGTTCTAATTTTAAATCTTGTATGAAAAACAATATAAATTATTGAATAAATTCTTTTTTGAATATGAATATACAGATAATTTGCCCTTATCTTACGTGAGTCAATTGTAAGTCATGAAACAGAGTTTTATGAAAAAGTAAAGTGCGTTATGATAAATTTAAATTATATTTCTGAAACATGTTCAGGATTTTGGGATGAGAGTGTTCCATATAGAATATGTGTTATAAGAAATCACAGATTCGGCAGAGCATTGGCCGCTCCGTCCCATACTAAAAACCCAGCGGAAATCATCCCAAGCTAGGCTTGAGACAAAGTCCACGCGATCTGAGTATACAATTCAAGAAGTGTCTTAAATACATTAAAAATTCCAATTAATATCACATTTTACTTTAGGCCTTGCCGATCATGTCGCGATATTGGAGGTGATACAACGAAATGCTGCTCAAAATCGAGAACTATTCCTTTACACTTTCCTATGTTAGCATTTTCTATCCAATTTTCCAATTCTTGGAACTAACATGTGTAATATTTTTAAAAAGTAAATTACATTGTGATATCTAGTACATTATGAAGCGTTATATGAAAGACAATAAAAAAATCAGCGCAAATTCCCTGCTAATGATCTAATTACTAATAATCAAATTACGTATCTAATTACGCAGCGGGAATACTCGCCCGCAACAAGGGCGAGACAATAGTTAAAAAAAGTTATTGGAATTCGCTGAAATTCCACAGTTAAAATTCGAATATAAAATGACAGCTGCGCTCGCAGCGCCAGTGAAAAAGTAGTGGAAAAAAAGTGTACGAAGAGAGCGTCGGGTGAGTTTTGGAGAGCATTAAAAAGGGAGAATACAATAAAATTTACTGAATTGTTTTATTCCCAACAATGCTCGTCCAGGAATTCCAAAACATCAAGGCATACTAACATCATGCCACTTACAATGCACGGATCTTGTGCAGTCACAGAAACCGTATTAGAGGAAACGCAAAATTTGCCAGAGTCAGCAACGGTAATTGATCCACTATACGCCGAAGAGGAAAATAGTGAAGATCGACCGCCTGACCAAATTAGGATTCTCAGGAAAGTCCCGAGAGAAATTATTGAAAGTTGTGGGCTCCTATATGTATCGGGTATCGTCGCATATAAAAGGCGACGAGATGAAGATTTGGGAGCCCCAACTTCAAAAAAAACGAAACTCACAACCATGGCAAGCTGGGTTCAATCCATTTCCGAAGACGGCCTTTACGAACCCAACGAAAATTTTTTGAAAGAGCCACGCTGATGGAGAAAGTGTTCCGGGAGTATAATCCAAATGGGAAACTCAACAAAAATGGAAATTACATGGAGAATTTGTTGAGTAAAATGAGGGGACAACTAGTAAGTTGTTCCCAAGAGACCCAAAGATTATTCTTCCGGACACGAACACATATCCGCATACGGCGATTGTATGAAAAAGGAAAACAACGACGTGCGGAGAAGTCTCGGAAAAAACTGAAGAAAGTAAGTACATAAAATCCTTTCCAGTTTTAAATTTCTGTTAAATTTTAAATTTGTGTTTTGAGTATGAGACCACCTTATACTCCTTACACCATAACTTCCCGATCAAAACGGAAAGAGAACTCGAGAAAAAGCTCGACCAGAAAGCCGAATTACACATAAAAATTTTCAAACCATACATGCCACTGGAAAAAAACTATTCCAGTAGTGGTCTTTCCCGAGGAAAAACAGATAAAAGAAAAGTTCTTCAAATTCAGAAGTGGGAAAATACATGACTTAAACAATGCAAAATTAAGTTAACAAGATTCAAGTTTCAAACTTTAACAAGTTTCAATATAGTTAATGTTAGTGTTATGCGTTGCATCGCGTAAAATATTTACAAAAAATATTTACTGCTGCGAATCACGAACTGTACAATTACGTAAGTGAATCTACTTATTACATTCTAAGAAAAAGCATCAAATTCCCGTACTACTTTCTTATATGTAATAATTTATAATTCCCTGTACAGACAGGTGCTTGGGGATCTATTATTTTCTAAATTGCTCGTATAATTCTATTTTTGCACAGTTGAACAAGTTCTGCGCGATCAAAATGATCAGAGAAAGTTGATTTTAAACATTCAAGAAAAACAAAAGAAGTACCATGAGGAAGTTATCACCATGATTCAAAAGCAGAATAGAGCGTTGAGTACTTATGAGGAAAAGCTTTTGGATCAAATCAATCGTAAGTTACACATTAAATATATTTTCTTACAAAAAAAATTATGTACATATATTTTTTGTACTTTTTTTTCTTAGATCTGGGCAAACAAACCAAGACACAAATGGTTTCTTTGGAGGAACGTTCCGACTGCATCATTAGCGTCATTAATCCTGATCCGGATCAAGCTTTCCCAATCACGAGTATGGAGGACTATCAGGCAGTTAAAAACGAGTGGAAATCAAATTCCCAGAAAGCGAAGACAATGGTAGTTATTTTACTGTATATTACATCAAATAGAATAGACCAATATATTTGTTTTTCCTGTTCTGGAAAATGTATCTGACCAAAATATCGAAGACTGAAGGATGGTTGCTCAAAATATTTGCAGAGGAGTTCTTGATCCAGTACTTTAATTTAAATGGATCGAATGGGAGACGACATATTAAAAAGGTAATAGAAGAAATGAAACCATACTAACTAGACTTAGAATTGGCAATACTGTTCTCCCGCATAATTCAATTTTCACTGAAACATATCCTTTAAAATGTGACTGTTGCGTTAGGAGTGATACTGTGAGAGAATAATAAAACACATGTTGTTACTTGAAGTCGCCGTTTAGACGACTTCTACGCGGGAATATTAAAAGGTCTCGTGTCTTGTGACGTAGATTTAAGTGTACATCATATATTAATAGACTGCATAAAATTCCATAGTATAAGAAGAGAACTGAAACTAAAAAACAAAATAGAAGACTTACTAAATGATGATGAAAATGAAATACTGAACACTTTGAAATTTATTGATAAGATAGGTTTAAGCAGAGAAATATAGTTAGAAGAATAATGTACAGATGGCGATACCTTCTACTAGAAGACGTCATAATTGCCCAACACATGTTGTGAAGCAAAAACTTGATTTGTTACATTCAGCAACACAATGATTGGTTTGACGTGATGAACACTCGACTTCCCTCGTAGCGAGTGTTCAAGGAAGAAATGAGTGCAATGCTTCCGACAAAAGTGGATGTCACCAAAATCCACGAGACTTTGAGTCACCACAAGAAGTCTCGAAATGAGACGATGACAGCGTATTTCCACTCTGTGCGTACGTTCGAGGAAGATAATTCTACGTTAGCGTAACCAAACAAAGACGCGCAGAAAAATCTGCAAGAAAACTGAAGATTAAAGATTCTATCTCCAAATGAGATAATAATTATTAGTAACCTCAGCTGTATCAATAGCGCACCTCAAAAATTTGTGTAAGATCGTACCCATAAATGTCCACGGCCTCTGTTTAGGAGAATTAGAGAATGTTGATAAGACGAACTACGGTGTAGTTCAGAAAATAACATTTAAACAAGTTCTCGAGGCACTAGAAAAACATATTAAGGGATCACAGGCACTGTTGAATATCTCAAATTCGTCAAGTGGGCAACATTTCTGGAATCCGATAAGAAAACTCTCGTGGGACGCATAAATGATATCCTCACTACTGTATTTTTTGCTCGAGGGTAGCGTAACAATATAAAACAAACTCCTGGACAAACACCTAAAATTAATTTCATAACATCTAATGCCTATGAATCATTGGAGTTGAACACACATTCTCTACTCAATCACACAGTGACGGAAAATGTAGGACATATTGATCTAACGGTTTGTCATCATTAAAGAACAAATTAATTAATTAAGTCTATCTCCAAGTGAGATAATAATTGTGATTACCAGAAACTGGATTAGATTATTCAGTCAATCATCAGGAATTGAAACGAAAGGGAGAGTCATTGAAAGGACCAAAGAGAAAGGATCAAAAAATGGATAACTTCGTTGACTCTATTTCTAAAAACGAGATCGGTAAGATTACCATGCCGATTGCCAGATTTGTGTTTCAAGCAAACTTGTCAACAAGTGTACGAGGACAACATCGAGGCTTCCTCAAATGCTTGTGGGAGTGAATCGGTTTGCGACAAAAAGTATGTTCTGCAATTTCACGGAACGCTACAGTAGTTTTGGATGGTCTGATGTTGCATCGTAGAAACGGTGCTCAGCTTTGCCCAAAATTTCCATTTGAGCAGAAAAAGTTATCGATTCCCATACAAAATTTGCTTCTTAAATTCTCAATTAATTTGCGACTCACGGCTGAAGATTACCAACGTTCCCAGGTTTCCTGGAAGTGCTCATAACTCCAAGATATGGAATCACAGCAAAGTAAAAACTTTTATCGAAAAGCTGCACAGGCAGTACCCGAATGAACTCCATCTGCTTGGAGATTCTGGCTACGCGTTAAGGCCATGGATGATGACCCCTATCAAAGATGCTGCTGAAGGATCACTAGGACATCACCATAATGAGAGCCAAATGGAAGCGCGTGCTATTATTGAATGTGTTAATGGTATACTCAAAAACCGATTCCGATGCCTTCTGCATTTTCTGAATTACGATCCCGTGACGGTAACTAAAATCATAAAAGCATGCTGCGTGCTACATAACATCTGCAGAGATGAAGTGATAGAGTCGGATTCCAGTGCCTCGGTATCACCGATACCGAGGATTCAGATGCTGATGATCATAGGCCCCAATTTAACCCTTAAGAAGAACTTAAAAAATTCACGTATTTTGATCTGTGATTTTTTTTCATTCTCCAACTTATTCTTCCAATTCCTCGATCGATTCCCTTCATTCGCAACCGAACGTGTCCATGTTTTGGAACAGTTTTTAACAGTGTAAAACCATTTAAATGCGCTCCGAATGACATTTCAAGTGCACAGCGTGATAAACAAAAATTATTTTGCAAATTCTGAAGGTGCAACGTGAAATAAATCGGCCTAAAAATGTCCCAACAATCCCTGACCATTCTCACGCCTCACGCACGAAGGTACACAGTAAAACTGACGCCAAATACAACGCTTTTGGAGGTGAGTCAAGCGAAATTCCATTGTGACTGTGACTGAGAGTATTTCGCAATTTCCACAGGTTCTTGAGCAAGTGTGCAGGAAGTACCAGCTGGATCCCAATCGGCACATCCTGAAGCATCACAACAAGACTGTGGATCTGTCGGGGATGTTCAGGTTCTCGGGACTGCCCAACAACGGATTGCTGGAGATGGAGGAGACGGACCAAGTGAGACAGGAGGCTGAGGTGCAGATTGTGCTGCAAACGGAGTCCGGAGATCGCTTGTCAGGGAGTTTCCCTCCCACTCATAGTCTGCGTGGCATACTGATGAGTCTCTGTCCGGCCAGCGCGGAGCTGGGGGCGAATTGTGTGGTGATTTACATGCGGAAAGAGGTGTTTGGCGAAGAACTCGAGAAGACAACGCTGAAATCTTTGGGCTTGACGAGTGGGAAGGCGATGTTGAGGCTCCTGCACAGGAATCCAGAGGAGCTGCGGGTGCAGGCGAATGTTTCAGCTCCTCTCGTGCCGAAGCCCACTCCGGGACCAAGTGTGGAAGTCAATAAATCAGAGGAGAGAGTGCAAAAGGCTGAGGAAGAGCCCATGGAAGTGGAGGAGATCGAAATGGCCCAGGAGAAAATTTCCAGTGGCAGCACGCGAGAGGAGGAGCAGGAAGTTCCCGAAGTGAAGAAGTTGAGATTTGAGGGAAGCGCAGAATGTGAGACAATCAGCGCGGAGGAAGTCAAGAAATTGGAAGAGGAAATCAAAATTGTTGGACCGAATGATGCAGTGATATTTTCCCTCGATTCAACTCAAAGAGTGCAGGAGAGAGATCTTCCGGATTCATTCTTCGATCTCACTGTTGACGACGTTCGTCTGCTTCTGAGGGATCTGAAGGATCAAGTTAAGGGTCTGGATAACGCTCCCCTGTTGACGGCCAAATTGCGCGACATGGAGAACGATCGAAAGATCCTGAAACTGCTTCAGTACAAGAAAACAGTCATCAGGATCCAATTCCCCGACAGATATGTTCTCCAAATGACTTTCAATCCCATCGACACCATTCAGACTGTCATGGATCTCATCCGGAAGCTCCTTCAAAGCCAAGAAACGCCCTTCTACTTGTGTAAGTTCCCCGATTCTTGTTTATCACGCGCAAATTTGTAATTTTTGTGTCTCATTTTACAGTCACTACACCTCCGAAGGAGGTTCTGCCCCCAAATGCCCGCCTGGTGGAACTCAAGTGCGTTCCTCAGGCTGTTATTCACTTTGGCGTAGAGCAAAGCGTGAAACCTGATTCTGGACATTTTCTCAGACAAGATCTGCTGGAGAATTTAACTTCCCCAGATGCGGCTGTTTTGCAGGCTATGAAATGCCGCGGCCTTCCACTGACCAACAGTGCGGAATTGGGACAAGACAGTGATCAGGGGACGCGAACTGTTGCTGAGAATCCGCCCAATAAACCCCGCGTTCCAGACAACTTCCAAAAATCATCGAGTTCGAGCTCAAACACCGGCGTTCCCAAATGGTTCAAACTCCCCAAGTAAAATGTGAATATTTCTCTCACTGTTGAATTGAATTACATCTTTTTTTTGATATGCAATATTTAGTTTTTCTAGAGCGCAAAATTTGGGATTTTTACTCTGCCGTGATCTGTGATTTCTCATGTGTAAAGGAATATATGGAACAAACTCACCGAAAATCTCTTCCACTGCAAAATGTGGACAGCAAGCTAACTGTAAAAATTGCACCAAACACTCTTTATCTGCTCTGCTTCAGGACTCACGATTGACTGACTATTCGTCCCGAAATGTTCGGCTTTTATAGGTTGTTCTCACACGTTGGCTAATTGCTTTTGACCTGCGGCGCCATGGCAGAGACATTTCTGGGTTTTCAGGCAATTAAAATCTAGTCAAAAAGGGATCTGTAAACTCCTCGAAGTCTGAATGTCTAGACAAGACAGAAAGTAATTTTAGCTGGGCAATTTCTCTGGTAAAATCCCGAAAAACCGTTACAATGGAAAACTTTCTTTTTGATATTACACCAAAATCATGTATTTATCGAATAAAACTTACATCTTAAGTACAAACTATGTGTTTTTTTCCTTGCTCTCAACTGTGAGTGTTGGTTTTTAGGTAGATTTTATACATAGTTCCTCTTTATTTTACTCATTAATTTGTATCACATAGAAACAATCGCTCCTGCATATCAAAGAAAATTGTAACGACATCTTAATTCCTCGATAAATCTATCTCGCTTTTGCTTTGTGATGATTTCTCACAAAAAATCTTTTGCATGGGTAATTTTTTTTTTTCGTTTGATTCTCGCCTCTCAATTGTCCAACACAAATGTTCAGCAAATTCCTCAAGCGTCCAGGTCATTCACGAAGAGCACCTCGCGATTCTGTAGTTTCGCATCCGCAATCGTGCCATCGGCGTCAATCTCCTTGGCCTCTGAGTAGAGGATGCGCTTAGGAAAGTTGGTGGTGATCTCAAAATGGTCCGGAGACGCGGGGTGGCAGAAGATGAAATTGTAGACGTCCTGTGCAAGTGGAAGAAAGGTTAGAAGAATCCCTCAAAATTGCACATCTCTCAGCACTTCTTACCCGGATGGAGTCTGTCCGGAAGAACCGCCTCTCTATTCGGGCGCCACTTGGCAGCTTGAACACCACACTTGTTGTCTCTGCAGCATCAGCTGGTGGTTCTGAAGGCACTTCTGAAGCCATCTCGATTTTCAGCCGGGCGATATTCTGTAGGAAAAAACCCACAATTTAGTCACAAAATTATGCATAAACAATGAACTATAAAAACTCACGTTTTTCCGCTCCACTTCAGCCTGCTTCTCAGCCTCAATCGCCTGTTCTCGCTTCAGTTGCTCCTCTTTCTCCTCCTGCTTCCGCCGCTCCTTCTCCTGATCCGCCTTCAGGGATTGTTCATATGCCTCGTCCTGCTGCTTCCGCAGCGTCTGCGTGAGACTCCGCTCCAGGCGTTCCGCCCTCGCCTGACTCAAGTACACTTCGTTGTCCGTGACAACGGTCTGAAGGCGACGCAGAAGCTCCTCGGCCGTGCAATCGCCCTCCATTCGCCCCATGATGATCATCTTGTTCCACCGCATGCCCACCACCACCAGGATGGGGTACGTTCTCGCGTTGATGGAGTGGCTCACGCGATAGCCCTCCGGGGCTGCGATGTCGCAGGCCCAGAACAACATATTGCGGTTGATGTACGCGACCACCTTGTGAAGAAGGGAAATCAATCACAAATCTACCATATTTGGGGCTCACGAAGAAGCCAATGCTATTTACCTGGGCATCGGAGAGCGCGTTGCGACAGAAGGAATCCGCATCAGATTTGCCCTCGGAATGCAGATAGACGAGAAGGAACTTTAGCTCTCGCTTGGCGTCATTTAGCGCCTGGGCGTAGGTGCCGTGATAGAAGACGGGATGGACGGGATATTTCTCCTTGTAGGCATCAATGAACGTGAGGACGTCTCTCAGCGGATCCGTGACGATGCGCTCGTTGCTCTTGAAGAGGTTAAGGAATGCCATGATCAGGGAGGACAGTGTGTTGTAGCAGAAGCTGAACATGTTGTTGATCACGTACGTGAACACACCCTTCCATCCGGACGGCGGACGATTTGAGCTGGAGGAGGACGAGAACACGTGCTGCAGATACCGATCGTTGATCACTTGCGGTGGCCGGGATTCTGTCGCGTACACCGATGGTCGTCCCTCGCGGATGTTCAGCTGCTCCTGAATGGCCACCTCCAAGTCCCACTGCAAGAAATAGAACGGTCAGCACACCGGAAGCACAGTCAATTCTGACAAATTTCACCATGTGACGCGTGAGAACATCTCTGCACACTGTGATGTCCTCAATGCCCGTGAAATCCTGGAACTGCAGCACCATCTCCATCTGTATATTCGAGAGACCCTCCCGCTCCATGTCGCCCAGTCTAGATGTTGCTCCAATTACCAATTTGCTCCCACGATCAGCCCACAATGATGGCCCCCACGAATTTTCGCACTCACTATTTCGCCTTTCAGGCGCAACGAACCACTTTAATCCCGCGTCAATCACTTCAGCAAGAGTCTCTAGAGGGATATTTCACCAGGCCTGATTGCATATTTAACTGGCAGACGTGGGAATTGCAACGAAAAGCAAAGCACAAAATGAAAAGGCAAAATTTTCCTCTGACTGGAGTTGTCAACGTGACACTTCGAGGAATCGAACAATTTGCTGGCTTGCCATCTTGCCAGTGCGGGAATATCAGCTGGTCGACTCAAATATTGAGATACTGAACTCTTTTCTCGGTATTCCCCTGTAATTTTAAGTGATTCTCAAAGTCTCATCGCTTGCTAATTGAGATCATATCGAGAACACGCAATATCCACCAAAATGATAACAGGATGATAAAGAAATTCCCACGAAATACTACAATCGCATCGAGTGGGAGTCGGTCATCCGGGTTGCGAGACAGTGTGCGTGCCAGTGAAAATGTCAAGCAGAAGTTTTCCTCCACTAAAAATCGCGACTGAATATATTTGCCATTTTCCTATGTAGAATAAACCAATAATGTAGATAAGGGGCTCATTGTAGAGCCTACAAGTGGCATTAAACATCACCAATAATACTGTGAGTATCAAAAATCTGCTTATCTGTGAATATTCGCGGTTAAAATTTGCCCGTTTGTGCGTTCTTTATGCGAAGATCCGACCCAAACAATGCGACTTAATAGTAATTCGCAATTGAGCCAATCTAGCCGGAATAATTCCAGGAATTAGCATTTTCTTAGCTTCACAGCAAAAACAGCGGATTAGTACTCGGAAAAGCAATTTGGATAAATCGATAGACGAACGAGAGAAGTATGTTGAAAGAAGCATAAATTCACCGCGCGTTGAGAGAACCTTGAGCGACGCGAGATTTTGGACAATTTTTTTTTCGCTTTTATTGGCATTTCCGGTGAATTCTGTGAAAGAAGTGGACTGTAAGATTATGAAGATTATCGCAAGGTCTTTTCAAAGGTTTCATAAAGTATTTGAGGATTATTATAGACTTGGATGGACTTGTCAGTTTTCAGTGGGCAATTTTATTGTAAATAAACTTTTGATGAAAAGAATCCAAAGCATCAAATGATCTGAAAAACAAACGATAAACTTTCTTCCCTTCTTTCTAAAGAAAAAAATGTTTCATTTCACCGCTCATTTCATTCAATTAAGTCTAAAGCGCTTAAGAGTGGAAAAGTGAAGCAATGTATTTACTTATTTAAGTGCGTGGTGAGTGACTCGCCATATAGAATAAATTTCCTTATCGCACAGTAGTTAATATACATACTCCCAAGAGTGTAAATGAGAATTGATAAAGTGGATTTTTCTCTCTGTTTTGCCTCCCCAACAGCATTAAACTACCAAAGATTGGCAGTCTGGAAAGACGAGGAATTCAGTGCGGATACCAAAGAAGGAGGAAGAGTGAAATGTTTGCCATCTAATCGTCACTGGAATATTTAAGTTCTTCACTCGGCGCGCGTGATAATTAGTCACAATAATTTAGTAAAATCGTTTATCTGCCGGCTATGGGAGTGTACAATGAGATGGGTGAGTGTCTGAATACACAAGAAAAAACACTGATATTCACACGCCACGTGCTGTCCGAATTCACGATTTTTTTCATCATTTTTTTTCGCGTTGTAGAAAAACAATGCATGTGATATAATGTAAGCAAAGATAAGAAGGTTTGTAGTTGTACAGTGAGTGCAACATATGGTCATATCAGTCATTCTTCTAAATGACTCGCCCCTTGTAAAGTGTTCTATTTGTGCTTAACAACTTGACCTATTCACCTTACTTCTCTTCCTTCGCGCTCCACAATAAGTCTGGACAAAGTATTATATCAGCAGTCTCAGACAAGTCAATTTATCAGGCGCACTGCCTTTGATTGAATCTTCTCATTCAAATCGTTTTATGTCAACAATATTGTGTCTTAATTAAGCTTAACTCTCTTTTTGGACAGTCAATCGCGATGTGTCAGCTCAATTCGTCGATCAATAAATTTTTTTGCCACTCACGTTGTCTGTGTTATCACACAATAATGTGATTAAACTAAACTGATCGGTTGTTCCCGCCACAGCGTTGTGCTTTTGAGTGTCCCTCGCTAGATGCTCGTGAAAAGGTGACACGATAAGACGGGCATGTGGAAAAGTAGTAAAAAATTACGCTCTAAAATAATAATGTTTAAGCAATTTTTCAATTTGAAGACAATACATTTTAGTCGATAGCTCGCGGTGCGGAGGAAGTGAGCAAAATGTGTATCTGTGAGTGAAAGACAAGGTGGAAGTAGACCGAAAGCTGTAATCTCTCTTCCAGTGATATTTCTGGCATTCCGTTTTCAGTGTTGATAAGCCCGAGTTGTACTTTTTTTTTCAGGGAACAATTGCTATAAAAATTGTTTCACAGTTGAAAACCAGTGAGAGACTCTTTCGAAGTGTGGAATAATAGAATTATCAGTGTCAGAATTGCGCTAAAATCTCCAATGAATCTTCCGAATATGAGCAATCCAGGTGAGACAGAAGCAAGAGTGCTAATTGCTCTGTGTATTCAGGAAATTCTAGAGCACGTGAAAAAGTGTATTTTCACTGTATTTGGAAGTGGAGGAGCTTGACAAATTCTGCGTCCATCAGCTATTTTAATGCAAAAATATGCATTTTGTCTCGAGGTCAATCAGCTCGTGAAATCAATCTCGATTCCATGTGACTTCACATGCTAATGCGTTATTTTGAGATACGACTCCAGACTTCTTGTGTGAATGATTAAGATCAATAAACCTCCAGTATGTATTTCATCATGTCGATTGCGATATATTTAAAACTTGCTGGAGAAGTACAGTTTTTCTCAAATATTTGTGTTCTTAAGACTGTTTATTGCTCACTTGATAATCAATATTTCTGTTTATTTGTCAGTGAAACAAATTGAAATCACTGCAATGAATTCCGGATCTAATTGAAAGCAAAGTGAGTGTTGTTGGCTATCGAGAGCCTAATCCGCGAAGGTCTCAATGTGATCGGGAGTGCAATTCCTTTAAGACGAATGACGTCAAAGTGTGTGTCGGCCTTCGTGATGTCATCGCGAGAGATAAATTTGCAGATGCCAAGAGAGTCGTGCAATTTGTCTGAAAGATAAAATCATAGTCTCGTGAACTCTTACAATGTAGTTAATTTTTCATGCGGCGAAAATAGAATAACGCGGATTTGCGTGGTGAAAAAGTTATGTAATGTCTATCTTCCGGCGGCGGGCAAAACGCTAATGATCAATGCGCGTAAAAACTGGAGAGTATGTGCATTGGACAACTCTATTAATCTTGATAAATTTGAGCTGCGCAAATTCAGTCCATTTTTGTTCTAGTTAATGTACCTGCAAATGACCAGTGTTTGACTGAGTGTTGAGAGGCAAAAAGAGTTTGTTGAATATTAATGATGTGTGGATAAAAAGGTTAATGAAATTTTGGTTAAATTCAGCGTGAAATTGATATATACATATATATTTCGTGTTTTACAAGTTATCATATTGGATTGACACTTTTATTTCTATTTTATCTACTCGATTGTCACACTCTGTCTTATCGGGATTAATTGGAATTTTAGCAGTTTATCGCTCGTCGTGTGGAAGTAACACACAATAAAGATGTAATCACACAAATGATGATACGAGTTCCCATTTGTTAAGCTTAAGCACACAAATGATCTTGTACCTCTTGTACAATATAATAAATGGTTTTCGGTGTTTTTCGGCTATTTTTCAGGCTCGCGCTACCTCATTTCAAACAGACGATCCCTGATCACCTTAATTGTGGGAATCGTCTTGGGATTTTCCATGGCGGCGATTTTTATCTCATCTTCAACTCCGGGCAGGATTTACTGGCTGCCAATGGGAGGTGTTCCTCAGCATAAGCACAGAGATCCACACACCGGAAGTGACATGTCGGACGAAGCGGGTCCTGAGGTTGAAGTGCGCTTTCACGGAGAACACGACGAAGCTCATGTGCTGGAGAATAAGACACTCTCCGAGAGGTTGGCTAAGGAAGTCAGAGTTCTGTGTTGGGTCATGACGAATCCATCAAATCACAAGAAGAAAGGTGAGTTTCTGTGGCGCACAATGATTGAAATTGGTTTCTGAAATGACGCACTTTTTGAACTTATGTTTATCACTTTGTTCCTGTAGTGAGTCTCATTGACCTTTCTTTCAGCAACATTTTAAACCTCTCGAATCCAATCAGTTCCTCGCTATAATTAAGATTAATTAATCCAAATCAAACACTTTAAACTGAACAGGCCAGGCTTATTGATAATTCCCTCTGATTTGTTTTTGATTGATAGCTCTTCATGTGAAGAGGACGTGGGCCGCGCGATGCAACAAAATGCTATTCATGAGCTCTCAAGAAGGTACGTGGAAATTATGGTGATTTTTTTGTATCTGCGACGACTGGTGCTTAATTTACAAAAAGTTCACTTCCGACGTGAAATGATTAATCCATATCTCTCGTCGGAAACTTCTTTCACTGCTGTAAATCGCATAAATGGTTATGTTTTTTTTCTCTTCTCCTGATAAAAAGCCTAAACTCAGCGGCGCTATTAAGATTTTGGAGGAATAACAATGCATATCTAATGAATGCTGTTTTGCTTGTACAATTTATAGATCCGGAATTGGGGAGTGTGGCATTGCCCGTTGGTGAAGGACGTGATAATTTGTGGGCGAAAACGAAGGAAGCATTCAAGTATGTGTATAAGAACCACTTCAATGACTATGATTGGTTCATGAAGGCTGACGATGACACGTATGTGATCGTGGAGAATCTGCGGTTTATGCTGTACAAGTACTCTCCGGAGCAGCCCATCTACTTCGGCTGCAAGTTCAAGCCCATCGTGAAGCAGGGCTACATGTCCGGCGGGGCGGGATATGTGCTGAGCAGGGAGGCGTTGCGGCGCTTCGTCACTGAGTCCCTGCCGGACAAGGCGAAGTGCCGCCAAGACGGACGGGGAGCCGAAGATGCGGAGATTGGGAAGTGTCTTGAGAAGGTGAACGTGACTGCGGGCGATTCGAGAGATACCGAAGGCAGGGGGAGATTCTTCCCGTTCGTTCCAGAGCACCACCTCATTCCCAATCACGTGGACAAGGATTTCTGGTATTGGAAGTACATTTACTACCCAACGGACGAGGTGAGTGGCTTTGAGGGATGAATTTGTGGGATGAAAACTGATCATTTGATCATGCTTTAGGGCTTGGACTGTTGCTCAGACAATGCCATATCTTTTCACTACGTCACGCCAAACGAGATGTACGTTTTGGACTATTTGATCTATCACCTGAGGCCATACGGCATCATAGCGTATCCGCAGAGTTTGCCGGAGAAGAAGCCTTATGTGAATCAGACGCAAAGCAGTTCCACTAGTCAGCAGGAAGTACAACAGAAGAGTAATACCGAAACAGGAGCCAAAGATCAGCACTAAATTGATAAAAAAAAATTGATGCCATAGATAGAGAACTTTCTCAGATGTTTCAATAGAAAATCCACTTCTTGGTCATGCGATAATCATGATATTTTTTTCTAGTTTAGTAATTTATTGATATTTTTAGTCACAATTTATTTAATATTAGAAATGAAACAGTGATTGTCAGTTGCGCTTCAAAGACATCTTAAGCTGTGTAAATTTGTGCACAAAATTTTGTGAATGGAGAGGAGATTGAATATTTTATTTTGCGTTTTCCAAAATTATTTATATATAAAAAAAATGTCTCAGACGAAATACCATGACTGGTAAGATTTGGATAAATCTTCTTATTTTATATATTTTAGACGATTCTGCAAAATTGCAGTTGATTTTGTTTGTCGTGTTTTATTTCAGTTTTAAAAAAATGCTTTGAATGAGAATTTTAGGAGGAAGTCTCAGAAATGGGATCTGCGTGATTTTAAGTAGAGTTCGTGTGCATATTACAGTTCAGATATGGCAACATTAGTCATAAGATGCATTTATTGTCACATCTCGTTGTCTTTTCTCAAAGCAACTAACCTTATGTAACCAAATCGACAATGCCATTTGTATAATTATGAATAAAAAAGATGAATTTAATTACACTGGTGTTGCTCGCGAAGCCTTTTAGAGATCACTATCGTTTTGATATCGCAATCAAAACAGTATAATATTGAGCATTTTTCCCTATCATTTCTTATAATCTCACATAATTGCCTGAGCATTTACAGATGCAAGAAAGCGAAACGTACAGATTTTATTGGAATATCCGTTGTAATGGTTCCGATAAAGAGAACAATATCGCATAATTTAATCTGGCAAAAAGGCCAAAATGTTCTCTGGAAGGAATTTGAAGAAAAAAATCTCATTATTAATGTCAATATTTCATAATCAAACGGCTATGATGCATAAATATTGGGTTCGTTGTCTCTTTTCGACTTTAATTCTTTCTGAATCAAGCGAAAATAATCCCCAACTTTATGTTTACCACGTCTTTAACGCCCCGAAAGTCATCGAAACTTGATGAAATTTTGGTGATTCGTAATGTATTTCAGGACTCAAGATGCATATAATGAGATGCCGCCTTTCTTGAGTGGCTGGCTCACGACAAAGGTGTGCATTTTTTGGCCTTTTATTGTCGCCAATAAAGATAAGAAATACTGCATTTTGACTCAATCTACATGAATCTCGCGATCAAGATGACTCTTGCATGTTTTCACCCGCAACGAAGGTGGAAAAATCTCTTGCAGATAAATATATTTTTGCAATTTTCATAAATTAATAATAACATCTCTGTGTGTTGCACAATTTCTCTCTCTGCAATTTGTGCGTCGCAGCCATTCTTGTGTGTGTGTGTGTTTGTTTCTCTTGTCTTCTTTCACAATTACTTTTTGGCCTGAAACATTGATTGAATTTGCATTCCCGCCACGCAATCTCTCGGGATGAATTCAGCACATTTTCTTCGATCGGCATGAATCTGAGTAGAATTGTGTGAGTTCGCGGCTGGAATTAGATCAAATCATTCTCAGCCGATTTTACTGAGAAGTGTCTCGACAATCGATTTAAAATGCGTACTCGCGAATGCAGGTGAAAGTGAAAGGAAACAACCAAATGATCGCAATTGCGACCTTCCCACAACGGAGGCATATTTCATACTTAACAACTTGCATTCTGCTCGAGCGCCACAGCCAGAAGCTCTCCATCATCCACTTCGATTCACTTCTCCGCGAGACACCCAACAATACAAACCCTTTTTTGCTCCCGGGCTTTGCTTTCGCGAAACCGCGAGGGGCTTTCAATTGCCTTCAACAGAGCGTTTTTGTACGGATTATCCTAGAATATTTCAGAACATTGGGAGACATTGAAATTGGATAGAATTCTACAATGTGTTTGTAAGTTTTTCATCTGGTTATTTATTCGCCCTTCTATTCCTCTTGAATGTTAATTATCCGCGAAGCAAAAGCGCGATTATTACTTGTGTGTTTCTAACATCACAAATCGCCCCACTATTGCACAATCGCTCTTTGTCAGACAACACAAAACCATACAAGACGTGTAAAAAAGTCGATTCGCCGGCTCGATATGAGATGTCTAATTTAGTTCAGGCAGTAAGTGAATTTTTAGGCGGCTTTTTCGAGTGGGTGGAGGACTCGTGATTCAATCTGCCTCCTTTTGTCTGCCTCTGCGCTCAGTTGAGTTCTCGGGAAATTGGCTGGGAAGAGTGTTTGCTTAAGCCAACAACACGGATGTCGATGCCGGCAGCTGAGTGTCTCTTCCACATCATCGCATGCCTTCGATTCGCGCACTTTTCACTGCCCCGCCTTCATTTCGGCACTCCAACCGTGCAGCGATCATAAAGTTGTGACAGAAATCGATGCAGGGAGCAATTAATTGTTTAACGTGCGACGAAGAGAAGTGCATGCAAAAAAATAGTGAACCACTTAGCGAATTAATTGGTGGGAAATAATAAGCATGTTATTCGCCAGAAATTTCGCCCACGAGCTCAAAGTTTGGGCCCAAAGAGAGACATTAATTCTGAAGAAGGTGACTTTTTATATTAAAATATATTTTAAATATTTTAATGCTACACATTATATATTTCGCCGCTCCTCGCCTACGCACTCCCAGCTCGTTGCCCTTCTTCAGGAGCCCCCCGTGGGGCAAAGTGACTGAACAATGTCATTTTTTCTCAATCGCAAACACACTGCAAATTCACTTACGAGGGGAACTTTCTCTGCAACTTGCGCTAATGTGACGAGTTGAACTCCCACTCGAGCATAGAAAATGCTAAGTGGCTGCGGTGAAAAAAGAATGCGAGAGGCGGTAATTAGGAAAATGGTCTTGTGTCAGAAATGAGAAATGAGCTGTTTTGAGAAAGGAAAGCTCCCAAATCTTCCAAATCCACTTTAAGGCGAACGTCTTGACGAAATTGGATTTGTCAGCTTGCAAAAACAACTTCACATTCATCTGCAAGGAAAAGTATAGTTGAGATCTCAGACTAAATGGGCACTTTTAGATATTACAGATTAGTAAATCTCGCCGACTTTCTCAGATTTAGCTTTTCGTATTTAAGCAAGCTTCTTGATATTTCTTGGTAAAAGATTTTTAAGCAAACCGCTTGGTCTCTTTGATCTTTCCGCATATTTTTAAGTGCATCTCAGAGCAATAACGCTTGGAAGCTGCTCAGAATTCGGCAATTTCAGGTGCCATCGCGAATCGATTAAGCAACGCGTTCGGGTGATTTTAACGATCAACCATAAAGAGACACTTTCCGAGTCTCTAATCTGATCGGGCATCTACGATCTCGAGAGACTCCAACTCTGCTCCTGGCCACTCTTCAGCTGTCGGCAAGAGAGCCAGAGAGAGCACGGCTGAGAGTTTGGCACGTCTTGGGCACTCTCCTGGGCACAACGACAGGTTTTTCGCTCGAGCAAGTACCGTTAGGCGTGCTGGTGTGCAGCGGCCGGGTGGGGGCAGCGGCGCCGAAAAGGGGGCCCAGAGAGGGGATCTCTTGGAGTTGCGAGTGTCGGATTCTCCTCCAGAGACGGCAGTTGTGGATGAATCTCGATCGTGACCGGACACTCAGCGTTCAACGGCGTGTTTTCTGTTTCTGGTTTCCCAATATACCTCTCTCTCTCGCTGTCGACCAAGAGGCAAAAGTGGTTAGTGAATTTCTTGGCGAGTTGTTGTGGCCAAATTCCATCGTCACACCTCCTCGGACTGAAGAATTTGTGGTGAAAAAAATCGTGGCAAAATCTCGAGCATTTCCCTGTAGTTTTCCAAAAGTCGCTCACTCGCACCGCTCTCAGTCGTTTTGGCCTAAGCCCCCAGACAAACGGGATACGCCAGAGAGAGCCATGAGACTATGTGACAAGTTTGGATCATCTGTCAAGTGGTTCTTTTTGTAGAATAACGGTGCTCGCAGGCACTTTTCACTGGAGTGGCGAGCAGAAATTTTTGTGTGAAGCTCCATCTTAGCCACTATAAATAATAAAAGTACGTGATCCGACCATAAATTCACTGTGGAAGCTCCATCAACACTCACCATCGTGTTTTACACGTACATTGTTAATATATTTGAACGAAGTGAAAGAGAATTTTATAATATTTTACTTCACTTTTCATTTTCAACCGCACAAACACTGTGATATTAAGTGTGTTGAACATGAAAAATGCAACTTCTCTGTGAGCGCCGTTTTGGGAGCTGCAAAAATGTGGGCAAATGCAGAGAAAAAAAAAGTGTGAAATTGGACAGTTGTGTGAGAGAAATTGTGACACAATTTTTATTTCCCTTCTTCACCCAGCAAGATAGCGATTTATTTTTTTGTTTGGCTGCACTTCTTTCAACTACAAATCATTTTATTGTTGTTTGCGTTGAAATTTATGAAATATTAGTCACTGTGTTGTGAAACACATGTTTTCTTCCCAACTTGACCTTTAAAATCTTAATGCATTGCATTTCATAAAACATTTCTGAAACTCTTAATTGGCTCTTCCATGAGGGAATTTTACCAGCCATGCGACATCAATTTTAGCACAGCACTGTTTCCCTAGGAGATAAATTCTCTCCACACCTCGAAGCATCAATTATATTCTTGAGAAAAGCACGGGGAAAACGGTGAAAAGTCCATTGAATATGCCAATCAGTAGAATGAGTTTTTTCATCCCATCTCCGAAAGCTCGTAGAGGCGTTAAAAGCGAGCTGAAAGAGAGAAAAAAGATGCAATAAATTATACTTAATCCAGGTGTATTTCAATGAATCTAAAAATGGAATCAACAATTTTTGTGCGGCTCGAGCGCGCGCAATAAATTGTTTGATAAAAACTTTTACTTTCATTTTTATTCACTCCACACAGTTAGATATTTTGACTTTTATATTTGGTTTTTAATTAGTTTCGGTAGCTAAATTGCAAATGTCTTTGTTGCTGTTACTTCACATTTTTTCGAAGCTATTCGATCGCTTTTTCTCTCTTTCGCTCCTCTTTTCAAGTTTTTGGTGTCTAATATTGGCAATATGAACTGAAAAATATGGCAAAGATATTGCCGTGTGACCTCATTTTAGTGTAGTTTTTTCCCCCAGTTAATATTATAATCTTAATTATGGCAGTGCTTAGAGGAACTGTGCGCAAAGTGGCTGCAGATGCATGCCAAGGGAATTGAAAATTTTCCCATCTCTTAGCGAACTGGTCATTAAAATGAATTGTTTCTGAGGAAGATGATTGGGCGGGCAAAGGAGCCTCAATGGGCTGATGAATGTAATTTTGCTGGTAAAAGACACAGAGAGAGGCAAGAAGTCAATATAAAAGATTCCCCACTTCCTTTCCTCATTCAAAAACACACACACAATACAGTGCAAGTCGCTAAGATGCAAACACCTTTTGGTATTGCAAATCTTCGGAGAATGTGTTTTTCGGCAGATAAGTGAATTTGCATAAATTGCTAACTGCTGGATTTACGGAAAAAGTTTTTGATGAAATCTCTGTGAAAATGGACATTTTGTGAAGTAATAAGTCATTGTTTTGAATTAAAAATCAATTTTGACTATCATCTCGACTCACTATTGCTAGTGTTCACTGTAGTCTCTCCCAGAGACATGAATCGAAGAGATGAATCTTCGGTGTTACGTAAAGAAGACAAAACTTGCACAACACTTGAAGCAATCTCATGTATTTCTCTGCATGTCCATGGCGCTTCGGTAATGTTTTCTGCTAATTCATCCAACATAGCAATTAAACGGGGGACTTATCGTAATTTGAGCCACATAGACGAGGAGGTGGAGACGAATTGGCACACGAGATAGTAATTAAGTAGTTGGCAAGTGGTAAGAGTTTGCGCCCTTTTGCAGTTTGCTGACACCTTGATGTGAATGAGTGAGTGTGAAATGGTGTCCACGGAAGCGTGATCTCCATTAATTGTGATTAGGGCTGCTCGTCCACGTGAACTCCATCGCGGAGACAGTGCAAGATTTTGGTGGTGACACACAAGATAATGCTGTAAAGATGAATAATGTGTTGCTGGTTGTTTTTCCATGGCGAAGAAGAAGACCCGTTTGGCCACTTCTCCTGGCAACACTTGCCATCTTAGTCACATCGATCAGTGGAAATGAAGAAGGTGAGTTTTTGCAAAGTCCACAACTTATTTCCTCACCGCGTATTTCCCCCCTTGTGCACAATATGACCCACAGACCAGATCCTCAAAACTAATAGGTGTTAAAAAGCAACTACAATAATAGGTGAAAATATGCCGCAGATCACGCCTTTCTTCGTGCAAATAAAACTGGAAAAGAATTTATGATTATAGACGGACAATGTGAGCTCTGTTGCTAATTTCCGATACTCCGGCTCTCCTCTAGAGTTTACGTAAGACACGTAAGACTGGGAAATTCTGCGCTCACGGAAAGTCCATTTAATTTAAGAGACCATAAAAGTCAATCTTTAGTGCAATCAATTTGGAGTTTTGAAGATTAGGCGCCACGAAAACAGGGTTAGCCCTAGTTTTTGCGAGAAGCTTCTTTTTACCTAAATATTAGCCTCACGAGCTCCAAATTCCCAATCAAAACAGCATAAAAATATTAAGTCTTTATATCTCAATTAAGAGCGGATTTTAACATGACCGTGGGAAGGCCACAACATATTGAATATAATTGCCATATCAGAGATACACAATAATTGAATTACTTTAATTTAACATCATGTAGGTATTAAGTAATATTGGTTTTGTTTATTCTGACTTGAGTGCAGTATGCAAAAAAGTCGCACATCTTGAGAAACTCTTCTACACTCTCGGGAGGTACTTTCGGGATGTTAATGGTCGTGTTCAGTCATCAATGTGTTCATTTAAGAGTCACTCTCGCGATGGCAAATATTCATGCTGAGGGAGATTTTCTCAGGCGCGAGGAGGAAAAAGGCAAACAGTGAGTGGTTTATTGAAGTTTTGCCTGCCAAAATGCACGCATTAACCATAATTGTGTGATGTCGACGGAAAAAAGTGACCATTTAAGGTGATACTCATTTAAGAGCAGACTAATTATTTTACATTTTACTGGAACAGAAGCTCCGATCACCTGTGCTGCGGTTAAATTGGCACTTTGGTTAATTAATCTTGTGTCTATACGGTTAATTTGTAAATGAAATCTCACATTCATTATGTCATTGTATCACTGTCACGCACATTAACACGATATTATTTATTGTCACTCTATCTTGGCGTTGGATTTCTACAAAATTGGGTCAGTAGCGAAACTGTGAGTGACCAACGAGTCTAATGATATCATGCTTATGAATCTCAAAAGCCAATATCTCAGCGGACAGCGCATGAGTTCTTGGTCAATCTGGGCTAAGTCAACTTGGCTGAGGCAGGATTTTTGATATCATTCAAAGGTAATTACAGGGTATTCAGACAGTATTTGGAAGTAATTTCTGTTTCTCTTTGCCAAAGAGAAACCATGAAAGATACACAAAAGAGTTTGAACTCAGATAGTCTTCTTCAATGGACAAAAAGTGTTGTCAAGGTGTGTTTGCTCTTCTTGAGATGCCCTCATCATGGCTGATGTTGTTCGTTGACAAAAATCAATTAAGCATACAAGTGAAAACACTTTAATGAATAATCGGCGAATTAAGGCCAAGACTCGTGTAAGTTGCACCATTATTAAATAATAATTATGAGCAATAAACATTTCTCATTGGATTTCTAATGGGCATAATATAGTCTTTTTTTATGCGCGATCCCCTCATCTTTCGGACACATCAAAACCCCACAAGAAGTGATCACACACAATCGAATCGGCGAATGATGATAATAAAAAAGTGGATCGGGTTAGGCAATGGCTCAAGGTAAATATGGTCAAGCATTAAAAGTGAATCAGTGTGTCTATCGTCAATTCTTCCCACTGTCTGCTTAATGTTCTTCGGAGCTAAACACGAATTAAATGGGATGATTTGCGGGAAAAAATGCGCGCCTTTATTGGCAAAAGATCGATGAACTGCTGATATGACATCCGAATATTACATTGCTTTGAAAAGACCTTTTGTGGGGAGATTCTATTATTAGCTTTTAATCGTGATATCCCCCTTCCTCGCCCATCAAACGTCTGTCACCTGCTGATTGTTCTTCCAACTCTGTATATCCCGGATGTGAGGCTTTTATGTGATTGTTGAGGAAAAATTTGCACCATCAGACGCGAGATGCTGAATGCTAATTTATGTGACTATTTCTAGAGTTACAATGATGCGGTGGTCTTAAGAAAATGCATCAGACATTCTTCTACGCTATTCCGAGTCCGTCTTGGACGTCTTGAAGAGTTTGAAGGAAATATTTTAACTTCTGCGCAAATTTTCGTCAATCGTTCTTAATTACGTACTTCATGTTGAGGATAAGGATCGATATTAGTTTGCAAATTTATTCTTTGACTTTCTAAACAGAAGATTGTTACTGCGTCTCAATGTCTCATTCTTCACGATTTAGTTGTGCTGAGGCAATCTCATTTGGTCTCTCTAAATATTTGCGATCTGCAAACTGAGCGAAATCTATGTAGAATTGGTGGAATTCAGAGAAAGAATGCCAATAATTGACACATGAATTTTAAAGATCCCGCGTCTCATGACATTTAATGGGCATTTGTGGAATAATTGACCTGGAATGTCCAAGCATCGGTCAGTGTTGTATTTTTGGTCCATTTCATTAAAATAAATTTGCCGCGAGAGCAAAAAGTGTCTTGTGGGCTGTGAGACAGAATCGTCAGCGGTCCGAATCCAACCTTGGGATCACCCAAGCAATTTGTAACACGTGGCCAGAGATATCACCTGTGAGATTGAAAGTGAATTCATTATATGGGATGGCGAGGTAATTAAGTCAATTAGAGTTTAAATAGAAACACATTTGCTGAACATCAGGATTTCTCGAGATTCGCGCATCTCATTAGCAATTATGCTTCTCAGCTGGAGACAATTTGCACGATTGTGAAGAGGGTGTGTGTTGGATTTGCTTGTGCCCAGAAGCGACCGTGTCGAATTGGAGATGGTAGTAAAATTTGCAATTATCCTTCATTACGGGCGGCATTGTTTGCGCCCGTTGGAGGCGGAAAGTGGCGGTTTTTCTATTGACTCTCCGAGGCGGAATCAGCAGAGATCGCGACTTCTCGCCTCTTGAGCTGCGTCTTCCTGCATTTTGAGATCAAACAGAGAGACGTGGAGAGCAGGCGAAGACATAAATTCACGATGAGCTATCTCACCTTCACATACCACAGACATTTTATAATGAATACAAACCCAGAAGCTTCGTGAATTACACCAAGTGACGACATCAAATGAGCGAATTGTGATCATTGGCAAAACACCTGAAAATTTCCATCAAGAGTGTAGCATCTCGCGTATAATCACCAACTTGTTACCATCCATAAGATAAACAACAAGTGGTAGGTGAGAAATGGCTTTTACATCACCGCACGGCACTTCTGCGTGGCTGAAGAGAGTGATCGGGAAAAAACATGCTAAATGTCCCCCCAAAAGATAAGCGCCCAGAGAGTGCGTAAAAGGAGAAGAAATTTCCATCAAAAGTGTGCCAAAAAGTCACTCTTTTCGTGAAAGGCCGACATGCTTGAAATTTTTTCATTCATCGGCCAGTAATCGCATTTTCCAACTGCTCTACGACATGAAAATGCGCCGACGTGTGGGTTTGCTCAAAATGAAAAGGTACCTCTTGACGATGCAGTCACTCGAGGCAAAAGTGTCGCAATTGATGATGGATGATTATTTGAAGCAGCTTGAGTTTCTGAGGACACTTTCGACCTCACTGCCATACACTTTGCACGGCAAACAGACAGATAATCACAATATCATTATGATTCATATTCTCCGATACTCCGCATGGGTGTTAGATTGACGAAGAAAACAGTGCCGCGAGCCTTCGATGGACGATCACAATCAACAAGACGGAATTTCGGAATTAAGTTGAAGAGATGCTCCTAAAATGCGTGTCAAATTTGTGATGTGCATAAACTTAAGGGCTTCAAATAAACATTTATGACGCCTTTCAGCGTTAAATGGGCTAAAATTGTTTACAATATTCCACGTAAACCGGTAAATGTAACCTTTATCATAAATTAAAGTGGCAATCTATCACTCTCGATCTAAATGGGATTTCTTATATGCGATAGCACAAGCGCGGTGTACTTAATATTCATAAAATGCGTGCATTTACTTACTGAAGGGATTATCTGCGTAAATTGACATGAAGGACGGCGCTTTTTCTCTGTCTCAGACAAACCAGACAAATTTGATCGAGTTTTTTCCTCCCCGAAATATTTAATTCACGCACGAAACGAGTTGGTACTTGAGATATCTGGGAATTGTTGGACACAAAAAAGATGTTACCAAGATAAATTGATCTCTTTCGATATTGCCAAAAGTGAATCGCGCGCACTACTTGAGAAGAATCCCGTCGTGACCAATTAAAATTTATCTCTCATCTCGAAATCACATGATGTTTTCATTACTCATCAAGCAGATGTGGAAGTCACAAGATTCGCAGATTCTTTTCTTTTGCTTTTTTATTGTGCGGCAGAGAGAGAGAAAAAAGCGTTTGGCAGAAAATTATGGTGTGTATAAAAATTGTATGCAAAATTCTAATCAAATACGCAGACGTCAGAGGAGAATCACCTTGGTGGCAATGGCAAGAGTGAAACAGTGAGAAATACCACGAGGGTTCGTCGCCGAAGCGCTCAAGTCTTTTGTCTCTCATTCACGAAAAATGGTGTCTCAAATTAGATGCAGATCAATTAACATTTTTTCTCACAAATACAGAGCATGAAAAAACGTGCATTTGGAGTATTTTTTCTTAGCAAGAGACATTATGTAGTCTCTTTTTCGTAAATTATAATGAAAATGCAATAAAAGTTGAAAAGGTCAGAGTTAATTTTTGCGTGAATGACAAAAAAACCCTTGCTTTTTTGGCTTTTCAGTTCGCAATACGATCGCGAGCAAATGTTTAATCTGCTAACAAACCCGTTCTGAAAGTTCACTGATAGATGAGATATTTTTAACATTTCTTCAATTTGTGGCCAAAGCGTGGTTTCTTTGTCACTGGGGGATTTTTTGTCCCAGAAAAGAGTATAAATTGCGGTTTTCTCGGTTTACTCACGCGGTGTGATTGCTTAGAGAGAGAAAACATGTCTCAACTTACATTTCAGCTCATTTAATAAATATTCTGAAATGGAGTTAAAATTTAAACATGTGTCACGCACAGAATGTAGAACATTGTATGGAATGGAGTTATTAAATTGCATTCTGACATTGACAAGATTAATTGTAAATCGATCGCATTTTTTGCAGCGCAACAGAAATCTCTACCTAGCAATTTCTTCAAGTATAGAATTTGCACAGCAGAGCTAAATTAACGAATTAATGAATTAATGAATTTAATTAATGAGATGTGGAGTTATAATGGCTGCTTAAAGTGTGTGTTTTTCACTGAAAATGAATCCACGTGAGGGAAAAGGTAAAAAAAGGCCGCCATGGCAAATTTGTGACCATCAGCGTGTTAAAGTCTTAGGATGTTTAATTAATTTGTGGCCAGTCTTTCGCATTCATTTGCACAGAAATCCTCATGGCTGGCAATAATGTGTGACACGACCTTCAGGTCTTTGGCGAACATGCGTCTTCGTGATTTTAATTAATCCCACGAGCTTCACAGAGCATGTCAAACTACATGAAGCTCCACTCAAGTGATCTTAACATCCCAAATAGGTATTTTATGCAATTTACACGGCTCCAGACCGGGACATGTGGCGTGATCTGATTCTAGATTGCATAAATAAGCGGGGTTGTCTTGTGACTACATACATCAGGTTCTTGGTTTTCCTCAACCAGTGCAAAAAATACGGGTAATTCGAGCGAATCATTGGGAAACCATTTGCATGGTGATAGCCATAAAATCCCAGCAGTTGTTTGTGATATCAACTTGATCGACTAATCAATATCGTGCGTGATTAACCCACTTTTTCTCATTTTTTTTTGCTGCAGAAAAAATCCTGAGTCACACCGAAAAGCAGCGATACGATGGATGGTACAATAACTTGGCACATCCCGATTGGGGTTCTGTTGGTGAGTAATGAAAAATGCCACTTCTAAGCCACATCGAGAGGCCGATGCAAAAAGAGAGCGCTGCGTCACGAAGAGATATGCAAGGCTGAGAGTGTAAGGAATTCCACGCGGGAGAAAAAAAGAATTGGAACAGAATTGCTTTATTAATCGCGACTAAAAGCATAAATTTGTGCTGATTTTTCACTTTTATGCCCTTTTTATGCAATACCGCGCAATGCATAAATTCACTTTTATGCCCTCCCCAAATGATATATCATTTGGCCGCCTTATTGCTGCACTTATGCGCTGGCGATCACGTAATTAATTATCAGATGCGGGAGATGAAGACCAGGCTAAAGGAAAGAGACAGTTTTGGAGCCACAAGTTAATAATTCCTCCGGCGCAAATTGCTTCAGGTTTTCATTGAGATTTATTATGCGAACATTCTTTTCTCTTGGTCGTTTTTATTCGCACGAAATTACCGTCGAACAAAATGCTTTTAATACAACGTGACAATTATTTATAAGTGTTCGCGGATTGGTTATAATTTTTTCGTTGGCAGACCTATTGGAACGCATAAATTATTAATTTTCCACTCTGACTCAAAAATCTCGTCCAATTTGAGACCTCCTTGTCCAATTAATAAAGCCCGACAGAATGTTACAGTTTCAATTTGGCGCACAGTGGACGGGAAATTTATTATTCCACTCTGGGCGAGCATTAATTTGGCGTGGTAGAAATGTATTCAAATTTATGCACTTGTTGCCTTCTTGATTCGCTTTTTTTCTAGATCACGCGCATTTTTTTTCGTCAGTTTGCAAGAAGTAAAAGAAGCAGAAATTTATTCAAATGGACAGGATATTTATATTTAGCATTCCGCAAGTTTAACTAATTTGGATCAGCCAGAATAACATATTGAGATGGAAAGTGATTTGTTTGACTTTTGCTTTGAGCATAAACAAATTTTCTCTACACGAATCAGTCAAATTGCATAAATTATGCCTGCTATGTTGTGAGACATATTGATCAATTACATTGGCATCTTAGAGAAATACATCTCGAATCACAATTAATGTCTTTTGCGAATTTATCCATCTGTTGCTGTTTATTTATCTGCGATATAAATGTGAGTAATGTCTCTCGAAAATCCAATAAAACACATGATTTACGATTCGCTCGTCATTATTCATGCAGTGCCCAAAGTGGAATCATAAATTTCGTCGCGAGTGTAAAATTCAATATTGGTGAAATTGAACTTTAATTTATTCCTCAGTGTCTCTCAATTAATCAAGAATGTAATGTTATGAAACGCGATATTATGTGGGAAATTAAGGTGACCAAAACCCGGATTCAATTCGCACAATTGTGAGTAATCGCGATGGCGAGTAAAAAGTATGGCTTAATTGTGATGGATAACTCGATGATGTCAATTGACAAACGAGATCCGTTTCCCAGATACAGCAATTTTCAATTAATTTTCTCATAAACTCGCAAAGACTGTTGAGGAAGGCGAGAGTGAGGAAAAAAGTGAGTGAAGCAATTTTGACGCAGAACTAGTCCAATGGCAGCAAGAACAGAAGCTCAATGAGCCACTTCCTATTCGCCAATTGTAGGCACTTCAAATAAAATTTATTGCTATTGCTATGCCGCTTTTTTTTGCCACGCAGACCGATTGTGATCTGCAAAGCTCGACTTTGATGGTCTGGCGAAACTCGTGGTTCGCACTTTTTTTGCTGCTCTGCTATCGACACATGTAAAAAATTGCACGAACCACATGGAGTGAATAGATTGCCTCACTGTGCTCGAGAAAGACCAAGGAGGAAAGGTGAAAAAGAGTGGCTAGAAGTCAAATTTAAACAGCGGCGAGATGTTTCAATCTCATAAAGCGAAGCGCGCGAGTTGAAGTAATTTCCTGGAAAATTACCCACTTAAAGTGTCCATTAAAAGGTTCTTGTTTGGAAGAAGAGCAACTTGATGAAGGCACGGAAGTGGCTCAATTGGAGATTTATTATGTGTCTTGTGCTGGATCTCTTTCAAAATTAATTGCTCAATAAAACACCTGTTTATGCAAATTAATTAATCTATTAGCTTGGCTCCTTATGAAATTCATTCGACTGTCCATATTTAATTTTATTACTTCTTCGCTCAACTTTAGAGCCAAAGCAAGAGCATTCCATAAGACACACGCTGATGAGGAAGAAGGAAAAGAGTGGCAATGAGTGAATTTGCCAGCACTCGAAGGCGGCGTGCATGAGCAATGCGACAGATTGACATTGAGAAACCCTAGACGGAAAAGAGTTCCTTAAGACTGTGTAGTTAGAAAATTATTAGCATTTGCATTTCAATTCATAAAATTGCGAAAGACATTTATAATCATTTAGGAAAACGGGGAAAATTAATTAGAGGGTAACTTTACGCATTTTCTAATTGATTGGTGGTGGAGAAACGGAGTTGAAAAGTAAAATCTACGCTATTGCGTATAAAACATATTGATAGACGAATGTCATTTATTTATAATATAATTTTTGAGAAGTTATGAAAGAATAGGCAATTTCCTGACAAATTATTCTGAGCAGCAGTTGAGAAATTTCACGCTGAAGTGTATTGGAAAAGGCAGTGTAAGAAGCGTCAAAGTCAAGATCACTCATAAGTGGTTGATTGATATTGCTGTGTCGTTTTTGCTCCTTGTCAATTTTTGCTGCGGGGATAAAAAGCGTGACCCTCTTCGTCTCATCGCGTCTTCGGCTCTCTTTTTGCGGAAACATCCGTCACTTGAAGGAAGTGTGCGGATTATCGGACCAATTAATTATCCGCTGAAATGGTCTTAATGGTCTTTTTTCTTACCCCGCAGATACTCACCTGGTGAGAAAGGCTCCGTCTGCTTATTCGGATGGTGTCTACGCACTGGCCGGCGCCAATCGGCCATCTCCAAGAAGACTGAGTAGGTTATTTATGCGTGGCGTCGATGGATTAGCCTCCAAGTCAAATAGAACGGCGATTTTGGCTTTCTTCGGTAAGTCAATTCATCTCCTTGAGGTCGACTCTCAAGTGTTTTGCTTGGGATTTATGACAAGGTGTCGAGATGATGATTAAGTCTGCACTTAAAAATTGTGTATGGACAATAATATTTTTCCGCGTTAAACTCATTAAGTACCTGTGTTTATGCTTGTGCATGGCGATTCTGGGAATTTGTGTGATGTAAGAGATTAGTGAGAGAGTTTACCATGTTGCAGGCCAAGTCGTTACCAATGAAATCGTGATGGCTTCGGAGTCGGGCTGCCCAATTGAGATGCACCGCATTGAGATTGAGAAATGTGATTATATGTATGACAAGGAGTGTCGAGGCGACAAGTACATTCCATTCCATCGGGCGGCGTACGACAGGGACACCGGCCAGAGTCCCAATGCGCCGCGAGAGCAGATCAACCAGATGACGGCCTGGATTGATGGCAGCTTCATTTACAGCACTTCCGAAGCGTGGCTCAATGCCATGCGATCCTTCCACAACGGCACCCTGCTCACCGACCACACAGGCCAGATGCCCGTGAGGAACACCATGCGCGTGCCACTGTTCAACAATCCCGTGCCGCATGTCATGAGAACGCTCAATCCAGAGCGACTCTTCTGTAAGTCTTTCCGTTGGTCGGTGGCTTTTGAAGCGCCAGTTTTGCCTACATCGCGGCTGTTAACACTTCTTATATTTGCAGTACTCGGAGATCCGCGAACAAACCAGAACCCAGGGCTTCTCTCGTTCGCCATCCTATTCTTCAGGTGGCACAATGTGTTGGCGCGCAGGATCAAGAAGCAACATCCTACGTGGACGGATGAGGACATTTTCCAGCGCGCTCGAAGGATTGTCATTGCTTCTCTGCAGAATATCATCCTCTATGAGTACCTTCCAGTTTTCCTGGACGTCGAGATTCCGCCCTACAAGGGTTACCTGCAAGACACGCATCCTGGTAATGACTGAGTACGGAATTGTTTTACATCGTTAGTAATCTTAACTTCGTTTTCAGGCGTTAGTCACATGTTCCAATCAGCGGCTTTCCGCTTCGGTCACACCATGATTCCTCCTGGCTTCTATCGTCGCGATGGGAAATGCAAGTATCGCACCACTGCTATGGGTTATCCTGCTGTGAGATTGTGCACGACTTGGTGGGATTCGAACGAAGCTCTGTCCATCACCAGCATTGAGGAGATCCTCATGGGTCTCTCATCGCAGATCGCTGAGCGGGAAGATGCTGTCCTGTGCACGGATGTCAGGGACAAGCTATTCGGCCCGATGGAGTTCACCAGAAGAGACTTGGGTGCTTTGAATATCATGCGCGGGAGAGACAATGGATTGCCCGACTACAACACTGCGAGGGCGGCTTTCAAGCTGCCGAGAGTGAAGGAGTGGAAAGACATCAACCCCCAGTTCTTCGAGAAGCACCCGGAAGTGATGGGACTGCTCGTGTCGGCGTACAGCAATCGCCTGGACAATGTGGATGTGTACGTGGGTGGAATGCTGGAGTCAGATGGAAAGCCCGGCGAACTCTTTTCAGCCGTGATAGTTGAGCAATTCACGAGAATTCGAGATGCTGATCGTTTCTGGTTTGAGAATGAAGAAAATGGAATTTTCACAGCAGAAGAGATTGCAGAACTGAGGAAAATCACTCTGTGGGACATTATTGTGAATGCCACGGACATCAAACCGGATGAGATTCAGAGGAACGTCTTCAAGTGGGTTACAGGAGATCCTTGTCCTCAGCCCATGCAATTGAATGCGTCTGAATTGGAGCCTTGCAGTTATCTCCAGGGCTTCGATTACTTCTCCGGCAGCGAACTCACTTTTATATATGTGTGTGTCTTCCTGGGTTTCGTGCCTATCCTCTGCGCTGCAGCCGGATATGGGGTTGTGAAGCTGCAGAACAGCAAGAGGAGGAAGCTGAAGATACGCCAGGAGACACTCCGCAACAAGGCCAACCATAAGGGATCTGTGGACAAAATGATCGCTCGCGAGTGGCTCCATGCGAATCATAAGCGTCTCGTTACGGTGAAATTTGGCCCAGAAGCCGCGATCTACACAGTAGATCGCAAAGGTGAAAAACTACGAACGTTCAATCTGAAGAATGTGGATTTAGTCACAGTGGAGGAATCCCAGTCTAACTACTCCCAAAAGAGACCATACATTCTCCTGCGAGTGCCAAATGATCACGATCTCGTCCTGGAGCTGGAGTCAATCACTCAGCGCAGGAAGTTCGTGAAGAAACTCGAAGACTTCCTCATTTTGCATAAGAAGGAACTGGCAATAACTGAGGTGAGTAATGATATTGAGGAGATTCGATGGAGATTTACGAATGCATGAAATGAATTTCTGTTCTTCAGGCCAATCGCGATATAATGCTTGCGAAGGCGGAAACCAGGGAGAGACGTCAGAAGCGACTTGAGTACTTCTTCAGGGAAGCATATGCTTTAACATTTGGCTTGAAGTAAGTGTGTTGGAAAAAATTACATTGCACATTTTGATTTTGACTGTCTTTTATTTGTCTTAAATCAGGCCAGGAGAACGGCGTCGTCGCTCAGATGTCTCATCGGACGGAGAAGTGATGACTGTGATGAGAACCAGCCTCTCCAAGGCTGAATTCGCCTCGGCTCTGGGCATGAAATCCGACGATATGTTTGTGAGAAAGATGTTCAACATCGTGGACAAGGATCAGGATGGACGAATCTCCTTCCAGGAATTTCTCGAGACCGTGGTGCTTTTCTCACGTGGCAAAACGGAGGACAAGCTCCGCATCATCTTCGACATGTGCGATAATGACCGCAATGGTGTGATTGACAAGGGAGAGTTGAGTGAAATGATGAGATCCCTCGTGGAGATTGCGCGCACCACAAGTCTGGGTGATGATCAGGTGACGGAACTGATTGATGGCATGTTCCAAGATGTTGGCCTGGAGCACAAGAATCACCTGACATACCAAGACTTTAAGCTGATGATGAAGGAGTACAAGGGAGAGTTTGTGGCCATTGGACTGGATTGCAAGGGGGCCAAACAGAACTTCCTGGACACGTCCACCAATGTTGCCCGCATGACTTCCTTCCACATTGAGCCAATGATGGACTCACGGCGCCATTGGTTACTCGAGAAGTGGGATTGCTACACGACATTCCTGGAGGAGAATCGCCAGAACATCTTCTACCTGTTCTTGTTCTACGTGATCACCATTGTGCTGTTCGTTGAGCGATTCATTCACTACTCCTTCATGGCGGAGCACACGGATTTGAGGCACATTATGGGAGTGGGAATTGCGATCACGAGAGGCTCAGCGGCTTCGCTGTCCTTCTGCTACTCTCTTTTGCTCCTCACGATGTCTAGGTTGGTTGAATGTTGTTGGATTCCCTCAATTCATCACTGTAACATTTCGAATGTTTCACTTTTTCAGAAACCTGCTGACGAAGTTGAAGGAATTCCCCATTCAACAGTACATTCCTCTGGACTCTCACATTCAATTCCACAAGATCGCTGCGTGCACTGCCCTTTTCTTCTCTCTGCTTCACACCGTGGGTCACATTGTGAACTTCTATCACGTGTCCACGCAGAGCATAGAGAATCTTCGCTGCCTCACACGTGAAGTTCACTTTACCTCAGACTACAAACCCGACATCAGCTTCTGGCTCTTCCAGACCGTCACTGGCGTCACTGGTGTGATCCTCTTCATCACCATGTGCATCATATTTGTCTTTGCTCATCCCACGATCAGGAAGAAGGCGTATAAGTTCTTCTGGAACATGCACTCGCTCTTCGTGCTACTGTACATTCTCTGCCTCATTCACGGACTGGCCAGACTCACAGGACCGCCGAGGTTCTGGCTGTTCTTTATCGGTCCCGGGGTGGTTTACACGCTGGACAAGATCGTGTCTCTGAGGACAAAGTATATGGCGTTGGATGTGATGGAGACGGATCTGTTGCCGTCGGATGTGATCAAGATCAAATTCTATCGGCCACCCAATCTGAAATACCTCTCTGGACAGTGGGTGAGACTCTCCTGCACAGCCTTCCGGCCTCACGAGATGCACAGCTTCACCCTCACCTCGGCTCCGCACGAGAACTTCCTCAGTTGTCACATCAAGGCTCAGGGCCCGTGGACGTGGAAGCTGCGCAACTACTTCGATCCGTGCAACTACAACCCCGAGGAACAGCCGAAGATTCGCATTGAGGGACCCTTCGGCGGCGGAAATCAGGATTGGTACAAATTCGAGGTGGCCGTGATGGTGGGCGGCGGCATCGGCGTCACTCCCTATGCGTCCATCCTCAACGATTTAGTCTTCGGCACCAGTACAAATCGCTACTCTGGCGTGGCCTGCAAGAAAGTCTACTTCCTCTGGATCTGCCCGTCGCACAAGCACTTCGAGTGGTTCATCGACGTGCTGCGCGATGTGGAGAAGAAGGATGTGACGAATGTCCTCGAGATCCACATCTTCATCACGCAGTTCTTCCACAAATTCGATTTGAGAACAACAATGCTGGTGAGTTGTCCAGTGTCACATCATTTAGTACACTCAATGCAAACATGCCGTGGACTTTGTGTAATTATGTGCATATCTTTAACATAATATCTCCGTGGCATTCGCTCGCGATGGGTTGATGAAGTTGTCGTGATTTTTATTAGCCAAGGCAAAACTCGAGACTTTTAAGGTGTGATTTGGTAACACTTCACGCTATCGGAGAGATAAAAATACATAAAAAAAATCTGTCCCTTCAAATTGGGATGCAATAAAATAAATTAGAAATGAAATTGTATGTAACTGATGTGTTGTATGTTGTATCTTTTCAGTATATCTGCGAGAATCACTTCCAGCGCCTATCGAAAACGTCCATGTTCACGGGTTTGAAGGCTGTTAATCACTTTGGGCGCCCAGATATGTCGAGTTTTCTCAAATTTGTACAAAAGAAGCATTCTTATGTGAGTAATTTGGGTGGATTTTCCACACAGCGAATGTGTCGTAATGTTGTTTTCCTCTGCAATTTGCAGGTGTCGAAAATTGGTGTCTTCTCCTGTGGACCACGTCCGCTCACGAAAAGTGTCATGTCTGCCTGTGATGAGGTCAATAAGGGCCGCAAACTGCCCTACTTCATTCACCACTTTGAGAATTTTGGTTAGTGTTGTTGTGCAAGTAATTAGGTATGTTTTTTTTCCATTGATCGCAGTAAATTTTAGGAATGATGTGTTTATAAAATTAGGAGATTTAGAGATGAAGAAGCAACGATTTTTTTTGTATAAATTCCTCAATTTAATTTATTTCTTTTTTATGGCAATTTTTACATTTATCAATTACGTTAATTTGTAGTTATTGCTATTAGGTTTACATTTGTAATTTTTTTTTATATAGACAACGCTGTAAACAAACGAATCGAATGATTTTTATTAAAGTGAGGAGAGTTGAAGCGAAAGAAGATTGAGTGCATGTTTTCTTCTCTCTTCTGATATGCTCGGGATTTATGATGCTAAATTGATCATTAATAGCAGCTGAAGAAGCGCGCAAAATCACCTGTTTTGAGAAGCAACATTGCGGGCTATACGATCCGCGAGCGAGACTATCATATATTAATATGTAACTATTCAGGCCATGGACGGACAAACATTATTTAATGGCATGTTGAATGCTTTTTACACACACTTTATTCGCCAATAATAATTATAAATATGGGATATTTAATAACTAAATGCATAATGCTATGATGCTTCTTTCGCGCTGATGCTTCACGTCTGGAGAGAAAAAAAAAAATCTCTTAAACGAATTCCACAAGCACAGTGAATGATTGATGAATGAGAGGCTTTTTTGCCCACCAAAATATTCCACACAAGTGTCGTGGCATAAAGGTAGTTTTCAGTGAAAGTTTGGCGCCGCCACGAGGAGAAGGAATAAAAACTTGGTCGATTGAAAGTGGAAGAAAAAAAGAATGGCGCACACAAAAGAAAACACTCCATTTGAGCTGTTATATTGAGAACTGAGAAAAATCATTCCGCCAATACGCTAATTTATCACATCACAAAAAGTGTCTTGTATCGCATTGCGTCGCTTTGCCTTTTTTTGTGAACTGCCTCTGAGCTAATATATGGAATAAAAAGGTGACTTGGACTCTCTTCTCTCAACTTTCTTCAACATCGCAGTTATTATGCAAGTCTGCTTGGCTTTTGAAGAAATGAACTGAGGCCTATCTCGTTGTCTCATTCGCCGTCTTCTCTCGCCTTCTCGCACTGAGAGAGATCTCATTGCAGTGGAGTTGAATGGAGCATAGATAGTGATCATTTATTAATTTATCGACCATGAGCATAGCAAATATCACGAATCTTCACTGAGAATGTCGGGTTCGTCGTTTATTTCGATGGAGTTTTTCGTTTCAATTCCTGCAAAATCAGTGGAAATGCTTTGAAATTAAACACATCTTCACTTATTTACAAAACATCAAACTCAATATCACTTTGCACTACTTATTAGCGCTTTGAATCTCCGATCTATGAAATGCCTCAGAGTGGAAAAGCAACTCTTCACCTCCGGCCAAATACAAAGTGTTGTAGTGCTGGTAAAAAATTAAATAATTCATTCGCAATTTTCAAACAATAAATCCAACAATTGCCTGTGAAATTATTCCTCCATGTGAATTTTAACATGACTCTTTCCATACACCAACACAATACATCGTCTTGAGAGCCGCGGCTCTCCACAAATCCTCAGCTGGTGCGGATTCACGTCTCTGTGCCACTGGATTGAGAGAGCGAGAGTCTCAATTTCGCTTTCATCACCCAGCATTTTGCTTTCAGTTGCCACTCGGACGCTTACCTGTGCAGATTTCGCGAATCGTTGCTGGGAAGAGTGCTTGTGAGTGCATAGTTTGATGTACTATTTCCCCGAGCCAGTTAGTCTCCTCTTAATTACCCTCCACTTCCAACTCCTCCGCAATGCCACGCGATTGGGCAATGGAATTATGGAAATGAGCTGTGCTGGGGACTTGTGATAAAAATAAGTGCGGGTGGATTTATTTTGAAATAATTGCCGCCTCAAATTGCACATTACATATGTGAGAGATAGATGAATTTCGAGCTAATGCGAATGGAATAGAGACACTGAGCCGTGCTGAGTTGAAAAGTCTTGATTTATGGACTTTTTAATTGTGATTTATCATTGAGATCCCTTGCGAAACATCGCGAGATCTTGAATTTTTTTTCTCTGACGCGCACACCTCAAGTCTGTACCAAAGGTGCCTCTTTTTTCTTGGTGCTTCGCAAGTGTTACAACTCATGTGTTTATGGAAATATCCATCGAGTGAAAAGTTCCATTATTCGCTGAATTGCACGAGGATCGAGTGAAAAGCGCGAGCCACAAAAGCCATCGGAATCTCATAGGAAGATCAATGAATGGAATTTCTTGGCTGTTCAGCAAACAAAAGGTGAGTCTCTGGAGAGACTCCATCGCTGAATGGCGATGGGATCTGGCTGAATCCGATCTTTTGTGATCGAGAAGTAATTAATGATGACGTTGATCACCATGGCGCGTGTGAGTTTTGCAACACAGAATCAATGTTGGATTGGAGGCTCTTTTTTCCACTCCTTGACTTGACTCTGTGTATAGCATTGGATATCAAAGAGATGAGTTGCGGTTGCATCACCACCTTTGCGCCTTACATAAAGTCATCGTGAGCCACAACAAATAAAAATTTACATGATTGATTGGATCTCGAGCTTTCGCGAAGAGACATCCAGTTCGAAGGCTTTCATCTCTCTCTCTTTGCGATGTTTCTGAATAAAATCGATTCACTTCGAGTGATATTGGTTCTCAAGGAAAGACAGATATTGCAACTGAGAGAGACTGCATTACATTGAAATTGAGTTAGTTGTACAGTACCTACAATAAATACCTTTATTTACCACTGTGAGTTGAATTTTGGACTAGAATTTATTTAAAACAGACACGCGACTTAAAGGGGATTAAAGTAAAATTTCTGTTTTGCACATAAGAATCTCCAGACGTGCAAGATAATTAGCACTAACCTGTGTGTTATCGCTTTCATACACCTCAGTGAATCGTCACTTGCGTCGAAATTTCACATTGTTGAGGAAATTTCACTTTCTTCCAATGTAAAGTCACTCCATGTGACGCAAAGTGATTAAAACACTCTCCATTTCATCCAACACAAACACAGAGAGAGCGACTCATGGGCGGCAATTTACACGATGTTTCCAGTGAAAAGTGTCTGATCGCGAAGCTCAATGATGCATAATTTGGTTTAGCGTCAAAGAAAGTCTCTGCGCGCGAAACTATATTGACATTTTACCGCGCGCCATGGAAGCGAGAGAAGTCCATTAATTCACTGGAGGAATTGAAATTTATTCACAACTGAATTGAATGAATTTAAAAGTAAAGTCTTCCAATCTCACACGAAAATGCCAAATTACCGCATTTACATTTTGGTATAATAATGGCAACGGTGAGAGAGAAAATTGTGGCAATTTCCACGTTCAATGGTTAATTTTCGCTGCCTTTTCTGCCGAGCCATGTTCACGGGATTAATTCAATTACACCACAATAAATGTGAATTTGATTGCACGACTACTCAAAGGTAATGCGATGGAAGAGAGTTAAATCATCACCATAAAAATAACTTGAGACCATTTCTTCATATTGGGACTGTGAATAATTTCTACCAATGACTTCATTACGCACACAATTTTTCACTCTCAAAATGAAGCGAAGAGTTGTTCAGGATTCCAAGAAATATTAGCTAAAGTTAAGTAACACTTGGTAAAGTGATAAATTGTGCGTCTTAATGAGTTAATAAGAACTTTACGATGTGGTGTAATGAACTCGAGGTTCGAGAAATATTTAAGAAGTGAGACATTATAATTCTTCTTACGTTAATCTGGATTTCTGATTTCCAAACACTACAAGGACTATCGATAAATTGGGCGCAGTGACAAATAGCAGTTCTGCGAAGATTTATTCACCACTCGACCTCAAGAACTCTCTCTGTAATTAATTATGGTTCAAGTATTTGAATAATTCATCGGCGAAGCTAATTGGACGAAGAGGATGTTGTGAAATCTTATAGATTTCCCAGCAAATTTGCAAATGAATGCTCACTAATTTATTTTCGCAAGAAGACAAGGAATTTGACTGTCGAGCTTCAATGCAAATTTTCATTCTTTGAATTGAACCTGAAATGAGATTTCCAGACTCTCTGTGCACACAATACTTCCCCTGAATTACCATATCAATGCCTGACACGGCACATTCTGAACCATAAATAATGCAGAAATAAGAAATTCATATATGCGATCGAATGACAAATCCATTGATCTGCGAGACTCGAGCGACCTTCACCATAGCACCTTTACTTCCTCCCCATTTTGCGATTGCATCAGTGGCCAGAGAACCGATGGTGGTCTTTTTGCAGCAAAAAGCCACGTCGCGATCACGTCAAGGATTTCCGGTTGAAAAACTCCATGCGCGATGGTCAAATTTTCAAGCTCGTTTCCAAGTATCGTCATTAAATCTCCACATCTGCCTTCTAGCCATAAGGCACTGCGAGTTGTAGGCAGTGATATAAAAAAGTGAATGGATTTTAATTAAAGGTGCACACACGAGGTGCTCGAGAGTGTGTGCGGTGTTCTCCATCCGCAGACCCAGAGCCAGCAATTCAAGGACTATGAGGTGGCCGTTGATCTTAAATTGTTTCTGGTATTCGATGGATTTGATTAGGGAGAAAAAATGCCACATGCGCACGCTCTGAGCTCTAATAACTTCCGCAATTGCTCCAAATGGCCAATCTCACGCGTGTGGCTGTATTTCTTGTCATTGATTGTGGGCCCGATCGGAGAGATAAAGTGCCTCCACGGTTACACAGGGTGGCTTTTATCAAATGTCTGTGGAGAACTTTGAAAATAAAATACTCTGCAATTTGTACTCGCTTGCCTCCAGCTTCTCTCTCAAATAGAATTATAATAATAAAGAGATGCTGGTGATGCAATGGAAAAGCAAAATGCAATATTGGGAGTACGGCATTGTGTGTTGTACAAAAAAGCTGTTCATGGATTAATTTCTATAGAAAATTTGCTGGGCATGAAAAGGAGAGGAGCGTGGTTGGGCATTAAAACTGGATTTTTGCCAAGACAGAGAGTGAATTGCAGTGTAGAAATTTATTGTTATCCCCAGAAAGATTAATAATCATGTTTTTCATGTAGCAGCTGTAGTGTAATTATTCGAGATTAAATAACATCAAGAGTGGCCAAATCTGCGCACTGAGAACGGGATGAAAAGAGTGTATGAAGAGAAGCACAATCACACGATAAAATGGAAAAGCTTTAGTGTAACAATAGGTCGTCTTGACCCACTTCGAAGCCACGGCAGAACGTACATAATATTATTTATTTATTTATAACAGAGAGTGAGAACTTGGGAGATTTTTATGTCCACATCAACATTATATTTTATTCAAATGCGCGACTCCAAATGCATTTCAAAAAAGCGTATAAATTGTCCATACAATACGACAGAGCGCCCGCGAGAAGGCTGAAATGTAATGTGACAAAAGGTTAAGCATCCAATTATGTGGAGTTTCGTATCTAATTTGCAATTACGCGAAGCTCTCTCGGCATTACACATGTTCTCTGCCAATCCAGCTGAAGAGTCTCTTCGGCTGCCTTTCTCTGCGCCACACCGTTGTAATTCTGAAGGAGGAAATAGAGTCGCCGAGTGGTCACTTTTACTTTCGATATTTTTCTTGTGCAAAGACAAACAGCTCCGGCAACTTGTTGTGCCTTCTCGAGTGTCAATGGCAATAATTTCATCTCGGAACTCAAACCACTGGTCAGACGGAGTCTCTCGGCGCAAAGGTAAACCACGCTCAGCCTCTCAGCATTGACCATTGCTCTGCACCTCAATTCACAATACAGCGCCCAAGGGGTTAATATCTTCCCAATTTGAGCCATCACGTCGAACCGGATATTTTTCCCAGACTCTTGTTGAATTTCCTGAATTTTATTATGACCCAAACACGCCGTTAAGTGGTGATTCTTTATTTTTAACCCCTCGCGGCAGATGAATTATTATTTACGTCAAGAGCTTAAGGCAAGTGCAGGAGAAGGCTTTTAAATTTATGACGTCTTTACGACTTCCAGTGGCCAGAAAGAGTTTATGCGCAATCTTTCAACTCTTATCTGCATTCTAATTCGGTCAATGCTTCAAAAGTAACGTCACAGCTATTTTCTCTCAATTATTTCTCTGAAATAAATAAGCTTAGAGAGAGCATTCAATCTCACGCAATCGTCATTATTTGCATAAAGATCAAAACATCAAATTGCATTCGCTCAAGTCAAACATGTTACACAAAAACCTGTAAATAAAAATAGCTTGTTAACATTTGTTACAGAGAAGCGATTGATATTTCTTAGTAATTACCAGTTGTGTGAATCGGACAGGGAACTTGTTAAAATAAAGGAAAGAAAAACTAATTTGTACCCACACAAATTTGTGGTCAATTGATTTTTCCTCTTAATGAATTTAACACCCCATGAAAATAATACTTGAGTTGCCTTTAGAGCAAATCCGCAACTTAAAAGGCTTCAAATCTCATGAGGAATGCCGTCTTTGTCTTATTAGCTCTTATAAACATTTTACGATCGATTCACACATTGACACTCAAATTCGCTATGAAGCTCATTCAATCGAATAATTTGGTTCATGGCAACGTGCTTCAAGATTTCACGTGAGGCACATAAACTCCCGCAACAATTGTTGCAGATCGCAGATGTTGATTGATGAGTCAGAGGGTCAGGGTTCGTGGGCGGAGACTCTAAGAACTTTCTTGTGGCAGAAGAAATAATTTCGCCGACTGTCATCTTGAATACAAATGATTATTTTGTGCAAATGACATCACTGGCGAGCTCTGGAGGTGTTTGTCACGAGCTAACAAGAAACCACCGCCTGGCAATTTTGCAAGCTCGCGTCTTCGTAAATCACAACAATAGCATATTTTCAGCTTCGGGAAACCACAGTGTCGAGGTTGGAATTTGGCCCACGGTGATTAATATCGTCGGGAATATTTCACATGACTAATTGGTGCGATCGTCGTTCCGTTAAATGGTTGGGAGTTGGGAGTGTAATAAGGAAATTGGTCACTTTTCGGGAGCCCAGAAGATCGAGGTTGAATGAACTCGCTGCTGGTCGCCGTGTTGATCTTCCCATTTTTGGCCATCTCAATTGAAGATCGTCTCCTCGAGTGTCTTGTCTCTCTGTGCAACCTTCCCAATATAATTGAAATGGAAATAAAATTTAATCATCAGCGTCTCGCGGTTTGCACTCAACGAAAAGTCAAAACCTGAGAATGACAAACAATTTCAAGTTTATAATTTATGAGTGTCCGTAAGCATATTTCATTGTATACAAATACACGCCATAGCGTAATTGTACGGCGAAATACAAATTTAATAAGATATTGAAAAATTGAACACGATTTTCACTGTTGTGGTTCACGGCCAGAGTGAAACTTTTGTCATTGTCGTGTTTATATACTCTGCTCACCGTTCTTTGCGAATTGTGGTTAATTCTGTACGTGGATTTTTGAAAAATGTAATTTATTCCTCCGAAGGTGAGAGAAATAAAAAGGGGGAAGTTTCTCAGTACAGATGGATTTACACTCTCAGAGATGCTGTAATAACATATCGCATCACAATAATTAACCATATCGTTCAAGGCATTTCTACTCTGTGGCTCGACCTTGCCTCGAGTGATTTGGAATTCCATCTTAATTTTTGCATCTATCGTCTCTCCATCTACAAGTAGTAACTATGATAACTCGTCGAGCTGGCCAGCATCGAACACACAGAGTGATTGATGATATTGTCATCAATTCTCGCCAGAGACAGCCGAGCTCATGAATCGATAAGAATTCCATTGAAATGTTCAATAAGACACCCTTGAACCCATTCATTGCACATAACACGTTAATTAACTCCAACGTGAGTATTTGCTAAAATCCATTTTGTCACTACTAGACATCAATTGATTGTCAGAAGGGGAGCTCGAAAAATATGAGAATGCGTTTAATAGCGTTTGCATTACGCGGAAAGGGAAATTCTCAGCATTCTTCACAATCCCAAAAACAAATTAAATTGTTTGTTTCTCTCATACCACTTACACTATGCATCCAATCGTGGTTTAGCCGATGGTAAAAAGTCTATTTTAACCACTTAGAGTTGGGAAAATTATGAAATTTTGAAAGATTTATAAGAAAATTCACTGGTAATCAAGTGTTTTAACCCTTTGAGCTGGAGGATGAAAGTCGCAGATAAAAAGCATAAAATTAATAAGTAGGTAATCAAATCCGTAATTTGAATTAATTTTAAATTTCAACCATTGAAGCTTTCACGGTAAAGTTTCACTCCCAACTTCAAACGAGCGCACGCTTGACGAGTTCCCAAAGAGTTGCACTTTAATCACATCGATGCATCATATTAGTTGCATATTGTCGGGTATTTTTCGGTGCGTATATCAAAGTCTATTAATAACTGACTGGTGGCCAGCCTCCCCGTGGGTGCCATTGAATTGGATGACGGATTCGTTGTCTCTGAGCTCGGTTCCGCACTCCGGTTTTTGCCGTATCGGCGCTCACTGGTGGCCACTTCTCTGCCTTCAGACTGACAGTGGCTCAGACGGTGGGGACTTCACACATTTCGCAGCCAGCACTCTTGTTAGTCACACTGAATCTCTGGCCGGGCTCGGATGTGTCGTCTGATTTGCTAACAAGTGTGCGCTTGCTGAAAACTGGACGGACTGTTGGAGTGCCAAAAACAATAGCGTTTCCAGTTTTGTTGTCTTTAGTCATCCAAATTGAATCACTTTTCCTTTCAACCTCGTGAACCACGCTAAATCGTGTGAGACTAATTTTTTGGTAAGTCTTGTTGTGTCTTCTGACCAATCGCGTAGACGTTTTTGCTCTTTTTCTGCTCAACCTTATCGTGATCTGCAAAGTGAAGTTTTGAATTCCGTTACATCTCAAATTGTGCGATAAAGAGTTTCAAATGAGAGAAAAAGTGTGGCGAATGAGAGAGGGAGAGAAGGTGAAAAAAAATCAAAAGTGAAACTGTTTTAATTCCATACATTTATTTCCTGGGCGATAATTCACCGCCTCTCTGGGTTATTTACACTATTGGATATAAATCGATGGTCAGGCGAAAGAGAAATTAATCTTTCCCTTTCTTCCGACCGACTTCACATCATCTGTGACGCTGATCAGAATCTGCCTAGGTCTCCACTCAATCCACTCTCGCAAGTGGCCGTGATTATGGAGATCTCAAGGCTTCAATTATCCCCTGAGATGAGCCGCTGATGATTCCTCTTTTTGCACACACATAAATTAAGCTAATCATATCAAAGGCAAATAAGGCGGAATCCGCGAGTGGATAAAAAGTGATTTTATTGAGATCGTTAATTTATGGTGCGAACAGAATGTTCTGACAGGTCTGACGATCCCGGATGCTGGGCCGCGACCACGTGCTCCCGAGAATGCGAAGATGTATGTTAAATATGGCAAATGGCTGAGCGGTCGCTATGAAGAAGTTGATGACGGGAGATGCAAAAAAGAGAGAAAAAAATAATATGTTGTCGAGAACAATCCGGCAAAGTCGTGATGTGAATTTATAATCAAATGACTCCTATCTTTGGATGTGCCAGAATTTTTATATTAGAACCCAAGATGCAGAACAGCGCCTAAAATAGTGAAACATTCGGATTATCAATTATTTAATTGAAAACCTCATTGCATACTTTTTGCCAATTAACGTGCTAAATATGTACAATTCTTTGCAAGTGAAATTGTTCTGCTTCACAATTCTTGATACAAATCTGCCGAATGTGACGAATGGAAAAAAGTCACGATAATTTGCCGAAAGACGGCAAGACAAGGCGATTCCTGCTGAGATAATTTGGAGTGTGTGTATCAGCAAGTCAGCTTCCAGGATGTTCTCTCTCTCTGATGCTATTTCTGTCCGCCAAACCGGATTCTGCATCACGCCTTTGATCCTCACCTGTTCACGCCACGACTGGGAAATTCCTCTCACTCTTAGACGTTTGCGCATTTACTCACATATTTTCCTCATTCACACTTTCCTGTACAATTAATACTCTGCAAGTGACTAATTATGTTAAATAAATGGAAATTGCTCGGTGATTTTGTTGAGTGTTGAGAAGAGAGAAAAAGGTCTTTTCGGTCGTTCTCGCGCTCAGAGGAGGAAATGTTGCAATCAGAGATCCATGAGAATGGATATCTTTCCGTTGAATCTGTGACTTTCTACGATGGTTAATTAATCAAGCCATTGCAATTAATTCGTGAGAGTACCAACAATCCTCTTGTATTTGACATTTAAGGTGGCACCAAATGTATAAGACGCCAAAGGGGTCACATGAGGAAATCGAGACGCGAAGAAAAGATCGCGTCGTCGTAGGCAAAAAAATCTGCCTTTCTTCACCTCTCCCAATTCGATCTGATGCGAACATGTGACTGGAAAGCACTTTGCAATGCACAATGTGTGTGATATTTGCGGTTTTATGAGCCATCCGAAAACCCTCGATCACTCCCATCTGATACAGGTCCGAAGAATGGGGAATTTTTTGACTCAGAAAATGCTACAATCGTGACTCTTTGGATCAAAATTACCCAGAGAGCCGAGAATGTCTCTATTGTAATGTAATGTAATAATTTTTGCTGTATCTTCAGGTTCAATATAATTGTTCTCTTCATAGCATATGATTTAGTGAAAAAAATAGAATCCTAATGGCATGTTTATAATTTCTATAAATATAGAAAGCAAACAATAACATGTATTGCTGTCGAGGAGATTGAATAAATTTATGTATGATACATCGAAGAACCTTGAGATTCCACGTTGAGTGTGTTAATGTATTTAAAATATCATATTAATTCCGTTTCCTCTAAATATTGTACATATATCACATGTGAATAGCAATGTCTTAGCATAGATATCGAGGAAAACCATGAGGACAAATATTTAGTTTTCCATAACAGATTCATCCTTGACAAAGTGCTTCTATGACGTTTTCCAGCACAAAAACTTATCTCAAGCATTTCAATTGTAACTCAAAAACTTTATATAATGCAGTGAATGTATTTTTTAGTGTATTGGAAATCATGGCATTTTCTCCAATTTTTCCACTCTAGAAGCAAAACTAAATGGAATTGCATGCACCTCCAATTTGCGGATGTGTTAAAAGCGCGTAACACATCGAAGAAAAAATTAAACAGACAGGTAAAATACGCGATTTTCAAGGGCTACCGCCGAAGGTCGTGTTTGTGAGTTCACGTTATATAGAATTCTTCTCATTGGAAAGCTTTTTTTCACCTCCCATTCACACGTTTTGAGCTGTATTGGTTGGTGCACAGAGAAAAATTTAATATTCTTTTCCATGCAAATGCCAAGTCTGTGAAAAATTAATTACAATTTATATATGTTTGGTGGTTAATTTTGAAAAATTAAAATCTATTAATTATCCTCTCAAATCACTCCACACCTGAAATCAGACGTCTATTGTGCAAATAGGTAGCTCAATTTGTTGGGACATTGAAGGCAAAAAGACGGTATTTAAATACCATTCTTGTCTGTGAAAATTGCCTCAAATTGCTGTGCCGATAAATTGATTTCTTTTCCAATCGGCCAACAGAAAATGCAATACACACAATCGCGGGGAAAAAATCCCTCAAAAAACGTACTAAATTGAATTTGATTGATGTGAAAAATGGCATTAAACAGTGGATGGAGCAAAAGGCACAACCACACACACTATACCCTGTTTGAGAAGATAAAAACATTTAATTTCACTTTCATTCACAGCGTGATTCATATGCAAATATTTATTTCATATATTTTATAAATCGTCGACAAACATCGCGTCGTTTGGACTTCCTTATTGGACAAGATACACTACAAGTCACAGTTCAAAGCCAATGTTGTAAAGAGCGCGAAAACAGCGTGAAAAATTTGTGCGGGAGTCGTAAAATTTCCTTGTCTTTCATCATCGTACGTGTGGTACAAATTCGCGCTCCTAAATCTCCAGGGGAATCTCTGGGGGCGTCCAATTAGCCTAAAATCACCTGACGAGGTCTATTTACAGTGTAGCATTTCCGTATCTCCAGAGCCTTTTCATTTAAGGTCATTTTAACTATGGCCTGCTATTTACTACTGTTCAAACATTTGCACAAGTTTTATCTGCAAATTAATGATCACGTCAAGAAGCACATAAATCTTTTGAAACTCTTTACAACTCCTTAACCACAATATTTAACCAAATCCAGGATAATTCTCTCACAATAATTGATCATTGTTGAAGTGAGTTTTACTACTTTTCCACCCTCTGCGCTTCTCAAAGAAGTCACAAACCGAGTCTCCGTTTGACTAGCACAAAGCAGAGACTTTATGAGTCTCACGTTTTGTTGAAAAATATTTTGTGTAATGGTAAAACAGCAAATAAGGCAGTAAATGAGTGCTATAACAGAGAAATAGAGGCTCACTTGAGTCTTGTAAGGCACTATTATAAGGTCTTAAATGCCATTTTCTCTCAATAATAAATTTATTCGGCGGGTTCTTTCTTCACTTTCTGGACAATTATGTAAGGTGTCTATGTTGATCCTCGCGGTGCATTAATTTATTCTCCGTCAAAGCGATACTTTATGAACTGCACACATTGACCAATTTTTCTCAAAAAACTCCACTGCTGGGATGATGTAAAATTTATGCAAAATGCAAATTTATCGTGTAGAATCGCAATAAAACACATTGATATGTTTTATGCAATTATGCGGAGACCTCTTGGATGATGTTAATGGCTTATTAGTGTCTCGCACTTTTTATCATTGCAGAGGTGCTCAACGGCCCCACAATGAAGGGATGGTTTGACGCCTTCCGAGACGATGGCGGCCCCACTTTGTACTCCTTCTCAAATCGAACCCCCGTGACCGGAGATGTCTCCATTGTGGCCGTCTCTGTACTCTTCACGACCATCTATGTGGCCTTCCTGGTCATCTTTCCAGGTGTGAGAAAACAACGATTCACCACCTTCACGACCGTGACACTCAGTCTCTTCGTCGGCCTAGTCATATTAGGTGAGTCTCTCCCATTAGATAACACCACATTGAGTAAAAACTCTCTCTCTAAATAGCATGGAAAATGCAATTGTAATGCCTCTCTTTCCATTTCAACATCCTCACCAATTCGATTTTTCCGGCAGTTACACGCTTGGGATCTGCCTGGCACGTGGCGCACTCGAGCATTTTGGCGCCATATAAGGCCTTCTCACGAGAAAAACTTCCTGCTCGGATGGGAGCTCACATTGGACTGATGCACGTGAACATTACCCTCACAGGTAATTACAAGATTCCACGCATTTGCGAAGCCACGCTCTGCAAAATGTAGATATTTATCAGTCGCACACGAAACACCAAACCCGGACCTAATTTCGCGAAAGAGTCCAAAACGACGAATGTTCTCATGAAAGATGAGAAGAAGCGTGTGATATCATTTGCGAACTTAAATTGCTCTCTTGCAAAGTTTATGCTTGATTTTATTTGCTTTCCTTTAATGGCTCTGGAGTCGAATAGCATGTGCCAAAGAACCGGATGCGTGTGGTTTTGTGGGTGGATCGGACTTAATTTAATGTATGGACACATAAAAGAGCGCGAGTGGCGAGCAATAAAATTACGAAAATCACAATAAAAGCTATAAAGACACAACAAAAACTGAAGAAAATTGAACTCACTCTTGCTTTCGAACATAGTGAGGATTTTTTTTGCTTAAATTAAGATCTCTTTGTCTGGAACAGCACTTCCCATTGGGAATTGGACCCCACCGGACATTGACTTCAACGAGAGGTTCAGCTGGGACGCCGCTGACGACATGGGTCAATCCTACAAGAACTCCCTGCGCCGCGGACTGCCCTATCCCATCCTCACCGTGGCGGAGTACTTCAGCCTGGGCCAGGAGGGATTCGCATGGGGCGGCCGCTACCGAGCCGCCGGCTACTACGCCAGCATCCTGCTCTGGGCATCGCTGGCCTCGTGGCTGCTCATGAATCTGCTGCTCATTGCTGTGCCGCGCTACGGCGCCTACATGATGTCCCTCACGGGCGCGCTCCTCGTGGCCACGGATATCGGGTACTACCTGCTGCTGCCCAAGAGGCCCCTCAGCATCATTGTGGAAGGTGGCCACTTGCAGTTCCATCTTGGATGGTGTTACTGGCTCGTTCTAGTCGCAGGTCAGTTCTCTGCTCTTGAACTCCAACGCCAGAACTGTGTAACCAATTTCTTCCTCCTCTTTACAGGAACCATGTGCCTTTTCGTAGGATTAATCATATCTGCCATAGATCTGGTGTGGCCACACACCTTCTCCACCATCCTGGAAGTGTACTACGACACACCCTACGATCGCCATGTGATCCTCGAGGAGTCGCACGACGTGCGCTACCGCAAGAGGAACAGTAAGGGTCTGGAGGAGCCGCCTGGACTGGGTTCTCGCATCCTGCGACGCCTGTCGTCCAAGACCAGCCAGCTGGCGGGTGTGGAGAACAAGGGTTTCCAGGGCGAAGTGCCCAAGTCCCCGTGGCGCTATCCCTTCCGCCGTGCCCAGCTCCAGACAAACGGACGGTCGGCTGTGCAGCGGACTCTCTCGCAGGACTCCATGTCGAGCATTGCTTCAGCCGCTGGTAATCCACCAAATATGCACAAAGTGGCTCTATCGCGAGTCCTGCCGTAAGTTTCTTCATCCCTCTCCAACTGGAGACTCAGAATGCATTCTAATGGTGTCTTGTATTCTTCCTACAGGAAGCCGCCTTTGGAACGAACCAGGGAATTGTCGAACTGGTGAATTTGAACAAGATTGAAGACTTTGTGATATTTCATTGACTCTCAAACGATCTGTTAATTTATGTTTTAGGAAGTCTACAAATTAGAAAATAAAAATTTTAAAATTGAGAATACAATATTCTTGCATTTTTTCTGTGGCACAATTGTGTTTCCCGAAAAGAGAAAACAAATATTTATGAAGCATTTCAATATTCTCGGTAAGTCTAGTGTTACTTGGGGAATACCCGTTAGGAGTTCGAATTATGGCGCGGGCGTTTGAAGGTGTAATTTCGAAAGATGTGGCAGCGCCACCTGCGGTGAACACTCTCGCGTGCAATTGGGATTTTTGCTGAGATCACGTCAGTGCGTTTTTCCATTCCAATCGACCAAAAAGTCGTCCGGAGTCTCTCTCTTCTGTGCTTTACCGTGACCCAACAACCCCCTCGTTACCAGCAGTCACCATGGTGCACGTTGTTGCTGATACGGTGAGTACACGAACGTGGGCTTCCGCGTTGGGCGGAAAAGCAATATGGTCGGAAGGAAGCAGCGGGGAGGCAGCATAATTATTGATTATTTAATTGTGTGCCTCGCCTGGGTGACACTCTGTCGCCACACACAACTCCCAGGAGTGATTAGATTGCCGGCCGTGATGACCTGGGCGCATCTGAGGGCTTGCTGTCCCGCCTAATCTGCGGTGATGTCATGGGCAGAAAAAGCGCGGCGTTTTTTCTCAGAATACGGCCGAGGTCATCACGGTAGAGTCTTGCCAAGGTCGATGCAATCAACTCGGGTTCTCGTGATTCCAGTCCGACTTTGACGGCAAGCTGGAGTCCGCCGGGGACCTGCTGGTGGTGGTGGACTTCTTCGCCCAGTGGTGCGGCCCCTGCAAGATGATCGCGCCCAAGCTGGAGGATCTGGCCAACCAGTACACGGACAAGGCGGTGGTGCTGAAGGTGGACGTGGACGAGTGCGAGGAGCTCGCCATCCGCTACAACATCTCCAGCATGCCCACGTTTGTGTTCATCAAGAACAAGCAGGTTGTGGAGACCTTCTCCGGCGCCAACAACGACAAACTGGCCAGCTTCTTCTCCAAATACACTGCCTAGAGACGCACTCTCACGTCACAGCCCCCAGTAAGTGTACAGTTGTCGCGATGCCACAGGCCGGATGTAGAGGCTCTCAAGCTTCACTTGTGCTGGAACATTCATAGAGAATTCTCGATCTTTTTTTAAACACACAAAGATATCATTTTTTTTTTGCCAATAAAATTTCACAACCTAGATACAATCATGCAATCTTAAATCCTTGGAGAATTTACCTGCAAAGGGTTGGTCACGAATTTAGCATCGAAGGGCTGGTTGTTCGTGTAGTGCAACTCGTTTAATTGTCCCGTGAAATTATAGTGTTATCGGGTGTTTTTGTCTCGCATTTTGAAAGCCATGCTGTTTTTCTAGATCTTTCTGATAGCTTGGAGGAAATAGTAACCGCACTCTGAAAGTCATGATTTGATAAGAGTTCTGGTAGAAATTGGCAAATTAGTTGATTCAACTAGATTACACTTAGAATCCATAGAAATCATTGCATTTATGTACATGTCTTATCTGGTGTGAAATTCAGGCACAATTAGAACATTTGTAGGCATAATTGGAAGAAGGTCTGTTAGAATTGCTCAAGATAAGGCGATTTTCAGAGATAGAGAAATGTTAAGTTCAGATAAAATCTTTGAAAATCATTTATTTTGCATATTTGAACAGAATTTTCGTCCCTATAAGTAAAGTAGCAAAGTTCACCAATTAGACCAAAATCTCATTGAACTCAGAAGAACCATTTTTCACAAAGTTATTTTTCTGTGTAAAATAGTCAGTTTAACATTGAAATGGGCTGCCAATGATCAAGATCAATCTGAAAAACGAATTTGCCAGTCAGGTTTCTAAATAGATTTTCCAACATTGCAGCTGGCAAATCCACTTGTGAACCTTGAATCTGACTAAATGAAATCTCTATCGCTATAGTGGAATTTTATTAACTGGTTTTCCCCCCAGAGTGCATGATTCCGTGAGACAGCAACAGAGTGCATTAGCCTGAAGAAATGCCTTCGATTGGGATGTGATTGGGAATTGATAAAAAATATTGCCTTGTTTTCTACTAAGAACCGAATGTATGAACAAAGTTACAAAATAAATGGTATCTCATGTTGAACGCCAATCACATTGTTGCACCTAATTTGGCCAGATCTAGGCGACGAACCTCGTGCAAATTGGAGAATTTCACTGTGAGCAGATCATCATCAAGATTATCATCCTCATTTTCTACTGCCGTCTCTGGCAGAGAGAATTTGCCCTCTGGCTGCTTTAGTTCCTCCTCTCCAGACAGAATCAGGAGGCTGACTTCACCCTTCTCCTTGCACACACACTCCACGATGCCGATGATGAAAGCTGAAAGAGCAGGCTCGTAGGTTTCGCTCATCTTCAGCAGTTTGAAGGCTATTACATCGTCTTTCTTGGGAAGCTTCTTCAACACTGGCAATTCCATGTTCGGCAGACGTTCTCTCAGTTCCTCCAGGGCAAAGCTGTTCGTTTCGTTGGCTCTGTTCAGAGATTGTTTCCCATTGGATTCCTTCTCGTTGGTCTTGTGCAGCGTCCGAGAGACTATCACGTCTGACTGTCCCAGAGGAGTGTCTGTGATGTGCAGTTTGTCACTGCTTCCCTCCTCTTCTTGGAATCTTATGTGTGAAAGTGTTTTGCTCTTCAACTTCTTGTGATTCTCTACAGCGTCATCTTGAAGGGATGAGGAGTCTTCCTGGTAATCGTAGTTATTTTTCTTGCGCTTTCTCACTCTCTTTCGCGTCTTTTTCTCCTTATCTCGCACCTCCGGAAGGACAGCTCCGTTCTCTTTGGGAAGCGGAATGCCCTCAATTGGTGTTTCTGTGATCTCCCATTCATTCTCCCGAGGTATTCCGTTGGCAAAAGGCGTGGAATTGCGAGTAGATTTGAAGGCTTTCGCCCGATCATCGACAGGTCTTTGACAATCGTTTTCCTGCCTTTCCACACTAGAAAGGTGAGGAAACTGATTAGGGAACTTCATGAGAGTAGATGCAAGTCACACTTACTTCAGGACTGAACCATCTCGAGGGATGATATCAATGGGTTCCTGAGCCGGGAAGAGATATCCATCGGCGTCCCTCAGGAAGACATCGTGGCACAAGCTGAAGAGCTCTACAATGTGTTCTTGTAGATCCCGCACACACGTCCACTTCTCCTTCACGCATATGTAGGCCTTTTGCCTGTGATCACTGAAGAAATCCGCCAAATTCACCTTCAGAGGGAAAGACCGCTTCCCAGTCTCCATGGCAGACGATTTGTTGTGTTTTGTGTGGTTATGGCATGTTCGAAAGTGAGAAGCATTGGCGGCGGTCAGCCGGGTGTCTGCTGCCCTCTCCCGGTTCATTGACATGACATTGCAATTTTCCCGGTTCTAGCGCAATTTTGTAGTGGATTTTTCAATAAAAATGTACGCGACTTTCCGCAAGAATTTCACACTAATCGCCGCGGTGGTGTGTCTGGTGGTCATTCTTCATGCATTCCCTGCCGACGCAAATGCAGAGAAGGGCGCCCACATCTCGAAATTCAGCCAAAATGTTGGCCCGACAATGACTATTCTGTATTGGTAAGATGAGGCGATTCTCCCCAATAGAATTATCAATTCACACGCTAATATCTGTGCAAATACAATGATTTACTGGTGTGGCTTGATAATCACACCCACCGGAGGGTGAATGTGCACTTTCGGCCGATTTGAGGTTAACTGTGGATGTTTTTGCAGTTACTCCTGCGGCTACCGGAAGGCATTTGAGGACTACGTGAACATCCTGAATGAGAAGTACCCGGAGATCCTCGTGAAAGGTGCCAACTATGATCCGCCCGGTTTCAACATGCACCTCTCCCGGATCGTGCTGGTGACGAAACTTCTACTCATCATAGTCATTGTATCGTCCTTCGACCTGTTCGGCTATCTTGGCCAACCGATTCCCGGCTGGTGGCGATGGTGCATCGAGAACAAGATCTACGCCTGCATGATGATCTTCTTCGTGGGCAACATGCTGGAGGCCCAGCTGATATCATCGGGCGCCTTCGAGATCGCCCTCAACGACGTTCCGGTGTGGTCGAAACTGCAAACGGGTCGCATTCCATCACCCCAGGAACTCTTCCAGATCATCGAGAGCCACCTGCAGTTCAACGATAAGATAGGCCACAACCCCAACTATGTCAAATAGGCTCCCAGAGCCGCTACTGTGTCACCCCCGAAAAGTCCTCAGTGTCATCCGTTTGTCGTGCGTGGATCAAGGTAATTTAATTTAGATGGAAACATCTGTAAACTATAAAGTGTATAATCAGTGGGTAGCGTCATGTCTTAGATTCTCGTGTAAGAAATACCAATCGATGATGGGCAGATATATCGCGTACTAAAGAGTGTTTTATGATATTGAATAAATGATAGAGTACGGAATGATCCCTCTTTCCCAAAAATCCTCCATTCTGCCATTGAACAACTCTTTGGAATTGTTCCATGATCAAGGTGACTTTCTAAAATGCATTAAGTTTTCTCGTCCAAGGTGTGTGAAAAAGTGTTTGTTGGAAACACTGGATGATAAATTCATTAGACCGAATCATATAAAATATTCCGAAAACTACTTAAATCCATTCATCGTTCAGTGATCCTCATTTACTCTAGCCACTTTACAATCAATTACTGCCTTCCTCCGCTGTCTCAGCGTCTCTCTGATCCGCCATGCCAAAGTGCACTGCCTGGCAATGCTTCTTCAGCAGCCGGGAATTCTTGAACTTCTCAGGACAGAGTCGGCAGTGATTGGGCTTCTCGCCCGTGTGCATTCGCATATGCTCGGAGAAGTTGGACTTGTTCCTGAACTCCTTCTCGCACACCAGGCATTTGTGGGGCTTCTCGCCGGTGTGGAGCAACATGTGGCCCCTCAGGTGGCTTCCCTGGCGAAAGGTGGCCCCACACGTCTCGCACTTGTAGGGCTTCTCCCCCGTGTGGATCCTTACGTGGCTCCTGAGCGTGTTGTGATTGCCAAATGACTTGTCGCAGTGATTGCACTTGTAGGGCTTTTCGCCCGTGTGACTCCGGATGTGCTCCAGATGCCTGGTCAGGTAGTTGGACGTTTTTCCGCAAATGGGACACACATAGAGCCTCTTCTGATTGCCCCGCTGGCTCCGAATGAGGGCCTTCTTCACGCTCTCGCTGCGCTCTTCTGGCGGGATGTGCGTGTATTTGTGCAGGGTGAGACCTTTGGGGTGCTTGAACGCCTTGTGGCAGGTGTCACACTCGTACTTCCGCTCCAATTCATGCACAGACATGTGAGTCTTCAGGTTGATGGCCTGCGAGAATGCCTTATTGCATATCATGCATATATGATCGCGGCGTTTTTCGTGAACTTGTTTTATGTGCCTCCTCAGATTGGCGCGACAAGAGTACTCGACATCGCAGAAGTTACATTTGAGGGACTTGCCATTGTGCTTCATTTGATGCCTCTCCATCTCATACTTGTTCTTCTGCAGCTCCTTGCAAATGCGACAGTAGTAATTGGTCTTGTAGTATTCTCTCTTCTTCGACGAACCCTCTGGAATGTCGCTCTGTTTATCTTCACTGGAAGGGTTCTGATCATTGCCAGTGTCTTCAGCCTGCATTGGCTCAACAGGATGATCACCAGCCCAGTAATTGCCATGATTTTCACTCTCCGACTCTTCTTGATCGAGAAACTCTATGAGATCCTCATCATCTGCGGTTTCTTCCTTCAGTGAGGCTGCTTTTCTGCTTAAATCCTTGGATGTCTCTTCCTTCCTCGTAATCTCACCAAGGAGTTTCTTGTACGTGATCTCGCATTGGCTCTTAAATGTACTCAAGTCAACCAGTTTCTCGCCACACTGACGACAAATGAATTTCAGAAGATCATCTCTTTGGTTGTCCTGCAAGAGAAAAACATGCTGCATCTTAAAAACGAACCACAAGAGTTTTCTTACATTAAGCCCAGATATTTGGTGGAGTTTCTCCCGAAAATGGACATTTCCTTCGGATGTTATATCAATCAAGTCCTCAACGGACTCACAGACTCTGCACAGGAGAAAAGCATTGGATGATATTGAGTCCACGACGATTTGTATAGGATTTTCTTCTGTTTCCAGCTTCACCTGCGAAGTGAACGACTATTGATTTTCTGGCCAAAATATTTGATCTACAGATTTACCTCCAGATCAGAGAAATTAAGGTAAATCTCATCAAACAACTTCTCGTCGTTTGGCTTGTCATTCGGTGGGCGTTTCAGGAGTATTGGCTCATGAGGATGATCAGGTGGATGAGGTTTTCCTGGGAAAACTGATGGCACTGCTGCAGGACTCAATTTGGGCAACGCCAGAGGGACGTTTGTGACCTTCCCATCCAGTCGATGGTACTTCTCGAGATCCTCAGGAGTGAAGTGATGCAGACAGATCCGGCTGGCTTTCGCCGGCTTCCAACCCGGACGCCCGATGGCGGTCAACCACTTCTTCCTCAATCCGGGAGCATCAGGAAAGGGAAAAGTTCTCCTCTTGACATCTGTGGAGCAGCTATTGCATCCTTCCACTGAACACTTCCTCATGCCTATTCGTTCCTTCAGCAGTTCAATTCTCTGGATTTTTCACAGGATTTTCATGAATTTTTCTCCTCGACTTGCACTTTTGTTTGACAACTGGGATACTGCGCAGCTGTTTTTCCTTCGGTTCCATTCAACAACTTCAAATTCAACGATTTTTTGCGGAAATATTTATTGTTAGGTTTTGGAAGTAAAATTCAGCATAAATAGACGTGAACTTAAAATCTAGATGAATACCTGTTCGGATGCCAAGCTCTCAGTGAATGGCTTCACAACGGCACTGGTCGCGAAGCAGAAGATCAAGCCAAATGTTATGGAGATTGGCAGTGCGGGCAGAGCCTTTCGGCAGATGGCCAACAAGAGAAGAGTGAGACAGAGACCAATGAGGATGGCCACGAAGCAAGCTATGGTGGTGTTCCAATCGCCATAGCTGGATGCCTTGCCCACAAGGACGGAGTAGAAGATGAAGTCACCCAAGCCCAACTTGATTCCCCTCTCCTCTGGCAGCTCATAATTGGGCGGATTCTCTTCTGTTGTCACCGTGCGATACTCAGTGGAACGATTCAGATTGTTGGACACATTTGCCTGGACTTCTAGCTGACGACGAGCTGAACGCTCATTGGTGGTTGAGGCCCACTCTTTGGTGAAGCCACTTTCAGAGTCTGCAAAACGAAGACAAGTTTAGGGAAATGTCCAGAAAATTTATCACAAATTTAGTAGATACCCTCATTGTTCGGCGCAGCACCTTCTGGAGGACTACTTGATGTGCCCTGCCTTCTGGGACTCACATTTCGACGTCTCATTGGCGCCTGAGGTGCATCCTGATCGGCTCCCATGTAGGAGTATATGAAAGTAGCTGCAAAGAAGAGTTACCAATCAATAACAGTAAAGAATTGATCATATTTTACTTACAGGAGTAGATGAGAGCGGGGAATATCTGTTCATTCCTCTCCTGTGCCGTCTCCACGAGAATCCGCAGTGGTCCTTTGGGCGAGAGCACAGCGATGAGATCCCAAATGGAGATCACAGCCAGAACCACCCACGTTGTCCACTCTGGCAGGTATTTGATGAACACCAGAGCCATCAGGGCGGCCACGAAGATCAAATAGGCTTGCTGAAGCCTCAACGGACCCAGCCAGTGAATTGACATCATTCCCACCACGCCGAAGTTCCACATTATCAGGATGGCTGTTGGATAATCCATTGGGATGTTGTAAGCCCTTAGCACTTCCCTGCAAAGGCAATAAGAGACATAAGATATGAGGAGATTTGCATTTGTGTTCACTCACTCCAAGTAAAGGTAACTGAAGATGAAGAGGAGCAGGAAAGATGAGAGAATCAACCATGCGTTGATAATTTTGTAGCATCTCTTCTTGTACAAGATGATCAGCAAGATGGTCATGACGACAATGAGCGTCATTAGAATAAGAGAGTTTGCCAAAGCATCTAATATCTTCGTTCCCGCGTCCGGGGATGTTTCGTGGAATGGAGTGTAAACCCTGAAAGATGACACCAATTAGAAACTCTGCGAAATCCTGCGTATGCTTGCAAGAGTCTTACAGGTAGTAATCCTTAGTGGAGTAGAAATTGACGGAACTTATTGTGGCCACAACGACCAGCATGCACAGTGACACTGGAACGAAGAGCTTGATAACATGCTGAGCTCCGTACTTGAGTCCCTCCTCCTCCTCCCAAGACGCCTCTGGATTCTCAGCTCCGCCGCCCTCAGGAGGATTGCTGGGGCCATCAGTGGTGTGCTGAGAGCTCTCCCCGGTTGTCAGGGCCACGGCTGGAGTTGTGCTGGTTGTCTAGAAGGGCGGGGGGCGCTATTAGTCACTGCCAAGTGGGTGTCACAAAGAAGCCTTACTCCGTAATTTGGTCGATTTTCCCGAGTATTCCGCCTCTTCTTGCTCTTCCGCTCCTGCTCTTCACTGCGATCCGCCGTTCTCACCATCTGTGATTCACTCACATGGCCATCCATTAGTGCAGTTCTTTCGTTTTCACTATTTTCCGCACAATTCATTCACTCGCCCTGCTTTTTTTCCAAAACATCAAATGTCAATGGCGCCTCTGACGTTTCCAACTTTCCCAATGTAAGGTTAGGGCACCAGCACTGCGGAGTCTGAGGATGGCGCTTTTCCGGTTTAATTGGCTCAGAAGATTAATTCGTCGGAACACCAGACCGATTGCCCACAACACGGCAGAGACGTGGCGTAATCGGCTAAGTCTTACATACATGTTCCTGGCGTGGAACGCTATGGGGGTTGTTTGTTATGCAATTTACAACGGGAAGCTAGATTGGGCCAAGTACCATGGACTCAAAGAAGAAAATGAACACCTAACACAAGGTAAAACACTATCTCCCTCGCTACATCACATTCTAGCGTGTGTTATCCTTTCAGCTGAGAGATTTGCGCACACTCTCAATGCCAAGAACGCCACCATCATCCGGTTCTCCGGCGGAAAGAAGATAGAACAGTTCAAAGTCGGAGAGAGACAAAATGAGAACACGGAAGAGAATTCCGAGAACTCTCCAGTTGTAAGTGAAAGAAATGAGGAGCCTAAAGCTGAAAAAGTCTATTAAAATAAATTTAGCAATAACATTGCCTCTTGTGCAACTCTAAACGTCCTTGCAGTGTATAAAATGTAAGAGTCATGCTGACTGGGGTGATGTTCCTTGGATGTACAGAGGATTATGGTTATCACAATTTCTCGCTGTGAGTATATCAAGATTGCCAGAGATCGCTGCTCATCTGCGACTCAGCTCAAAGTCAAGGGCCTGGCGGTACTTCTCGTAGCGCGCCACAATGTTCTGCAGCTCCTGCTTGTACAGGCGATTCAGCATCCCGTCGAAGCACTCCAGTTTGTTCAGAGCAAACATGTCCCACTTGAGCTTGTGGTCCGTCGCCGGATCGGCCTTCATGTACACCATGAGCCATGCGGGGATTTCCTCGTGTAGATAGGGATTCGCCGGCACCAACGCACTGTGGGTGACATGAGTGGCCAACTGCGGTTCCGGGATGACAGCCCTCGGCGCCTCAGTTGCAGTCGTGTAGAGATAGCACGAGGTCAGGCAGGGATGATTGTATTGCGCTTGGCGAGTGATGTGACTAGAAGCGGAGGCAATTGGTTAAGATTCTCCGAAAAGATCAGGTCAGTTTGTATGACATACTTCACGTAGTAGATCCCGTACTGCGGGGATTCGATCCTCTGCCAGCCAATGGGAAGACCTTCTCGCTCAAGAGGATGCGACCAGTGAGTAGTTTGTGCGTTGTGATCAAAGTAGTATTTCCTTCCTCTCAGCGTGTTGTGAACAGACCAGCCAGGAGGCAATGGAAGCTCATCCTCGAGCGTTTGCTGTGACGAGACTGCAATGAGTATTCAAGGATTAGAGAGAATTGTTTGCCTGAGCTCAAATTGTGGTCATTCACCTTGAGTCAGAATGTTATGTCGCTTATTGTGCAGGAATTGCTCTCCGTAGGTCATCCCGCTGGTCACATCGATCGTCCTGACGTTCGAATAGAGTGGATTGTCCGCAGAAATAACAGCCATGCTTGATCCGTAGTATCCAATCGAGTTCGTGGGTATGTTCGAGTAGATGGATTGATGAGGTAGAACCGTTCCGTAGCGCAGGTGGGAACATACCGCAGGCACTGGTGGATTGTTTTGATCCTGATAGTAGACAGAGAGGCTGGACGTAGTGTTGCTGTAGATGGGCGACTCTGAGCGTGCGCCAGCGCTCATATTCACAGACTGTTGCGGTTGATTCTCGTAGATTGGCGATCCGTCGCTGTTGTAGGATCTCGGGATGGACGAGAGCTTGTGCTGTCCGTCGTACGTGTGTCCGTGACTCTGATTCAGCGAGTAGCCACGGGAAAAATTGGACACCGGCTGCTGATGCTGCTGACTCTGTGCGTAGTCCGGATGAAGGCGGAGCTGATCAATAGCGTCTATCTCGACGTAGTTTCCGTGAGTATCGCTACTGCTCATCGCCTGAGGCTGCTGCTGCATGGCATAATTTCCGAGGGCGCCCAAGATGGACTGCGTGGAGGCCTTTCGGTCGTTCTCGCTCTGGATCAACTGATAGAGGCTGGAGAAATTGTTCCTGTTCAGATCCCCACTCGACGGCGCCCCTCCGGCTGGCATTCGCTGAGGTAGATTGGACACCACGTGAGTATTGGGTGTGTACTTCCCCTCGTGGCCCAGGCCTGTCGATTGCTTCGCCGCCAAATTCCTCCCATTGGCGAACACAGCATTCGGAAGCTGCCCTCTGCTTCCGGCGAAGTTCTGTGAGACATTCGTTTCATTCAATTGCTGACTGTTCCTGCGCGCCTTCGCCTTTATTTTCGCCTCCTCCGTCGTCCACACATTTATAACTGCAAATAAAAGTTGCAGAATGTGTAAAAATTCAGCCAAATTCTAAAAATAATACACATTTTCATTACAACTACAGTGCCAATGTGGTTTTCTTGAAGCATGCAGTTTTTCTCACATCAGCCATGGTCTCAGCGAAATGTGTAAATTTTAATGACATTTATCAGAATGAAAACATCATATTTATGCTATCATTTGGCAATTGTACTTCTTCAACGGCTATGAGAAGTGAAATCGCGTGAAAAACACTGAATGCTTCAAGAGACTTTGCGGGATACTGTACTTGGGATATCTGGCGGCGTATCTTTCTTCACGTATTTCCCTACAACACCCTCCTTTATAGATTTATCCTTGCTCTTTCGCGACAACATACTATAAACTTCGCACTAGTTGCATTTATTACCATAGAACTAAATGGGAAAGTAGGGAAATTTGCAGTTTTCTCCAGCTTATAAACAATTCATGGTGAAAAGAAAAACAAATTTGAGCTGTCAACATCGACTGGCAAGCCAGAATGTCATGCGATTCCCTTGATTGCATGACACTTTCAATGTTGTGAAAATTTCGTGCATTTGCGGAGTTGTTTTTCTCTGAAAATTCTCTGCGAAACTGGATAAAATGTTCCTCAGCCGGTCTTCGAATAGGTTTGTATTATCCATGAATAGTGCAGGGAATACTGTAGACATGATGTTCTAATCCAAATTAATGTGCATAATGTTATAGGTTATGGAGCTGCTCACACTTGCTGAAGTACACCCTGAGGGCAGATCCGCAGGCCTCCACGAGGTTCTTCAACAGCACCCCAGTCCTCATGGCTGAGCCATTGAAAAAGAAGAAGAGGCTGGACCCAATGGTCATAAAGCAGAGGGAAGAACGCAGGAAGAGGAAGATTGAGAAGCAGATCAGGCGTTTGGAGAAAAATGCCAGGCAACTGAAGCCCATTGACGAGCTGGAGGTGCCTTTCACCCTCATCGATGAGAAGAAGTGCGTTACTTAGCCATGATGATGTCACAGTAATAATCCAATTGCAATGTTGGTGATTTTTTCAGGGAACGCACCAGACCTTCGGTGGCTTTATCGGCAGAAGTGTTGGAGGAGAGAGCGCTCCTGCAGAAGGAGTGGGCGAGATATAAGGGACACCAGAAGCTGACATACTACCAGGAAATTGACCGGATGGTTCAGGCGCAGACAAAGGCTCTGGACGAACTGAAGCTGGAATCTGAGGAACTGTACGAAGCGGCTATTCAACCAGACGCCCAAATTCTCCCTTTCAAGTCGAGAGTCCTTGTCTCAACTCCACCGATTGAGAACTACGAGAGTCCCGACGGAGAGTATGTTGATGTGTCCAAGAAATGGATATAATCAAAACAGATTGTCCGCCAGAGAATTTATTATTAGAAAAAATGTTTATTCACTGAAAAAATGAATAATTTCTTCTGCGAAATCGGTAGGAAATAACTTCCCACGCAAATTATTAATTATTTATGTGGAGGTTCATTAAGAAATCTCCGCCATTCAATAATAATACTGTCCTTTGGATCACTGTAAAGGAAAATGCTGTGTCGAAGGCTGTCCGCCATGGCTAAATGCTCATCTCTATAGTTGGTATTGATGAATAATTTTTTCCAGTGCTTGCGATGAGCTGATCTATTGGTTGCGAAAGTGTCTCATCTGCACGGAAAGGGAACAATTAAAGGGAGATTTGACTATCAAAGTAGTCGCTTCTCTTTATCCCTTTTTCTGCACACAAAACCTAAAATGTCCTTGTATTTCGTTTGAATCTCATTAAAATATTATTATCAGGAATGATGAATATAAAAAGGATGCTCAATCGTCGGGATTTAGCAGTTCATTTGTGCATCTTGAGACGTCTTCATCCGAGTGGGAGAAGTGAACTTTGCGGAAGAAAATGTGCAGAATATTAGCAATAGTGTCGCTCATTGTGATGTTCTCAGTGCTGCCGCTTCGAGCGTAAGTCCTGATGAGATGCTGGTTTTTTGGTGATTCATTGTCCAGTCCATTCCAGGCACATAGAATACGAGAGTCTCATCTACATGACCTGCAAGTTCAGTTCACAGAAAGCCGTCCGCAGCACGGACGAGTGTCCGTTTGGCGCGAAAGTGAACTACTGCGGGAAGCTGGTGTGTCTCAAGGGGCGAGGAGAGATCTGCGGGGAGAGCTATTACGATATCATAAGGCACGGCGAGTGCTCCAGTGGATTAATATGCTGTGGAAAATGTGTGGGGTGTGATAACGAGAGCTGTGACCAGTCGCTGTGTAGGCCCAAGAAGCATCAGTACACCAAACGAAGAGATTCATCCAAGAGAAATCCGCAAAAGAACGAGCCGAAGGAGTCTAAAGAGCGGCCGAAGAATCCCTGGGTTCAGATACTCTATAAAATCAATAATTTGTAATCATTTGTAATGGAGAGGAGCTAGAATTTCCAATTTTTAGGACCGACGGTTTTATGACTTTGCAATTACACTTTCATTGATCATGTGAATTGAAGAAATAAATAGATTTGTCCATCTATCCTTGTATTTCAACTGAACTTCGGCGAGAATTTCTAGAATTGAATTTTTGAATATTTGAATTTTTCTACGTGCACTGTAGATCACGCGTAGAGTATACGCGCAATTTGATTACACGCGTAGAATAACAGCACTCTTAGCCGTGGCGCTGCAGTCGGGTTCATGACAAGTGCCGGCTTGAAAAAAAGACCACTTCCACTTGTGAGCCAGTGTTTTTCGTGGCAAAAACTCTTCAAATGCCCATTTACATGCGGAAATAGTGGTGGTAAGTGAGCATTTAGTGACGCGGGCATCCGTAGAATGTGCGGGGTGAGTGCTGGAATAGGGGAGCAGCTGTGCGACAGTGGCTATTAATAGATGTCCGGGAAGGGGGCTGCATGGATGGCCGAAAAGGTAAACACAATATTTATATCAATAATTAAAAATGTAAATTGCGGAGAATTGGCAGAAATAGTCCCAGTGGGTGTTTACGCTGAGAGAGATCATTGATATAAACAACGGAATTCCTCAAGGTTCTGACACACATTAGGATTTTTCTGCAATTCCTCACGCGAAACAACACTCTGGACTCGAGCTCCGGACGTGGATGATTAATCACGGGCACAGTCCCTGTCCTCTGGACGCATTTCTTACATAATTCCCCAGTCCACGCGGGTGGCCGAAATCCGCGGAATGTCACACATTTCGTCAATAGTTGGATTTCTCGTGTGGATTATATTTTGTGCGCCTTGTGATAAGATCACCTTGTATTTTTCAGATGTCGCGATAAGGGAAGTTCGAGCAATTGGCAGCTATTATTAGCGAAAGCGTTGTGTATATGAAGGAGAAGGCGTGATAATTTGCGGATAGAGGCGAATTGAGTGAAGGGGAAAATGGCACAGCGAAAGAAGCTCATCTGCTATGCTCTATTCGGTGCTCTAATTGGCTTCTGCATTGGGATGTATCTGAGGAGCTATCGCGTGATTGAGATAGCAAATAACTGCCAATTTAGGTCCGGATTGCGATTTCAAGGTATGTCTGTAGAAGTAAGCAAGAGAGAAGAAAAAACTGGCTAAACTACTCCACCTCGAGGAAATGGCCAATAGATGATTTTCGGCGGAACAGTTTGCCGCGAGTCGCGTTTTTTCGCTTTCGCGTAGAGGAAAACACCCGTGGTGTGCGGATATATTTCTTAAGACGATCTCTAAGCTCTTGGAAGGCGTAAAATCGCACTCAATTCATCACAGGTCATAAAGTAATTACAACAGCCGGAGAAGGTTACTCATTTGAGATTTCAGAGACTTTCAGAAGTCATTGCGATAGTGCTAGTCGGTCATAAAGCAGAGAGTATCAAATTGATCACTGCAAATTATCACTGATAAGAGTAATTGGAAACGAAAATGTCCACGTAATTGAATCGATGCTGTTTCGTTGAATAGTGTTTTTAATCAAAGAACGAGCGAAAAGGTCAGAAATCATGCAAATGGAACAAAATATTTCAAGTGAATTTTATACATGAATTGGAACTAATGAGTCTGAGGAAAAAGAAAGACTCCCTTCTCTTGACGAATTCTAAGAAACCGAAATATTCCATCGTCCGCGCGAGTTGGAAATTTTCCTATTAGAACAACATTAGGAGCGGAGAAACATCTGGCTGTGACTGTGCGTCTGTTGTCTTTTGATAGGTCCACTGAAATTCATCAACTTGGAAGCAAATGAACTCCCGAGCAATTCACAGAACAATCTGGTGCTAATTGGCGTGATGACGGCCAAAGACTTTCTACGGGAGCGCACAAAGGCCGTCTTTGATACGTGGGGCCAGAGTTTTCCCGGTCGCATTGCCTTCTTCAGCTCCGAAGGGTCCTATTTGCAGGGATTGCCAATAATTGGGCTCAAGGGGGTCGACGACCGATACCCGCCGCAGAAGAAATCATTCATGATGCTGCACTATATGTACGAGCACTACATTGATAAGTTTGAGTGGTTCATTCGAGCGGACGATGATGTCTTCATTCGGACTGATAAATTGGAGCACTTCTTGCGATCGATCGATAGCTCAAAGCCGCAGTTTATCGGTAAATTAGATGAACAATATTGATTGCATACAATTAGTGGAATTAATTGTGAGCAATTGTCTTGCAGGTCAAGCTGGCAAGGGCAATAGTGAAGAATTTGGCCTCCTGTCTCTTGAGTATGATGAGAACTTTTGCATGGGAGGACCTGGAGTCATCCTCAGTCGAGAAACTCTGCGCAGAGGTGAGTTTTGCATAGGAAAACCAAACAATTACCATTATCTCTCTGCTACATACACATTTGATTTACTTTTATTTTCTTATTTAATGTTCAGTTGCACCTCATATCCCCACTTGCCTTAAAAATTTGTATAGTCTCCACGAAGATGTTGAAGTAGGACGTTGTGTGCAAAAGTTTGCAGGTGTTCCATGCACCTGGAATTACGAGGTTTGTTCACGAATCTGTTTTCTTTTCTCTGTTTATTTTAAGTAATTTCGATTATGGTCAATTAGCACTGCTTGGGAAAATGTGGCGCTTTATATCTTATCAGAGCAAACATTGTCGCATGAGGATGATTAATGGGGGAAGCTCTAATGTTGCGCGATTGATTTTACAGATGCAGGCCATTCTCCACCACAATTCCAGTGGCAATGAGGCCTTCACGGGGAATCTGAAGAATAAGGAAGTGCACAGTGCAATAACACTTCATCCTGTAAAGAAATCTCCACTCATGTACAGACTCTACGCTTATATGCACGTAAGTTTGAGTTTATCAATGGAATTCCTTAGAATCATGAGCTATCAATTCTTGTGAAATGTATGAAACATTTCCCCAATGTAAAATGATTGAATAACTTCGACACTTTCCACGTGCTCTACTATCTTTCGAACCCTCTTGTTGTGTGGTGTTTTGTGAATGAAATTCTTGTTGCATTGGCACTTTGCAGAGTGTACACAATTTCTGTTTGTACTTACAGGGTGTGAAAGCGCAAGAAATGCGTCAGGAAATTCTCATGTTGCATCGAGACATGTCGACGATGAGTGATTTGCTGCACATTGCAAAAGCCAGCAGAAACATTGCACCGGGAGTTCCAATTTTCCCAGAGACTCTCAGACCGCCAAAGTATTTGGGCGATCATGAGATATTGGGAATCAATCCAACACTCACAAAGAGGTATCCAAATACCAGTGGCGAGTTGATCGAGTGGAACTTCATTGCGAAGCACATCTATTCGGCGACACACTTCAATCCGAAGCGGAAAATTGAGAGCTCCGTGAAGGAGGGACTTGAAGATATCATTAGAGAGGTGTGCAAGTGGTTTTGAATGACCTCTGGAAAGTGATTACTAATGATTTATTTTCATGTTTCTCGTCAGATTATGGACAATATTAACAATTACTCACGCCAACGAGGACGTGTGATAGAATTTCGTGATATCCTCTATGCATACAGTCGACTAAATACTCTCTATGGACAGGATTTTATCCTCGACATGTTGCTTATCTATAAGAAGTATCGCGGTAAGAAGATGACCGTTCCCGTGAGAAGGCATCTCTACATTCAACGAGCCTTCACAGACATTCAAATCCGAGAGACGAGCGTCTTCGGAATCAATATTACTACTGGTAAATTGATAAGCACATAATGGGTCAGTATTTGACTGAGTGTTTGATCTATTCCTTTTATTGCAGAGAAAGGTGCCTATAAGGAATTCACCGGGAGGGTGAAGAAGTTCTGGAATACGGGTATTGAAAAGCTATCGAATACTTTTACTCTCAATACGAATGATAAATCTGCAGTGGAAAAAATCTTGCCAAATATTATATTTATATTGCCACTCTCCGGGCGTCTCAATACCTTCAAGAGATTTCTCAGAAACTACGAGCAGGTAATTTAACACAATAATGATTAGCTTTAGTGATAAACTGATGAAAACTCATGATTGTCATGGTACAGCGATATTTTATGAGCTTTCCGAGAAATTGACTCAAGTTTGTAATTAAGGGGAGTTAGATTATTTTACAGCGGGAACTTCTCTTACCTTAATCTGTAATTATTTGGTAATATCGCTTCCTGAGATAATCAAATATGAATCACATTAAGCATAGATTCACTCTAGCTTAGAGTGGTTGAATCACTCTAGGAGAAATATTCCAATAAGAAGTGTGAGAGGGTTATTTAAACAAAGGTGTTTCACAAACTGTGGCCAACAGATTAGATTTATTGATGCAAATTTAATTATTCTATCTGTATACACAACATTTTGTGTTTTTTTTCCCGCAGGTGTGCCTGAAGAGTGACACGAAAACAGACTTGTTGATAGGCCTGTACATTGATGAGTCATACAATGAGGCTCTTGAGCTGGTGAATCGGCTCAAAATGCTGTATCCCAGTCGCGAGATCAACTCCATCGATCTCTATGGGAATTTCTCGCGCGGACTTTCGCTAGACTTGACTGCCAGATCCAATTATGCCTCAACCGAAGACATTCTCTTCTTCATCGACGTGGACATTGTCTTCACGACGGAGACGCTGGAGCGCGTGCGGAGTAACACGGTGCAACAGCAGCAGATCTACTTGCCGATAGTTTACAGCGAATATGGTCACGGTGACACGACGGATGGACGCGAGAGTGTGGATATCACGAACGATAGTGGGTATTTCCGTGAGTTTGGCTACGGCGTGTGTGCCATTTACAAGTCGGATCTGCTCGCGGTGGACGGCTTCGTGACGGACATCAAGGGTTGGGGTCTGGAGGACGTGAAGTTCCTCGATCGCATCATCGCGTCGAGTCACGGCCGGGGATCCGTTCTCAGTAAGATTGGACATGAATTGAGGGTGTTCCGCAGTGTGGACACGTCTCTCGTTCACATTTTCCACACAATCCATTGTGATAAACTTCTAGACGAGTCCCAGTACAAGATGTGCATTGGGACCAAAGCCAATACGATAGGTAGCTATAAATTTATTGAATCGCTAGTATTAACTATGAACAATTCCTTCGTGGCCACGAGGCAGCAGCCTTGATTTTATTTTGGGGATTTTGTGAATCAAAGAGATTTTCTGTGCAGCAACTCAAGTGGGACTTTGTGTCTCCTACATACCAAAAAAAACACACACATAAAAGATGAGTGGCAGGGAGTGGGAGTCAGTTGGGGAAGCAATTGCAAGACAAAGTCCGTGTGTACGCGATATCAGGCTTTTTCGGCTAATTCTCGTGTAAGTTATGTTTAAACTTGATCTCTAGAGACAATTTTACTATTAGATCGTGAAGATGCAAATTGTATTGTCCCCTCTTGTTATTTTACAGTGCCTTGTTAATTTTTAACTATTCTAGATGATATAGTTTAAGGCCATATTTTTTATATTAGTACGACTCCTAAGGTAATAAATGAAGCCCTATTCATTAAAACCATGCATATTGTACATAATACCCTCAGAGAGATTCCACTACAATCGACCCTGCCGAAAAGGGAGGGGGAAGGTTTTCTATAGCGTTGCCACAACGAAGAAATGGGATGTCTTACAATTACACTGAAACGTCTCGAAGAAAATGTCTGATGAATAAAATGGAAATGGCATTTCTCTTCTCATCGAGATTTTCAACCAGAAAAGAGCACAACAATTTCACATCAAAGCGCTGCGAATCTCATTGAAAAAGAAAGAGTTGCATTTTCCATCGTTGAACCCTTGCATCTCATTTCGCCGACATCATCCCCTCGCCGGACCGTCCGAGAGAGATGAGGCGGCCAGATGTCCGAAGGGAGATGAAAACCCGTATCTGGACCAAATCTTGACCATCCGTGAAATATAAGAAACAAGTTTCGCAGACGCTGATATGACAAGAGTAACGAAATGCGACGGGCTGTTATTTAAAATTTAAAGAATTCCTGTTTGAATTTTATCGACCAACAAAAGAATGGTCCGTTTCGGGATGGTGATTCGACTGGCATAAATCAACCCAATCAACTGGTTGCCAAGGCAAGAAATATATGCATTGGCGGAAGAAAATCGGCTAAATAATATTCAGATATTCAATTACTTTGACTTTACGGACAAATTACTGATTATATCCTTTGGTTTTATTCTCGCAGTCCTTGTAAAAATCTTCAATTCCGCTAATAAGTGTTGGTGGTAAAATAAAGTTTAAAAAAATCAGATATTAAAGGCTCGAAATAAAAAATAAGCATTAGAACAACATTTTTCGGTATTCAGGAATCTGATTTTTTTCCTAGTTCAATGGCCTTCAAATCCCGTGAGACGAGATCTGCATGAAATGCCGAAGGGCCAGAAAACTCTTTAAACGCCCCGATGACCTCTGCGTCGGGGACAAAATCTTGGGTGGCCGGAGACTCTGGACCACAGCATGTCCTTTTAAAACTGGTCCAGCAACATTTGCTGCCGTTCAACAGACATTTTCCTCCGACTTGAAGGCAAAGTCAGGGCGGGAAAAGGTGTTGGCGTTGATGCGAAGAATGGTGTGCAAATTGAAAGTGATAATGTGAGTTGAAAATGTGCTTTTAATTGGCGCCGCCTGGGGATTTGTGCTCTGCATGGCAGAGATTCACCCAATTTCATGCGGAGAGACCACCAATTACACACGTTCTGTGGCATCATTGCCAATCCACTGCCCCTATTTTCGCATCCTCTTAAAGAGTCCCATTGGCACACACACACATGCGTACGGCGGGAGAAGTGAATGAATTGCCAGGATGTCGGATGGAGAGTTGCCCTTTAAGGCAAGGCAGAGAACCACGTGTCTTGTCACGCTGAGCGTCCTCTCATACGCTCCTTCGGTCCGTGGGTAGGGAGGAACTCGCCTTGGAAGTGGCTGTGCTGTGTGTAAACACACCAGGAGGGTGATTCAGGCGACCGAGGGGGAACGCCAGAGACCTTCCCCATGCGCATATTCCACAGTCTCTCTGTCTATGTATGTTCCCTGATGCATTTCACCGCCCTTCCCTTTCTTTCCGGCCCCGTTGCGTGGACTTTTTCGCCAAATTTACAATCACATCCAATTCAGTTGCTGGCTGACAATTGCGGTGAAGAGTTGACACGCGAGTGCTCTACCTGGTCCGCGGGCGATGCACAGTGGCTGGTGACATTTTTCTCACCATGATGACCAAGCGCCTGAGGAGTCTCGACTCTCCAGCCCCACTCTCCGCCCTCCTGTACGACGCCGAGCCGCGAGATTGGCCCGAGAGTGGCGAGAAGCTGGCGGAAATGGTGCCAACGGACAAATCAACAAGTCTCAAGGGTGCCAAAGAGTGTCAGGACGCCGAGGGGGAGCCCCAAGGAGCCGCGGAGAGCCGTACGGAGCTGAAGAGGCGTCACGAGGAGTGTGGGGAGCACGAGGCCAATAACAACTGCAGCGAAGTGTGTTCTGCTGGCAAAAAAATTAAATACGACACGCACAGAGAGAAGATGGTCGAGGTGATAAAATGCGAATATTAAAGCCTATCTAGGTCAAGAGGAGTGATGAATATTGAGGGATTAATGGAAAAATCAAATTTCCCCACAGGCCTATCAGCCCTGGGTCCTCAAGACGTACGGCGATCTGGCGAAGACAAAGACAATCACACTGCGCAAGCAGGCGAGGATAATAAAGGCCCTCAGTGGTCAGGAGACCAACAATCCGGACAGCTCCAAATTTAGGTTTTGGGTAAAGGCGAAAGGTAATTATGGGAAAAGTTCCATCCTGACCCGCGTGAGGAAAATCACGATGATGTCTAATCGATTTTAGGTTTCACAACTGAGCGCCCCGTTGACTTCAAAGGCGATCTCAACTTGAATAAGGACCTGGTGGAGATGCCGAACAGGCACTGCCTGCTCTACGTCCCAAATTTCACAAAGGTTCGCCACATTAATTTTCAAATGCCGTGCCTATGATATGAAAAACATTTCTCTCAACACATCCCAGCCTCTATTTCCAATTTAATCTTTCCTCCGCTCCTTGGGCCCTTCATCAAAAAAGTTTTCCCCACACCACCGGCCGCCTCCTTGTGCTGTCCCATTGCCGACTTCCTCACGGGCGAGTCATCAGGGAAACTCGGTGTCACGGTGAAAATTGCCCTTCAACGCGATTTGGTAGTTTAGATAATTTATCCACGCGTTAATCACGCTCCATTCGAGTGTCAATGAAGATGATTTTGATTGGCAATTTCAGCTGCCAAATGTGTGATAATTGTGACCAACATTTCCCGGGATGACGAACCCCATGCGATTTTCCCTCTTTTCACAACCTCACCAACACAGAGCCGAACGGTGGACCGTCCCGAAAACCTGGCATTTGTGTGCTGCTTTTAAAGAGCCCTGGCGGTAAATGGACGGATCCGGAGCGAACCATGTACTCTCCTGTTCAGCCGAAACATACACAGACAATCGGTCCCCTTCATATCAACTTTATTCCTCTTCTGGGCTATGTAGCAAAAATACCATCAGGGCTGGATTAAACTTTAATTCCAATACGATTCCCTCCCCGCCAACGGCCACTGAATCCGCAGCGGCTCCCGAAAATTTTCCACCCAATGCCCGGACCGAAAGTTTCTTCATATAAAAATCCATTTTCGGGAATATATCAAAGACCAGCAGTGGGACTGCGGAGTGTGGCGTAATTTCATTTTCTATATCCAACAGAGAGAGTGAGAGAGAGAGGAGAGGAGAGAGAATTAAATTCCGAGTGATTCCTCGTGACGCCAAACGTCCCACACTCGCACACACACCATCGCAGCACAATTCACAATCAAATCCATTAAAAGTGGGAGCGTTTCGAGAGGGATACACTTGCATGCCCCTTGGTGGAGGGCCGCAGAGGGTGAAATTAGGGTGCCTCGGCGAACGGAGGCACAGTTGGAAATTCAATTAGAAATAATTATTAAAAATACACTTAATTGGATACACATTTTCGTGGTGTCATTCCTGCTAATTTAACAAATTTCGTCATCAAACAGCACATGACGACTAATTCGAGTCGAATAGGGAAGTTAAGGGATGATTTATCTATATATGTTGCCAAGAACGCCAAGATTTATGCAATTTGCAGCACTACGAAAAATAGTTGTGCTCAATTACTTACGAAAGCTTTTTTTAAGAAATCATTATGCAAATAGATGATATAAGACGCAATCATTAAGAATTTCTTTTCATTCAAATATTGTAAGTCAACACTAATTGCAATTATTTTGCTGACTTTGTAGGAAAATCCGCAGCTTTATCGCCGTGTTGCCATTGTGGAGTTGTTCTTCGACATCATCTTTGGCGTCCACGTTGGCCTGGGCGGTCGCTCTGGTCGACATGCTGGCCAGAAGAGGACCTACAGAACTGTGAGTGGCGAATGTTTTATTCTCTCTGTTGTGAATAAACCAATTTACCAATACTCTTTCCGCCCAGATCACGGAATCGTATGCATTTCTGCCTCGCGAGGCCGTCACAAAGTTCCTCTCTGGGTGTGTTGTGTGCAAAAAGCTGCCAACCCCCTACTCTCCACTCCGCCTGGACGATGCCGAGAGTCCCAGCGAATGTGATAGTCCACTCCAATCAGCGACAAATTCGTCCGGCAATCGATTATTAATTAACAATCAACCAGAGATGCGAGAGAATCGCGATGTGGCTGAAAGTGAAATGGATGCAGAGCAGAAATCAAGCGTTTCGTCAAGTGCAGTTCAACAGCCTATCGATTGGGAGGAGAGGATTTCGGTGGAGTACAGAAAAGCGGATCAACAGGAGAAAAACCACACGGTTCCGGACAAAGGCACTCCACTGGCAATTCCCGCCAATGGCTTGGCCGGCATCGAAGGCTTCGGCATCAACAGCAGTCAACTGTATGAATACTATCATCTACTGAAAGCGTTCTACGACGGCTCCAACCGACCGAAAACCCCCTCGGATGCAACAGCGGCCCGAACAGAGCTCACCGACAATTTTCCAGCGAAGCCGCCCAGCATTGTGATAAACCCACCGACACTTCCCACTAATGAGAGGAGCACCAGCGCGATGGCGATTTCGTGCAAAACCACACCACCGAAGAAGCGATACAATAACTATAGCCAAACCAGGGCGAAGAGCGAGGATGATAAATTGCTGGATTCGGCAAACTTTGTCCGACCTTCGAGGATTTCCACGGCCAATGTCATGTCAACTTTGCGATCAAATGATCCCATCACGTCCACCTACTTGAAGCTAACTAGGAGCATGGGCCTCAGCGACGAAGACGCTCTCAGGATTGATGACTTGGTGAGTACGAGTGTTTTCATTTGGACTGTAGCACAGAACTTTATAATTATTTTCTTGATTATACGAGTCCTTTAATTTTAATTATACATGATGTAAAAGTAACGCTGCATTGATTTAAACGTGTTTCTATTGTGGTAAATTGGCTCAAATGGCAAAACTCACTATTGTTTGTGACTAGGAAGACTTTCAAAATAATATTCAAGATAATTCAAAGATTTTGTATTCATGAATTTTTTAGCTATGAATTTTATTATTCCATATTAATTAGATAAGTACCAAAAAAATTAAATTTATCTTGGATTTACAAATCCGTGGCTCAAAGTGCTCTTAAATTCTCATGTGCATAAATAACTTATAACTGTGCTAGAGAGCAACAAATCGATATATGTAGATTCCCTTATCAATATAACAGTCTGAACTTTTTTGGCTTCCGGAATGGACATATAGTGAAATTGGGATTGAAAAGTCCCTCCTAAATGACGTCCCAAAGAATGAATGTGTATGAAGTTCGAGTTATGCAGAGATTTGCTATGAGAAAGGTGATATTATTTCAGACAAAATTGAGTCGTTATCCTATCAAAAAGATGCCTTGCAAAAGAGGCATTCATCTCGTGTTCATCACCCTTCATCATAAAGGCACATGGAAAAGGGGTGATCTTTTTTGTATGTCTGAGTGGGTGTTCTCCTCCCGCCGAGCACATATTCACTTTTGGACGGAACGAAGGTCAGGCTTCGCCTTGAAAGAATCTCTAGTGAGACGCACCCTATTTGCAATGAATCGCCCTTTTGAATATAGTAGTGGCGTAATTACCGACTCTCGAGCCACTTTTCAGACAGCATTTAACTACATATTCAGGCAGAATTTGCGGTTTGGCAATTAAATAATCACAACATTGATGAATATTTAAATAATCGTCAGTAGCATTTTATTATCGAGCTGAGAGGCAGTGTTTAGGCGAATAGAGTGAAGATGTGGCAGATTCATAAAATATATCTTCACACCTGTTGCATTCTTGTGTACATACTCTACATCTACATAGGATATAATTTGAATACAATTCACTTGTGTATACATATAGCAGCATTCGGACATGCGAAGTAAATCATATCATCATGTGGCGCTTAGATATTTTCGCTATCATGTGACTGTAAGCGAAGAACGGGTTGCAGAAGGATTGGAGCGGTGAATGATTGAGAAGTGAGACAATCGGTTGGGTTTTGCATTTGTGTGATTTTCCAGAAAGAGAAAAGTATCATTTTCCCCGAGACTTTTGCCATAAAGATGGTGAAGTTTGTCGGTCTGGGGTCGGGGGTTCTGGACCCAGGATAGATAGAAGTATTTGTTTCTGGGCTATATGTGTCTGCTTCTCTGAAAATGTCATCCCACCCCACGGTCCCTGCTGGGATGTCTTGTGAGGGGCTGCCTCTCGGTCCTACACAAGGAGCGACTCCTATTCAATGTACCTCGTCCCTCGCCCTTTTCCCATTTCGCCCTCCCCTGATGTGCTTCCCCACCCACACACCCCACTTGTGATTCCACCCATTCTAGCACACCCGGCCGCTATAGCCACCCCAGACCGAGTATAGTTTAGTAGCTCGGAAAACGTGGCCGTGCGGGTGTGGGGTAAAAGGAACTGTCCGATTGACGAGGGTCTGTGCTTCAGCCCAGGCTTGAGCACCCCAAAACACTTTTATCCCTTTTGCACAGAGCCACACATTCACACAAATAATTTTGATGGCCCACCAAGGGTGGGTCTTCGGCACAAGGAAACTTTTTATGATTCATTCCCCATACAGCAAATCTCACATGAAGATATCACTCCCAAATAATTTTTATCGTCCACCACTCCACCTTTGACGTCAACCCTGGGAGTCAGATAAATTGTGCCATTATTGGTGCCATGGTGGATGGAATTAAAACTGAAAACAGGAGAGATGAAGATTCCTGCAGCTTCTCTGTCTCTTGTGCCACATATAATTTTGATATACCATCACCTCTGCACAATCCCACAGTGGCAACCTTATACAATTCCTTGATATTTCTTCTCCCGAGAACCGCTCCTTTTCCGCCACCAACTCTCACTATCACCCACACCGAATTCCCTTCAGTCCCACTATATCTGTACTACAAGTTGTATACTTTATGCGGGGTTCCTGGCAACTCGGTACTCCACCTCTCAGGCCTTTCGCTTCTTCTTCTTCGTCATGTTCTCCTTTTTGAGATACATCCACCACAGGGTGTTTGCAATGACTGCAATAAAAATTGCAAAACCATCGACTGTGAAAATATCCAGACACTTTGTAAAATTAAACCTGTAAAGTGGAAGTATCACTTGTTATGCTCACTCAGGAATTGATGGAATTTAGCATTGACGCAACACTTTGTTCTGGGCGGAGCCTTAAAATGGGCGGAGCGAAGAAAATTTAATACATTTTTCCAATCAATCTTGTAATTAAATAACACTCCTACTATCAATATCCGACAAATTTATTACATTACAGCAGAGAAGTCTGTTAAAAGTAAGCTGTGGAAAAGTCAAGCAGGAACGCGATATCACCCTGCTAAAAATGTTCCTACCGAAACGCTGAGGGCGAGTCTCTGCCACGTTGTGAAGACAGTATAGAATTTTGTTATGGGTACGAAGGGTGGGCGAGGTGGGTGGCGGTGGCAAAAGTAGGGACGACGTGTGGGGGTGGCGGCGAGGAGTTTGAGTTTAGCCCGAGAAGTGGGAGACTTGTGTGGAAGCTCTTATATCGTATATAGGGACAGGCACTGAAACCTCACCTCACACCCTCCCGAGTTGGATCCCTCTTTCTCATCTATGTTCTCCGCTCTGCCAGTGTTCTCTTCGGTGGCGTGTGGGTGGAGGCGAAAATACAGCGCCATCATGGGGACGGATAGATAGATGGAATGGAACAATTAGATGGGGGATGGGAAAATATGAAGATGGCGGGAAGGGGCGAGGGAAGCGGGCGGGTAGATCCAAAAGGAAGCGCTGTGTATACACATAGCCAACAATTTCTCCGTATAGCACCCAAACCCAAACCCATCTTCATCTCACACTGGGTGACGGTGGTATTTCTGGCCCTATATCTGCCACCCCCTTTCCCTTGCCAACTCACACTCTTCATCTTAATTTCACCAAACCCACCCACACACAATTCCCGTTTCGCTTCTGAGCAGCGTCGCTCCTATACCTATCGCTGTGCTGCTATACTGAATGTCGGATAGAGTCTTTGGATGGGTGCACCATCACTAAAATGAGAGGATGTACTCGAACTGAGGGGATACCTCCAAGTGCTACAGAAAATTCATTTTTCGCCACCGTCAAGATTATGAATTTCACGAGGAGCCAGAAAAAACAAACTCTGCTTCCGACCTCCCGAAAAAAGCACCTATCATTACGGTAATGAAGGGAAGAGCCTCTCCAGACATATGGGTTAAGTGACTTGGATTGTAATTGAAATTTCTGAGTAATTATACCCACCATTCATTCTGGTTATCAGTGTACTGAAGTTCCAGATATAAATGATACTCCGGCTGCTTCAGAGTGACTTTGATATGACTCTAGATATCACAGGGCTCTCAAATTTTCATGAAACCTTTCAAGAAATGAAATTATTACATTTTTAATCTAAGGGATCTATGATATATCATTTGACATAGAATGAAAATTCATGTGAAGTTTGTTAAACTCTCTGTAGACTTTCTTGTTGTTAGTCTACCTGGAAAGGGTAGAAGATTTCTTTGCATAAATCCTCAGCGAAAAGAGGTCAAATAATTTTCATGAAACATTCACTTCTTGGGTGAAAATTTAAGCCTAACATTTAGATATTGCGGAATAAATACCATGGCGATCCCTGAACGTGAGCGTCAAAGACGATCCGGCGAAGCACCCTTTTTGGGTTACTTGAGAAGGTTGCGCTTGACGCCAACACAGCGTCGGGTGAATTTTCTTCCGAAAATGCAAAAAGGCCGGGATGAGTTATGGAGAGGGCGAGAGGGATGTTTAATATGCTGCGAACTGGCGATGTATCTTTATACTGTGGCGGAGGATGGATGTATATGTACATGTTGGTGCTGGGAAGCGGCATAGCGGAGCAGACGCTGCGGAGGGAAGTGAAGCAGCCGGGGCACGGGTGTGGGCGAGCGAGCAGGGAATATCGAGTGGGGTGAGCAAGTAGATTACCTCCGCAGAGTATGGAGAAGTTTACCATCATCAGAATATTTTCCCTTGCAACTCAACATCAAGCACAAGAGACGCCGATATATCGACCAAGTTCTGGGTACTCGTCTGGAAATGCCGCTCCTTCATTCCTCCTCAGCCCAGCCACCCCTGCCCTCGAGTCGTGGCCCCCAGAGCGGCCCCCGCACACCCTTGAGCGCAGTGTGGGTGAATTGGGTAGTCTCGGATATGGATATATAGAGCGGGGCTTGATATTTGTATGGGGAAGAAATATTGTATGTGTGTATCATATAGTTATTTTTGATCCATCCACACACCAGTAAATAACGCTGAGACATTGCAAGGGCGGAAACCCACAGTCAAAGTCGACTCCGAAAACCAACCCCACACACACCCTCCCCGAAACCCACACCCCCGCGCCGCCCAGGGACGAATGAAACAGAGGAGCGCAGAAGAGAGTGGAATCATCCTTCTTACAACCCCCCAAAAACGATAAATTCGCCAGCCATCTTGGAAGACGAAATAGAAAAATTATTGAGAAAAAATATATTTCTCCTCTGTCGCATCCAGGGTGATGTGGCATCCAAACGACGGAGATGTTATGATTAATTTGTACATGGCACAACATTTCCACCCTCACCCCATCGATATAGTGGGATAAGCAGCGTGAAATTTCCTCACTCTCGGCGTACATGGGCTCTCAATATAGCACACAAATCCTTAACTAAGCATTTTAACACACTCCATTGAGGAGCACATTTGAATAAAACTGATTTATCTTTTTCGCATTTATCCCTCACCTCTTAAGAACCTGTTGCATGTTCCATTTCATCGCTATGTATAGAAAACAGTGATATGTAAGCACTTGAGCACTCAAGTGCTTCGCTAAGATGAAATTGTTTTCCGGTTTAATCAAATTCAGCACAGTCGAAGACGTTTCCCGCGCTTTTTCGCTACGACAGAGTGTGTGTCAAAGGCAACGGGGTTCAACTGAATCAGCATTGAGGATTACACTGCCACTGGCTTTCCAGATAACCTATCAGCACCTATGGGAACTGACATTTTCATGATCGAAAAAGACGAGCAGAAAAAGTCTGTGGAATATGCTCGGCAGGATGGCGTACCCGGGCTGAGGCCAGGGGTGGGTTAGCATCGATCTGAGAGCTGAGATGTCTAAATGTGTCGGGGTGTTGCGGGGCTCGAGGGGGAGCGTTTTGAGGAGAGCACAGGGGGTGTGCTTTGTTACTTTACTGGAGGCATCAAAAGCAAGAACGGCAGGCGGGCGGGTATTCGCTGTGTCTCTCGCAAGAGGGGTATAACTTATATTCGATGATAGTATACAAGCCAGAGTTCGGTCTATAGACATAGACTCAGGCATCCCAACACCACAAAGTACAAAGCCGCTCTCCTTGGTCCGCCCGGTGGTGATGGATGAAAAACAGAAAAGGGTGGAAAACGGGCAAGAAATGAGGGTAACGCACCCACCCACCTCCGTCTTGCCTCTTTCGTATCATCACCGGGGGTAATATGAACGGGTGGGCCTTCTTTTTTTCGGAGTCTAACAGCATTTCATTCCGAGGGAGGGAATGGACATTTCGCAGATTCTCAAACTTTCGCGCAATTCCTGGGATTATTTCAATCTCACAAGAATGTCTCCAACCCAGCAATAAAATTAACAAACATTTTAGACATTATATTAAAACATTCCAATAATAATGATCGATTCCAATTGTGGTTTGTCCTCTATGACCATCGACTCCGTAGCCGAGAGAACAAAGAAAATGCTCATATTACAATATGTGGCAGCTACATAGTTAGAAAAGTCCCTTCGACTTCGCGACCAATTTTATATCTTCATTGAAGATAGTGAACAGTGCTCACCACACACTTCTTTCCGAGGTTACTTTAACTGTATATGTATATATATATATGTATACACATGAAGGATGTGCAAGCATGTTTAATGCAATTCTTGTTACTAGTAGAGAGCAACTATAAAACCAGCAAAAGTTACACTTTGTATAAAATTCACAAGAATCCCAAGTCGTTCTTTCCTCGCAAAATTGATAAAGTTTGAGAATGTCTCATGCCTTTGGAGACTGAGGGATCTGAGTATGTATAGCCACGAGCATAGATAGATGATGTAGGATACCATATCCTCAATAGATTTATGTGCACCCCTCGTAAGGGCCCCTCCTTTGACACGAAGGGGATGTAAGAATTCCTCACAAACGAGTTTCATTTTACCCACCAACACCCATACAGGCTTCCAATATGATTCTTACGAAATGCCATGTTATGGCAAAACCTCAGAAAGAATACGTATATGTGGTATTAATTTCCCCGGAGAGAGGGAGACAGTGGGTGGTCGAAATGAGGATCAAGTGGAGCGATTTCACTAAAGTCTCCCCACTTTTGCATTCAGCCACGCTACAATTATGAGGGTGTGTGTGAAAAAATAGAGGAAAATTTTTATTCCCACCCTATATAGCACACATTATATCACGCGGTTACCAGAGAAGGAACTATACACAGCATATTATATACTTGTGTGCGGCTCACCCGCCGAGGGTCGGGTGCACAGCGTAAGACTTGGTGGGGTGCCTAAAAACGACCTCACACCCTCGGGGCGTCGAGCGCACAGAAAACGACATGGACCAAGGCCCTAACACCCTTTATGGGGGTGTATACTACACTCCAGCGAGAGAATATTTTCCCCAAAGTGCCTCTCTCTGAACGAACGCGGTGGGTGGGCCGGAGGGGTGGCGGGGTCTGGGGGTGGTCGGGGGCGAGAAGCGTTGCAGAGAGAAGGCAGCAAAAAAGAGGAAAAAAGACAAGAAAAATCACCGGCTCCCTTCACGTCGTCCCTCTCCTTCGGGGTGTTTTTCCTCCCTTTTTGATAAGATCCACCCACCACTTCCTACCACCCACCCCGTGGCGCCCTCTTTTCGTGCTACGAGGCGTTGGAAGTTATTTGTCTCTCTCCCATGGCAGAGACTATGCCGGTTTTCTTCGCTCGGTATGTGCTTATGCTCTGCTTTTTGGGGGTATAAACGCCAAGCACACGTTCCTATTTGGTCAGTCAAAAGCTGATCTCCGAACAAGTAACATCACAAGTGGAAGTGCTCTCGAGTGTCAGTACAAGTGTTTGACCAATTGGGCAATTCAGTTTGTCAATTCACCAGCTTGTCTGTGGCTTTTCCACAAGTGATTAAGAAGGGTTTTCTGTGAGTGTTTCTGCGGAGGATGGCAGCAAAACGTAAAGCCGCTGTATTGCTTCACAAGGTACATTACATTGTCTTGCTGTTGCATATTCCAATCACAATCAGGTGGTGATATTTGAATAATTTCAGTTATTTTTCCACCCTTTCTTCTCGAAAATATTAAAGTGAAGCGCTCTGTGGATATTTTTCCCTTAAAATGAACAGACTTTTTTCTACCCATATAACATACAGTATTTTGAGAATAAATTCACCTCCGCACCTTTTTGTAGCCCACCCTTAACCCCGTGCCCGGACACCCCCGCCAACGGTGAATTCATAGTGCTCATGGCGCAAAATAGAACAAACCCAATCCACCTACACTGAACCCCAGCCCCTCTTTGACTCTACGTATAGTGTTATAGTTGGAAAACTCACGCCACTCGGGCTCAGCATAGCTGGAGAGGGTGGCGAGTGGGATAGTCCCGCTCACCCAACACCCTTTTCACCACTATCTGTTCCTCTTCCATCATATATACAGGCACTGTGTATTACACAGTATAACCACACATTTAGTAAACGCATTCTCTCTAAGCGACGACGAAACGGAACATTATTAGTAGAAACCCCATTTTCGGGATGACGATGGGCGCGCTGGGGTGCGGACTGAGGGGATGTGGAGGAAGATTTGTGGGTAGTTTGGATTCACTCCACCCACGCATACATTCAACACATCTGTATATATATTGGATAGGGCCAGAAGTTCTGTAGTTATCCAGACTAAACCGAGGTCGGTCTCGAATTTTTCCAACTCTAACCATGGAATGACTAGAGCAGAGTGTAATTTTCATGGATTCACAAATTCATGAAATCATTTATACACTGCCTCACCCTATGAAAAGGTCCTTGGAACCTTCGCAACGACTCAATATCATTTAGGAGTGCGGGATCTGGGGACTGAGGGTACAATGGAGTAGCAAATAACATAAAGTGGTTACTATACACCCATCTCATATGGTGTGTTTATAGTTTCTCAAAAGGAGAATCTCAAGAACCCCCGATACATTTCTCACCGCCACCACCCACCAGTGAGACACCGAGCATTATCTGAGTCCCATACTTTGTCGCGGTTTCCATTCAAATTTTCGTATTAGGCTGTAACTGATGCGGATGGCTTTCCCTTCCACTGCAGCCACTGACACACTCCCCTGGATCTTAAGTAATTGCACTCTTTTTTTTAATATCTCCGGGTGTATAGAGGGAAGAAAAAATTGATTTCTTTCCTTTTATTATATGTTTTTTTTCTCCTATTCTCCGTCCCACATGTACGCATCATTTTTATACAGCCAAGATATATAGCGGGGGGTATATAAATTTTGTGTACAAAAATACGGGTTACCCAACTGAGAGCCTCCTCCTATATATATAAATTTATATCCGGCACTCCCAACCTCTATGTACAAGAGGCAGAGCATTACGGGGGGCCGAGGCGGGTGTGGAGCGCTCTCGGTACGGAGAGAACACCGAGGGATTTCTCACACCACCGATATCCTACTTTTCCGTCCGACCACCCACTCACCCGCCCAGCTTGTCTTCATTTCACCCATGGCAGCCCACCCCCTGCGGCACCCGCCCAGTGGGCCCACCACCGGTGATGGTGGCGGCGCCGGATGGGTGACGAGTGTGGGTGGGTTGAGTTGGGTAGCTGTGCACGAACTTCTCTCCAAGCGCCCGAGACCGTGTGACGGGTGTGGGTGGTGGTCGATGGCCTAACACCCAAATACGAAGAGTGTACCCTTCAGTTTGTCTCAAACCCAACATATATACACGACACTGCCATATAGTCGCATAAGCCGGAGGAGTCTTGTGTCGAGCCCGTCCTCACGAAAGAGGGTCATACCACTGTGCTCTCTCTATACGAAATAAAAACCCACTCTGACGAAAGAGGAACGCCACACTGCTCAGATAGAGGGTGTGAAATATTGAAAATAATAATCACTGTCGCATGCAACGGAGCCTCCCGGCGATGTGCGCCGTCTTTCCCAATGCCAAGGGAAGAACTTGTGTGCCACTCAGTGACATATTCCCTCGCCTCGGCGTTCAATAACTCAAAAAATATATCATTTAAACGTGCATGCAGTGCACAAGGGAAAAAAGGGGTTGAAGAGACGTGGAAATCCAAAATTGAATCTCTCACAACCTTAGATTATGGCTTAGAAGAGTGTTGAGTTGTTGCACAAGTGCGGAGCCTTTTCGCACCGTACCAAATAAAGCTTTGCTCGTACAACATGAGACTTTTGATAGAAACACAAAAGTAGTAATTAATTTTTATCCTCTTTCAACCAAGGAGACTCCAACCATCGCAACAACCTCATCCGGTGGGTCGACCTCAACATCGACAACTTCCATTGCTGAACCGGGAGACGCTCACGCTGAAGATCCCTACTCTGGTGAGACTTGACTCTAATCTTGAGATATTGCTTTTCGGCTTTGTTTTCTTCTCTCTTTCTCACTTTCAATCATCCATTACTCGTTTCTATAACATATTTTCTTGTTTTCATCACTCTTTTCCATCACGTTCCACTGTTGAGTTAATTGGTCATATTGAGTTATTGGCACCCATACATGGTTGAGAAGACGTAACATCTAAATTGGCGTTTTTTAAATTAATCAATTTCAGGACTTATGAAAGATGCTGATAAACTAAAATTAATGCTTTTAGCGTGGAATTATCAAAATTCCAATGCAGGTAATTTTATTTATCACACTTATCGCTACCACTTGTACTGTTCATGTTGAGTTTCCCTTTTCTTTTCCACCTCCTTCACATTTGTTCAGTTGTCTTGCGAATTTCTCCATTTGTCTTTGTTTCTCCTCAGTTGGTCAAAGTTTCTTTTGTGGCTTCTAACATACAGAACACTGTTGGAGTTTCGCGTGAGCATGCTTTAATTATTACTGTTGTGTGCTGCTCTCCTTGCAGCTCGAAATGGCACCGAAGGACCCGATTTAGCCATGGTGGGTGGGCTCTGGGCACAGTATCAAAATGCATTGGCCATGAATGGTAAACAATTGTCGCCAAGCGGTCGTGTAGACCCATCGAGTCCAGTGGAGAATCAAGATGAGACCAATTCTTCTGGCCAAAAGGACGACGATGAGCTCTCGGAGGATGATTCAGAGGACAGAATAGATGCAAACGCCCAAGATCCAGAGCGCCTCAAGGCATTCAATGTAGGTTTTATACTCCCACTCAAAAAGCTTCTTCTGCAATGCGGCTTTCATTGCTTTGCAGATGTTCGTTCGGCTGTTTGTGGATGAGAATTTGGATCGCATGATTCCCATTTCGAAGCAGCCCAAGGAGAAGATTCAAGCCATCATTGATTCCTGCACTAGACAGTTTCCAGAGTTTGCTGAGCGATCGCGCAAGAGGATAAGGACATATCTCAAGTCCTGTCGCCGCAACAAGAAGACCCGCGACGGTTGGGAGAATACTGTTAGTATCTACAATTACGATAATTTCTCTTTTATCTGTGATCTGCAATTTCTAATTATGCTAATATCTCCTCAATGTGCAGTCACGACCGACGCCAGCACATTTGACATCAGTTCAAGCAGAACAAATATTGGCATTAGCATGCGAAAACGAAAGTATGAATGCGAAACGGATGCGTTTGGGCCTTGAACCGATCAGTCAAAATGTGACGCCCACTGTGAACACTGTAATGACCAAGAATGAAATTTTTCAGTAATCTGTACCAATCAATTCACCATTCTTCCCGTCTTGTAGACTGTCGACACTACAATAGCCAACTATTCAATCATGAAAACTGCTGCTGAAAATGATGCCATAAACACGCCATCGGCCTCTGTATCCATGAAGACAGCGGCCCCAGCAACAAGTGCTGCTGAAACTAAGACCATTAAGTAAATACATTCCCGATAAAATGCTAATTGCTATAAAACTTTATGGGATTATATTTCACAATCAATCTTCCTCCCCATTTTCAGCACCACGCAAAGTGAGAATGGCATCAGTACAAATTCCTTGTATCGTGCAGATTATAGCAACAATTCAAGCCAATACAATGCCCGAACCAACAACTATCCGAACTACTTCAACAACAACACACAATCTAATGGTTTGTTTGGCAAACATCGCTTTTCTCCACAAGCGTCTGCTCAACTCTGACTCTCTTTCCTTGTAGTTCCCACGGATTTATCAATGAAGCAGACACAGAGACCGCCAATTCTGTCGCACAAGCTGAATGCCACGGAAATGAACGCTGTTCGCCAGTTGGTCACCGGCTACAGGGAAAGTGCAGCCTTCCTCTTGCGATCGGCCGACGAACTGGAGCAACTCCTTCTGCAGCAGCAGCAGTGAATCTCACAAGCGCACATTTTATGATAACAATCCAAATTTTAACAACGGGTATTGATTAACGAAAGTGAAGAAAAAAATTAGCTTACATGTAACACGTATTGAATATTTATATAGATAAGGTAGGACTTTTTTGTTTTATCTTTCTCTGTTTCGCTTTCTTTTGCCAAAGTCAATTTTTTTTGTTGTGCTTGAAAATGTACAAAAGAATTCCCATGTAAAATATCTCACTACAGTTAGCGAGAATGATGATAATAAAAATAGATTTCGCTAAATATTTCACGATGTAAATCGTATTTCATAGTAGAGTTAATAGAAGGAGAAAAAATACGAAAAAAAAGTTTACTAATTTCTCTCTCAAAAATAAAAGAAAAAATAGACAAAGTGTCAAATTCTCCACTTTATAAAGTATACTAATGAATCTGTATATTTTACCATTTATTCAACAAACATAATTGATGTTTCAGTGAATTCAGTGTTTTTTCGAATTAGTGAAATTTTTGAGCACATGAATGTCAAAGAATCTAATCACCGTATACGATATCTCACTGTTAAATGAATGAAGAAAAAATTGGAATTCTTTTGTATTCACAATATATGCTTATTTTTAAGATGGTGGAAAAGAGTCAAGAAGAAAACTTTGAAAAACCTATTGATATTTGTAATATGATACAGGGTGATAATTTCTCATTGAGTAAATTGTAGTGCCATTTGATTTCTCAAAACTGTTTTGTCGCATTTTTGTACAATTTGATGATGAGGAAAAAAAATGTGGAAATAATGTTCGCCAAAGAAATAATCTTTGATAGTTACCAGTGAAAAAGAATGGCTACACTATTTTTCTATATATGATAAATTAAACAAGTATATAAGTTGAAAAATAAAATTGAAGAGAATCATAGAGATTATACCTATTTGACGACGAAGATGATAAATGAATGTAAAATCCAGTTATAGCAAGAATGAGTATTTGAAACGCCAATGGAAATAAAACTTGAACTTTTGAGACATAGATGGAATGCCGTGCGTACGATCATCTCCCACCCAGTCTCGAGCCGGCCCCACTCTGCTCAGCTCTGCGGGTAATCTCTGGGGCAAGGGACTTCTTCATCGCGAACCGAGCCCGGAGTCGCGATTTTATTGTACATAAACGAGTCTTTCTAGTTTGTTTGGCACTCTTTGTGGCCAGCAAAAAGTGCGCTCCGTCAGTGTCTCGGCAAGAGTGGCTCTGGATTCTTCTTGTGCTGCCTGGTACAGAGCATTTGTGGCTTGGCAATTGTAGAAAGTGGACGGGTTCGGTGCAGTTGGTGTGCGATTGCAATCGGTTGAACTATTTGCGCCTCAGACTCACTAATGTGCCAATTTCCTATGGAATTACTGACTAACTGAGTGGAGTTACAGGTTCGCTTCTTCGTGCGTTTTAGTGCTCTATTTTTTTGTGTTTGCCGAAGGAAGGCATTGCAATTAGTGCAGGCAATCCGTAACTTTCCTCTTACCATCAGCAGTGTGTGTGTTTGGATACATAAGGAAAAGTGACTAGAGCACCTGGATTTGCATCACAGAGTCATTAGAAACGCAATCAATTGGATATACCTTATTGCAAAAAATTGAAAGGTACAGAATTTCAAAATTACTGCTCTGTAATACCAGCCCAAAAATTATTCGTCTTTTTCCACACACCGCGCGAGAAAATTCCCCCTCCCCCCTCTCTCCAGAAAAAGACATGTATGGCAGATGAAAACGATGAAAAGAAGAGAAAAAGAACTAGGGAAATAGTGCTGTACGAAGAAATTTGCATGATGTTAACTCATGTATTCATCTCACATCTTCTCAAGTATGCGATGAGGCGAAAATATAATGTCTTTGTTTCATATTCATCATCAACGCGCTCTCGGTCTGTCTGAAGTGCAGGCGCGCAAAAGAGCACGGTAAAAATTTAGTCATTGAACTGTGGTGTCGCTCAGAGCAAGACGCACACACATCTCAAAGCCTCTTTTATCCATTTTAGCCAGCTATTGAATCTACATAAGCTCTGGCGAGCAAATCAGTCACACAAGGCATCACCTTCGACAGACACTCAAGCTCTTTCAGATGCTGTGCAAACTTCTTGCTCGTGTAGCGAAAATATCTACTGCGTACACGCCGAGTAGCCCCTTCAGGCTTCAACAAATACCGCCATCAGAGGTGGATAGAAATGCTCTAGCTAAACACCACCTCACCGGACAGACACCCATTACATTGTGCCACTTACTGTGCCACACAGATCCTTGTCTCGAGACTCGTTGAACTCGGTTGAACTGCAAGGAACATGTTCTTGTTGTACTCTTCACAGCGCCTATTAAACTACATATCTTAAGCAAACTCCGCGCACACCTGGAATACTTACACCATAAGCTATTCACATTGCTTGGATAAGATCATCACGAGACTCAAAATTCAAATTAGCAACAATCACGTCAATTGTGGCCGATATGTTGACAGTTTATGCAGGAAATCGGCGGCGGGTGAAAAAAGTGATATTATTTAAATTAGGGGGAGAGAGAGCTATTCGCGTACTCTCTCGATTTCAGACAATCACTTTCATTGAAGAAATCCTAGGCACAAGAAACTTTTACCATTTAATATTAATCTGTCAGTCTTAATTAGCATTACAAGGCTATCACGCACAAATATGAATTGTTGTGTTATGAATTCCTCCATATAACTGGAGTCCTAATTTTTTCTTTCTCCGCTAAGAAAGTCAACAAAGGGCAAATTAAGCATTGCCAAACTCAAAGAAATCACTCAAGGTCGGAGAGATGAAATTTGAGAGCTACTTTTCAAGCAGATAAGTTCAGAAATTCAAATAAAATATCACAATTTAGAAAGCTTCTGTTTCTCCTTATGAATTAATCCTCCACATGAAATATGTATAATAAATTCTGCAATTACTCAAATAGTAGGAGAGAATGACTCTCTGTGTTGCACTTTTCTCTTTTCTATTAGCGATTTTGGCCTCTTTCATTCTTAATTATTTATACATTGAAAATATGTTGGCAATCATTTGAACACACATCAGTTGCTCATTCCTCTGCAATACAGGCCGGTATAATATTCCAATTATTATTTCCCATTGAATATTACACATTGAGCGAACTGGGAAGACAGCGTGGTTGGAAACATGACAGATTCGCTTTAGAACATTTATCCATCTGCTGCCGATCAATATCTCTGTGTGGAGTCCGGTGAGACACCCAAGGAGGACGGCAAAAAGTGGCGTTTTACGTAATTATATGGCTCTCATACGAACATAGAAGCACAAATACGTCACGATGGTGGCAGAGGAAATCTAACTTCCCAATGGTGCTGACTTGTCTCTATCGAGGGCAGTGATTCCACACGACCAAATAAGCAAAAGACTGCCGTTTGGCTCAGAGACTCACATTCGCAGTACATAAAGCTCGCTCAGAAGCGCAGAGTTCCACTTCATCGCTGAAAGAAAACGGTGTACTGCCCGCTATAGGAGATCCATCAGCAATCCGCATTGGTTCATTTTCATTCCAACAACGCACGCTCACAGTTAAGCCATCGCCGAGACCCACACACTTTTGGATTGCGCCAGTGCAAAAAGAAAGACGCGAGAAATGTTCTTTCCGGCGTAGAAATTCTTTTCCGCTGAGACAATCTCACGCGAAGAAATTTGCAGAATCGATCTTCGATTCGGTTCAATTAATAAAGTGTCTTTGTCTCGATTCGTGGGACATCTGAAAATTTATCCGACACACAATAAAAACACCCATGCTTCTTCTCACGTATTGCATAATCTTGCCATCAAAGTAATAATTATAAATTGTTATACAACACTAACAATAGGAAAGACATTGAAGATATTTTTTGTACACTCCTCAAAAACACCCATTCAAGAGTAGCACGGCGGAGAAAAAACAACTCCCTGTAATTAGCTTCAGTGATTCAATAAGATTCCACTTCTAGGCGACCATTAGAGCTCTAAATCGCACACATGCGACTCCAGAGTTGGAGGCTTTTCGGGTCATTTTACAATTATACACCACAAAATTCCCATTTGCATAAGTTAAAGCGCGTGAAACATCAACAAAATATGTATTTCCCATCAATGAGAAACATACCTGAGCTTGATTCACGACAGTCGTCAGTAAAATACCAAGTGTCTTCCGAGAATATCGGAGTTGTAAAAAACGTCACACTTCGCACTAAAAGACAGCGAATGTGTAAATAGTATTGCATCAGAGATTTCCAGTTGGTCACTTTTTCGGAAATACCTCGACACTCAATTACTTGTCGCATTTTGCGAGGAGTTGCTAACAGAATTTCGTGAATAGCCCGTGAACGATAAATTTAAGCATTTGACGGACGATAAATGCGGCTCAATAAGAAATTCAAATTGGGGCTTCCTTATACAAGAGATAGATAGCATTTGCTTGTCATGATTAACGATAAATTTGAGTGGATTATCTAATTTTCGATCGCATTGTCTTAATTAATGGAGTGTGTTTTGAGCAAAAGAGCCTTTAAAATGCGAAACAGTAAGGCGCAAATTGTCCAATCTTTGAGCAATTTTATTACTCTCAATTGAATTGCTTCTCTTTTTGCGAGAAATCAGCAAGACGGCTTGTGAGGCTGCCGTGGTGAAATCTCTATTAAATATTTGCAAGGTGCGTCTTTGAAATTCGTCACATCGTGTTGACGAAATAAATATTCATTTGCCACACTGCAAAGTAAGAGGAATTCTTAGTATAAATTTAACCAAATTATTTCCGAAAGTGTTTTACTCTTTCACTCACGCTCTGCACATGAACACAATTGCAAATTTTCACTCTCTTTTTTTTCCTCAAAAAAATAAACACCATTCAATGATATTTAATTGCAAAATATTATATTGAGTGCTATTTCTGTATAAATTCATTTAAAATTTATTTTTTTGCAACTGACGTTTGAGGTTTGAAATTCGACAATTTATCTTCTGTGTGAGACACTTTAACATTATAATTTGTTACTCAATTAATTCCACCAATGAAATGGACAGCGAAAAAGACTTATTATGGGAACATTTTTCGCTCCACAGAGGAATTTCTCAAGAATTTCATTCATTTGCACTATCACAAATTTGTTTCGAGGCATATGAAGAAAAAAATATGAAAAGACGTCATGAAAAACACATCGAAAGACAGTGTCATTAGCGTGAGAGGTTTTTTTCTCTCTCTAAAATGCAACATGATATCACTTTTTCACATGGAATCTGTTGAAAATTTCATAAGACTATTTTTACATTTTATTAAGAGATCTCATGACTATAATTGCAGCGTGAATAAACGCTTGTGGTGGATTAAATGGAATTTAAACATCAGTTGTGGCTCTTTTTGATAAAGTGATTAACCCTGAAAATGCTGCAGATTGCAATAAATAAAATGTGATTTGGCATGCTGTCTCGCCTTATTTTTTCTGTTTTCGAAAAAGAAGAGCTATTATATTGTGAGAGTGTAAAGAAGAAAAACGAAGAAAACTCGAATGCACATTGAATGCTGAACAAGGTTGATGTTGGACGTGAACAAATTGTTTCAAGTCTCCCAAAAAAAGCCATTGATTGCAATAATGAGCTGATTACCTAATTTATCGCGATATTCGTGTTCACATGTGATTTTTATGTAAATTCACGCAGCTTAAGCATTATCTATGGCTGGTAAATGACTAATATTGTCGGCCTTTTATAGACACTCGTCCGAAACATGGTTTTGGAATGCGAATATTGGAGGCAAAATGAGCATATTAAATATACATATTTCCTTTTTCTCCATGCTCAATATAAGAGTAATAAATGGGCGAAATTGACATGGGGAAGCGATTAGTTTGAGCGAATTATTGATCTCGCTACTGTCCACATGTTGCATTCGCCAATCAATTTCACCTACGTTTTATCATTGACGCGATATTTATACCTTTTTGCAATTGAATGTTGCGTCTGGTAACCTTTACCTGGATTTTATTGCAAAAGTGGAGGTACTGTAATTTTTGAAACAATATATAAGGAATGCTTAATAGTTTATTCAAGATGGTGACTAAGTTCAATTATATCCCATCTCACGTCGAATCTCTCAAGGCAACTGATCAATTACTTAATCGATTTTCATCACCTGATGGACACAAATGCATGGCGATGTTTATTTTATTTTGCGCCACAAAGGTATTCTTCATTGACACAATTATCTTCCGCCTTTGAACGGATCGGATGGGTTGAATTATGTCAAAAGGAGTGACTGACGCCCACTGGCGACCACAAGTACACTGCCTCGCAAGAAACTAAGTACGCACTGTTGCTGACAATCTCAGCTTCACCCCAAATTCGCTATCATAAATTATGCAATACTTTAGATAACATCAATTTGGAAACACTTTCTTTAGAAAATACCTTTGATATGCATTTTTATGGGCATCACTTTGTTTACCAAATTTGGAGAAAAGGTTTTATCTTAATGCTGTGAATGAAGATGTATCAGACGATGACTTTGGTCCATATTTTCCCTCCCATTTTCAACTCGATTCAAAAGTACCTACAGAAAATATAGGAATTTGTGACTCTGAAAAATGACTTTTTCAGATTAAGGAGTTATTATATAATCACGCGAGTTTCGTACAATTTACATAATTAAATATTCAATGCTCCCAAATTCTCTCTAAACAGCCTAATCACTAATTCCAATCGCGTTATCGTAAAAAAGCTATAACAATCTTCCAATTTTCATGAAAAAGCCCCGATTTATGTTTCGTGGGTGGATCATAATCATCAGAACTGTCTTACAAATATTGATCACACGAGCCGCGATAATATTTGGACTTGCACAGTTATTTAATTTATATTACTAACAGGCTCTAAACTTAATTCTATTGACACATTTTATCGTCCGCCCGAAAAAGTGTTCTTGGCGTCGCGAAAAGAGCACACAAACATGCGATTTCCTCGCTGGAAAAATAAGAGATACGTGATGAAAAGGCCCGACAGATGATTATAGTTAGGGCATGGTCACATTGTGGCAGTAATATGAATTCAAATTATTCATACGTGAATTAAACCTAAACACGTTACGCCTCTATTTTCCTCCACACAATAACTTTGCATGGAGCTTATGTGTAGCGCGAATGCTGGCATTTTTCGCATCCATGCGGTGGGATACCTTGAGCAAACATGAAGAAATTTTATACAGAGAATCACTTAAATTGCTGCATTCGCTTGATTATGTTGGGTGAATAATTAACACTATTAAAAGTGTTACACAAACTCTGTTTCATGTTAGACTTTTTCACTCGAATTGTGCCTTTTTTCTCTCTTCTCACTGGATATTTTTGCCCGAAGAGAAGAAGGCAAAATGCTTTTAAGTGCAGTTGCCACGATGTATTCCACGTGTAGGGTAATTTAAATGTTCGCGTGTAGCTCAATTAAGAGGAAAATATGAGTTATGGCGATGCTTATTTATTTATCGATGTTATGTGGAATAGTGACACAAAACATATTAACTATAGTTGGATGATTTGTCTTCTATACTCTTCATGCAACGATTACATATTGAGTGTTGCGCTGTTGCTTTTCCTATCAAAGTTTTATTGGTGCTTTTTTTATTTGATAATAATTGAATATAAAGATTGACAAAAGCACAATAATAGCAGAATTTTAAATTTTTATAGAATTTTTACGCATTTTATTGCGCACCATCCATAAATCTTTCTCCAAATTATCAATGATATAAAGAAATGCTTCAGATGAATGTGTGAAAGTTTTGCATGCTTTCAAGTTACGTTATTAGTATCATAAACATAAAGCAATATTTCTGCAACACTCGATTGGCTTTATTAGTTGTTTTAATCACTACTTCAGCTAATTTCATAATCAAGAAGACAAGGTTTATTCAAATTTTAACGAGAGGCCCTTATTCATCGCTTCATAGCCTCTGATTTATTAATCCGTCCATCGAATATCGCTCAATTACAGATTTTTCCATCAATTAAACTCGTTATGTAAATAAACTCATATTTTCCGCACCTAAAATACATATATTAACTGCTAGAATTTAGTTTATTGCCTTCAAACGTTTTTTCTATGACATAATTTACAAACAATTAAACTGTAAACCAACTTTCTTTGCAAACACTTACAGCAGAACCCCATATGTACACAAGCGACTGAAATATTCGCATTTAACCAGAAGGCAAATTCACTTTTGGGCTGGTGTTTTATGTAAAAATCAGTCTATCTCACCTAACGTTGTTTTTTCACTCAAAAAAGCTCATGTAAAATGTAGTTCAAACACATTTCATCTCTTCCATCTATTCATATAATCACTGAGCATTAGAGCAATGATAACTGTAGTGATATCCGCAATTTCTATAATTCTTTTCATTCGTTTCTCCTCCATCTTACTCGCAATTGCAATACCCAAGAAGTAAATCAGTTGACTCTGAGCTGCTTTTCCCAGCATCGCTAATATCCAGCTGATCAACATCGTCTTCTACCCAATAATTTAAAGAATAATGCACCTCTGCATCGAGATTGTCAATATTGCACGTTATTTCGCAGTCGCTCGCTGGATGATGGGTTTTGAGGTGAAATTGACTCTGTTTTTCAGCAATTTCACGCTGTACAAGTAATTGCGCATAAATAAACATGTGCCGATGTGAAAGAATGGTCAATTCAGAGACGGCATTAGCAAGAAATTCAACATGTTTTCTTTACTGTGAAATTTGCAAGTCTAAACGGAAACATGGAGCGAATAAATATTCCTCTTTCAACACGCGTTTGACACATTGTGATAGCAGAAGTCCATTCAATTAGGGAAAAGCTTTCAAAAGGCATTATACATAACTCGATGTATTGATTGTTGTATGTGGATTATGGGCAAAAAGCACCGCAATTAAACTTGAATTAAAGTACGATGAAATTACAGACTCCTGCGAGATCGATTATCAATATTATAAGATCACGTTTTATGTTGAGCACAGAAAAAAGCCAATAATGCTTCGGGTGTATTAGGAAATTGAGCCTGTGTTGCGTGACATTTTGCATTAATGTGCAAATCAACCTTTAAAGATGTGATTAATTTTTCTTCCACCGCCATATCCGAATTTGGGATTATGCGCACCCGTAATCAAAATATAAAGCGATCGCTGGAAATAATTATGTTTTGTAAGACACCACTAAATAGAAATGTTCATTTTCAGAGAGGTTCGCGCAGCGGCAAAAAAAGCTTTTTATTATCGCAAATCGATTTCACAGCAAAACGCCTTGAGGCCAATATTGACGCACAGTCTCAACAATAAAATGCAAAAAAGGCCAGCAAAAATGCGAGACAATTCAAATTAGAATTTCACGAATCTCCTCCGCCTCCCAATCAAATTCGCTAATTGAATTCATTCAGGAAAATTGGCTGATACGGCTGAGTAAATTGCTGATGATGATATCGCGCCGAGGATTTAAGAAAGTCCCCATGTTAGCGGTTAGCTTTTCATTTTCGCCTTTGCATATTCAACGCGCATACAGAAGGAGGTTAAGTGAATAAAGACACTTTATTTAAAAACTGACGACGAGAGTGAAATTCATATTCTTTTTCTGTTAACCATCAAGAGAAAAAGACACAACACAGCATAGACATTGATGGCATTATCCATTAATTTTCTTCACATTTTGCTCACATGCTTATAAAATAAATTGCATGGCAAAGTGAAACTGGCGAGTGGTCTTTAGCTAGATCTTTGCCCGTAATTTACGTCTTATTATCCCACTTTTTGTTGCCCATATCAAAGAGATTCTCATCCTACCTTCTAGCCGACAACACCATGGCGGGAAGCGTGCGATTGAGTGACATACAGAGCGCCAATCTCGACTTCGAGAGGAAGCAGCACCTGGCCAATTGGCTCATCAAGTCTAGTCCGCATATGCCAAATCCCGTTGCCACCATCACGAGTACCGGAATCCCGCCCCATCATCACACAGCAGTCAAGTCGCCCATCTACTTCTGGGGCCAACCCGGTCACATGAGCCTCACCTCCTCCAAATCTCCCATCTTCACGTCGCAGACCAATCTGCCGCTGCAGATCATCACCACGCAGGAAGGCCAGAAGCCGAAGCTGCGGAGGTTCAATTCCCACGACACCAGTGCGAATATGTTCTCAGTGGCGGACTTTGAGAACGCGAGGCTGGCGTCGAAGCAGAGACAGAATCCGCCGGCTGTCAAGAGCAACAGCCTCGGAGGTGATGGCTCCACGGAGGACAGTGAGAATTCAAAATTTGGAAGTGATGTAAGTGTTGATGAGAAGGCAGACAAACGGTATTCCCATGGGAAAAGAATTCCACTGACAATGGGCGCTTCTGCGCTCCCAACAATGGGCGAAGTTTTGCTGGAGGAAATTCAATAGCAAACAATCGAAAGCGAATGATTGGGAAATTGGAAGAAAAACAGATTTCATTTTCAAATGAATGAAACATCAATTTGTAGGATATTTTGTATTGATTTTCTCGCCACGTTTCTGATTGAACGACCTTGGCATAACCTTGAGACTGTGTTTCAAACAACGTCCTTTAAACATTTCAGTCCAGCAGAGATGTGATGCCAATCGAGCGATTCCTGCATCGAAACTTCCTGCCAAAAGTAGCTCGTCTGATAACGCGAGAGTCCAGCAACGAGGACCCGCAGGACATCTATGACATGAAGAGCTCCCAGCAGAACCTCCCAAAGCTGCAGTCCCTGCAAGACCTCAGCCACCTCGACTCCTTGCTCAACGCGCGACCCCAGAAGGCAGGCGAGCTCATGTTGATATACAAGCAAATTCGCAACCGCAAATTATATCATGCGATCAGCACAAAGAGCATGGATTGGAAGAAGGGAATTAAAATACCTCAAGAATACCCTGGTGAGAACTCTTTTCATTATTATGCTCCCTCGTCTGGTGTGTATGTAAAATAATTAAGTTGTGTGAAAGAAGTAGAAAAATTGCAGTGAGACACCCATGATGAATTACAGTGTGTAGAAATTTTATTATGTTTAACCGTGGTGTCTTGTAAGCAATGGACGGAATACAATAGAATTGCAGACAAAACTGTTGAAATAATTGTAATAATGTACCTTAAGGTTTTTTTTATTGAGAGATACGGTTATGCAATGCAAATATAGAAATGGTCCAAACGAAACCTACTAACGTGTGCGAAATTGGACTGAGAAAATCCCACAATTATTTAAATATTGTAGGTATCTTTTTCACGTACTCTTTAGCATATATAACCATATTTAGAGATTATATTGTCTCGGAATGTGATCCACATTGCCACAGAATAGCATCTCTTATGTACTCTTACTTTTAATTCATTTATACTCTACGCGCGTGGAGAGAATGCAAGATCTGTGAAGCAATTTAACCGATTCTCCTCGTCTGATTTCTTCTCAAGGGTACTTTTCGCTGGTGAGTGAAAAGGGTGGCACAACGGCATCGGTCTACACAACGATCATCCAATTGGTGCGTGAACGAGTCTATAAATTTTTGTCTATGGAGAATATGGTGGCGTACAGCGAATCTCCGAATCAAGGTAACAGAGTCAGTGGTGTTCCGCAATTGTGCGCAATTTAAAAGTAATTTCGCTTGAAAATATTCTACCCAGCAGACATTGCCATTAAGAGTCATTACGTGAAGACAACAGCTAAGGCCGGTCAGGTGTTTCGTTTGCTGGCGGTCTTCGAGGACGGTCGAAGTCAGCACCAGAACAAATCAGGACCGTTGAGTGACTTCAGCAGCTCGAGCGACAGAGAGAAAGTGCGCGGCAGATACGCGCAGTTGCTGTGCGAGAATCGTCAGGTAAGGAGAGTATCTTCGGGCTATGTGATCATCAATTAATCAGTCGCATGCACCGATTCACACATTTCAGATGCTGTATGTGTCGCTGGCGACAAAGGGAAAGTTTTACGAGGTGGAAATGAACAGTCAGAGTCAGAGAGCGAAGCAGCAGAAGAACGGCGCGGTCAATCCGGAGTATGTTCACAGAATAAGTGACATCGTGCAGAATTCACCGCTCCCTCTCAATGTGAGACTGATCTCTGGCACTCTGCCCGGAATACCAACAGGTAATTCCAAATGCACAGATGAAACGCCTTTTGGGACATTGTAGAAATCATCTTCACTTTTAGTGTCTTCACGAAACACTTAAAATTCATCTCAAGTTTGCACAGTTTCGAAAATTCCTCAAAGTTTTCAAATATCTCTTTCTTCGCGATAATCGCGAGTCTTTAAAAATGTCTTGGTAATCTCCCAAAAAACCTATTTACAAAAACACATCTCTTAAGCAGCCTTAAATTCCAACAGTTATTTAGAGACATGATCAATGTTTCAAGATTAGACGAAATTCCCTTGAAAGCGACATGACAATGATGTGAAAAGAAGAGTGGTCTGATGATTTTCTCACATCTCTTGCCACAATTAAATAGTTTTATAAAATTTAAATAATTTTTCCACATAGAATTTCATAAGTTTTTTTTTGAGGCCAAGTGACTAAACAACGCACATTTTTCGTCAGATTGCATCACAATCCACAAAATCTCCATGGAGGACGTCCTCATTTCGTGTCCCATCGACGAGCGGGAGAGCAGATCATCGCTGGTGCTGAGGACGATCTCAATTTTGCCGGACATGAAGCTGCAAAAGTGCCTCCTGGGCTATGACAATGAGAAGAAGTTGCTGGCGTCGCCCAATGTCCAGAACATCCTCAAGTACTGCAAATTCAACTATGAAAGTCACACGCAGGCCATCGAGGCGGAACAGATTGCGGAGCAGCCGGAGAAGAAGGCGAAGAAGATCAGGCTGCTGCGGCCGATCAATTTGACCAAGTTGCTGCACCGCGAGAAGAGCTATGTGGCGCACGAGAAGGAGGACTCGATCATCTTTCTCACCAAGGCGGAGTTGCAGCGGATGCAGACGCAGCAGAAGCAAGCGGCCAAGCCGCCAGAGCGGAGCCTCAGCAGCAAGATGAAGGTGTTCGAGCCGAGCAAGAGGAAGTGGTTCGCCGAGAGAAAGAGTGCCACTAAGAACAAAACCAGTTCATTCTCCAGCTTCGATGTCAGCGTCGAGAACCGGCAGAGCATCGATCGCTACAGCGACATGTCCAAGATGATTCAAGAGCGCTTCGGAAGCGAGTGTGATATCGCTTCCAGTCATTTTGGGCGGGAATCGAGGGCACTGTCAGACATTGGCTATGATATTAGATGTTCGGCGCCTAGAATTGACAAATCCATGTCGCTGGAAAACATGAAGTTTCACAGCAGCGCCACAATGTTGGCCACAACGGTGATCTCCCCAACGCCAGATCTCGTGAAAGTGGACAAGAGGACAATTGCAGGCAGTGTAGATCGCCTGTCGAATCAGGAAGTGACTGTCACAGTCGGCAAACCTCAACAGTCCTTCATTAGCAAGAAGCTCTACTCCGAGTTCCACGTGAAGACCAAGCAGAACAGCAAGTCCTCCTCGAACCTCAACCAACTGTGGCATCAGCTGGGATTGCCACAGAAGTCCTCCAAGTACAGCAAGTCCAAGGAGGCGCCGAAGAGCAACCTCAGGCTGGCTGATGAGTACAGCAGCGTCCAGGACTCAATTGTCTCACTGGACGACAACGCCTCGTCAATCTACGACAGCAAGACTTGCATGGAGAATATTTACGCGGAGATCTGTGTTCATCACGCGGCGCCTGATCAGGGTGGAGGACACTCTCACACCGACACCACTAATCTCTAAAACTCTCAACGCACAGAGCGCAAATTTGCCTTTTCCAAATTCAACCCTTTTTCTTCTCTTAAAGCTATTTCGCATTAAGCACACCAAAGTTAGAAACACGTTCCCAATTTTTGTGATATTTTATCAGAACATTTTTACCTCTTTCCCCTCAAAACGTGCGATTTCGACTAACAAAAGGCAATTACTTTATATACAAGATAATCACTTCTGTGGATGGTATTTTTGATAAATAATCCCATGATAAATTCTATGATCGATCATTTACGCATTATTCATGTAAATAAGCTGTAATGTCAAGCGGCAATATTGTAATATTTACTTTTGTATTATAAAATAAAACACGAGGAAAATTATATTTAATGTGTCTCTCAGAATAATTGAATCATCTCGTGAAATATTCAGTGACTTTATTCACAAGGAAATATCTTATGAATTTACGATTCATTGGCACACAATTTCTCTATCATTCTATAGTAACAATATCTGGCATCGTAATCCATGTCATACCAAAAATTCACTGCGATGCACTTGTGACTCTGACGAACGTGATGATACCAAAAGCTAGGCAAGTACAGAATGTCCCCTGCATTGACTCGCACCTTAGCAAAAGATAATTCTTTCCCTCAGTATTCCATGGATATAAAAGACTGCATGAAAATATGGGACTCACCTCGAACTGCAGGGCCTTTGAATACTGAGGATATGTCTTCAAATCAGGACTGAGAGGATCCACACTCACCCACTCGATGGTCACGGGCTTCTTTGTGTCTGCGTCTATTTGGGGTTCTATCGTCATTTGGCCGGCGGAGTCAGTTCTGTAGACAGCAGTTGGGAATTCCTTTCTAGGCACTGTGTGGTAGCAAACTGGAGGAATCAGGACAAAGTCCTTGTAGCCCGATATCACGCAGTACGTATTTTCGTATGGATCTTTGTGCACTGTTGAAAAGAATAGTGTAAATCACGAGATCGAGAAGTCAAGAGGGAAATATCTCACTGGATGTTATAGCTCTTTCGTCTCCCATCCAGAAATTCATGGCATCAGGCTCTTTGTTGAAGCTTTCCTTGGCGAAATCCAGTGATTCGACGTCAATGTCTTCCAGGAGTTCCTCAAAGTCCGTGGATAAATTTGAATTTTGTTTCTGAATGTAATAAATAAGGTCACTGGAAATAGGGATAAAAAAATGAAAATTCAATCTTTTGAGTCAAGAATAAGTAAATACTTATACCTCTTACTATCCAACTTGTCCAGGAAATCTCCCATCTTCATCTGCTGCTCTTCTGGCATTACAAAGTACTCCTTCTTCTCGTGTATCGCGATACCATCAGCATATCCATTTGGCGTGACGGCCACAGTGACTTCCTTATTGCCCATGGCAGACCTGTAAAAATACATTTTACGCATATGCCAATACGCTTAGGAATATTCTTGGCAAATTACCTGAAATATTTCGAACTCCATTTAGAAATTGCGGGCCAATGAAGGCAACCTCTCAAAACTACGGGCATATTTTTAGCCACATAATCCCGCGTAAACTGTAGAGATGTGGGTAAATCGAATAATTCTGGTATTCTCGAGCCTAAATATAGTTCTGAAATTTATTTGTATTAATCCATATTATATAATTTTATATTTTAATTACAAAGTGATACATATTTTGGCATCAACACTTCTTCATAGGAGAAGAAGCAGCGACTAACCTTGAGCTTCCTGCGACAAAAAGTCCAGTGCTTCCTCAATTATTTTTGCAGACTGCATGATAATTAGATAGTCACACGCGTAGTTTATCGGCTGGATCGTGAAATGAGTGGAGAATTCCCAATATACACATTGAAAATGGATAAAATGTTAGCACGTATTTTCGCCGTTACTTGCGTGCCGAATGACAACATTGTCTGACAGCATGTGACAGAGCTGTCAAGAAGCACGTCACGCCGAGGCTCACGCCGTGTTTATATTTCGTGTGTGCACCGGAAAACTTCCAAGCTCTTGCTTTCTGCAGTGTTTGTGCCCAAGAAGATGGATGGGTTATCGACAGAGAAAGCCCTCCTGATGGAGGTTGCACTGGAGTTGCTGGGAAACACAATCTACGATGTGTTTGGGACGAGGCAGACCGATTTGATTCAGCTGTTCAGTGATAACGCCATGTCTTCCGTGCCTTCCGTGCAGAGCCAATCGAGTGGCCCGAGCCGGACTTCAACAAACTCTCAGCAATCTCTCCTGCGTCCAATTCCTGAGCGTCTTCTGAAGGCGGACACCTCGTCCAGCAATGGAGCTCTCAATGACCAGCCCTGGGAATTAGAAAGCACGCGAAGTGAGCAGGAGGATCAGGATTTTGTGGAAGACATGATGCGCAAAATAGAAGACGGTTAGTGATCAAGTAATACTAGCCGGATCGCTGCTAAATATAGATTTTTCATTGCAGAATTCAGCCAACTCATGAAGTCCAGCAAGAAACACTTGCAGTCGTATTTCATGGATTTTTGGGAGAATGCTGCTTCCACGTCGAATTGTCCAGGTGTGAAAAGATTATCCTTCGCGCAATTTCTTTTGTATTTATCCATGATTTTCTTGTAGATTTTTCCGAGGAGGACATTCAGAGCATTGCCGATGACTACTTCACCACGGAGAGAAGAGCCCTGGAGCGGATTTGCAAGGTGCAGAAGGATGCAGTAATGCTCATGAAGGACACAGCATCAAGTCCGGAAGAGGTGGAAAGAGTCCGAAGGATAACACAGAAAATTGCATTGGTGAAAGACAGAGTGGAGAAAGATCTGGCATAATTCCTTCAAGATTATTATTCCCTTATATCATTTTATAACGAATTGATCTGAAAAAGATATCAAAGAAATAGAGAATTTTTAAGTTGTCTACAAATGTGTCTTATTTCCCATTTGACATGAGCGAAGCAAATGAAGAACATTAAAAGATTACAGCGCATTTCCGCGGTTATCAGTGGGCGAAACTTTCGATTGGGATGTGCCTCCAAAATCCCCAAAATAAAACAAAATGAAAGACAATTTGATTTTTTGCCAAGTATTTGTGTATTTTAAAATAAAACAATTTTGTTTAACACAATATTAAGATATCTATTCAACAATATAGCTTAGATTTTACCTGTCCACAAACAAATCTACAAATATGATCTTCTTTATCGTAATAATTATATTTGTGTTTTTATTATATATATTTTTATTTATAATATATATATATATATAGGTATTTATTTCTTCATCATGATATATAATGCGTATAATTACAATTTACACGACGACTTTTTCTTTCTCACACATTCATTTCCCTTCTCATTAGCTTATTTTAATTGTTTTTTGTTTATTGAGAAATAATTTCATCAGTAATGTGACTTTCTATATTAGTAAGCTTAATCATTATGATTTTCCTCAGAGACTTTTTTCTTCTTTTTTTGTTTATATTACGCTAATTTTGTTTCTCTCCTCCTCACTATATAATTAGACTTTAACAAATCGTCGCGCGTTCTTACCTCTTAGCATCCTTATTATTCATTATATGTAATTTATGTTTTTTTCTTTAATATATCTTTTCCTCTAAAATATTACTAAATAATGTATAATAGATGTGAAAAAATACAGTAAATATATTTGAAAATGAGAAATAAAGTATCCACGCATTTTTTCCGTAGATTTTGCAGTTTATGTGGGAATTATGCAGAAGATTATTTTTTTCCTTAGTTTTGCTGCTACCTTCAGTGTTTGTTTTATTCTCGTTTTCTTCATGAAAGTGTTGCATCTCACATCTTATTAGTTCATTTTCTTTCTAAAGTGGCCACACACACGCACACAAAGAAGAAGCAATATAGTGGATTTTCCTTTTTTTCTTTCTCTTTAATAAAACCTATACTTAGATATGATATTACTGTAAAATTTAAATTATTTTTTAAATAACTCATCACTTGATTCACATCTTCCGCTCATTCTTCACTGATTTCCGTTCTCTCGCAGTCATTCTACGCAATTTCTCTAAATAAATTATTTTTATGTGATTTTTTTAAAACTTTTTTTTTGCCTTGTTCATTTAATTACTGTGTTCCTCTTCTTGTTCTTTTCTCTCTCTCTCACTCTCTCTCGCTCGATTCTCCTTTAAAGAAAAAGTGTGTGTATATGTATTTTGCATTACATTGTAAATTAATTACTCTGTACACTAGAAACATATTACTTTTTCGCTATTAATCGTTCACCTCCATTTTTTTTAAGTGTTGGATGAAAGAAATAAATTTGACGATAAATTTTCAGTTATAAAATAGCCAGTTTTGTGGGACTAGCTGCATACTTCTACAAAAGATTTCTCATTTTTCTTTTTATTCTCTTAATACGTCTGTGATTGAAAACATTACAGCCGATATTAATGTTTAATCAATATTTACAATTTCATAATTCAATCATTACTCCATCATTTCACTTCGTGTTTTCTCCTTCCGTCCTACTTAGAAGATAAACTGAGAAGTTTAAGCTGAAATATACATTTCAGATCACTATAAATTAAACTGGGACTAAATTATCATGTGTGATTTCATTAAATTATTTCTTGTTTTACAAAATATCATCTGCGCACGTCGCATTTTTTTTTTACATAATAAGCATCTCTAGAATATTTACACTTAAATAAGAAATGTCTGAAGCAATGTGGCTTTCATCATCCACAAAATCGAGGCTCATTCATTCCTGCCATTCGCTCACAATTTATTCTCCCTTTTGCAATCATATATAGAAAAATCAGAATTATCGACTTGTTAAATAAACAAGACTTAATGCAAAAAGAAATATTATACCATCTTCTCTATACAATTAATGACAATATTATTACTATTCCTTCCTTCTTTTTTTCATGAAAATTACTTACTAAATATATGTGAATTTACTACAAATTTAATTTCAATTCAATGATCTTTAAGTGTGTGAATGTGTCGTCTTATATTACTTTCCTTCTTTCTCTATATTACAATATTTTTTAATAGTTCTTTTTATGAAAAAATTGCGTTATGATTCCACATTCTCTCCTCTCTCTCTCGCTCGATCTGTTCTACTTCCTCTTCTCTCTCGTTTCACTTTTATCAAGCAATCATCAATTCATCACTATTGTTTAAATGTAGATCTTTCTTCCAATAAAATATAGATTATTAAATTGTGATGACAAAAGTCATGGTTAAAAATCAGATTTCATCTATCCGTTTTCTTTTTTTTTCATATAAAGTGTGAGGCAAAAAGGTCTCGAGTGTTTTTTGTTGTTGCTTTTTTCATCATCTGCTCCATAAATGTTCTACAAAGAAACGCAATCGAAATGGTCAATTTGGAAAATTCATTGAATGTTCTTATCAATTCTGTCTACTGGCTATTCATCAACCGTTCACAAAAGGTGACCAAAAAGAAGAGAAATAAAGAAGAAATACCATTGCAATTGCTGGTTAATGTTCTACAAAGATGCGCAATTAGAAGAAATATTTCATACGGTGAAAAAATTTGCAGAATCTCAATTCTTCAACTACAATCTAAGATAGTTACATTATTGTTCCTTAAAAGTGTGTTTCAGCTTCTCTCTTATAATTTCATTTGTCTTATACAAAAATACCTTCTTGAAATATGATTTGAAAATCCTAGTCAAATTATTACTTTACATTTCATATCATTTGTGTTCATTATTTTATGCTTTTCATCTCCTTTCACCCACATTTCATATTTCTTCTGTAATATATATTTTCCTTTGTTTTATCTCCTTCAATGTACCAAAAATACATTTTTAAGACACTGTTTTTTTATCTTGTGTGTTCATTTTTTTCACCTCCATCACTATATATATATATATTTTCTATTTTTATTATTTCTATCTTTATTACTTTTCTTCTTTACTTTCATAGCTTTTTTTGTGTCACTAGAAAAGAGTTTCTTTTTTTTCCTAATAGTGAATTGTGTGAAGTTTGTGAATGGAAATGAAAGAAAAGCTTTGGACTCATACCTCGTCTCTCCTCCTCCAATGTTTACATATCTATTTAGCATCTCTGCACTATTATGCGGTTATTATTGTTGTGTTGATGCGTCCTACTCAGTATAATGGAATAGCCAGTATTGATAGTCCAACGCTATCATCTGATGAATCGTAACCGTCCAAACTGTAATCACCACTTAAATTATGATCCGGTTGCGCCTCCACTGGTGTAGCTGAGACGCAAGGTATTGGTCACTTGCTGTCGCGCGAGCCTCTTCGTCGCCTGTTATCAGAAGCGTCCAGACCTGTTGACAAGAGCACAACAACACACCGTTTCATTAGTGATCAGGCTATTCATTGATAAACACGCTCAATATATTCTCAGAAGCATCAGTGCATTAGCACGCTTCGCTCCTGCACGAAATATACTGTCATTCTCACATGACACCGTCTTTTGTGATCACCTTTGTTTCGTTGATACAGTTCAATTAAAAAATGATTAATAGTGACTTATTTTCTCAACATAAAAGATGAAGAATGCGATTATGAGCTCCTTTTTTCAGATCATTTATCATTCTCAAGGTGATCGAAAAGCATTCATCATTCAGTCTTCATCGAAAATGGTATATAGATCAACCCAAGAGGAAATTATATTTCAGCATCAATACTAGAGATCATCAACTCACCAGCACTCCTAGTCTTCCTCCTCGCCTCACTCTGTTCAGATCCACCAATTTGCTGCGTCACTGACACACTCTTCTGCATCTGATGTCCCATCTTTCCAGCATCATTGGCAGTGGCACTGTGTCCGGCCGCTTTGTTCTTCCCACCCAGTCCGATTGTTGTGGATGTCGTCATGCGGACACTGCGTCTTGTGCTGATCTTCTCGTCAATCACCGACGCATTAATTCGACTGATCGTCACACCCTTCGCGATATGAGAATTCTTGCTGCCGCCGCTGTCCTCCATGTCCGCATTCACTGAGTTTCCCAGCATCGCCGACGTCATGGGCAGCACAACCTTGTGATTGCGCAGGATCTTCTCTACAGGCTCAGTCGAGTTGTGATGCACAACTATCGGCTGCTGCCCGTGCGGATTCTTCGTCAGCTTCGAGTTTCTCACCTTTCCCGCAATCTCAATCAGTGGCTCATCGCTGTCGGACGAATCCTCGCACTTTTTCACCACACCATCCGCAGGCTTTGCACCTGCCGTCGCGGAATTCGCACCTGACACCACCGTTGTTGCCGCAGGGACTGGCTTCACCTCGGCCTTCTTGCCGCTCTGCGTCTGGATGTTCTTCCCACTATTGCCCGTGCTCGCTTCGGGGTTCGTCTTGCGCGTCTTCTTCGCCCTGCCGGGTGTGTCATCGCTCACACTGGACTGCGTTGAGCTCTCTGAGCCCTGACGCTTCCTCTTGCCCATCTTGTTAGCCGTCTTCGGACTCAGCTTATCAATGGCGGCCGCCGAGAGTTTCTGCACCATCTTCGTGGTGATTGCGGTGGATTGAACAGGGGGATCCGATGACGGACTCTGCTTCGGCACATCCAGGGGACTCTCCAGACGGCTGCTGGCACGCGTTCGGACCCTTGGCACATTGTCCGAATCATTGCTTGTCGGTATTTCGATGCACAACTGCTGGAGAATCTCCTTGGATTGCTGCTGAACAGACACTGAGGCATCACTGGAGGCCTCTCGATTGGCCACCTTGTCGGAATTCGAGTACGTGTACAGTGCAGGGACAATCCGAACAGGCTGAGGATCCTTGTCACACTTCGTGTCCATCTTCTCCTCATCCTTGCCACTGTCACCGCCTCCCACACTTTCACTGGACTTGGCATCAGCCACATCGCCGTCATAGGACGTAGTCTTTTTCTCACTATTGCAGCACTCATCCAGCATTTGTGACTCGATGGTCAATTTAGACGTCACCTCCTTGTTCTCATTCATATCCTTGCAGTTCCCCTTCACACTCTCCCCCATATGATCACTAAGTGACACACTTGTTGCACTCTTTTGATTGCTTAAATTGCTTAGTAGTTCCACCTCACTCAATGAATAGTCACCATTCACCTTTCCACTATCACAGTTTTTGGTGATAATCATGTCATTGATACCCTCCATCTTCGCCAAAGCAGCCTCTATGTCCACCATGTTGTGGAAATCATCGATGTTGTTGATTTTGTTGCTCTTCGCCTTCACAATCACCGCATTCTTCGGCACATTGTGGATTGTCGTCACCACCGGTGCACTGGCATCCTTCGGACTCGCCACCTGTTTCGTCGTCGTCGTGGCCAGTTCCGCCTGAGGACTCTGGGACGCCTGGTGAGGACTCTTCTCCGACAGAGCATCCATCGACTCAATTCCACTATCCTCCCCCTGGGCCTGCGAGCCCGGTGATCCACGCACTCCTTGCGCCATCGCACTCGGATCCACCGTCGTGAGATCCCTCTTGGGCGAATTATTGGGATTCAGACTGCGCGCCACCACCGTAACTGCCTTTCCCGGCGGCAAAACCTTCTCAATCTTCGCCACCATCTTCGCCTGAGACTCTGTCAACTTCTGCCCACTGCCACTCGACTGTGCCGCCACAAGTTCCGCAACTTTCGGGCACGGCTTCTCATTCTCCAGAAACTTCTGCTTAAACTTTTCCTCACTGATGGCATCCACGCTACCCTGCGGCAGCACAGACTTCTGCTGGGCCACATCTGGCGACGGCGACGCATGACCAATTGTTGTCATGGTCACGAGAGTGCGGTTACCCTCCTTCGTCACCACGGATGTCGTGGTGATCCTCTCCTTGTTTTTCAGCGATTTTGTTTGCTTCACGATGGCCTTATGGAAGCGATTGACTGTATTGTTATTGTTATTCCCCTTCTGGATCTTCGCAGTGGAGAGTGTCGAGTGCTGTGGCAGTGTCCCGACATTCGTTGATCCAATTGGCGCCGTCAGCACCAGATACCTCTCGCTCGGATCCTTCTGCTGAGGCACGCCGTCAGTCCCTGACAATCGTCGCTTCTTCTCCGCCGGCAAGAGAACGCCATTTGTGGAGTGCATAAGAATGTCCGCAATCTGCTTCTCATCCGTCACCTTACTGGAGCCACCACTCTCAGTCGGCTGCTCTCCCGAAGACATCTGGTGGGTCACAGTGGCAGTGGTGTAGCTGGTATTGCTCCCCTGACTAGTATCGCTCATCTTCCCTGCCGTCACAATGGTCGCCGTGATCTCGCTCAGTGACTTGTCCACATCCTTCTTCGCTGCCTTGAGTTTCATCAGAAAGTCACTTTCGCTACCGTCACTCGTGTCCTTCTCATACACCATACTCCTTTTGTTCGCCTTCTTGCTCACACCGTCGTCATCCGGATCGCCGCCACTCTGAGATTTCTTCCGGTCCTTTTTGCTGTTGCGAATCACCATGGAGTTCCGCCCACGGAGGCTAATGTGAAGCGGCGGGACTCGCAGCTCCTCGCCAACAGCCGGCGATGGCGATTGCTGCTGAGCGGTGTACTGGGATGGTGATGCAGTCGCAGATGTGAATTGCTGAATGACACCAATTGTCGATTGTGGTGATGCTCTGCCGCTGCCACCCGCCGTCTGCAGAAGGGTGGTGATGGTGGATGGGAGGCCCGATGTTGATGAACTCTGTGCACGTTTCGGCTGTTGGGTATTGATAAAACTCACGTCCGCCTTGTACACGGGCGTTATTGGTTCGGATTTCTCCAACTTCAGCCGCAACTTTATCTTCTCCGGACACATTTTCCCCACCGTTCCCATCTCCTCGGGCTTCGACACGATCTTGGGCACCGTCTTCAAGGGGCGCTCCTTTCCCTTGTTGCTCAGCTTCTCCTTAATGCCCTGCTGCAGCTTGTCCTTGAACGTGGCCTTCAGGGATTTATCCTTGGCATTCGCCTTCTTCACACTCTTCGTCCCATCGCGCTTCTCCTTCGATCTCGCCTTACTACTCTTGCTGCTCTTGTGCGAGTTCTCCGAGTTATTGGACCTCTCCGTGTCACTGTGATCGGACAACTTAGAGAAGCCCGTGCTGCACGAATTATCATCATCTGAGAAGATGGAATTGGACATTTCCGAGTTGAAGGCATTGAAGTTGGCTGCATCGTCCGCGTCAGCCTCCGAGGCACTCTCATCCGACGCCATGGGCTCCAGCTCCCCCGTGAGTGGGTTTATGAGATACTGCTTCTCCTTGTTCTCCTGCTTCGTTGTCACCACAGCCTCAGTCGGCGCACCGGCTGCAGTAACATTGCCACCACTCACGGCCATCCCCGTGCCCAGTCCGAGGTTTGGCTGCTGATCCGTGGACAGATCGAGATCAAGGAGTGACTCAAAAGGCGCTTTTGGGTCCAGAGATAAACTGTGCTCGAAGTCGCACGAGTTGAGACTCGGTATGAGGGCGTCCAGATCCTTGAGACTCTCATCCAAATCCCCGAGGCTGTTGATGCCCAAGTGATCCGCGTGGGGCCCCACCATGCCAGCACCCCCCGGACCCGTGGCTGCTGACGGTGCTTGTGACACTAAATGCGTCCCCTGGTGATTCATATCTCCACCACCTGAGAAAGTGGAATTGGTGCTGCCATCGAGATGATTGCTAGCATCAAATGTGGCATCCTGCAGTTGCTGCTGACTCAAGTTGTATTGCATTTGATAGCGTGTGAATTCCTGAAAGCTGGACTTTGTTGCCGAATCCATTGGTTTCAAAGGCCACCGTGGATTGTATGTGGACTGCGATGATGTGGCCGCCACAGATGCCTGCATATTGCCACCGGACACAATGTTGAAGGGCATCCCTTGGGACTGCCTGAACGCCATGTCCTGGAGTACTTGATGCTGCTGTGGCATCACCGAAGGCACTGCTCCGTGTTGCTGCTGTTGCTGTTGCTGTTGTTGCTGCTGCTGCTGCTGCTGTTGCTGCTGTGCCTGATGATGGGTGATCATCACTCTCTGCTGATGCATGCCACCACCTCTCATCTGCACCGCCTGAGGATTAGCATGCCCAATAAAGCGAGACTGTAGTTTAACATTTGAAGGCACTGAATTCCCTCCGCCCACTATTTGATGCTGCACCGTCTGTCCCATGCCCGAAACACTGTTCGCAATGCTCGGCGCCGGGGCCGCGTTCACAATGTTGCTGGCGTGAGAATTAACAGGTACACCACTCACAACAAATGTCTGTGATTGCTGCTGATGCAACTGTCCACTCATTGTCTGTTTACTGTTGCCCATGCACTTGTTCACTGTGTTCTCATGGGCATCCACCTGCCCCACACTGTTCTTCACACCCTCACTGGCCACTTCGGGCCCACTCTTGGCCACCTTCACTGGCTGGCCCTCGTTCTGCAGCAGATTCACCAGCAGCGGACTCGAGCTGGCCACATTCGGTGGCTGCTGCGGCGCCACCGCAGCCATCTTGGGCCCCTTCGTGGGATAGGGCGGCGGTGGCTGCGCCGCCTGCTGCACAAAGCCTCCTCCGCTGCCCGTGATCTCCCGCCGATGGATGACGCGCGCCTGGGTCATGCTCTCGAACGGGTATTCGCACGACTCAACGTTGGGCACGTGCACCGGCAGTTTCCCATCCATCGGACACACTGTATTAGGCGACTTGAAGACCGCCTGGGCGGGCGCCTTCAGCTGCACTCCGTTTGACACCGTTGTACTCGATGGATTGATGGTGCTCGCCTCCGTGGCACTCCGAGACGGTCCAGCCGTCGGGGTCGTACTCCCTGACGGACCATTCACAATGCTCCCCGAAGGCTGGGCCGTCGTCTGTTGCTGCGCCTGAGACAGAATCCTGCCCAGCTCGCCGATGCCCGTCGTCTCTTGCGAGCAACCAGTAGCTGCACTTGATGTCTCTGCGGAAGAGTAAGTGACATCCAATAAGAACTCCATGGGAAGGGGAAGCGAGAAGCCATACCTGTTCTCAGGACAATCTCCTGCCCCATCAGGCGTAACGATATCACAGTGTCTCCCTCCAGCTGCACTGAGAGAATGCCCAGGGCCCGCAGTGCAGTGCTCCCTTCCGCCGCCAGCTGTCTCAATCTCACGGCAGCCTCCTTTGGAATGGAAAGAGTTACTCTGACACTGTTCCATGGTTCCACCTGCGGACACAAGAAAAGGAGAGGCATTAGACACGATTCCTGACCGAAGCTGCATCTCTGGCGCACAAACCTTGTTCACTTTCAACTTTTTGGATTTTGGTTGTTCAAGGAGGGCTTTCAGCCTCGCCAATAACACACGGAATTTCTTGGGGAACTCGGGATCCCGCACGTCCCCCTCGCAGATAACGACTGCCGTCAACGTGCCGTCACTATCCGCCGCCATTCTGCAAGAGAAAACAACATTCACACCATTATTAGTTTTCCTGCTCCCCCGGGAAGCCGCTCTCCGGACAGCATCTATCCGAGAGCTGTGCGAAAACCACCCCGGAAAGCACTTTGTGGTGCCGCATCGCGACGCTCTCTCCCCCTGGACAACTCGATTTGTGGCCCCGTAGAGCCATTTTCTGTTTTGCTCCACTACCACGGAAATTTTTTGTCCATGGAAAAATCACGCGTAACCCACGGAATAGGTCGCTTTGCGCCCCCCACGCACTTCCGGACGCCCCATCGTTATGGGCAACACGCACAGCAGATCACTTTGGGGCTGTTTTTCACACGGAAATGCAGCAGCAAGTGCGTGGAAAATGGATATTTTGTTTTGTCATGACGCAAAGAGCATCAGCAGGAGGATGAAGGGAAGCAGCCATTTTGGAATACGGGGAGTGTGCCCGACGTATTTTCTCATTTACACCACCTTGTGCCACACTCCGGCTGCGGCACAGCGGTAAAAGACATCACCACTGGGCGAACTGTACCCCACGGGTGTCACTTGGAGCGCCGCACCACCGCCAACATCACCCCAAAGTCCATTTCAATAAATCCAATCAAAGCGACCACGAACGATCACTTACCCCATTTGCATGACACACTTATACCACGAAAATATGCAATCGTACACTCAGAAACGGTGAATAACTAATATTTTGATGATATTAGCTGACATATTTCTACTTGTCCATTGCTGAATTCACGATAAATCTTATAAAAAACCTTTTATTACGAATAATAACAACACTGCCAACTGCCGCCATTTGCATTTTTCACTGACAGAGACGAAAAAGCTCCACTCACATACACCACAGCAAAGCTCAATGCCGCAACATTCGACGCGCGTCCGCGGGCAACACAATTGTAAAACTTTCCATCCCAATACGAAACTTTTTCAAAGCTCGCCGCTTTGGCATCGTTGGTGGGAGTGAGAGGCCCGATTTGACATTTTCAGCCAACAAATTGCCTTTTTCTCAGCCAAAATGCCATTAAATTTACCCTCTGCGCTCCCTGCTCAATGTTGCAGCGGAAAAAACTCATATCCTCCCTCGAGAGCTTGAGAAAACACCTTTTGTGGGACAATCTCCTTCCGTGTATTTGTTACATAATCTTCAACCTGATTTATCACTAGACAATTTTGCATTCTTCTACGGTTTATTCGTCGGGTTTGACGGAGTCGAACACACCGCGCTGCTTCATGCGCTCAAATGCAGCATCCGCATCGTAGTTCCTGTAAAATACCCCAAAATATTAATGTTTTCCATCTTCCATGAAGAGGTTATGTCACAGATTTACTTGTAAAACTCAGCGTATCTCTCCTTCCGGGGATTATTGTATAGGAACTTCATTGCCACCACGGACAAGGCGGCCAGGCCGATAGCCACAGCAAGGTTCCGCTTGATGGTTGCCTGGTGGAGACCCCTCAATTGGGGCTTATTTGGCTTAGCATCGCTCACCGCCACGGCGCGCTGTAATCCCACAAATCTCCTTTAGCGAAACACTTAATGATGTGAGGAACAAGAATAGCTTACCAGGATCTCGGAAATCCTCATTTCTGGTCTGGAATTTAACAAAAGTGCTCAGAATAAGCAGCAAGATTATCTGTGAAAATTTTTTGATCCACCCGTCAATCGCGAAGAGAAAAAGATGGAGGTTTGACAGCTCGAGAGCTTTTCGCCCTGCCAAAAAATCATTTGTTTTGGCGACAGACTGGAAGAATTGTCCTAGGACAAAGTCTGAAATGGATTATTTTACTAACACAATTTTATCTTGAGAACTGAAGACCAGGCGAATAATGAATTTTTTGGATTTAATATGGAATGTTAAAAGATATTGGTCATAAGAAATGTTGTTTGATAAAAAAGTCAAATGTGTTTGTCAAGTGACTTTCGCCCTGGAGCTTTTCGCCGTCGCCATTGTGTATTTTTGACACCGAGATGTTGCCATCCTGATCGCGATATCAAGTGTCAGTGGGAAATGTGTGTGTTTTCGACGAGAAAAAGTAAATCGCCCCCTGAGTTATCTGCAGCCAGGAAATACTGTCTCCGCGGTGGAAAGTAGAGAGAATGAGGTGAGAATTCACTGTATAATTCAGAGGTTGGCAAAACACTGATTACTGGCTACATTTTCAGATAATGTTCAACAGATCCTGTCGCGAGAGTGCGTGGAGTCCCTTGGCAACGCAGCAATTGCGCCTCCGGAACCTGGTGCAGGTGACTGCGGGGCGCATCAGGTGTTCGCAGGAGAGTAGCATCTACTTCACGCTGCACCTCTCCACGATGTCCGCCCCCTTCTACACCAGCGAGAAGGTGGAGAGTGGCGAGGAGGCCACATGGCAGGAGATCCACAGCCCTACGATCCTCAAGTCATCCGCCAAGTCTGTCTGCATTCGTATTTGGCAGCACGATCTCAGCAAGGAGCACCCCGAGACTGACAAGCAAATCGTGTTCTGGGGTGTCTACTTTTCCGGATTGATCCAGATCGGCGAGACAGCGAAGCTGCGCGAGAACAGTCTGGTGTTCCGTATGCACGGGGGCTGCTTCACGGCCGCCGAGAGTGTGATTGAGCATCCTCAGAATGGGGAAATGAAGTGCCGCTTGCTGGGGCAGAAAGTCCTCGCCAGTGACGTGAGTGAGAGTTACAACATCTTTAAGCTGCTCTCGTTGCAGCAAAAGCAGCGCCAGCTGAAGAACAAGCGCGAGGGCTCCAAGGAGATTGTCGATAGGATCTCCGTAAAGAGCCCTGCGTGCCTAAACCTCAGTCTGGTGGCCAACAGCGCCCTGTTCCAGACGCCACGACGAAACGTGGGCATGGGCAGGCAACTCACGCGTCTGCTCAATCAGCAGCCCGAACGACCCGATCCCGAAGTCATTTTGAGGGCTCAGAAGTTGCGCCAGAACATCGAAGTGGCCAAGTTCCGCGTGCGCCTGCTGGCCGCCGAACGGGATCGCGCACGGACGCACGTGCGACAACTCGAGGGACGTTTGGGGCGAGTGTGTGATACGAATGTTGAGACTGAATCGTGGCTCATGTCCATGTACCGGAGGCTGAGCCGCGAGCGGGACGATTCACTGCAGCGAAAGGTGGCCTGCGCTGCTCAGCAGGACACCCATGACTCTGTGAGGACGCAACTGACCAAGAGACGCCAGCATCTGCTCAGGGAATTGAGCGATATCTACGAAGTGAGGCATCACGAGGGCGGACTTTACACCATCAACGGCATCTCCCTGCCCGACTCGGAGTCCTTCACGGACACCCTTCCAGCCATGTCCGTGAGCGTGGCCCTGGGATATGCCGCTCATGCTGTGCAGATGTGTTCAGTGATTCTCAATATCCCGCTTAGGTGAGATGCCTGGCATCCTGCCCACGCTCCCGGAAATCCCTAACATTCTCTCTCTCTCTCTTTGCAGAAATCCTATAATATTAGACGGTTCGCGAACCAAAATAGTGGATAATATAAAAGTTCTGGCGGACGCGGATCGAGTGTAAGTCAATCACGCAATGATTATTGAGGTTGAGCAGTAGAAAAAAGCTAATTGCTTTACAGATTTCCACTCTATTGCCGAATAATGCCACCGCCGGACGTGACGCAGTACGCAGTGTTCCTGCTGAACCAGAACATCGCACAGTTGCAATATCAGCTGGGCATCACGAAGAGAGACTTGAGGGCCACTCTGGCCAATCTCATGCAACTGACCAAGAATGCCACACTCGAAGTGTTCGGTGGAAAGTACAGCCTGGAATTGCCGGTGCAGAGTCTCTCCAACTACGGGTCTTCCGTGGAGATTAACGTCCCCATGAGTAGGAACTTTACTGGCAATAGTGATGTGCCCAAAGGACACAGGTATTTGGAATGAAAAGCCACTGAAGATTTGCTTCTAATTCGCCGATTCTTTCGCAGGATATCACGATCAATGGACAATTATCGGGACGACGAGATGTTTCGTGATTTCAAAAATCAGTTCATGTCCGACCCCGTGCTGTACAGAAAGGCAAAGTAGGACAAGAGGATATTTCGTGTAATTTATATTGGGCATTAAACGCAGTTGACCCCGTTTTTGCGCGCTTCACTGTAAGTTTCCTTCTAGCCGAGACACAGTGGTGGTGGATATGGGAACTCACCTCGAGAGTGCGGCCCTGGCTCGCGTCACGAACAAGTGTCATATTTGATAGTAGAATTTTTTTACACTGGCGGTACAAATAAGCTGGAATATTTTCGTGTAGCTCACAGATAAAATAGCTGGCTCGCCACGAACACGCAAAAGTGCCGCCGAATTGAGTGATAAGTGCATATTTTCAGTGAGAGCCATGCAAAATCCGTGGGCGAGCAGTGACTGGGAGTGAGTTGGCACGGCCAAGTGAAAACGGACCGAGATAGGCGAAGAATTATGTAGCTGATAGGCCTCCCCAAGAAAATTCTCCACTTTTCGTGAGCCCCACTTTTGAGGCAAGGTGACAAAAGTTGACACGTAAATATTGATGTTTTCATCTTGGCTTTTCCAATGCGTTCTTTATCAATTTATGTGGCATTCACCTTGAAAAATGTAAAGTGAGAAATTTGTGTCACACTCGAAGGAAAATTCCTCGTTCTTTGCCTTTTTTGCATTTAGTCGCGCAAAAGTTTTTTTTTCATGGGTGGGTTCTTGCGTAGCCTGTTGGTGTACACATTCGATTTAATATCATTTGTTTAGCAATCAATTTAATGCCTTCGCCACATTTCGTCATCGTTCCAATAAAAGAGTGGACGTCTGAAGAGTACAGCCACTCTTTGATCAGGGGAAGTAAATAAACAGAGACACCAGACGAGTTCTGCACTTCAGGACAGCTTTTCTGATAAGGGTGGCGAATCACCGAGTTAACCCTTTGACGACACTCAAAATCCTCACATCACACATCATGTTGTAAATTATTATTTATTGCTATTTTAATTAATTCAATGTTCTTTCTGCCAATATAAAGAATTCATTCTTCGGCCTCTTTTGATAAATTATCTGTGCATGTGAGAAAAAGTATGACTAAAAATCATACGGAAACTCTCAAAAAGATTGCGGCAGTAAAGTGAATTTCCAGAGGCCGCGTGATGATAATTGAGTGATAAAGACACGTGAAATCATCACCAAGGCACTCGGGAAAGATTTGCCAATAAAAAAAAGCGCAAAACAGTGCTATCAGAGTGGTCGTTTTGGTTGGTCTCATGATGAAAAATCCCAAACCTTGCCGGTGGAAAATTGATCATTGTTGGCGAGACACAGTAAATTAATTTTTCACTCTTCATTTCTCACTTGTTTGGCTGTTTAATCTAGCAAACTGCGTTTATGTGCTTTTCGAATAAAATCTCATTAACATGTACACTTAAATTGGCATTCAATTTATGCAAACGTGATCGGAATAAGAATATCACTTTTTTTCGTGCCTGTCTCAGTTTATTTGTCTTAAAGTAAACAAATCTCGTGTATTTCGAGGGAATCCCCAGTGTTAATTTTTGAGCGGAGAAGCGCCGCTGTCCTGCAACATTGATCAGTCGATGGCCTTTTTGTCACTCTCTGGAGGAAAATTGTTCTTTTTGAGCAATACAAGTCTGCCATTTATTTATACAACATCCCACATACATAATGTATATCGCTCTATATCCGAGAATAATCTAATACAAGAAAATATTTATCGACGAACACTCGCGGAGAAATAAAAGAGCTCTTCGAGTGTTAGTCCTGTTTGATGTGTCGTGTTGTCAGGTCAAATTACAAATTAATTAAACAGTTTATCATCCCCGAAGATCGGACGAGCTTTGCAGCTCAACAGTGAAGCCAATATTAATGGAGTTGCAATGGAAATGAGCCACCTTTCAGGGGTGTATTAATAACTCCACGATAAGAGCTGTTATCAGCGCTGTAGTAGGATTTTTTTCCCTTGTCAATTACATTGTACTGATGTTGCTGCCTTTCTGCTTTCACAGATAAAGTCAATCACACTTGGATGAGGTGTTAGGCGATTACTTGGACAAGGAATCTATTGCTCAGCTGGAATAGAGAGAATAACTTGACACACAATGGGAAATTCGAGCACGAAACTTGCTGAGAAGTGCTCATTGTTGACCAAGGACGAGGTTCCACTTGTTGCCAGCTCCTTTAAGTTAGTGAGCAAGAACTCGGACCGCATCAAAGAGGATGATTTGATGGTATGAATGGTTTACTTTCGCGAGTTTATTTACTCTATTCACCTGGCTATTTCAGAAATTCTGGGGCTCCCAAATGGATCCCCGCTTGGCTCAGTACATCACAAACTTCCTCTTCGGCGCCCTCGGATCGCGCTCTTCGGTCGTGGAGTTCCAGAAGTTTGCCGAATTGTACGTGTACTGCGTGAGAGGCTCTGTGGATGAACGAATATCTGTTTTATTAACATGTTTGGGCCACTCGGGCTCAGAGTCGGCCGACATTGCTTATCCGCTAATCAAGGAAGTGAGTTATTTGCCTTATTTCCCAATATTCCGTTTGCTTCATCACCCGATATCTTGTTTTCTCTATTCTTAGTACGTGGAAGCTGTTGTTAGTAGCTACATGAGAGCGTTGAGACTCGAGTCTGGCCCTCGATTCAAATCCTGGGAATCCAAGGGGTTCCGCATCATCAAGGAGTGCATCCAGAAGTTGGCTGATAGTCTCGTCTATGATGTGGTTCAGCCCGGAACGCAGAAGGTCACACGAGTTGACGCTGAGAGATGGTATTTTTCCAGAAATGCGTGACATTACGAGCTGCCTAATTACTTTGTCTCTATTTTTAGGCTTCAATCAAATCCAACCTTTCTCAAAATGCTAGAACATGTTTTCTCTCATCTGTACAACTATCGGAGCACGAAGAGTCCTCAAGAGGAGCCTGTTGCTGTACGCAAATCTCTAGTCAGTGAATCAATACTGCTACCCTTCTGCGAAGGACTGGAGTACGTGCCAGATTTTCCGGCCACCACGGATATCACACAAATCCTATACATCAATTCCAATCTGCCGACGCAGCATCAAGACAAGTGGCGATTCCTCTTCTCCTCGCAGATTCATGGCGAGAGCTTCTCCACGTTGCTGGGCCGCATAATGGATCAGGGTCCGTCTGTGATTATCGTTGAAGACACAAATGGCTATGTTTTTGGCGGATTCGCGCCGGCTTCGTGGTGTTTGAGCGCCAATTTTGCTGGAAATACCTCTACATTCCTGTTCACGCTGCGCCCCAAGATGAGATGCTTCGAGAGTACCACGTACAATGATCACTATCAATATCTCAATTTGCACCAGCAAACAATGCCCAATGGATTGGTGAGATTTCTGCCTAATGATTTCCTCCGTTGTTGAGCAACTGATAATTGGTCAATCTTGCAATTCTCAGGGAATGGGCGGCCAGCACAACTACTGGGGTCTCTGGCTAGACAGTGAATACGGCTTTGGTGAGTGCTCAGAGTCATGCACCACATTCAAGGGATACTCCCAGATGAGCGCTAACAAGAAATTCAAGATCCGCAATGTGGAAGTCTGGGCGGTTGGTGAAAAACCCTCCACGGAATCCGATGATGAGGTGAGAAGAGGTAATTATGGCAATATGAACGCATTTAATGTGCTTGCGCTTCTCTGCAGGCTTCGGAAAAGAGTCCTGGACGGTCGGTTCTGCAGGGCAACACGGAAACGAAGGCAATTTTGGAAATGGCAGGAAAGAGGCAATATTCTGAAGGTATTCGTGATGAGTTCTTTGAGTAGTTGTCTTTCAGACACAACTATAAACTCTACACAAATCACTAAAGACACAATTTCCTGTTCAGTAATCAATTTTGAAGTTTTGCAATGCGAGAGCATAATTCTAGTAATTTATTGAGTAATTGGTAAGCGTATAGGTAGTATTTTGATCTTCTAATTTTTCAATGGAATTACATATTTATAAGCTCAGCCACTTTAGGTGATATAATTGCAGAATCAACTTAAAGTTTATAAATTATGTGGTAAGGAGTATCGTGCATAATATAGTTAATAATTTACAACTGAAGGCGAAGGTGAAGCCATACCAAAGAGTAAAATGTATCATGTAGATTGTAGATTGAGAAATTGTTCCATTAACTCTTCTTTACTTTGGTTTATTTACACTTTTTGATGATGTCGCAATGTTTCAATCTTGTACCAGAATCGCACATAAACAGACTGAATAATTTATACACTTAGGCAAAAAAGGAGAAAAAAAACGTGTGTGTAATCCCTTGATTGTGTCCCTGTAAACGTGCTTGAAAATATTCATCGATGTAGAGGAAAATTTGATAAGAAATAATTCTATATATACCAAAACTGATAGAAATCATTGTTACTGTTAGTCTCAATTCAAGAAAATTTTGTATATTTTCAACACCTTTCGCAAAATATTAGATATTATATTGATTAGAAGACAATTATAAATTAGTAAATTATCGAGAGAATTTGAGACTTTCTCAAAAGATCTCATCTTGAGTAATATTTGAGCGAGAGATTTAGTAAAAAAAAAAAACACTCCTACTGACTGTGAATCCAACATATTGGCACATTTTCGTAATATTTGCAGAGAATACAGATGGAACTGCAGACTTGAATGAAGCTTAGAAAAGTCTCGAGGCTTCACAGAAAAATCTGGAAGGGAATTGAGTAAAATTCATAAATCCTTGGCAATTGGACAATGATACGAAATTTGTGATGGAAAAAAATAAATTTAATATGCGTGAGATCGCGATCGTAAAAATAAGTTTTGAGCTTTCTCGCTGTCAGTGAGGCATTCATATATGTGAAATTATGTAATATCCCAGGCAATTATGTGTGGAATCAGATGAATTTTCTAATATTTCATTGGATTTTCATATGCTTTTTTTCCTTGGGATTGCTACATTGCTAGACGCAAGCGATGACGATCGCGGCATTAGGCAGATTCGCAGTCAGAAAATTGGACTTTCTCACACTGATGAGATTTCTCTGGGAGTGTGCATAGTTTTATGATTACATTATTATGTCTTGTGATCTGCGAAAGGTCTATGAATTTTGTACATTTTAAGTTATCTATTTAAGTGTTGTTGTTTTATATTACTGAAAGATCAAATAAAAGTATATCGAAAAGGCATTTGAAGCTGGCGTATTTTGCACTCATGTTCACCCCTTGGTTCGTGGAGTAGCCGGCAAAGTTGAAAATTGGCGCACTTTTCCGCGAGCAAGACTGAAATGAGAGCTGTGTTGGAGGGCCGCGCGAGGCTGTGTGGGTTCGTGGGAAAATGGGCGCGCAGGCGTGATTTGGCAGCGAGACGTGGAGTTGGGGAGTCGAGCGGTGTATTTCCACATTGATTATTGGGAAGTCTTCACTGTGCGCCTTCTTCCTCCCCTTTTCCACGCTGAGCATGTGTGCGTGACTGCCACACGATAAGCCTATGTGAGAGGAAAAACTCCACCTCGGCTGAGTGTGTGGAAAAACGATTTTTCCCAGTCACACAGTCGTTCAGTGTGCGGCGGACATTTCTATCGATTCCAGTGCTCCGTTGCTTTTTCAGCCCTTCTAGCCAGATTTTATCTGATTGCCACCGATTGGGCATGGATAGTGTTGTGCCCACCTGAATCCCCCGCGAAGCCATCCTGCCCTGGATCCCGAGACGGTGAGCGCAGAGGTGGATTTTCAGGAGTGCGCCCGTCCTCCTGGGCATTAGAAGTGAAGTGGAGCGCAAGAGTTTGGCCAAAGAGAAAGTGAAAAATTGTGGAAAAACTGCCTGGTGTGGTCTCGAGGATGGGTGAAGCAGTGGAAAAAGAGTGGAAATAAAATGAAAATGATGTGAGAAGTGTGGAAAAAACGAACACAACTGAAGGCTTATTATAATAAAAATAGCTTCTAACAGTGGGCTTCCACACCGACCAGTAAGAAAAGTATTGAGGAAAAAGCCACTACAGGCAGATAAGGTTGATTTGTTCCCTCGACATATTTTTTCTCGCGCTCCCCCATTCCGCCCCCCCTCGACGCCCGATGGTGGAAGCGATTGTGATGATTTGACGACAGAAAGTCTGTGCACCACTATACATAATTCACGACAATTTTGCAAATGGATTACTAATTGCTCGTATCATCGGACGACATCTTCAGTCACATCGAGCCACTCTGCAACCACCCAGATTCAATTGACGTCCCAGTGCACTCGTGATAACTCGCGGAGGAGAGTCAGGAGAGTGTGTAGCAGTTTTCGTGTTGATGCGAATTGAAAGTGTTGGAAAAAATTGTGGAGATTTTTCAGTGGTTTGATCGGAATCTCAGCAGAGGATGGGAAATTACTGCAGCACTGGGATTAACAAGAAGAACCTCGATAATGATTCAGAAAAATCAGAAGAGTAAGTGAAATATCTTGTTACTGCACTTGGCAATTGTGATTCTCAAGAGGGAATCTCAGATTATGAAGATATGCTTTTCTCGAAGACGCGGCTAAGTCTATTTTATTGCATTTCATAGATCGCTAGCAGTGATTTTTCATTGCCAAGTTAGACTTTTCTTCAATTAGTGTAATACATGATTCCTTATTCAATAGCAATATCTGTGAATCTGATGTTGATTTCTGCCAACAAAGAATGGGAAGTCAGAGAAAATATGCATTTGCTTTCCACGGAATAATTACATCAATTATACCTACAAGTTGGCTATCTGTTTGCAAATGCGAATGCGAATGGGAAAATAGTGAAAAATGAAACAATTTACTAGTTCACCCGCGAACAATTCGGAATTATCGAATTATTTCCATGCACCTCCTCGTCATTCGCCTTCGCAAATAGCACACCATTTAATATGTACGCGGAGCTCCGTGAGAGAATTGTGTATTTTGTCAAGCCAAGCATTCTCTAAATACACGGGAGACAGTGGAGTTGCGGAAAAATAAAGCACATATTTTCCCAAAATAGTCCATCTATTTATAATCCGATACATTTTATATTTACCACCCGTGCAAATTGCGTGAAGATGGACACACAAAAAATATTTATTGAAATGCTCCACCACTAACGCGCGCTGTAATTGTCCCGGCAGCTCTCCATCGTACCAGTTGAATGACAAGAGGAAGAAGCAGAAAAAGAATGGGCAGAAGAAGGAGGCTCCGCTGGCGGATCCGGAGCCCATCTCAGACATATCGGTCAATGCTCAAAACACTGCCGGATCGCCGAACAACGGACAGGACATCAAGGCGCTGCAGAAGCCTCAAGGCGACATTCTGGCCACAGATGGGGAGCCCATGTCGGCCAGTCCCCACACCCTAACCGCCCCCTGTCCTCTGCCCACCGTCACCAAAACGCTGCCCGCCAATTTGCAACCACTACACGGCAAAATCTCCACCACGAGGCGAACGGAGAAAGACAAGAAGATCATCTTGTATGTTCTGGCACCTGATCAAGGTGAGTCCTCTCAGTTTTCTCAGCAAACACTCCACGCGCCACTTCAACCAGGAAGCAAGTGGACGGATCTATATTTAGGACTGAAAGAAATTCATATTTGCGATAAATAAATATCACTCCAAACGATCCAATGTGAATGACATTCGATTCACACAATTTCTCACTGAAGATTGGGTGAAAATTTCCCTAACAATGATACAAAACTTTGTTCAATCACCTCAAATTGCAGTAATAAATCCATGTATTAGCAGAACCTTCAATTTATTTGTACAATTGCCTTGATTCATTGTTGCATTTTTTACGAAGAAACTTTGTGTAAAATCCACAAACTTGCATTCTATTCATATCATCAAATTTCAATAATTGCTATGTTTACTTTCACGTAACATTGTGTTTTATGCCTTTCAGGAGCGGATTACAACCTGTGTCCATTGCACAAAATCTACGATTTACTGCGCCAAAAGTGTGAAAGCCGAGGCTTCGAGCTACAAATATCTAATCTGCACAATACGAATCAATATCCAGAATCCACATTCTTCACTGATGCATTTTTCGAGGATGGTCCTCTTGAGGCGCGCTGTGGGCACTCTCTTGCCGCCAGCTGCCTGGCTGAGATCGCACGACAGTCAAACAACAGCTACTTGATTCCAGTCCTGTACCTGGGCAGCGAGCTGGGAACCCAACTTCTGCCACTCACCATCGAGAGCCAGGACTTCAGGTCGGTTCTCAACACCGTGGAGAATCCCGAGAGTCGGGCGCTGCTCGAAAAATGGTACAAAGAGGATTCGTCAGCCCAGCCGGCGTGCTATCGTCTGGAGAGCATGCCCGAGGAAGCGGCTCGAGCGAAAGAATGGGCTGGGCTGTTGCAGGCGATGATTATGATATTCACAAAGGAGTTGAGGGACTCATACTTGGCGTCAGTGGTTGAGCAGGAGATCAACAACACGGTGCTGTTTCGCCAGGATCTGGCCAAGAGATGTATCTGGATTCAGACAGCACAACCTGCTCCTGCTGACGGCAATGCAGCTCTCGACACCGAGATTCATCGCCGACTAGGAAAATTCACCAATGATCTGAAGGTAAGGCAAAGTGAAAGTGTTTTCAAAGACGAAAGCTAATGAATCTGGTTTTACAGAGTCAACTGGCAGAGAAACACATCCTGAAGACATCAAGTCAGGATCGGGCCGATCAATCCCTAACGCAGCTGGGAACGCTTCTCTCAGACGAGATTGACGCTATCATTGAGGAGCACAATAACAAATTCCAAATACCCTTCTGCACCTTTGGCGTCGATCGGAGGCTATTTGCCGAACTCGAAGACGTTAGTCAGCACTCAAAAATTCTCGGTCAGAGCTGTGCGGATTGTGTTGTCCTCGAGAAAGCCAAGAGGTACATTCTGGAGAGCTCCACGAAACCACTTGTCATCTACGGGAAATCAGGATCTGGGAAGAGCGTGGTCACTGCCATGTTGGCGCAGAATGTTCACTCCTGGATTCCAGATTGCTGCCTGATCCTCAGATATGCAAAATTGACCATGCGAAGTTCAACCTTGGAGGCTCTCTTGCAGTCCATTTGCTCGCAACTATCGGTGATCGTTAAAGATGGACCATCGTTATGTCGTCATGTGAGTTAATGATTGTCCGTGCTAACTTCTTTAAATTGACATTGCCCTCTTTTCAGGACGTGTCAACATACTCAAGTATAATTGAAGACTGTCTCAAGGTAGCCACAAGTCGAATTGTTATCGTAATTGACTCTCTGGATAGTTTATCGAATGGTGTAAACTTAGACTGGTTGCCTGCAACTCTGAAGGAGAATGTGAAGATCATCGTAACTGTTACAACCAATGCAACTGAGTTGCCCAAAGTGTCCAAAGACAGTAGTGTTCACAGTGAATCTCTACTTTATGCTCTTAAGGATAAAATCCAATGTGATGATAATTTTGTGTTGTCCTCCGCATTCACCGAAGCCCAGTGGATTGACGTTATCAACACCGGAGGCAGTGACTTCTATGCTGCCAATGGGGCTCTTCATTTGCCAAATGATTGGAAGATGTGCACAGAAAAGACGCCAATTCAAGCTAAGGTGAACACTCAAATCTTCTTCAATCTGAAAAAATACTAATTTCGTACGATTTCCAGATTCTCTGGTGGCTTGCGTGGTTCGGTGTGAAATCTCTGAAAAACACCTCTCTGGATTCCATCGCAAACGAGGTGTTTGAGCTGATGGAGAAGAGATTCACGAAGAAAACTACAAGTCATATCATCTCGCTGATCGTTGCATCGCCGCATGGAATCATGGAGACGGAGATCATGGAGCTGATCGGGGACAAGTTGGAGAAGAGCCACGGATCTCCGACTCAGCTGTGGTTGAATTTCTCTTGGTTTATGGGACCACTTCTGCGTCACAGCAACAATGTTAGTATTATGGATAGGCTGCTTCTCAAGATCGCCAATGAGAGATACAGTGCAGAGATTCAAGCAGCCCATATCACGCTTCACGACTACTATTCCTCCCGGGGATCAACTTATTTGAGTTCATCAGGCAAAATTCAGTGGTATGTTTCCGGAAGGATTCCTTCTTCTCTCGAAATTTAATGGTGTTCTAACTCTCTTTCAGTTTGAATATGAGGAAATATATAAACTTGCCTTATCATGCTTACTGCAAAAACTCATCCTCCTTCACCACTTCCTCGTACCTCACGGACCTCACGTGGATTTACAACAAGATAAAATGCACAGGATGCATCTACATGCTGTCCGACATTGCTCTCTGTGCTGACGCTAAAGCTGAGCATCTCAAATTCCTCGACAAGTTCATTCGCGATCACTTCACAGCTCTCAACTACGATGTTCAGCAGTTCTACTCTCTACTGAAGGCGGATCTTAACACATCTCCCGATACCAATCCCACGATGGCGTCCTGGAAGAAGGCTCTAAGCGAAAATGACGTGATATGCTTGGAGATTGTTAAGGAAATTGAGCTGAAGAGTGATTCCTCGACGGACTCTGGTGAGGCCGTGATGAGATGTGACTCAATCATCAATTTGGGCGGGAAAGGATACTTCGTGGCGTCCATCAGGACTGAGAAGGAAGAGATTTGCATATGGGATGTTGAGAGGTAGGCACAGGCTAAACTATAGCATAAATACATATTCACATAATCATTTATCTCTTATTCAGATGCTGCCGAGTGAGGACTTTCACGGGAATTCCTCAGCCATCGGCAATTTGTCCTGTTGGAGACTTTGGAGCTGCTGTCCTGTGTCGCAGGGAAATAAAAGTTCTTGATTTAGACAACGGGTGTTTCAAGGTATCTCTCAATGAATAAATCTTGAAGTTTCTGGAATCAACCAATTGATATATTTCAGGTAACACTCAAAGGAGTGATGAACCAGAAAATGCCTTACTTTGGACTTCACGACATGACGCACCTGGTGTGTCTCTCTCGCAATCGCATGTACGTGAATCTCATGAATCTCGAGTCTGGTGACTGTGTGACCACGTTCAAGGCAGGTGAAGACAGGTTTCTCAACTCCCTTCTTATTTCCGGCGACGGAAGGTCAGTCATCTGATCATATTCTGAGAAATGTGGTCACAAATGTTTTCCTTTGCAGGATTTTGGTGTGCGGCGATGAGACTCAGAAGCCATTCCCGCTTCTCGTGTGGCATCTGTCACAGAGGAAACTGCTGTACGACCTCCGGATTCCTCACCATGACTTCATCACCAGTCTCTCTGCCATCACCCATGAAGGTTCCTACGTGTGCGTTGTGGCGAAGGAGTTGGCAGAACCCGCTCCCAATTTCATCGTTGTCTACGATCTGCAGAGTGGGACGCTCTTCAAGAAGTGGAAGCCGTCCTGCAACACGGAGTCCCTGGCCATTTCGCAAACGATGACATGCGTAATTGCAGGACTCGAGGATGCGCGTATATTTGTCTGGGATCTGGTCACTGGTATGAATTTTTGAGTGATGTTCTTGTAGGAAATTTCTAATGCTTTTTGGCATCTTCAGGTAATTGTAAACTAACTCTGATGGGCCACAATGCACCAGTGACTCTGCTAAAGTTGGATCCAACTGGGAAAATTCTTCTCTCCGGAGACAAGGATGGTCGCGATCCTTCCATCCGCATGTGGGATCTTGACACAGGTGAGAAGTTAAACTGTTAACATGAGAATTGAAATTTCTGACTAAAATTTTATGCCCTGTTCAGGAGCATCTTTGGCCGTCTTTACTCCATCACAGAAGATATCAACGTGTGAGATTTTAAGTGATGGAAAATACGTGGTTATTGCTCTGGAAAACCAGGAGGATCTGATAACGCTGAGTCTCAAGAAGTTGAATGCCACTCTAGACATTTCTACGAAAGTCACTTATGGTAAGGAGGAAAATGAGGGTAAAACATTTGATCTTCAGAAGCAGTAAGCTTAATTTTCCCATGTTGTCTATGTCTGTAAATATTTCTTGAGATAAAAAAAAATTGGGTGCACGAGTTGCAAATTGTCATATTTATTGAATTAGAAGAAAAAAAAATCAAAAAACCGAATTATCTATACGACCAAAGAATATTCAGTTCTTTTAACAAATTTCTCAACTAAATCGTATGAATAAAGAGAGAAATCATCGTGAGGGTGTATTTATTGATTTACATCGGTTTTTCGTCGATAGGCAAATTAGACAAAATGATAATGAAATTTAATTGTAACAGAGGAGCAAACTTCATGATTATACCGATAAGTTGGTGGATAAACTTATTAGATCTTTAAAATTAATCAAACATGTTAGAAATTTTAAAAGAGAATTTAGCAAACATTATAAATGTGTGGTCTTTCTTGCTAGAAATTTGTGAGACATAAACAAGGTAAAATTATTATGTATTCAAGACATTATGAAATTAAAACAAAGTGACAGAAAATAGGCGGAAAATCACTAGAACATTACTTAAACTATTTGCTTATAATAATGTAAAAATTACAATAAGGTTTTTAGACTTTAGTCATTAATGTTGGTGAAATATATATAACTACGAGCTCAATTCAGGACTTAAGAACTCTCTTCATCGGCCTTCCAAGAAGCATCTTCACATCTAATCTTCATATTCTGTGAACATTTTCAGAAAATAAATCCTCCAATCCGATGATAAGAAAAGTTCTTAAGCGCCCGATTGAGACCTTCATTTTCAAATTTATTGCCAAATTGCCATGAAAAACATTTAAAATGGAATTAAAGTGAAGAGGATAAAATGTTACTTAATATAGAAAATAGTAAAATCACATGGGATAGAAAAGTGGTATGTAGAGAAAGATATATAAAAGAATATAAAATAGTCCACAAATTATTTTACGACGCTCACTATTGCATCTAATTTTGTGCAACTCCACCAATAATATATCTAAATATGTAATTCAGGACTTTAAAAGAAATAACTAAGAGACATATTTTACTCATCTGGAATGAGATAACCAAGGCAGGTCCTTTTTGGTTCTTTTTGATGAAAAACACACACGGAATATTCATACAGAAAACACAAAGAAATCTGTATTGCATTTTTTGGATTTACAAAATTTATTGTGCAATAAAGAAATGTATTGAACAGAAGATGAAAAATACATTCACTCTTTTCCTTTCCATAAAAATTAATTTGGGTTTCTCTTGGTTGTTGGTAAGTATATTATGCATATTATGCAATTAAAGCGCGGTTTGTCCGTTCGCCACAGAAGATATTCGGCGCAGAAGCCTGGGCCGAAAATGTTTCTATATCCGCTTTTTTGCTACACAGGATTCGCCTTTCTCATGTAATTGCGTGCTAATTTTCCTCTCGGTCCACATGATTTGCCCTAGAGGACAAATCCTCACTCAATTCTCTCATGATTGGGGCAACTTTGCATGAAGGTAGAAAGCTTTTCCGCAAAGTCCACTTTCACTTGAGGCATTTAATTGGCTCGTGGCAGCCGCTATTTGCGTTCTACCCCGAATATTCCCCAAGGCACCCACCCCACGACCACACTCTCACCGCACAGAGATTCTCCCATCTCGACCTACATTTTCCCCGTCTGGCGGGAGCGAAAATTCAGTCGTCGGGCGACAGTGGTCGTGCAGAGGTCGTATTGTCTCTCTCCCGTGAGTTTTTCCGTGACTTCCCACCTTTCCTTTCGCTGCGGAAATGGCAGGGAAAAGCGCGTGAAATCCCCCGGAGCACCGTGGAATGCCGAATTGACTCAATTTTCATAGCAATTGTGCAAGTAACGTCCCAATGATGAAAAATCTCATTTGCTGGATCCTCCTCGCAGCCATATTGGTTCACAAGGGTGAGTCTCTCTTCCCCGATGGAAATCGCTCTCGTCGGTCCGGGAGAAAAATTGTCCATCATAACTTCATCTTGCCCTCTCGCGTCTTCGTGCAGGATTTTCCGTGACTAACGTGACGGAGGCTGACGATGACGATGATGACGACTGGGATGATGAGGATGACTCGTCGGAGGCTGACGACGACGGCAGAGTTTACAAGAATCCACGCAATTCCCCGTCCACCGAGTGCCCTCGAGATGAGGAGCAGGCCACTCTGCTAAAGCAGAAGTGCCTGCGGAAGTGCTCCTCCGATGAGGATTGCAAGAGCAAGAAGAAGAAATGCCTCTGTGCAGGTGCTTGCGGAATGTCCTGCATCAAACCTGGTAAGACAATCTTCTCAGCACTTTCTAAGTTCCATTACAGGATAAAGAAAGTTGTCAGTAATAGATTGAATTTTACGATTAGTGAAATTTTGACTGTGGATAACTCAATGAGAGTTGAAAAAGTTCGATGAAAAATTGTGAGATTGATGAACGAGTGCCGTGTAGATAAATCCAAGTGAGAAAACTTTAAGCTTGAGTTTTTCCCTAAGCAATGTCGTCTCGCCTCTGACCTTGAAAGCACAGCTTAGAAGAGACGTGAATTGATTAGCCTCACACTTCGCAATGTCTTTGTGTCCTTTCAGATAGGGAATGCCCAGAGTTAGAAAAGCCTGAATTGGGAGAGGTCAGTTACTCTGGACGACTCTTTGGCTCTCGTGCGACCTACACTTGTCCCCACGGTTATCATGTCGTTGGCCTGCAGAGTCGCCTGTGTCTGGCCGATGGAACATGGGCAGGTGCTGAGCCAGCGTGCAAGCAAAATAGTAAGTATCAGCTTTAGGAAAATATTGCCACATACCAATTCTTCGCCTTCCTTCAAGTCTACTGCTTAACACCGCCCACGATTGAACATGCCCGGCATTCGGCCCTACCGGAACAGGCCACCTTTGATTTGGACGCCACGGTGCAGTACAGCTGTCACACCGGATACGTGACCAATGGCTTCCCGCGAGCCAAATGTCTTGCAATCGATGGTCAAGCCAGTTGGTATGGCCCAGATATATCCTGCGAGCGTAAGTTGACTCCAAATCCTCTAGTCTACGGCAGTTTGTCTGAAAATAATTTTTTCCAGCTCAAAGCTGCGGACAGCCTCCGGATCCTCTCAATGGATTCCACTCTGGCGAGTGCTACACTTTCGGCTGCCTCATCCGCTATCACTGCAGCGAAGGGTACGAGCTGGTTGGGAAGGCCGAGCGTCTGTGCGACTCCAATGGATCGTGGACCCCTCAACTGGTGCCCAACTGTGTCTGTGAGTATTGGTCACCCATCATCTCATGTTGATCTCACGCTTTTCACTCTTTGCACTCCAGCTTCATCCGCTGGAAGTCCGGCTCCATAAGAAATCGTTGCAATACCCCTCTAAATAGTTGTTGGCACTCTCTCCTGCCTGACCTTTTGGAATCACTCTCCTAGTTGTTGAAGCCTAATTTTGCCATTGCGAAATTACCAACTGTAGATGCAATATTGACAAATGAAATAGACGAAAAAGTGTTACTGCTTTGCGCTCAAATTGTTAATGTTACATGCAAAATATATAATGCCAATGTATTGAGAGATGTTAATAAAAGATGTGTAGTTACCGCAATAAATGTCTTGTTTCATTCTATCACTTGTGCATTTTTCATTTTCACTTTGCTGAAGCTTTTCCCACATTGTTGCGGTAACTATTCACTCTCACTACTAACAATGGGCTAATTGTAATTGCCAGATGGTTCTTGCTTGAGCTCATAACATTTAAATCACTGTGCAAGTCAAGTTAATTTCGGAGATTCATTGCCAAATAAAAGCTCTTAAGTGTTGAAATTACATTTGGGAGTTTCTTAATGACTTTCGAAACTCATTGCCTTCAACTTCTTAACAGACCATCAACTTGAAATTCTTTCTATGGCCTCATGATAATAATTCTGCCTTTCGTCTGCTTTCCTTCTCTCTGCAATGCAAGTGGTGACATCCGTACAATGTCCTCCACCGGAAAATCCTAAAAATGGTCGAGCTATATACACTAGTTGCTCCTACAATTCCATTTCGAGTTACGAATGCAAGTATGGATTTACACTAGTTGGTGATAGTTCCAGGCGATGCGGCGCTGACAAGAAATGGTCAGGAACTCTTCCAGTGTGCAAAGGTAACAGCGGCAATTGAGTTAAGAAGACGAATTAATATTAATTTGCTGCCATTCTGCTTTCAGAGATCAATTGCGAGAATCCAGGAGTTTTGTATAATGGTTGGCTCGAAGGCATAGAGACAGGCACGGGTCTAGGAGCCAGTATAATATTTCGCTGTCAACCTGGGATGCTCCTGAAGGGACATTCCTCAACTGTGTGCCAGATTGACGGTCGCTGGCGTTATCCTGTACCCCAGTGTCTAGCCCCATGCGTAGTGCCTACAATCTCCCAAGGCATCGTCATTCCAAATGAGAACGAGTACGACTTCAATGGAACAACTCTGGCCACTCCAGGAATTGGCAGCATTTCAAAAGTACAGCACGGCACAATGCTCGAGGTGATGTGTGAGGAGCACTATGAATTTCCCATATCGTCTCTGTCGCCTCCCATTTGCAACAATGGCACTTGGAGTGTGATTCCCAGGTGTGTTCCTGCACGCTGCAAGAGCATGCCCAAGCCTCCAAAGAACGGAATGGTTTTGGCGCCTAAAACAGAACACGGCATGAAGGCGCGTTTCAAGTGCAAGGATGGATTTAACCTGACGGGTCCTGGTGGTAAAGAAATCACAGATCCCAACGAATACGTGCTGACCTGCTCTTTTGGCAACTGGACGGGAATTACACCAGCTTGTCAGGAGGTATATTGCTCTTTTCCAGGATACATAGCCAACGGTAAGGTTCTGCTCGTGGGAAACATGGGTCTCTATGACTACAGACCTTATGTGCGGAAGGTAAATTCCGACATCTTTTAACAAGAACTTTTCAGAATAACTTCCTGATTTCAGATTATTAACAACAAGCAAATCATGTATGATTGCGACAAAGGCTATGTCCTCAGTGAAGGTCCTGTGGGTGCGACATGCATAGGAGGTCTCTGGCGTCCAACAGAGCTACCAAGTTGCCTCCTAGGTCAGCATCCGCGTTTGCGATGGAACCGCAAGCGTCGTTCGGCTTCAATGTCTGCAAAGTACAAGCGATATCATAACTGGGTGAAGGAATATCTCAATCGGTTAGCTCAAGAGGACATCAAAAAGAGCAATAATCGGCGGAATAAGAGAGATATTGAGAGCAGAGTTGTTTATCCTCTGACATACTATCGCAATATTGATAACCACACATCACTTCCTGTCTTTTCCGTCAGTCACACGAGGGAGAAGAGACAGTTGTCAGATATCGAGAGGGCTTATTCGAAGTACTATCAGAAAATCAAGGAAAAGTATAAAAATTACGTGAAGCATTTGCTAGGATACACAAGTCCCAAACACACTAATAACTCCTTGCCGAGTAGAGGTAGAGTGCCGCCAAAGGATAGGATTCAAGTGCAGGATGGCCGATGGTTGAACACATACAATAACCCTGAAATGTGGTCAAGATACAGAGCCACACACAAGACTAGAACGGGTGGTCATGAGGACATCACTCAAGATGATGAGACTAGGATTACAATACCAGATATCAATGATAACAGGGACTCAAGTGAGGAGCTGAGGATGAAAGTGAATGAATTTCTGAATCAGGAACCAGAGTATCGACCGCCAAATAAGCTTCGCAAATATGATCAGGAAGCTGTAATTAACTATAGACAGAAGTTGCAGGAGATCTCGAATGTGGAATCACAGCAAATGAATAAGAATAGCACAGACTCTAATCTTCCGAGCATAATTGCACAACTAAAGTCTCAAATAGTGCGCAGAAAGCGAGCCATTCACGACGCCAGGACAAATTACACTACAGATAAGGTGCTGAATGATGAAAATGGGAATGACACTTCTCCAGGGAATAGGAAAAATCGTTTGAGGATTCCATGCGAACCACTGACTGCGGAAATCTTCTCGAGCATTGAGATTGTTCGTCCTGGAAAGAATGAAACTGTAGAATACAGTTCTGGTACGATTGTTAAACTCACTTGTCTCAAGGGTCAACTGAATATCCAAAATCCCAATTCCACCGCAAAGTGTGTGAAAGGTCGATGGAAACCGATGATTCCAACTTGCATCACAAGTAAATTAATTATGCAATCGTTTAGATTTTACTCTCTTTCCTGTTGCTCTCATAATTTTTTGTCTCTTCATAGGACCTTGTACAATTCCCACAGCAGATATTGGAAATTACTTCGCCGTTGATCCGGAGAGGCCGAAAGAAATCACAGGATCTCTGAGACCATTGGATGAAGTGGAGAATGGACAGAGAGTGATCTTCCGATGTCCAATTGGGTTTAACATTCAAGTAAGGAATTGGTAAAAATAATTTAACATGTGCATTTGGATACAACACAATTGTATGTTTGCAGGGTTCTCACAATTTAGCTTGCAACGATGGAGAATGGGATGCCCCAGCATTCCCAGAATGTATGGCTGCACCGTGCATTCTTCCTCAAATACCAAACGCCGCTTATTTGGTGAGTAAGAGAGAACGTATTGAAATATGTATATTCATTATATCAATAAATTCTTTCTGAATCAGAGTGGATATCGAGCAGAATTAACCATCGCAAACGGAAGTTCTGTATCTGTTCAGTGCGAAAACACTCCAGCGAGTGCAATAGTTCAGATGGAATGCATTCTTGGTCAGCTGAATCCACCCACAGTCAATTGCCAAACGGGTTCAAGGAAATCTCGTGAGGATTTTTCAGGTACGAACATATTGGAAAAGAGTGCAGAGGAATCCGAAGAGGAAGGTAGTGAGGAGGAAACTAGCAGCGAAGAGGATCTGAAGAACGCTTGTGGACCACCAAATAAGATTGATGCAGCTTTGGTTTACAAGTAAGTTGTGTCTTGACATCAAATTTCCATCAGTCTCTAATCAACAATGTATCTTTTAGGAATAGCGAAGAATTGGACATTAGTCGAGTAATTTATCCTGCGGGAACGGAGATCACCTTTAACTGTATTGCGAGCGTTCCTGGGGAAAGGAGCACATGGAAGATTATATGTGAGGATGGCGTTTGGATTGGACGCGCACTTAATTGCGGTAAGTATCCAAATATGAGATCTTTTCCTCTGCTCAACACTAACTTGAAAACATTTATTAACAGTAAACACATCATGCATGTTCCACAACAACGAACCCAATGTTGTTAGCTTCTATAATGATTTGGAGATACGCGAAGAGACTGTGGAGTTCCCGCCTGGAGCAACGATAGTTTCTCGGTGAGATTGAATACTTCTAGTCATATTCAGCTCCGATGGTAATACTAATGTCCCCGGGAAGAACATTGGTCTGGTGATACCAACGGTTTGTGTCCAAAACAACTGGGAAAGATAGTTTCATTTAATTTCAAAGTTCATTGGGGACCTTGTTGTACTGACTTATCTCTCCTGGCTTCACTACTGCCGAGAAGAAAGAACATTTGTAGTAGCATTCAGGTGGTGGGGCCAAAATCCACTCCTTAACTCCTCTCAATTGAGCCTGCCAAGAAGGCAATCGCACGTTGTCAACATGAAGATGCGCTCCTTTGCCGGGAACACCCATAAATATCCAGTCAATGGCATTATTTTCTGAAGCTTTGGGTAGGAAGTAAGGGCTGGAGTAGTGCTTCCTGAGTATTTTCGCAATTTCATAGTTGCAGTTACTCCAACCGAAGTACCAAGGTTCAGTTCCTTCCATCTGGTTTACTCGCTCTTCAGGCATATCAAAAGCCTCAAAGAGATCTCTAAGACCAGACTTATACGGGAAAAACTGACAATTCAGGATACTTCTTTTTTTCTTCGCCTCCTTGTAGGTTCTCTTGAAGTACCAGTAATCGAAAACCTTCGGGAGAGTTGGAAAAAAATTGTATTTTCTTCTTACAAAATTAGGAAAAAGCAGATTATTTTGCACCTCCGGTGCTGTCCAGTTGTTCATAGCATCGACAATGATTATAGGTCCTCCTTGATAAGCAAAGTTGCTCTCGAAAGCATCAGGGGAAAGGTCATAAGCACGAATAACTTCTGTCTTTCCCATGCAAAAATCGCACTCAACAGGTGGACGAAAGGCTTTACTCAGTTCATCAGGCATCGCGATAATGCACTAAAAAATGCTTTACATTAAATATTCAGTAATGAATTAGCAAAAAGACTCACTTGATCCAAGAACAAGTCATCGCGAAAAATCCAGAATAGCGATACAAGGATGAAAAACGCAGTGACGATTTTGAATTTGCGAGGAAATATCTCCAAATTCTTGTTATTTCTAATACTGGGGCATTCACTAAGGTCCACTTTAGCACTCAGAGCTCTGCTCATGAGATCTGAGAACACTTTCTCAGCATCCATTCTGCTCGGCGGATGCTGAGCAACTGCTTTCCGCGCAAGATTCAGTCTCAAAGCGAATGAGAAGTTCAGTGAATTGGAAAATGGGAAAAAAGATTAACTGCAGATGGTGTCATTGTGTGAAAAATATTGAGGAGACAAAGACTTTTCAGACTTCTCCCTCAAACCCCTTTTTCAGATGCGTCGATATTGGAAAATTCGTGCTGATGGGAAGCAATATTCGCAGTTGTATTCATTCAGAGTGGAATGCAACAAAGCCGATTTGCTTTGGATTAAATCAGGAGAATGACTATGCCAGTGAGTTTGTGGTATTTCACAAAGTCCTTATCGAAAAATTAATACACCTTCTGTATGTTTTAGTGGAAAAATCACCTACAATTCTCTTCCGACACCAGAACGGTCCCATCGCTCAGAGCAATGATGGGAAGTTGATTGTGTATCCCGGAACGACTCTTCACATGGAGTGTCTCTGGATGAGACGCTTTGGTAATCCCAAGTGGAACGTGAGCCATGAATTCAGAAAATACCCCGAAGGGTGGGTCACAGACGAGAACAGAGATCCGCAACTTGAATACAGATTGAGTATTTTCCATGCCGTTCAGAATGATTCTGGTATTTATTCGTGTCAAACTCCAGCCAGACACGAACATGCCGTTGAAGTGGTTGTAAAGGTAAGACACTCTTGTCAGCAAATGCCAGAGCTTTCGAGTGGCTTTATCGATTGTTTCTTTGCAGGCAATAAATTGTCCAGAGATTCCGGCAAGACGTGGACTCATAATGAGTACCACAGACACAAAACTGAGTACAAAAGTAGTATTTTCATGCGCTAATGGTAATTCATTGATTGGCGCATCGGAAATCACATGCTTGCCAAGCTCAAACTGGAGTGCTCCCCTTCCAGTCTGTGAGAGTAAGATCCATAATCCTAACGAAAAATCCGATAAGCGGAAACATGACCAGGGGTTTTTATCTAAAGGTGTCGAATGTGGTGATATTCCACTGTTGACATCTTCCAACGGAACTGTACCGCGCGTGGCCGTTTTATCTCGTGAGGTAGGCGGCCGTGCAGCATTTTCCTGCCCCTCCGGATATGGTTTACGCGGTTCCTCGGAATCCGTGTGCTTACCATCTGGAGAATGGGCCCAACCTTTCCCCACGTGTGTAGGTAAGACATCAAGTTACTTTTCGCTTTCTCCACTTCCTCCCGCCCCACTTGAGCTTCTAATTCACTTTGTCCAACGCGACTCTCTTCCAAATTTACACGAGATTATCTCTTTTGGTCATCTGCAAAATTGCACACCATGTTTCCGGTCAGAAGATGAAACATTCATGAGAGACTTTTCCATTGATGTTTCATGTCCACGAATTTTCCAAATTTTCAAACGAATTGGCTCTTAAATTCAATCACAAATTGTAACATCAATCCTCAAACCTGAATTAGAAGTAAAACACACAAGAAGCTTTCCAGCTCTTCCTCCTTTGCTAGAAATTAGCTTTAACAACTTGTTTAAAGAACTCTCTAATCAATGATGCAATTTTCATTCACTCATCTCGCTATCATCCCCAAACATTCCCCTCATTCGCATGACAATATTATCACGTTCATTTTTCTTCGAATTTACTGATCTAGAAGTTCAATGCGATAACCCGGGAGCCCCCCAGAATGGCTATGCGCAGGGTTCGGCGCCATATAGGGCCGGTGATGTTGTTCAATTTAATTGCAATCCTGAATATATGATGCAAGGACAACCCATAATTGCATGCCAAGACAATGGACGGTGGTCCGGTGGATTGCCCAAATGTAATTTCTCTTGCATTTCTCTCGAGAGGTTCTTATCACGATCAAATTCACGTCAATTTAAAACCTTTTCATTGCGCAAAGCATTGGAAATTGATTTTGCTGAGAAGATCGTGTTAAGAGCCACTCGGATAACTATCATCTCACCAAACTCTCGTCATGGTCTCACATTGCATATCACATTCTCCATGTAGGTGTCCAAGCGTGCTCATATCCAGGAACGGCAATCAGTGGACGGATGTCGTCGGTGAAGTTTTATTATGCTATTGGTGAAAGTATCACTTTCACGTGTGATTCGGGCTTAATACTGCGCGGGGCGAAGATGCTCAAATGCCTTAGAAATGGAAAGTGGTCAAATGCAATACCGACTTGTGTGAGTGCCGAGGCCGCTGAGGATGCACCGGAGAGGCAATCGAACAAATTCGGACGCCACTCCAAGTCCAATTAGGAGGTCAGCACAGATGAGATGCTCAAGTATTTTTATGAGTCAAGGCAACATAGACACATCCTTTTTCCATATCTTGTAAAGTGGAGTTTGTAAGGTATAAAAGTGTTAGAGATTTGCTGTTCTCACGCATCTCCTTCGCCCATGGAGAGTGATCACACATCATTTATTTTTCACGCAATGTGGAGAGGAGGAGGACATCTCGATAGAAAAGCATCTTCATGGCTCATAACGTTGAATATCTGACTGTAGAAATTCAATCATTGCTTCAATGTGCGTGATGTTAGAGCAACTACTCATTGCTTTAAACTTCTTTGCATATAAACTAAAAAAATTCTTCTTTCGTAGTACAATAAATAGAGCATTTCTTTACTAATCCATGTGATATTCAGACAACAAGGCAAACGACGAGATATCTCACTACATATCTACTTTCAGACAACAGAATGAAATCTTATATCAAGAAATCTTAGATTTGAAGGTGTATCATGTTGAATAGTATAATTAAATTGTGTAACTTTTGCAGTGATTCTTGCACACATTTCAGAACTCTTCCATAGTTTATAATGTTGAACAGAGACAAAAATCCAGCATGTAAAAGTTATGATGAATTGAGAAAATAGTCCTTGAATATATCATGAGTTTGTAATAATTTCTTCTCTCATCTTCTTCACTGCACTTGATGTCTTGGCATCTGCGAAATGTCGAATTGTATGAGGATCATGATGTACGTTGTAACAGTGGCAATCAGCGAGAAAATCAAAGTCAGGTCAACGATAAAGAAGCCGCAAGGTCGAATTTCCACTCGCTGGTGATGAATTTGGCGGGAAAAGGCATCAATCATTGTGTCCACTTCGTCGGAGTGAGTATTTTCCACTCTGAAACACTGCAAGTGGGCTCCAACGTATTGTCCCTCTTCCTTGACTTGGTGACACACGAAGCAGAAAATTACCATTTCGATGAAATTAAGGAGTATCCACCCAACAATTCCCGGCACTTTAGTCGCTCGGCGTTCGTCATGTCCCATTAAGTTGTCGGTGTCATCTAAATTTTTCAAACTACACAACAGAGTTAGTGTTTAGTGAGTATTTTTTTAGTATTTACTTAGAGGCACTTACTTGAGCAATCGTATGCAAGACGAGTACGCAAGGGTTGTTAGAGCAACGAATCTAATGAAGACCGTGCACACATTGGGAATGCCATAAGCATCATTCAGCAGGATGGTCGCCTCGTAGAGTCGAGAATATCCCAGCGAAAGCGTCTTGATATACCCTTTTGCATTTCTACTCTGCACCATCTTCACTTTTATACTCTCCGCTTCGTGCTCGAAATGATAAAGCATATTTACAGTTTTCAGAACATGTCCCTTGATTTTGTGTGCCTCCGCAATTTTGGGCACTTTCTTCAAATGTGTCCCCTGTTGAAGATACTTTGTGATGATGGCCAGTCTCTCCTTCACCAAGTACACGAGATTTATGAAGAAAATCTGATCGGCATTTGCAACGATCAGCGGAATCAGGCACATCGTCATGCAATAGTTGTTATACACGCCAATTCCAGAAATGTACATTAAGCAGTTATTCCACTCCAGAGCTCCAGTTGCAATCAAGTATATGACAATCTCGAGAAGAACTACTCGAGAAAATTTAACATTGTTTGTGCGACAATTCAATTCACTGGCGAAGAGTTTATCCACGTTCTCAATTAATCTGATGGCGCGAACGATTCTCCTCTGATTCACAATTGCATTCAGTATGCAAATCCAGAAGAGAGCAAGGCGTGAGTAGCGATTGTAGTAGTTAATCACAGACGTGATGATGTTGCTGTCGTCTTGCTCGTTCAGGTTGAACAGCGAGGATATCACGTGAAAGCTACCATAAGCGATTCCCACGAGAACCGAGTAAATTGTGCCAAATTTTGAGGTGGAAATCTCAGTGATGTCTTTAAAGTTAATGGAAATGGGTGCCAAACCACACACTCTTGAGAAGTAGAAGAGCGATCTGAGACTTTCGCGAAAGGACACCATCGTAAAAATGTCTCATCTTCACGACATTCAGGACTATATATCCCCTTATTAGACACATTGACTAAATAATTTGAGCAATCACGAACGGTGTGGATATGGTCAATTGAATGGGTCAACAAAATCCTCGATATGGACTTGATATCCCTTCTGAGGAAGCGAAATATAATGAAAATTTTATCAACGCATTATTATTTGGTTGAGTGTGAGGTATAACTTTTTGCTGCTTTCATTAATCATTTGTCTTTTTTCCATATTTCAATATATAGGCCATTATATGCGCAATTTATCCAATTCTCAGAGATAAAATCGTCACTATTTCGCACCCACACATGGAAAAAGCCGCAAAAGTGCGTCGTTTCATTCATGTTTAGGCTTTCTATTATACATTTCTAACCGCCATGAAACTCTTATCTAAAATAAATTGCATTCTTGGCTTTACTCAAAACAACAACGTGCTTTTCCTTGAAAATGTAAGTAAATTGTAGAGATAACTGGAGATAATAATAATAATAATCATCAATCGAACTCATAATGATTTCACGTGGCCGGTAGCCATGCAACAGTTGGGAAACCCGTCAAATGAGACGGATTGGGGCCTTGATTCCCAGTTTGACATTGAGTGCCCTCCGCGAGAAAGTGTGCAGAAGATTTTCAGTGATTTTCTTGCCATTTTCCCGTGAATTCGGCGGAAAATGCGCATTTGATACATCGCGGAAGTGGTCGTGAGTGATTTGATGGTGAGAAATAGCTGAAAACAGTGCGTCAAGATGAGGAGTCGAAGCAACTCCGGAGTCCGCCTGGACTACTATCAGCGCATCGTTCATCGTCTAATCATGGCACATCAGCAGCCTGTCACGGGGCTCTTTCCTGCCAGTCAAGACAATCATCATGCCTGGGTAAGTGACAGAGAGTCGAGGATGTTCCAGCGTGATGGGTTGATGTGGGATGTTTCTTGCAGATTCGTGACAATGTGTACTGCATTCTGGCAGTTTGGGGCCTCTCGATGGCGTACAAGAAGATTGCGGATCAGGACGAGGATCGGGCAAAGGCGTACGAGTTGGAGCAGAGTTGCGTGAAACTGATGCGAGGCCTGCTGATGGCGATGATGCAACAGAAGGAAAAGGTGGAGCGCTTCAAGAGCACCCAGCATCCGCTGGATTCCCTCCACGCCAAGTACTCCAGCATTAACGGACAGACTGTGGTCAAGGACAGCGACTGGGGGCATCTGCAGATTGATGCGGTGTCGCTGTATCTACTTATCCTCGCTCAAATGACAGCCTCTGGACTGCAGATCATTTTCTCGCTGGACGAGGTGGCCTTCATTCAGAACCTGGTGTTCTACATTGAATCCGCTTACTGCATACCTGACTACGGAATCTGGGAACGTGGCGACAAGACTAACCACGGTGAGCCAGAGCTAAATGCCAGCTCCATCGGGATGGCCAAGGCGGCTCTCGAGTCAATGAATGAGTTGGACCTCTTCGGGGCCCGCGGAGGACCGGCCAGCGTGATTCACGTGCTAGCAGACGAAGCTCACAAGTGTCAGGCTGTGCTGCAGTCAATGCTGCCTCGCGAGTCCAACAGCAAGGAACTGGATTCTGGGTTACTGTCCATAATTGGCTTCCCGGCATTCGCTGTGGATGATCCGCAACTTATCGCCAGCACCAGAGAGGCTATTCTGACCAAGTGCCTGGGAAAGTATGGGTGCAAGCGCTTCTTGAGGGACGGATACAGGACACCAAAGGAGGATCCTCACCGGCTGTACTATGAACGATGGGAATTGCGAATGTTTGAGAACATCGAGTGCGAGTGGCCTCTGTTCTTTGGTTATCTGGTGCTATTCCATGCCTTTCAGGGTGAGAACGACAAGAACCTCCTCAGCATCTACATGCAGCGCCTCGAGGACGTGATGGTGCGCACTGAGGATGGGATGCGTCTCGTACCTGAAATGTACACGGTTCCGGCGGAGTCAGTGAGTGAGGAGTACAAGAATCCTGGCTCTCAAAAGCGAAAGGCTGTTGGCAGATGTCCTTTTCTCTGGGGACAGTCTCTCTACATTCTCGGGAAATTGCTGCAGGAAGGCTTTCTGGCCGTAGGAGAGCTGGATCCGCTGAATCGACGTCTGGGCGCCCAGAAGAAACCCGATGTGGTGGTGCAAGTGGTGATCCTCGCGGAGGACAATGACATCCGCGACAAACTAGCCGAATACGACCTTCATGTCCAGACAATCTCCGAAGTGACTCCAATAGAAGTCCAGCCGGCCAGGGTTCTTAGCCACCTGTATACTTACCTGGGCAGGAATAAGAAACTGGGCCTCTCAGGCAGAAAGTCCCGCGACGTGGGCATTCTCAGCACCAGCAAACTGTATTCGCTGAAGGACAGAATTTTCGCCTTCACGCCACAAGTGAGTGATTTTCTTAATTGTACGACCAAACAACAGTTAATATGACCTTCCTTGGGGCAGTTTTCCGATCTGACGCGATTCTACATTGCGTCCGACAACGAATTGATGATCGATATTTTGAAGGGAGAGATTAATTTCCTAAAGTCCGCATGGCAAAATCTTCTGGGACGTCCTCTTGTGACGCTCTGTATAAGAAGTACAAGCCTAGGTGGGATACTGAGTATTTGACTGTAACGTTGATTATCTGTAGATTCTTGGGTTGTTGCATATCTGCGATATTTGGTGTTATTTGTGATGAAAGGACAAACAGTGCATGTGCAACAACCTTGTTTTGATAACTTCCACCTTTTTTTCTTATTTCTTCTTGCCTTCTGTGACTAATAAGTGATTAAAGCATGGTTCAACTTAGTGCTGCACAGAATTCGACCATAAAAGTGAAGGAATTGTTTGAATAAATTGTAATTCCAACAACTTCTTCTGACTGTTCAAAATCCATGCACAAATTTGCAATTCAATGGCTTTCATTTGGAGTTGCTAAATGGCAAGTGTTAAAATTTGCATCTCCGTTCAAAAAGTGCCCCAAAAATTTAAATTGAGTGAATTTTCCAATTGGTTTTTCCCTCCCAGCTAATGTATTTTTCCCTTTGAAAGAACATTGATTACGAAGAGTACTACACCACTCGTGATCCTGCACTTCTTGCCAGCAATTTCACGACTAACCTGGCATTCCTTACTAACTCGTGGCGTCACATGTTGGGCAGACCAACAATCACACTTATGGCCACTCATTACTTATTAGGTAAAGAGTTTATTATTTCTTCCTATTATTTTCGTAGTTTTTCTAAAGTTGTTGTAATGTAAATGTTCTTGCACTTGAAGTTGAAATTGCATTTGTTCATGTTTTCCACTCAATATTCACAACAAGGAAGGATACTTAAAGTGTTTTCTCGTCATCAGATCAAAATAAGATTCCATTGGCTATGATTCAGACAATGAGAAAATTGAAGTCAGGCTACATCAATGGGACTCGCGTGATGCTCGGCAATCTGAATGACTTCCTGAACACCTCAGCAATCACGGATTTAAGCTTCCTGGGGAGCCAGGAGGATGGCTACCCGGAACGCCTAAATCCGTCAGTCCAGGCTTATCTGGACGAGCACTTGCTGCGTTCGTTCAGTCAGAAGAACACGATGAATTTGCGAGCTCCGGGCTTGAGGCCGAAGCATCTTAGGCGGAGGATGTCCTGTCGTGGGGCGATTAAAAAGACAAGATCGATCAATGTTGATAGTGAGTAACGATCTGAAGTTCTTCATTAATGAATTCAACTAATATTCACGTTTCATCTGCAGGCGAATCCCTGGGAATGGACGGTGTTGTTCTGAATGAACGAAGATTGTCATCCGGAGTGGCTTTGCCGTGGCTGGAGCAGCAACAGTCCCAGCAGCAGGCGATTGAGCCACCAGTTGATCGGTCAAGAGTTGAGCGCTCTCCTGGTTTGGAGCCGGAAGATGGCTATCCACCCAGCAAGATACAGGTGCAGAACTACGATGTGCCGAGGATTCAGGTGCCAACGGGCACAGGCGCACGCCACAGGAGCGGCGATACGTTCGCGGACACGGAAGTTGAGGAGCTTCTGGCGATGCTGCGAGAAACGGAGAGCCTGGAAGAGCAGGGAGACATTCTGCAGTATTTGGTGGACACGCAGGGGTTGGACTTCAATACAGGTTGGCGTGGATGTCTTAAGAATGCTGAGCAGGGATCATTTGTGATGTTGCTTAATGTCTTTTTCTCTCTTTCATCTCACGAAATCATCCTCATCTCAACTAACTCACATGGGGGACACGCAAAATGCCTTGTAATATCGTACTAAACGACAGAGAGCGTTGAGATGGAGCCTAACAATGCCAATGCAGACAATAATTCCTTTCAATCTAATACCAAAGGCATGCTTGAGGAAGGTCGCGTTGTCACGGTGAGGACGCTGCTCAAGGGATTGTATGAGAAAGCGTGCCAGCAGAAGCTGTGGGGCCTCGTGCGCCACACGGCTGGGATGCTGGGCAAGAGAGTGGAGGATTTGGCAAAGGCAGTGACAGATCTGCTGGTCCGACAGAAGCAGGTGCTGTTGGGATGTTTGGTCTCTTCCTTCAAATCACTGATTAAATTATTCTTTCTCAATAGGTGACTGTGGGCATGCCACCGAATAACGAGCACACCATTACAGCTCCGCTGCCAGAGGCGGAACTCCGTCAGCTGATCCACGAGGCATACGGTGATGATGAGAGCACAGCGATGCTGACCCAGGAACTTCTTGTCTACTTGGCCATGTTCATTCGCACGGAACCTCAACTGTTCCACGAGATGTTACGCCTTCGCGTTGGTCTCATCATTCAAGTGATGGCCAAGGAACTGTCCAGGACGTTGAACTGCGATGGAGAGCAGGCATCTGAGTATCTGCTGAACCTTTCGCCATTTGAAATGAAGAACTTACTGTACCACATCCTCAGTGGCAAGGAATTTGCTATTAGCAGTGTGGCGAAGGGTAATTTCTCCATCGTGAGCTGCAAGTCCAGTCGCGTGAGCAAGAAGAGCCAGATTGGCCTGGGGGACAATGAGAACGACGATGCGATGGCGGAGATTGATGATAGACAAGGACAGTGGCTGAGAAGGAGGCGTCTCGATGGAGCCCTCAACAGAGTGCCTAGGGATTTTTACTCCCGCGTCTGGGCAGTTCTTGAAAAGGTACGTGGAAATTATTTTCCTTTTCCAAATTGGTATAATGATCCATTTACATTTCAGTGCCAGGGATTGGCGATTGAAGGACGCATTCTTCCTCAGACCTTGACCCAGGAAATGACTCCTGGGGAGTTGAAGTTCGCCCTGGAAGTGGAGACTGCTCTCAACACAATTCCGCAACCGGAGTATCGCCAACTTGTCGTGGAGGCTTTGATGGTCTTGACGCTGGTCACGGAGCATAACATGGTGCACAATCTCGGAGGGGTGATTTACGTGGAGCACCTGGTGCACACAGCCAACCAGATCTTCCTGGACGACCAGCGTAAGGTCCAGGGCGACGCGACTCTCTGCTGTGCCAAGTCAAAGGAAGTGAAGGAGACCACGGCACAGGGAATGCTTTTGTGCGGTGGCGCGGCGTACATTTGTCAGCATCTGTACGACAGTGCGCCCAGCGGAAGCTACGGCACGATGGTGTACATTGCCAAAGCCGTGGCCACGGTGCTGGACTGCCTGCCCAAGCACGGTGACAAGGATTGTACGATTAGTTGAAGTCTCGAAGTAGCCAAATATGTTTGCTTTCCCGAAATGTTTCTAGGAATGTTACTTATGCGCAGCCAAGCTGTACCACTTGCATCGCGGATAGTGGGTATTGTAAAGACAATTTTATTGAGAAAATATACATTTCTGTTGAGTTGCAATGCCGCGAAGTGTATTGGCTCCTTCAACGGTCTATGTGGTTTCAAATCTGTCCCCTTTTCGGAAAATGTGTGTGACGTTTGTGCTTTTCGGAGTCGCGTGTTTACAAATTGTGGATGAAAACGTTCTTGGGAGATATATTGGAGTTTTTGTGGAGTTTTGAGGAAATTATAAAGTATTCCCCATTGTTTAGTGTTCCTTAGACTTCGAAGTACTTCAAGAAGATGTCTGATGACGAGGAAATGCTGTTTACTAGGCCAACAAAGACCATACATTATGGATCTTTGGAGGACTCTGAGCGACAGCGGCAGTCCAATCTCCTGGACGATATTGCTGACGAGAAGGAGTCCAAAGCATTCAAGGAATTGGGCCAGATTCACACATCCAGTGAATACTTCGATCTGGAGAATGAAATGTACGGTATTTGGCGTGCCTTGAGAATGCAGTGTTTAATGGTTAATTTTCTTTTGCAGATCAAAGGACAAAGCAGCTCTGTTGGAGGAATTTGAGAGGCGGAAGAAGGCACGACAGATCAACGTGAGCACAGACGATGTGGAGGTGAAAAGGAACCTCAGACAACTCAATGAACCTATTTGCCTGTTTGGCGAGGGTCCAGCAGAGCGAAGAAATCGACTCCGGGAGCTTCTGGCCTCTCTCGGAGAGAACGCCATCACGCAGAAGATTGTTGACGAGGAGGAGCGCAAGCAGCTGCAGAAGGAGCAGGAATCCACGTGGTATCACGAAGGTCCAGAGTCCTTGCGTGTGGCGCGCATTTGGATCGCCAATTTCTCTCTTCCCAGAGCGAAGCAGCGTCTCCAGACGGCCAAAGAGCTGCTGAGTGTGCCCAGTGCCACGAAGGCGAGCCGCATGGTGGAGCTCCAAAAGAGACTCCAATCCCTGGCTCCTCTTTGCAGTCAAGTGGGCGACACGCGTCCCGTGAGTCATTGCTGCTTCAACGCTGACTCGAGTCTCTTGCTCACGTCCTCTTGGTCGGGCGTGTGCAAGCTCTGGACGATTCCCAACTGTGAACTCGTGCAGAACTTCCGTGGCCACGCGTGCCATGTGGGCGGAGTTGCCTTCCGGAATAATGTGCCTCGCGATGCCATGAACGAAGTGGCGATGGCTTCTGGAGCGGCGGATGGAACGGTCAAGCTGTGGGCATTTGGGAATGAGGAATCAATTGCTGACATCACAGGCCACATGCCTCATCGAGTCTCAAGGCTGGCTTTTCATCCCTCCGGAAGGTTTCTAGGCACTGCTTGTTATGACGCTTCCTGGCGTTTGTGGGATTTGGAGCAGAAGCAGGAGGTACTGCATCAGGAGGGACATGCTAAGGCTGTCCACTGCATTGCCTTCCAGGATGACGGGAGTGTCTGTGTAACGGGGTGAGTAAATCTAGGAGAGATTTCTGGGTCTGTCTTTATAATCAATGTGCAAAATTTCAGGGGACTCGATGCCTTCGGACGCGTCTGGGATTTGAGAACTGGGCGATGTATCATGTTCCTCGAGGGACACTTGAAGTCTATTTACGGCGTGGACTTCTCCCCGAACGGCTTCCAAATGGCCACGGCGAGTGAAGACAACACCTGTAAAATCTGGGACTTGCGGCGCCGACAGCCAGTCTACACAATCCCTTCCCACACCAATCTCGTCTCGGATGTAAAGTTTCAAAAGAAGAGTGGCGATTTCCTGGTAACAGCGAGCTACGATAATACAGCTAAGGTGAGTCCCGTCATTTTTATTTAAAAACCTCCCGCTCCACAATGAGAGTGGGAATCACTATTGCTTCTTAGATTTCTTCTTCTTGGGCTCCGGTGCTCTTTTGGGCGTGTCACTTCTCTTCATTGAAGTATCTGATTCCACATTATCATGCTTCAGCTTATTCAGCAGCTGAGTAATGGAACTGTTCATGTCCAGACGCATGTCAAAGTCCTCATCTGAGTCTGAGTCTGAATCTGCTGGTTGTGTAGTCTTCATTGGCGTTGAAGGACGCGCCTTTTTCTTTTCCGCAACAGTTGAAGATTCTGGGCTTGACTGTCTTTTGGCGACAGTCTTTACCTTTTTCTTCTTTCGCGATGATCCACTCGCACTTGTGTCAGTGTCACTGCTCTGCGAATATCTGCTAATGAGTTCTCTGATTTGATTGTTGATTGGTGGCAATCTCAAGTCTCCATCCAGTTCTTCTTGCTTCACCGTGACTGATGTTTTCTTTCGCTTGCTTGGCGATTCAGGCATCTTCGAGAAGGCAATTTTTTCCGGTGACTGTGCCTTTTCCATCTTCTGCATCAAACTTCCCGCAACTTCAGCAATCTTTTTACGATGAGTCTGTAGAAGATAAGAGAAGAAGATAAGCAGGATATTCGACATTGTTCTTCAATTTGGCATACCTCATTCCCAGAGTCGTCAGAGTCTGATGGTAGGGATTCGAACTTAGATCTGGGAGCTTTCTTCAACTGCTCCTTCTTCACCTTTTCCTTTTTCACGTTAATTGGCTTAGGCGGTGGCGCTTTCTCATCACTCTCGGATGAGGAACTATCCGAATCTGGAGTTGAAGACTTGGTACGCTTGGAAACTTCATTCTTCACAACAATTGGCGCAGACGGTGGCTCGTCCTCATCACTCTCAGATGAGGAACTGTCCGTGCCAGGAGTTGAAGATTTAGTGGATTTGTTTGCTTCATTCTTCACAACAATTGACTTGAATTCCGTCTCACTTTCTGATTCAGAGTCTGACGAGAAGTTCACCTTTCTGGTTGGTAGTTCAATTTTCTCCTCCGAAGTGCTGACACCACTATCCACACCTTCCGGCTCCACTAATTCGCCCTCAATGTAGGGCAGGATATTTTGTAGATCGAACTTCTTCACCTTGAACGCAATCTCATCACCCAAAAGCATCCGCATTCTCTTGCCACCCTGCAGCCTAATGGACACGTTGAAGACGCGGTAAATGAGCACAGAGACGTGCCTCTGGGACACATGCTTCACAATCCCCTTCAGAGTGACGCCGATCTGCGGCCGGAAGACGTAGAAATCCGCTCGGATTGTGAGGTGAAGTTCAGGAGTGTCGTAGCGCAGCAGACTCATTTCTCCCTCCAGCTTGATATTCCTCACATCCAGCACAATTCCGTTCAGTTCCTCATCGAAGTGCCCGATCTTCTTCGCAGCCACGGCGTTCAGGAGGGTGTCTTTGAAGTTATCCATGCCCCAAGGAGGGAAGCTGATGTGCATTGAGTTATTCACCTGCTCCACGCAAGAATTCTTGTTGCGCGTGTACTCATCCAGTTCACTTTTGGTGAATTGAATGTAGTTGAGTGTCTTTTTCTTCATTATAGCTACTATTTCACGGCTAAATAGCGTCTATAAAACGAAAGAAATCCACGCGCTCTATTTTGACAACTAACTTGATTCGGAACTTTCCGGAAAGTGGTTAGAGGGCAAATGATTTTGCAGCATGCTCTAAATTATTCCCTCTCTTTGCAGATTTGGTCTAATAGAACGTGGCAGCCGCTGAAAACTCTCTCTGGGCACGACAGTAAGATTATGAGTGTGGATATTTCGCCCAATTCGCAGTACATTGTTACAACATCGTACGATCGCACGTTCAAATTGTGGTCAGCGGAATGAATAAAAAATATTTCGGAAATCTCGTCTTTTGCCAACTTCACTCGGTTATGTTGTTCATGTGTCACTTTTGGGAAATTAAAAACATTGCGGAAAGTGCGAAAAATAGAGTGAATTTTCCCAGTGAAGAGGAGTGAAAACTGAGTCAAATGGATACATTTGAGGATGAGAACTTCAATGCAATTGACTTCATCAATGCAACTTACGCTGCCAGCAAGACAGAGAGCAAAGAAGTGTGTGTGATGTTTTTCTCAGGAAATCCTTACTTTTACATTTTACTTGTAGGAATTCGTGTCTGCCCTCGTGTCGCAGCTGCAAATTCACGTTCAGGATGTGAACGGTGTGCTTGAGGACACCAGTCAGCAAATGATTGGGAATATGCCGAAAATCATGAGGGACATGGACAATTTGAGGCGCGAGGCATTGACACTGCAGAAGACAATGCACGAGATGAAGGCGGAAATTGCCCAGGTGCAGAGAGAAACGGGCAGTTGCATGGCAAATCTCGAGCGTCTGGATACGCTGAAGACGAAGCTGCAAGTGGCTAAGCAAGGCCTGCAGGAATCCGATGGTTGGGGACGCTTGACGTCGGAATTGGAAGATTTGCTGGAGAGGAACGACGTGGCAGGTGGTTGCGAGAAATTGAGCATTCTCCAGAGATCACTGGCGGCCCAAGTGGGTCTGCCTGGTCAGAGCGAGCGGGAAATGCACGTGGAAGAGGCTAAGAACAAGCTGGAAGCATTGGCGAGTCCTCAAGTAGTGAAGTGCTTCTCCGTTGGCGATGCCACGGAGGCTCTCAAGTATGTGGAGATGTTTGGGAAGATGGAGCGTCTGCCACAGCTAAAGCAGTACTACCGAACAGTCCAGAAGACAAGGCTACAGAGTCAGTGGCAAGAGATTGTGGATTTGGCGGAGAATTCGAGGGATTTGCGCTTCCTCAGGGAATTTTATCATCACTTGTTGGAACACTTCCAGAAGCAAGTGAAGTGGTGCTCGCTAGTTTTTGGCTCAGTTGACGGTCTCGTGGAAACTGTCTGTGTGATCTCAGACACTCTGGCCACTCTTCAGCCGCCTCGTGAGACTGCAATCACAAACCTTCTGAAGCGACAGAATGATAAGCTGGAGGCAATTGCGGAGTTCTCAGCGGCCAATCAATTCTTCGGGATGACTCTTCAGAAGCACATCCACAGCAGTGGATCGTCCATTCAGAAGGATCAGCTGGTGGCTCTGTCGAAGGGAATCTACGATTTCTTCCAAGTATTTATAATCCAGTACGGTGCTTTGGAGCAAAACTGGCTTTCTGGGCATCTTGTGAGTCTGGGACTGGCAAATCAAGTTGTGGCTCTAGAGACGGTGCGAAGTCTGGGAAATTGCAATGCCAAAGTCCTTCAGGCGGCATCAAATGCACTGCAGAGGTGCGAGAGTATTACCCAGAATTGTGCCATTGGCCCTCTGGTCACTGTGCTGAATGTAAGACGCTACTTCGTGCAGAAATATTTACTTTAGTGTTAATTTCTGGTCTCTTGTGATTTCAGTCATTCTTCCGGGAGTATTTGGACAAGTATAAGAAGGCCCAGAAACAGTTGGATGCAACCAGAAATGTGCCCAATGTGAATTTCCTGCAAATCTGCACCACTCTTCTGCAGTATCTGGGCGATTTTATTCTCCAATTGACAACATTCGAGGAGGAAGTGATTGCGAAGATACTCGCCACGTATGAGCAGGTGTGTCGCCAGGAGATGTCCTCCTTCCAGTACAAAGTGCTTCGCAAGCAGGACGTGAGTGAGATCAAAAAGTTCAAGAATTTGGTGAACGAGAAGCAGACTCGAGGAGATTTCGGGTCAAATCCTTGGTCAATATTTTCTGGCTTGATTGAGGTCGTGAAGCCCATCTGTGCTGAGATTCACGACACCACACTGGCATCAGTGTTTGCTCCAATTGAGACCCACTTGAGGACTATTGAGCCGACAGACTCGAGCAGCAGCAGCACCGATCTGCCGGACTACAGTTTTGCGCCTCAAGAATACATTACGCAAGTGGGTCAGTACTTGATGACGTTGCCGCAGCACTTGGAGCCCTTCCTGCTGTCACCCTCCGACGCCCTGAGGCGCTCTCTCGAGATTGCCGATGAGAAGTATTCACAGAGCGCCACAAGTGGAGATGTTCTGCTCGCCCTCATCGCTGAGGAGTGCTGCGCATTGTACATGGAGAACATCTACAAGATTGGCAGCTTGAGCAATACAGCGGCGAAGCAACTGGCAACGGACATTGAGTACTTGGGCAGTGTTCTGGAGGAACTGGGACTGAAGCTTGGCTCGCAGATTCAGCAAGTTGCTGTTCTCTTGAGAGCAGCGCCGGAAAATTACCTAAATCTCAGTGCTGGGTGCGATCCTAAGCTGGTGACGGCTGTTAGGCAGATGAGAAATATTATTTCAACGGAATAGAAACTATTGTTCTAAGAATGATTGTGTATAATACTGTCCCTTCTAAGACGAAAGCGAGTTTGAGAAATTTCACTTTCATTTGGTCGTTGGAGTTTTGAAAATTTGCGGCCCGGAAAGTCTGCAGGGTTGGCGCGTGTCGTGAGCTCTGCAGAAATCTCTGCGCTCACGTCTGGCAACTCGTGCTGAGGACGTCAGTTTTTTCCGGATCTCTGACTCTGGCGGTGCGTATTTCAGTGGAAAGGCGCTGAAAAAAGTTCTTTTTCGCCGATTCCAATCACACAACTCACCCATCCCATTATCCATTGCATCTCAGTGCATCTCGCGTGCTTGACCGTGACATCACTGCTGCAGAATCCTTCAACTCGAGTGGTAGCAGGATTTTTAGTGTGTGCGTTCTCTCGCAGTGGTGAAAAAAGTAGTGTTTCTTCGCTTATCAGTGCGCCAAGAGCACTTTCCTGGGCTGTCCAGTGACCCAGTGAAGAGGAGTGAGTGAGTGTCGCGTGGGGCAGGGATTGAGCGAGGACTTTAGGATGCGTTTCAGCGCCAGCAGTCGAGTGTTTCTTCGGACTAGAAGAGAGAGTGCTCGCGAGAGATTTTGGACGTTTCTCTGGGTTGGCGCGGCTCTCTTGGGGGCCACCGTCGCCGAGGGGGATGGCGTGCGTGGCCTTGAAAGTGGGGAGAAAGGCGCAGTGCCTGATTGGCCGCTCGCTGTGAGTTATGTGCGAAAAGTGCGGACGCCACGCGAACACCTCAGCGAGGAGGAGGGGCCGTTCCTCCGGGTGGCCGGACGGGGATTCTCCACCCTCGACGGCACCCTCAAGCTAACAGCGTCGCCGGATGAGTGCCAAATCGACGGAGAAGCGCTGCAAATCCTCACGGTATCCGACTCTTCCCTCCTGGCCAGATACCCTTCCACAGCCGGCCAATTTGATCACTTTCTCTGCGTCCATCCGCGCCAAAACCACAGCGGAGTCCCACGCCACTTGGGGCCCAAATCACGGATTCACAAGTGAGTGCCCATTAGCTGTAGTTTGCATTCAATTATCATACAATTACGGCAATCTTCCAATCAATTAACTCACACCAATTGCCTGGCAATAATGAGCTTGAAGATCAAGACTCCCTTTCGGCTCTTACTCTCAACACCACATCAGATTCCGATGCGGTTATGCAATGGCCAGTGAAAGAGGAATTAAAAAAAAACAATCTCTTATTTTGACGCTACACCTTGAAGTTCATTGACTTATTGGCATAATTTATACATAGAGAGAAACTCGTGTGTTTTGTGTCTCGCTGAAGCCCGAGAGAGGCCACTTCCAATTTCCCAGCCAAAGTGCACTTGGAGGCCCCCGAAGGCGCATTTTTGCGATTTATTTATTGACGGTGATGAAATTATTTATTCGCATGATTCATCTGCCTTTTCGCCTTTAGTGTGAAAAAACGCCCACGCGATATTTTTATTTCGGACGCAAAATGCTCAAAACTTTCCTTAGCCGAAACACCAAGAACAGAGAGGTTGGCAAGTGCAAAATTGAATGTTTGACTATGAGCGAAAATGAAAGTTTTGCTGTGAGTCTGAATTGTTAAAGGTATCCAAGTCATATTAGGCTCCGCCCATTAGAATGCTCCGCCCATAGAACTGCTATCTTAGCTGTGGACCTTCATATCTGAGTTAAAAACAGAAGTTTTGCATACAGCACTGAACTTTTTCATACTACAGTTTATGGTAATAAATTTAGCGTTTCTAATATATATGAACTTTATATTTAACACAGAAAAGTAAATATTTGAGAAGATTATTAGGCGTTATTTGGCAACATGTGCTAATAATCAATTAGAGATGCCACGAATGTGACAAATTAGTAGCCCCAAACACAGAAGCACAAAGCTGAGTGCAGTAAAGTACGAGAGTAAAGACGCTGATCTTGAGTGTGTTGGAAGAAAGTTAATAATAGATATAGGTTAGGGAAAAATTGTAGTTGAAAATATAGAACAAATATTTAATTATGTGTTTGTGCTTGGATCGTTGTTGAGTGAAAATTCTCAAAATTCCGTGAATTTAATTAAATACTCAGCGCGAACTGGTTCAATCTGGTTATTGAAGAGTCATCTTCGTATTTACGCAATCCTGATCGCGTTCTTCTTCTCCATCATCATATTTTCCATGGCAAATAGTGTGAGCGACTCAGAGTAGATGGTGGAGTTTAATATCAACAGTGAGATAAATACGATAAAACGTCTCTTGTGTTTTGATATGCCTCGTTTTAATGTGTCTCGTTAAGACGAATTATCAGTCAGTTTGTCGTGGAGGAATTTGATGGATTCCTTTGGTAATATTTTTGCCTATTTCAGCACTAAAAACACATCCTTGTATTTACTTGCTGTATTGCCAATTGGAGAGTTAGTTGGATGTTGAGAGGAAGCCTGTGTTTAAAATAGAATATGAGAGTGTTTACGAATGGAATATAATGTGGAATATAATAATTGGGAAAGATTTATAGTTGGTGGCATGATAAAATGTGCGACGCATCAATTTTCGTCATGGCAAATCTTCCAGAGATTTTAGTTTGTGAATGAATTAAGTTAAATTGTAAATCAATGTGTTGCTAAGACGGGGAATTGCAGGCCTATTTTGGGCTAGCATTCGGTGTGTTATCTTAGAATACGGAAATAACTCTTCTGCTCAATCCAAGACAGGCTTGTGTGTTGTTTGTGATGAAGAACACGAGCGGTTCTCTTGGTAGGAGTCATAATTGAAAATTAAATTGGTCAATTGAAATGTGTGTGTATAATGATGATAAAGGCATTATACTATCAACTTTTATTGCTCAATGTCCAAACAACAATAAATAAATTGAGTGTATGTTCACTTTTTCCTTTCCTCATTTTATGCACAATAGCATTGCTGTTAGTCAATGTGTCGCTCTGTGAAATTGTCGCAAGAAATCACACACAATTCAAGCGGGCTTAATTTAATTCCCCTCCCCAGACCATTTGTCTCCCTCGCGTTGCCATTGCGCCTTCTCACTAATTGTACAATGTCAACAGAATGCACATTTCGCCACCTGCACTGAGGCGGAGTCCGCGCGATGCCAAATTGGATGACGGTGCAGAGAGAGAGAGGACGCAGCAGAGTGTGGATGCTGTGGCTCAGCCGATGGCCTCCATGGGGATTCGGATTGATGGGTTTCGCGTGGAGCACGCCGACAAGGAGCCAAGGATGTCCGACGATGGGACACCGGAACTCATGAGTGAGACTGAAGTGCATCTCCGACTCTTCGGCAGTGGCTTGCGCGAGAACATGGAGATTGTGCTGACGAGTCAGGCGAATATGTACGGCGGTTCGTGCCTGGTGACGTCCTCAGAGGCATTCCCTGTTGTGCCGGGCTCTGTTGGCAATAGAACGGCTCTCGTGCGAATTATTGTGCCTCACGTCTCGGGAAATTTATACTTTTGCGCAAAGGAATCTCACAACGGAAGCGCGTCTGAGGTAAGCACACATAATCAATTTCCTCTGTCTGCAGAGAAGAAAAAAAGCTCACTCTCCCGATTTGCGTCAGGGTCAGTGGGAAAATCGAACCTCACGCGCTACGTAGTTTCTGGGGGAGGCTTAAGAAATGAGATCATATGTGACGAAACTCACTTTATCAGTTGGATGGAAGAGAAAGAAATCAGTGTCATTTGCCTTCAGTCAGAGTCTCACCGAGATAGAGATAAAGCCAGTGTTGGTGCACATGCTTCTTCTCCAGCTGAATTGTAAATTGATTCAACAGATAAAAGTTCTAGTAAAATAATATTTATATTCGGGCTGAAATGAATGAAATTGAAAAGTAAATATTTATTAGGCCACAGAGTGGAGAAATGGAGCAAGTGGGGAATTGCTGAACGCAAAATTCTACAGGATTATTCAGCAATGAATCACTTTCAATGTGGGGGGAGTTTTTGGAAGAATCAAATTTTGCCGATTGTTTCGTGGTTTGTGATTTAAGAGTTTTGCATGATAGCTTTGTTCGCGGTTTCTGAATTATAGCATGTGTCGTTTTAAAAAAGAAAACACGTCAGCTCCGTCAGCTGTGTAAAACGACTAGCCATTGAAGCAACAATCCCACTTCTTGACCGTTCCATTTATCCTATACCAGTTGAAACTGGAGTTCAGTGATCAAATGGCTGATAAATACATGCGTCTGCAACCCTATAATAAATATATATACAGTATATATCTGCATCCCTATGAAGTTGTCTTAAGACGTGAGAAGTTTCGCTACAAAGCAAGGTTTGGCAATTAATTTTAGACAAAGCAGATCATTGTCTCGTGTGTCAATTGCAAGCCCCTAAGTGAAGAGTTCTCTTTACTTTCCGTCTTCCCTGTGCCGTTATTAATAGATGAATTTTTATCGTAAAAAAATATTTTTAAAGAAAATGGATGTCTTGTCAGTCGAGATCTCCTGATTTTTGCCAAAACGATTCACGGTGTGTACGTAAGATGAAATATAAAATGGGGATAAAATGTTTGTGTACCCAAAAATTGCACACGTCATGAGGCATATATCGGGGAGAGGAGTGAGAATAAGAAAGAGACGCTAAAGTCATAAAAAATGCCTGTAGTGCTGAGAACGAGTGTTAATTTGTAAGATTGTAATTGAATTAGCGAATACACTTTTTCTATCATTCCTCTCTTTTCTGCATTCTCTCATAGCTGGCAATTCAGGCGGCACCGTTTGTTCATCAGGGCACGGACAAATGGATGCGATTGAGAAGCTATGAGAAACTCCTGCCCGTGTGGGTGTCTCTAATCATCATTGGTGTGTGCCTGATGTTTTCGGCGCTATTTTCAGGACTCAATTTGGGTTTAATGTCACTGGACCGGACGGAATTGAAGGTGAGGAATTATTGAGTATTTTTTCCCCCTTGTGCTTTAGCGCCTGTTAATTCGTGGGATGCGTTCTTTATTTTATGCGTGATAGATTTTGAGAAATACCGGCACGGAGAAGGAGAAGCGATACGCCAGTCAAATACAGCCGGTTCGGGATCACGGAAATTACCTGCTGTGCAGCATTCTATTGGGCAACGTCCTGGTGAACTCCACCTTCACCATCCTCCTCGATGGCCTGACTTCGGGCTTGGTGGCTGTGATTTGCTCCACGATTGCCATTGTGATATTCGGCGAAATAACGCCACAGGTAATAAAGTGAAATGATTCTGGCATTCTTCGCACCTGTGATAAACCCAATTTTCTCACACGTAATTTCCCTCCTGCAGGCCATTTGCTCGCGACACGGTCTGGCTGTTGGTGCCAAAACAATCTACATCACCAGGGCGGTGATGCTCCTCACCTGGCCGCTCTCCTATCCCACATCGAAGATCCTGGATTTGCTCCTGGGCGAGGAGATTGGCAATGTCTACAATCGTGAGCGTCTCAAGGAGTTGGTTCGGGTAAGAGATTTACCATTTTATTGTGTGCGCACACGTCTTATCTCTTATCTACGAAATCCATCGCGTCATTGGGAACTTAAGTGAATGAGAAGATTTGAGCGAGTGAACACTTAAATTGCGCAAGGGATGCGCGATGTGATTTCATTACATGTGCGCAAGTGACTCACAGATATTACCGATATTGACAGAGAAATATTCACGAAGCGGTTGTGGAGTTTTTTCCAGCACTGTATCTTAGTCACGGTCTTAACGGCATAAAGTGACTTAATACCAAAAAGCGCAAGATGTTAAGTTGTTAATTACTGGTGGGGAAATTTTCCACTATTAATTTGTCAAGATAGAATGGGGAAATCAAAGTTTATATTCAGTTGAATACTAATATATTATGCATTTGCTTATCGTTTCGAGACATCTCTTTTTGCACTTCTGCAAATTGATTACAAAAATAGGTTCTTATTAATTATTGATTTTTTATGGTTGTCGGGAAATGATGTGCTGTTTTTCCTATCGATTTCATACGTTGAATTAGTGTACATAATTGTCTTTAGAGAATTTTCAGTCTATTCGCTGAATATTGAGCTATTTCAGTTTCGCAATTTGATACTATACGCTCGGAAATGGCTCAATTTGATGTGTTTCTTTCCTCTTCCAGGTGACTAAAGATATAAACGACCTGGACAAGGATGAGGTGAACATAATTTCTGGCGCCCTGGAGTTGCGGAAGAAGACTGTCGGCGACGTGATGACTCATATTGAGGATGCATTCATGCTGAGCCTGGATGCTGTGCTGGGCTTTGAGACTGTGTCGGAGATCATGAAGTCGGGCTTCTCGCGGATTCCCGTGTATGAGGGCGAACGCACAAATATTGTCACTCTGCTGTACATTAAGGATCTGGCCTTTGTCGATCCGGATGACAATACGCCTCTGAAGACGCTGTGCGAATTCTACGAGAACTCCTGCCACTTTGTCTTCGACGACGTTACCTTGGATGTGATGTTTAAGCAATTCAAGGAGGGCAACAAGGGCCACATGGCATTTGTGCACCGCGTGAATAGTGAGGGTGATGGTGATCCTTTCTATGAAACTATAGGACTCGTGACGCTCGAGGATGTGATTGAGGAGATGATTCAGGCAGAGATTATGGATGAGACGGACGTGTTCACGGATAACAGGACGAAAGTGAGGCGCAACAAGACCAAGAAGCAAGACTTCACTGTATTCGCCGAGAGGCGTGAGAACCATCGCATCCGCATCTCACCGCAACTCACTCTGGCAACATTCCAATACCTCAGTACATGTAAGGATAAATTGCTCTGCGGACTGTCGAATCGCTTGCTAATCCTTGTCCTTGTCCTCTAGCTGTGGATGCCTTCAAGGCGGATCTGGTGTCTGAGACGATTCTGCGTCGTCTTCTCAATCAGGACATCATCAATCACATCAAGTGCAAGGGCAAGGAGCGCACGGATCCCAGTATTTCCATCTACCAACAAGGGAAGCCGGTGGATTTCTTCGTGCTGATTCTGGAGGGGCGCGTCGAGGTGACGGTGGGCAAAGAGAATTTGGTGTTCGAGAGCGGCCCATTCACGTACTTTGGAACTCAGGCACTCGTGCAGAATGTGGGAGTCGGTGAGTATCGCAACGCTCTTGCAAATCACAGCAAGAATACGCTCTCTTATTGATTATTTTGTGGTCACTACAGTGGATTCGCCCCAACAAATCATGGGCTCACTCCAGTCCCTCAACATGGACGCAATGCTGCGCCACACCTTCGTGCCGGACTATTCCGTGAGGGCTGTGACGGAGGTGGTGTACATTGCCATTCGGCGCACGCTGTATCTGGCCGCGAAGAGGGCCACCCTGATGGAGCGGTCGCAGAAGTTTGGCGACCAGAGCAGCGATGCTATCGATGATGAGGTGCAGAAGTTGCTTCACTCCCTCGATGAGGATGATCGCAGTATTGGTGCTGATACTGCCAATTTGATGGTGAATACGCCAAAAATGATGAGCAAACCGCCTAGCAAATCACCGTCTCCCACTCCAATCGCTGTGGTGAGCAATCTTGACGAGGTTTTTTTCTAATTTTAGCATCTCCATTCAATCAGGAAGTTGAGAAGAGGGTGTAATGATTGCTTTCCTTGCAGGAGTTGGCTATGAAGAGCGCTGGCCTGAACTCGAGTGCCACCGTGAACAGCATTGGCCTCAACAATGGGGGCTCCAGTGCCAGGAGTCACAGTATACCTAATCAAAACTTCAAGATGATCGGGAATGATCCAACACAAACACCTCTTCTGCCCCGCTCGAAGTCTTAGCGAAACGCCGCGCCTCCTTTGTCACTGAAGGAGCCAAGTTATGGGCAGGAGATGAACTCGTTGTAGGAGAGTTTTTCTCTTCAAAAACACTATTTTTTTTCCTTTTTCACCACAGAAAAGTGTATAATAGCGATAGATTAGTTGGAAAGTTCTCTAATTTAGGTACTTATGGAATTGTTTTATCGGATTTATTGTGGCGAAACTTATTTACTTAAGTATTGTTTACTCAATGTCCAAAAGAGTGTTTATTATTATTATTATTTTTTTTGTTAAAGAAATATTGCTAGCATAAGCGCGCTGAAAGTGAATAATTTTTACGTTTATCAAACAATGGCAAATCGTATTAGTTGGAGATGAGGAGGAATTGTTATGTAAAGATACTTGTGGTTACTTAACATGTTAGAGGATTTGAGGATTTACACAATAGAATGATAAAATGTACTTATAGGGTGGTAAACAACAACACAAAATCATACATTTGATTGTGATGAAGGATATGAAACAAATCTTAGAGATTACAACTATTTTCACACCACAATGTAGTCGAGAGACATTGGGAAAATACCTCGTAGTTTGAAGGATGGAAGAAGTATTTGGAGAGCTTTTCATAGAACATTTCACACTTTGCAACGTAACTCCTTGCGAAGGGGAAACAAGATATGAACAAATAGTGTAGAGTTTAACTCACAAAACTGTAGATTTAAGTGAAACCAGAAGTAATACAGGTAAACTGCAGTGTTTATCGTGGAAACCGAATGAATTTTAGCTTGTAGTGTTGAATGGATTTGAAAAATCCCTCTTTATTCTCTCTCTCTATTACTTTATTCTCTTAAAACGTAGGGGTGCTAAAGAAAAAAAATTGAGCAAAATAGTTTGCGTTGCAAATCGAATCCAAAACATTGTTTTCCGATATCAAATAAACGTTTTATTCATGAATATACAGTTGAAATTCCAAATTAATTACTCGAGTTTCAAATCGGTGTATTTTATTTTACTACACGAGTGTAAAATAATACACATTTCCTCTGTCTCTTTCGCACTTTAACCGCCCGGTCAGTTTGACATTCAATCTGGCGGCGTCGGAATTTTCTCCTGTGGTTTTCTTGATTTTCCACGCGAAATAAGTGTTAAAACAAGCCAATTTTACTGCTTATCGACTAGTCAGTGGTTCCTGCTACAATGAATGTACCGGATATGGGAGGAAACATGCTGGAATTTGCCGGAAACATGATTGATAGGCACTTTCAGTGTCCGTCCTCTTCCAGCCTTTTAGAGGTATATTTTCTCGAGAAAACTCAATTAATGGGTTCAGAGAGTGGTTTTCCTTATCTTAAGATGTGCGCGGCAGAAGCATAGACGAAGATTGTGAGAGGGAGCGGCATAAGTGATTCTAACCTCAATTTCATCCCCAGGTTACCGGAGTCGCTCAGCATGGCATGGCCACAACTAGCGGTCTCAATGACTATGACTACCAGAACCTGTCGAGTCTGTCGCTGAATCTGAAGCAGCTGAATCAAGTGGTGACCAGCAATAAGGTGCCGATTCCGCCTGAGATCCTGGAGCACCTGAACCACATCAAATGCCACTGTATGATGGGCTTGTTCCCGGAAATCGGACGCGCCTGGCTCACCATCGACTCAGATATCTACATTTGGACATATGAGAATGACCGGGATGTGGCGTACTTTGACGGACTGAACCATGTGATCACGAGCGTTGGTTTAGTGACACCAAAACCAGATGTTTTTGTGAGTGATGTGAAGTACTTGCTCGTCCTCACGACGCCCCTGGAGATCATTGTGCTGGGCGTAATGTTTGGCGACTCAACGAAAACCATCTGTTCACCAAATCGCACAGTGCACGGCCTGAAGCCCTTCGAGGAGCTGCACATCAGCCGCCCCATCTTTGTCCTCAACACCGACAATGTGTCCATATTGACGATCGAGGGCGCAGCGGATGGCAGGATCTTCCTGGGTGGACGCGATGGCAGCCTGTATGAGTTGCAGTACCAAGCTGAGTCTAACTGGTTCGGAAGGCGCTGCAAGAAGGTCAATCATTCACAGAGTCTCGTGTCTTACATGGTGCCGGGCTTCCTGAAGATCTTCTCCGAAAGCGATTCCGTGGCTAAGATAGCAATAGACAACAGCCGGCGGATGTTGTATGTGTTGTTCGAGAAAGGTGCCATCGAGGCGTGGGAATTGGAGGCGAACGACAATATCAGGCGCGTGGGCAGAGTCACTCATCGGGATGTCGTCCAGGCAGCGGTGAGCATGGTGAAGACAGTGGATCCGGCAATTTTCAAGAATATCACCGCCATCTGCCCACTCACTATCGACGACAGTCCTCAGCTGCACCTGATCGCCGTGACGCAGTGCGGCGTGCGCTTCTACTTCTCCACGACGCCCATTCTCGTGGCTCAGGGCACAATGGAGTCCCTGAGACCGCAAGGACTCTATCTTCTGCACGTACGACTGCCTCCCGGCTACACGCCCAACACCCAGGTGGGGAAACCTCGACAGGTGCACTCGGCCTTCTACCACCGCGGCTCGCTGCTGATGGTGGCCACGTCGCAGCAGGATCAGGACATGCTGTGGAGTCTCAGCTCGGAGCCCTTCCCGCATCGTCCCTATCTCACGGAGTCGTCCACTGTGATGCAGCTGGATGGACAAGTGTGCGCCCTGGCGCAGATCAGGGATCGGGACTCCCACGCTCTCACCATTGCGCCCATGCGAATCAGCTATCAGCCCACGAAGATCGTGCTGTTGACAAATCAAGGCGCCCACATTGTGTCCCTGCTGAAGCCAATGGATCTGTTGCAGCAACTGCTAGCGGCCTGTCGTGGACCTCATCACGAAGCTGTGAAGGCCTACTTCCAGGCCCAGAGCGAGCCCGAAGCGTGCGCCACGAGTCTCATGCTCGCCTGCACCGAAGCTCTGCGCGGATCTGAGATGACTATGTGGGCCACGCAGGCGTTTTTCCTGTACGGCGGTGAGCCTCAGTATCGATCAGCTGCCACGGGACCATTCAACACCAACACGACTTTCATCGAGAGCCAAGGAGCGCCCATGTTCAACTCCACGCCTTTCCCGGCCTCCAGACCGGCTTCCGCCATTCAACAGAGCCTTCTGCAGCAGACACAGACTCCGGGCAGTCCGAGTGAGTATCCGAATCCACAAATTCCTTCTTAGCCATGCCTATTGATGGCTTCTTTTGCGTTTTTCCAGTTCAAAATGTGAGCAATGTTAATTTCAACACATCCCAAGGCGTAGACATTTCCAGCAACTTGATGTACTCAGCCAAGCATACTGGACTCTATCTGCACGTCTCGCGTCTTCTACGACCCATCTGGAGACGTCGGTGTCTCCAGCAGAGCACACTCTTCACCAGCTCCATCACATTGCAGGACTGTGGTCAGATTCTGAGCGATTTGTATGCCATCAAAGCCTTCTTGGCCGCCAATTCAGCCAGCAGTGCCACTGCTCAGCAAGCCGTCGCACCAGCACAACAGCCCGCGACGGGCGTGTATCAGTACAACATGGCCAGGCCGAAGAACATGGCGGAGGACGCGAAACTGGAGGAGAAGAAGTCCCTGGACGCGCTTAGCCGGTTCATAAAGCACACGTGTGAAGTTGTGGCTCTGTGGAAGCTCCTCTGTGAACATCAATTCCACGTGCTCATTAACGCGCTGTCACGAGAACAGCAGAACATCCTGGCGGCGTGTACATTCAGGGATTTGATTTTGTGTCGTCCAGATACTTGTTCACAGTTGATTGTGGGACTCATAAGCTTTTACCTCAATGATAACGCCAGCGTGGGCTCTATTTCGGCCAAATTGAGAGACGTCTGTCCCACGCTGTACAGCCATGAAGAGGCGGTGTCGCACAAGGCAACGGAGATCCTTCTGCTGTCCAAGACTTGCACGGATCCCGAGGAGAAGAATGAACGTCTCGTGACGGCACTGAAGCTGTGCAAGAGTGCCGCTCCAAATCTGCCTCTGGGCAGTATTTGCCAGCAATTCACGGCGGCTAATTTCTACAGGGGCGTCATTGAGTTGTGTGCCATTTGTGCGCATAAGATTGACGTGAACGAGACAGCGCTGCACTTTTACCGCAATGGAGAACCGCCGGAGGATCGGGAGGGATTGATGGCGTACACAGCACGTTCGGAGTGCTACAAGGAAGTGAAGTGGATGCTGGAGCAAGTGTATCAGCAACTCTGCAACGTGGAGGTGAATGGCAATCCGGGTGGCGAGATCACAGATATCAACGGACAGATTCTTAAGATTGTGGCGCTTGTGCTGCAGACACCTGATATTCTCCTCCATGTGGCCGTGTACGAGTGGTTGCTGTCGCATCGCCTCCTGGGCGAACTGCTGGGTCTCAGCGAGCCCTCTTTGGGACTTTTCCTCAGCAACTCATTGGCCAAGTATCCCGACAATCAGCAATTGGCGGATCTTTTGTGGAAGTACCATGAGCGCAATGGACAGCATTCAGCCGCTGCAAAGATTCTGGATAATCTGGCTTCGCTGGATGACAATAACATTCCTCTGGGTCGGCGCATTGAGTACCTCTCGAAGGCCGTGCTGTGCATGAGGAGCGAGACTATCGGCTACTCTGTCCACAATGGTGTGCTGCTGAAGGAGTTGGAGGATAAGCTGGAGTTTGCCCAGGTGCAAAAGCTCATTCTGGACACTCTGTCCAGCATCGGTGAGAGTGATCTTGACGTTGAGGAGGCGGTAAGTGGTGTTTGACTTAACAATTTGCTTACATTCACTAACAAAAACTCATCTTATAGATTCGACTCCTGAATTCTCAACTCTACACAATGACTCAGCTTTACAACGAATTCGCGGATCCCTTCAATCTCTGGGAGTGCAAGCTGAAGATCCTCAGTGTCTCTCACCACAGCGACAATCTTCTGATCGAGACGGTGTGGATGAACATCTTTGAGCAGGAACTCTCGGTGAGTCTTCACAGCACGGCTGAGGAGCGCATGAGGCGTCTCCTGACCAAATTCCAATGTCTCGTGCGTGAGTACAGCGATACCGGCAATTGCTTCCCGCTCTCATTCCTCGTGTACGAGCTCGAGGTGCGCGCCTGCAAATTGCGCCTCCGCGTGTCGCCCGTTCCTGAAGTCTTGCTGGCAGTGAAACTGGACACCGAGAGCCTCCTGGACATCTACACTCGCATGGTGGCCATGAATGATCGCGTGTGGCTCACGGAGGGCAACGAATGGTATCTCGTGGAGGCGGCCGCTAAACTCGTCTCGACTTTTGTCGCCACATGCAGAGTGTCCAGCGTGCGGAACCTTCGTCGAGTCGTCGCCAAAGCCGTCACCTTGATTTCCTCCTGTTTAAATCTGCTGTACACGAAGCCAGACACGCAGCAACTCATCAACTCCCTGCGCGACATTCAATCCAAGCTAGATCGACTGGCGGCGTGATTTGTCATCCAATAAAAAAAAGTCATATGTTCATTTTTTTCCAAGACACCGTCATTTATTGTGTCAGCAAAGCGTAGGTGCGAGCCTACTTCTCGTCCTGCTTAAAGACAAATGTGAGACTGCACTTGCCGCAGTAGTGGCGATCCTCATGGGCAGCCATGAAGACTCCAGCGCCACAATTTTCACCCGGACACTCGCGCCTCAACCGATGGATCTTGCCATTCTCATCGACCTTCAAGTCAACCACAATGAAGAGCAAATTAGGATTTGTGAGAAATTACTATTGTGGGATTGAAGGACTCAAATCGGCAAGGAAATCGGATTCACGGTATTGAAATCCCGGCAATACTCGAGTTTCCACCTGAGAATCCCAATCATTCGCCCCCTGAGATCGACACACAGGAATGAAAAATCATTACTTTTCTTCTCTTTTGTAAATGTAAATATATCACTGTTAGAAAAATTGTTAAAGTGAAATATTAAAAAATAAATGACTGACAATGAGGATCCTCATGGAAGGACCATGCAAAATCGCACAGTGATCCTACTTTTGTCAATATATTTTTAAGCATAGAATGATTATCAATATTTTTTCACTTGTATTAAGCAAACAATTTAGGAACATGTTCATTGATTAAATAAAACACTCGTGAAAAAGTACTGTGTTGAAGTCAATTGCAGACCCGAAGAACCTTCCCTCCTGCATAATTTCGAGCGATCGTTGGAAGCCGAAACCCCAAGGAAAAAATGGATCAATCTCGAGTTTACCCGAATTCCAAGCGAGAACCTCTTTCCCATGCGCCTCTTTGGTGTCTCCCTCAGCCCGGATTCCCTCGCATTCTTACCTTGTAGTACTTCAGCACAGCGAGCTTGACCTTCTTGCGCTTGTGCTTGATCTTCTTGGGCGTGGAGTAATTCTTCTTCTTGCGCTTCTTGGCGCCACCGCGAAGGCGCAGCACCAAGTGGAGCGTCGACTCCTTCTGGATGTTGTAGTCGGAGAGTGTGCGTCCATCCTCCAGCTGCTTGCCGGCGAAGATGAGACGCTGCTGATCCGGAGGGATGCCCTCTTTGTCCTGAATCTTAGCCTTCACATTTTCGATGGTGTCCGACGGCTCCACCTCAAGGGTGATCGTCTTCCCCGTGAGTGTCTTCACAAAGATCTGCATCTGCAAGGACAAGAGACCAGAGAATAAGAAGCAAAGTCATGATTATTCTCCAATTATTCTATTAACAGTATTGAAGAGAACAATGATCTTAGTTTTCATTTTTTTATTGTTCTTAAATACAAAAGAGGCGGAACGAGAGATCTAAACTAGAAGTACGGCATTAATGCATCCATCATTCTCCGGATTGTTGGTCACTTGCGCGTACTTTCCCCACACAACCTTTCCCGATTGCGTCACAAGACCCAATTCTGAGATGTTCACTTCAATCACCGTTCCCTTCGTGATCACACCAAGGGTTGTGTACATCGGCGAACTCGGGTTCTTCTTTACGCCAATAATGGGCAGGCAGAATGTGGCTTTCAATTCGGGATGTGTCACGTGAGCTTTCTTGAATCTCAGTGCCATCGGCCGAATGAATCTCTCGAACTTTGGTGGCTTTCGTGTGAAATCCTCCCCGACGAAAGTCACTTTAGTCACCATTCGCTTCCACGCTTTCCTCTTCGTCTTGCCGGATTTCAGCACTTTGAAGACTTCCGCGTCGCTCTGAGCGCGCACTTTTGGTATCGGTACATCCCACTTGCCCGCCTTCTCCTTCCGCTTCTGCTTGATCATGTTGGACAACACCTTAGCGCTGGATTGCATCCCACGATCCAGCAAGTACTGCGGATGCGCTCCATCCTTCTCCTGTTCTGCACTCTTCTTCACGCGCTTCTCCTCGTGCGCCTGGATCTTCTTCTTCATCTGAATCTTCTCGTTGCGCCTCTCCTGATTGAACAGCTTAGCCTTGATGCCACGCAGCATTTTCGCCTTCTTGGCACGCTTCTTCGGCTCTCGAGCCTCCCTCTTCCGCTTCCTCTCCTCATAATCCAGTCGACGGCCATGCAGCTTGGCATGCCGCTCCATATACTCATTCTGCGGCATCTTGGACTTCCTGCAAGGCAAGAGGAACACATTAGAATCCCTATTAAATACCACACTGAGGATTAAACGCTATCAACTTCGAAGGGAGTTTGAGTGGAAGACCCACCCTTCTCTTGAATATGACAGACGTTTAATTCCTCTTCCACTTACCGCAGAATATTCCGGGAATTTTATGCACTTTTTGTCATATTCACCAAACAAAAATGTAGTGAGATTAGCGAGTCTTCCACACTTTTAGGTTAGGATTACTAAATTACCAAGAATATTCACCAAATACTATTTTACAAATAGTTTCTCTTCTTTTGGATTGAAACTATATCAAATATTGGCGAATTAAGTGATATAACCATTAATTGACAATCCAAAACGCATGTTTTCAGTGATGCCACGAGGCGTCTTCCGGACGAAAACTTTTACTTAATTTCCCAGGAAAATCACACATTCACCTACAAACCCTTATCAAATAAATATCCTTCACACAATAAGGAACCAAATGAGATTACTTTTATCGCGGTAATTGAAAGTTTTCTATAAGTTTTTTGAGAAATTAAAGAGAGCTCACCTTGCCTGTGTCGAAGTACGATGCAAAAGAAATGGACGGGCAGCCGGAAATCGTAATGACACTTCTTGCCGCTACCAGCGCCACTAATGATGCGATTGGGATCGTAACGATTGACTTGCATGGCAGTTTCGGCATTCATCAGCAGTCATTGAATGTTTTTCTTGTGTTTGCGTTGTTTGTAAATATTTTCCCAAGATTTTAGGCATTTTATCGGTTTTAGGCAAATACTATAGACATGAGGAAAGTCACCAGCAAACGCAGGAAAGCAAAGAATGTAAGAAAATACAATAAAATTTGTCATGCTATTTGAATAGAATATTTGACGTGTGTTTCTTGGACAGATTCTGGAGCCGGAAGAAAATCCTTCAACAAAAGCTATTGCGGCATTGCCTGATGATTTACTAGTTTGCAGAGTTTGTGAGTCTACGGAGGATTTGTTAGATATTTCGTGGGAGGAAAATGTGCACTTTCGGGAGAAGCTCTATCAAATTGCATGCTTTGTCAGTGTGTTCTAGTGTAGCATCTCCACAATTGTTAACAGTGTTCTTATTTCAGGACGAACAGAAGGACAATTTGTTGAAATACATCTGTCGATCATGTGGAGAGAGATTAGAAGACTTCAGTTCTTTCAAGAATCAATGCGAAGACACTTATAGGAAACTCGTGGAAGTGATTTCTCAGAGACAAGAAAGCACGAAGGATGTTCTAAAGAAGGAGGAAATACCAGTGAAAGAGGAGTTGTCAGAAGACAAGAACTCTGAGGATGAAATCCCTGACAATTCGTGGGCAGATGAATGTCAAAAAGGAGACCAAGAAGAGCCCAAAGCAGATGCAGATAACGATAAGAAAAACTGGCTTCAGTGCCGGATTTGCAATATGATGGTGAAGAATCGCTATCACATGGAGAAGCACCAGTGGAGTCACAAGGGGAGATCTCTCAAGTGCAAATTCTGCCAAGTGGAGTACTCTTGTCAGGGGAATCTCATGCGCCACATTCGTGTGGTGCACGAGAAACGGCGCGCGCATGTTTGTAACACGTGCGGAAAGACCTTTTCGCAGTCCAACAATCTGAAACTCCACATGCTGGTGCACCAGGATACTAAGTTTGACTGCGATCTCTGCGAGAAGTCATTCAAGAATCCACGCTCTCTGCGGAATCACAAAGTGCAGCATCTGCCGCCAGAAGAACGCCCCGAGCGAGTGCAGAGACGCATCGAGAAGCGTCCCAATTTGTCGCCCTGGAAGCGAAGTCAGAAGAAGATGTGCATCTGTCCGACGTGTGGGAAGATTTCCAATTATGTGACCCAACACGAGAGCCACATGAGGAGTCACACGGGAGAGAAGCCCTTCAAGTGCGCGCACTGCGACAGGACTTTCCGAGAGAGGAACACGCTGAGGAGTCACATGCTGCTGCACACTGGGGAGAAGCCGTACACTTGCCGGTGCGGAGCGGCGTTTCGGCAGAGTGCTCATCTGAGACGACACCTGCGAAGTCACACTGGCGAGAAGCCATACAAGTGCCTGGTGTGCGAGAAGAGTTTCACCGAGAAATCCATCCTCACCACCCACATGAGGGTGCACACGGGAGAGAAGCCCTTCCACTGCCGCATCTGTCCCAAGAAGTTCCACAACGCCAGAGTCCTCAGGAGACATTACCTGAAGGTGCACTTTAAGAACCAGAACGTGCACACGCAGAGCGACATTCAGCAGAAGCTCGCGGCGATGCAAGTGGACGCAGAGTTGGGAGAGATCAATTGATGCCCGCTTTAAAAGCCAATCTGGTCTACATTGTATATAATTCACTTTAAATGTGCAAATCTATGATCACATATTAAATGATTCATGTAAAATCTTTCATTGTTCTTTCCTCTCAAACATAATTGCTCTTCAAATGTTCTCAACTGGTGAATGAATGATAAAAGTAAGATAATAATTGGAAGCTTTACTATCCTTTTTGGTGCTGCGCCTGATCACACGTTCTGCTGCCTGTTGTAGAACTCCTGCTGCAACTCTCGCAGGTTCATCTCCAGAGTGGCGACTTCCTCAAATCTCAGTGCTTCCCTCGCCTGCTTGATGTATCCCTTGATGATGTTGATCTGTTCCACGAGGGGATCTGCATTGGGGCCACTCGTGTCGGCTCTGTAGCCACTCCAGTTGTCCATTCTGGTGACCGCGGACCCAGTGGCGGCTCTCGTGGCATTCGGGGCCACACCGCTTGATAGGGTGTTGGATTGTTCATAGCGCTCAAAGGCTTCAGCTGCAAGACGTCTTTCTCTCTCGATGCGCATTTCCGCTTCTTCGCGCCTCTTGCGCTGGAGGCGCTCGATTTCCTCCTCCAAAGGCAGTTGGGGTAGAGAAAGCATCTCTTCCTTTATGTAGCTCACACAGGCCAGACGCAGGGCCTTCTTCAGGGCCTCAGCACGACTGCCCTGAGGCGTGGGAAGGGCCATAATACCCTTGCTCACGTTGTCCACTTGTTCAGCCACACGACCAATCTTACTGCGAAGAGCACTCGCGTCCGCCAAAGTGAAGATAGAATCTCCCTCATATAGGCTGGTCACAATCTTGCGGTACATGGGAATGTCAGGACTGATGTCCCGCTTCAGTTCCTGCACGCGATCGTAAAGACGCGTCACAGTTGGACGGAATGTCGTGCGATCCTGCATCTCCTTGCGATTCTCCAGCAAGTGAAGGCAGTGTTCGCAGATGCGCAGCGTTGTGAGATCCGCCGAGTCAGCGGACTTGGCTTCAATGTCTGTGGGCGTGGAATCGCCTGAGGGATTGAGTAGGCACTCCGCAGACGCCACGTCCAGAAACCGAGAACAGTCGTGACACATTATGCTCCCACAGAGGCGACAGTGATGCTGCCGACGAGTCAGATGGAAGCTCCTAGCACAGTTGGGGCAGAGTTTCACCGCTTTCCCGTCCAGCCAAGGCACGCGCTCCTGTTCGTGCATCTTTCTCTGAATGGGATCTCGTGGCCTGTCGGTCAGCAGCTTGTGCAGTCGGATGATAAGCTTGTTCGTTTCCGTGGCATAGCGCTCCAGCCGGGGATTACGCACAGCCTTGAAGTACACCGTATGCTCACAATCCACTCCCACTTCTTGGCTACTCTCCTCCAGTATTTCTCTGGGCTTACCCACCGAAAATATGTTGGGCTTCAAGCTCATACTCACTTCCACAGACTTCGCCAAGTCCGCGGACTCATCCAGATTCAGGATTTTCTTGCGGGCGATCCCGAAAATCTCCTTCAGAGACTTGAGAATATCCTGCTCTTCTGAGTGCTTCTGCTCCACGTGATTCGTCAATCTCTCCGGTGTTTTCAGATCGTCCTTGCAAATGGGACAGAGAAATCCCTCCAGGATCTCCCCATCCCCATCATCCAACAGACTGGCCATTACTTCCCGCCCAGGATCACCAGGAAAAACCACGATACTTTTCACTTCAAAACACTCCTTCTGTCATCATCGCAAAAGACATCAGTCATTGAAACCCTTCAAATGCGCATGCATTTGAAATTGACAGAATGTCGAACTGCCAGATGGCGTGCGCGGCAGTCATTTCACTGACATGCTGTGAGACGGTCGTATCGTGACAGTTCATCAAACTCGGAGAAATTCCATAGTGTTTTTTCTGCTTTGGGGAGAATTTTCCTGAGATTTAGCACGAATCCTGACGAGGAGCAGCCATTTAATGTGCATACTGTGCAAGAGTGTGCTGTACGGGAGACTTTGTGCTACCGGTGGAGAGTGCTAGTGTGGATTTGAGCGGACAAGAGTGCATCAGAGGAAAAGTGACGGCAGGACAACAGAAATGAACTCGGCACCGTCAACGGAGCAGGTTTATCAGGGCGTTTACGCCTTCTACAATAATTCCAACACACTAGAGCAGCAAAAGGCATCGCAATGGCTCAACGAGCTGCAGAAATCGGTGAGATATCGGCGTTTGTGTGGACGCTTCGCCTCCCCGCGGCACATAACCTCAAATGGGGTGCCACCCGACTTCCTGTTGTGACGGTGTCTCTTTTCTTGCCTTGCAGGTCTACTCGTGGAAAATAGCCGATGAATTGCTCCAGCAGAAGCGCGATTTGCAGTCGTGCTACTTTGCCGCCCAGACGATTCGTAGCAAAATCCAAAATTCCTTCCATGAACTCCCCGCGACGGCCCATGAGAGCCTCCGGGAGTCCCTCATGAGCTACATTAGTCAGATCACGGCGGAAACGGATGCGGTGATTGTGACGCAGTTGTGCTTGGCGCTCTCGGATCTCGCTCTGCTCATGTCCACGTGGCGGAATCCCGTGATGAGTCTCCTGGAGCGCTTCTCGGCCTCGCAGGACAATTCATGGCCGCTGTTGGTCATTCTGACACTCCTTCCCGAGGAGATCAACTCACGCTACCTGCGCCTGGGCAAGAACCGGCGGACGGAGATCCATGCTGAGTTGAAGAAGGACTCGAGGACGGTGCTGGAATACCTTCTGGCGTGCCTCCAGACGGGTGGCCACGAGCCAGCCACCCAGATGCGCACCATCAAGTGCTTTACATCGTGGCTCAGTATCCATGCGATTGAGCTTTGTGATATTAGGGAGAACATTATCGTGGGCCTCAGCTTCCGCCTCCTGCTCGCCAACGAGACGAGCGTGCAGCTTCACGAGGTAGCGGCCAATTTTGTGTGCACGCTTCTGCAGTGCTTCGAGACGAATAACACGGCACCGGAACTCGAGGCGCAAATCTTTACGGCTATTACGACGCTAGAGGAGGCCTATAACATGTCTGTGGCACAGGAGGCGATCGACAAGACAGTCAATTACTGCCGTATCTTCACAGTCCTCGGCGAGACTTTCCTGGAGCGGATGCTCAACAACACCACCGACTTCTCGCCTCACTACTCCATCAAGGCCCTCGATCTCGTGCTCAACTGCGTCGGGCATTACGACTACGAGGTGGCCGAGATCACCTTCAATCTCTGGTTCCGCCTCAGCGAGGATCTCTACAATCGCTGCAATGACAGCCTCACGGATCACTTTAAGGTTTGTGCTTGAGCACTTCGTTGCCTAGATTTAGTGCTAAGATCTCTGTACTCTCTTTCAGCCTCACATAGAGCGCTTGATTGGGGCTCTTGTGCGTCATTCGCAGATGGAGCCCGATCACGAGGGACTGATCGAGGAGGGCGATCTCTTCATGGACTTCCGGCGCAAGGTGTGCGAACTGACCAAGGATGTGGTGTTCATCGTGGGCTCCAGCCACTGCTTCAAACAGATGTTCTTCTCTCTCCAAGGCCCCAATGTGACGTGGGAGAGCAGCGAAGCTGCCCTGTTCATCATGTCCGCCGTGGCAAAGAACATTCTCGTGGATGAGAACGAAGTGGTGCCCAAAGTTGTGGAGGCTATACTCAATTTGCCGGAGAATACTCACATCGCCGTCCGGTACACGTCGGTCGTGCTGCTGGGAGAGCTGTGTGAATGGATCGAACGCCATCCGGAGTCTCTGCAGGCCGTCCTCAATTTCCTCCTCTACTCGCTGCAGCAAAAGTCAGGCTTGCCCGCCGCCGCCGCCACTTCGCTCCCGTCCATCTGTTCTGCCTGTCGAGATCATATGACGTGCCATGCCAGTGGATTGCTCCAGATTGCCAACAGTCTCGACAGCTTTGAGCTGAGCAACGACTCGGCCATTTGCCTGCTGAAGGGCATCTGCATTGTCCTGTCGCGTCTGCCCAGTGCAGAGATGACCAAGGCAGTGAAGGAGATCTGTGGCCATCAATTGACGCCACTTTGTCAATTGCTGGAGTGCGACGTGAAGGCGGAACGGGGCAAGAGTTCCGATCCAGTGTTCTGGATCGATCGCCTCGCGGCTATCATGAGGCATAGCAATCCTATTCTGAGAATGAACGAGACTCATCCGATGCTGAGTATCCTGGAAGAGATCTGGCCGGTGATGAGCAATGTGTTTGTGAAGTACCAGGCGGACCTCAGAATCATGGAGAGGACATGTCGATTCGTTCGCTATGCCATCAGATGTGTTGGCAAGCAGGCAACCCCCATTCTGGAGCCACTGGTGAAGCAAATGGTGCATCTCTACGCCATGTACCAGCACACCTGCTTCCTCTATCTTGGCAGTATTCTCGTGGATGAATTTGCCAAGAACTCCTCCTGCACTAAAGGTCTCCTCGATATGCTTCAGGTGAGTTTCGGTAGCCTCACAACAGGCCAAATGATTGAGTGAACCTAACTTCTATCTCTCCCTTTCAGACCTTCATAGAGCCCACATTTCAGCTGCTCCAAGTGGAGAATGGCTTGCGAAATCACCCAGACACTGTTGACGATTTCTTCCGGCTTTGCTCGCGATATCTTCTGCGATCGCCTGTGGAATTCCTGCAGAGTCCAATGATCACTCCCATCATCCAGTGCGCCTTGCTGGCGTGCTCCCTTGACCACCACGATGCCAACATATCGGTGATGAAGTTCTTCCTGAATCTCCTGCACTGCGGCCGAGAGGAGGAGGACGAAGTGATGCAACTCCTCTTGCACGACATTGTGGCTGCCAATGGCGAGGCTCTGATGATGAACCTCGTGCACGCGTCGGTATTCTGCCTGCAGTCTCATCGACTGTCGGATGTGGCGGACGTGATGGTGGAGTTGAAGGTGGTGGACGAGGAGAGATTCAGTCTCTTCCTCAGGAGTGCGCTCAACGCGTTGCCCAAGAAGAACAGCGGAGGTTGCATCACAATGACGGAAGCGCAGCTTAAGGTGTCGCATCAATTAATAACGGGGTGAGTGATCACATTATAAACTGTTTAAGACGTTTAAGAGTACAGCATTGCTTATTTCGCTCTCATTTTTTGCAGATCTGAAACTCCCAAAGCAGTGACGCATGCTTTGAAAGATTTTGTGAAACTCTATCGATAAAGAACATTGAAGAGTCAGAGTTACGGAATTTTGAGTGTGTCTCCCTAGAAGAGCAGGAAATGCAAAATTGCGATAGGGAACTATCATTGATTTAAGCAGAGTAAAAGTGGAAGTTAGCTAATTTAAGTGCATGGACTCAACATATGTTTCTTTGTACGCATTAGAAATGAGCGAGAGAGAGAGAGAGAGAGAAAGTGGCGTTAGTTTTTAACGTAGACATTGTGAGTCGACAGAGTCTTTTTATGAGTAAAAAGGACACATTTATTTGACAAAATGACTTTATAATTTAAATTCCTAATAATTTAAGATTGTATATAAACATTAATAGTTTACATTGGAATTATTAGCATTGAATTATTGGGGGAGAGAGTAGTTGAGTGTCTGGCAGATTGCAAAAACATGTACCTTATTTGCACGTGATGAAGCGCCTGAACGAGAGCATGGATCCGCCCACCACACGGAACGCCATCACCGCCGTGGCCAGGAGGATGGCGTAGTTGGTCAGCAGGGAGGCCCAATAGAGCTCGCGGCGGTTGAGCAACGTGAGGCAGGACACGAACAAGTGGCTCAGCACCACGTACGCCGTGTGGAGGTACTTGCTGTTGTCCATGGCGTTGAAGAAGATCACACTCCAGAATGTGTGTAGCAGGATCGTGCAGAGCGTCTGGGCGGAGCTGGTGAGGAAGAACATTTCTGTGCCACTCAAGAGACCCATCGTCGCGGGGCCGACCTGGAAAGCGTTTATCATTTGTTGTATCACTGTTCATTTTTCTATATCTTTTGCACACACACTTTGTTATAAGTCAGGTTTATCAACTCTGTACAAAGCCGATATCGAGTTTACTATATGATAAATACAAAATGACTGTATGATTTTTGACCTCTGACTTCTTCACTCGAGGGCCAAGGGGCTTTTCTACAGGATATGAATGATTAAATTGATCCTTACAGCATCAGCCAGGATGTTATTGAGAGCAAAGGCTCCGCTGATTATTCCAAAGCCCAGTCCGGAGACGTAAGCAAGAATGTGTTTGTTCTCCGTCACGCGAACATTGTCAGCCACTTCTTGCAATCCCTTCTCCGTCTTTCGCAAGATCTTGTAGATGACAAATCGGAAGACCTCCTGCAACACAAAGACGGTGAGTCACGAGAAAGCTAAGCCAAGTGGTGTCGGCTTGCCTGAAACAGGACAGAAAACACCAGACCGAAAGCCAGGTATCCTCGCAAAGGCACAACAGCGAACCAGATGAGGGATGAGAGAAGCAGCGCCAGGAGCCACACGAACGCCGCCGCTATGAGGATGATGATCCGGATGGGATCGTGAGCGATGGTGAGGCTGAACATCGCCACCGGCGGACCGAAAGCCAGAAAAGTACACCCGAAAAACTCTGCCAGTGTCATTGTCAATATGCAAAATCACACCTTTCTCAAGCAACTTGCGCACTAAACTACAACTATTGGGCAATCTTTGGGCCTCACTGTGTTGCTTTATGGTGGAAAATTGGGTGAAAATCAGTTCAAAAGTGGTTATTTTCAGGATTCATTGTGGACGATGAGAAACGCGATTTTGCAAACAAATGTTCTCTGACATTTTGCCACCGTCAGCGCCGCGTGGCGGGATTCTCATGAAATATTCACCGGTGAGTCAGAAAGGTCATAAAAAAGGAAAATCTTCAGCTTTTTGGCGAAATTCTTAATTTATTTCTCAATGGAAAAATTGATGAAAATCCGTGAAAATCGGTTTCTCTCTTGGCTATTATGTACAGAATCGCTGTATCTATATCTTGATTATTTTACGTGTAAATTGGGCCTTAGGAAAATCTGTTTATAATTCCCTCTCTAAGTCAATGAATTTCTTCAAGTATTTTGGGGAGAAATTGTGTTATTTTCGCAATAAATTACGTATCTACACTCTTCAATATCCATGAATCTACATTTTAGCATCAATTGAATCACAAAAGCCGTGAAAATGACCTCCAATGTGTGAGAAAATGTCCAAAATACAATGCGTCTGACACCGAAACAACACAAAATCTTACTAAGTTACTCGCTACGGATACCATCTGAGGAGCCCCAAGAGCAGGAGCTTGACTGTGAGGATGATTTATGTTGAAATAAGTGAGTAAATCATCCCGTAGAGGTAGTAGAAAAAGGAGAGAAGGTAGCAGGCTAGCTTAATCCATCCCTCGCGCTGGCATTTGGACAGGACGTCTGCGTTCATGATGCTGGTAGGATCATAAAGTCCCGGCCCACTCATCACTGGCCTCGTCTTGTACCTGTAGATGTGGTAGGCGATTAAGGGCAGATTGAGGGCCAATGAGAACCATTCGTGAGCCAGCAAGAACAGGAAATTGAAGAGGAAGTGTAGCAGATATTCAGGCAGGACAAGCTGAAAAGTGAAAAACAGACATGGAAGAATGTTCTGGAGCTGAAGATTATCGGATACTCACAGGATTGAGGGAATTACACTGATCAATGGGATTCTTGTAGTCTGTCTTTAGCTCGTCAAATGCGATCACGTGAAATATGGAGAAGAATATCAGGAAGGCATCTGCAATGAGTGCCACGATGTACGTGAATGCGGGAAAGTTGAAAGCCATCTCCCAGCGCGGTGATTATCTCACGAAATTCCTGGATTTTCCGCGTGTTTTCTGCAAACCAATTTTGCCTCTGATGCCGGATTGACAGCGCCCTGAAGAATTGAACTTGACATTTTTGCCTAACATTTTCAAATGCATTTCCGTTAATACAGTGAGAAAAATATGGAATGGACAGTTCTATTTTATGGAAAAGTATTTCTTCAGAGAACAAATCATCAGACTGAAATTTGTGTGATTTGTATTTAACCCAAATCCATAATACCAAAAATCTTAAATTCACTTCTTTCAACACTTAATCTTAATTTTCATCGGATGGATTTTCCTTCGCCTCTTCCTTCGAGGCTTTTGGTCGAATGAGATCAACGAGATGAACTTTGTTCGGATGAAAAATCTGGACATGAGCCTTGAGCACAATAAAGCAACTGAGTTTTACGAAGCAAACTGGGCATTTCACCTTTTCCAGCTTTTCCAATGTATTGTTCTTCTTCATGTGCCTTGTTATGTGCTCTGTTAGGTAACCATATGCCATCATTTTGCCACAAATATCACATTTTACGGCACCCTCTTTTACGTTATGCATTTTAACATGAAGACTCATGTTAAAGGAGTTTTTGAATGTCTTCCCACACAAATGACACTGATATGGTGACTCCTCCTGATGAAATGACTCTTTATGGAGTGCTAAACATGTTTTTGTGGTAAATCCTCTTTTACAAATGTCGCATTCCACAAAACTCTTCTTCAAATGCACCTTGTAAACGTGGTTACGTCTTGCCAGCCAATATGGGAATCTTTCATCACAATACTGGCATTTATGTCGCAGGAAGTTGTTATGCTGGTCCATGTGCTGATTGAAACTAGTTTCAGATCGAAAAATTCTTCCGCACTTAGGGCATTCGCGACTTAGTGGGCGTTTACTTGTGATAGGTCTATCTTCATCTGATGACTCATCAAAGTCCTCCTCCGGCCATTCAAAATCTTCTGACCCTTCTTGTTCATTTGGCTCCACTGCCTGTTCTTCTGGTTCACCGGGATTTTCTGCCTGTTCCTCTAGTTCATCATGTTCTTGTAGTTGATCTGACTCTTCTGACCTTATATCCTCTGGCTCATCATATTTTTGTAGCTGATCTGACGCTTCTGACTTTATCTCTTCCGATTCATCAAGGCTCGGCGGAGTTATGAATTCAATATTTGAGTCTTCTGAGCACTCGTCGAACATCACGCGAAGCTTATTCTCTGATTTCATGCATTTCTCTCGGAAATCGTAAGCCTGTGTTAACTGCTTCACGCAGCCAATGCAAATCTTTGATGGCATTCCTGGGTAGTTCTTGAAGGTGATTCCGACAATTTGGAAGTATATGTTGCAAAAAGGAATGCTGTTGTAAGCCATGTCCAAAAAGGGATGCAAATCCGTGCTCTTGGCCTGCAGACAGAAGCGACAAAGAATTTTCTCTTCCACGAGTTCTGAATCTAATGAAAAATAAAAGATAAGTTGAGGATAAATTGTCTTTTAACTTCTCTACTGTTCGGCCCCAATTTGTTAAGGAGCAAGACCAGAAGAAAATCTAATTTACTTTTTTCCCCATTTTTCCCATTTACCTGGAGTTTGGTAGACCTGAACTCCCTGAACTACTTCTTTTCTTGAGTTCTGTTGGAATGTAGAAGTCTCGGTAGACGTAGTGGCAATAGTAGTAGTAGGCTGAAGAACAGGAGAAGCTCTTGTGTCTGCCTCATCATTCGAAAATTTCGACTCGATGGAATTCGTATTATGGCATCTTTCTTTTCTTAAATAAAGGCAATGCTCAAACCATTTCCACTGAGGATGGTTTTCCCGGTGTCTCTTTCTCTCGTTCTTATAAAAACTTTTTTTCACATATTCGACAAGCTGCATAATTCTTTCTTCGGTCAGGTTTAAATTCTTTGCCATCTCTCGGATGGTATTCCGCCTGCGATTGACTGTCCTGTAATATTTGTGGCGTTTGTTCCACACAATCTCATTAACAGAAAGTTCCTTCAGAAATTTTCGCATGACTTCGTCCTGTAACGAGAAGAAAGAAAATTAATAAGAATCAACATGATTCATCTACTTTATGAAAGATTGTAAATTTAGGAGATAATTTAGAATCGACATACGGTAAGTCGAGCTTGATATTCTCCTCGTACTTTTTTCGGCGCGTCTGGAGCAGGATACAAATCCCGGGAATTCGAATTTTCAGGCAGAACTTTTTTAGTAAGAGTTCTACATCCGTTGTCAATAGTTGGCAACGTAATATCCTGGGGCTTAGGCGCTTCGCAACTGCGAATGGGAAGTGACTCTTCCAAGACGCTCGCTGTCTTGGCTTTCTGTGGCTCATGGGGTGTAGAATTCTTGGTAGAAGTAGTAGCAATAGTAGTGGGCTGAAGAGAAGCAGAAGCTTCCGCTTTTGCGTCTGCCTGGCCATCCGAAAATTGCAACTCCATAGAATTCGTATTTTGGCATCTTTCTTCTCTTAAAAAAATGCATTCGTCAAACCATTTCCACTGAGGATGGTTTTCCCGGTGTCTGTTTCTCTCGTTTTTATGAAAACTTTTTTTCACATATTCGACAAGCTGCATAATTTTTTCTGCGGTCAAGTTTAAATTCTTTGCAATCTTCCGGATGACCTTTCTCCTGAGGCTGACTGTGGTGTAATCTTTGTGGCGTCTGTTCCACAGAATCTCATTCACAGAAAGTTCATTTATGAACCTCTCCATGATTTCGTCCTGTAATGAGACAGAAAATTAGCAAGAATCAACTTGATGACATCGTAGATTTGGGACGTAATTTGGAAACTACATACGGAAACTCGAGGTTTATATTCTGCTTTCACTTTCACCGTTTTTGGCATGACTGGAGCAGTAAATAAAGCCGGGAAATTGTCACTTTTGTTAAATTGAGACTTGAGTAAAAGGCTCAGTGAGGCACAGATGAAAACCCTAAAAGTAAAAATAGAAAAGGTAAGAACAAAACACAGCTTGCATATCGCGTATAAAACAATTAATTTTATCACACTGTGGAATGCTGTAGTGTAGTAATTCTGTTTTTACATTTAAACCACTTACTTGTTCTATTTACGTTCACAAAATGCGAATTTTCCAAATATTTTCTGCGGTCAGTGTAGTTTGTTTACGATTGACGATTCAGCGTGCGTCTGCATGACAGTTCAACAGAGCAGCGCCCTACGTGGCAGAAAATGAAAACTCCGGAAACCCGCAATTCTGCTCCGGCCAGCGACCGAAAAATAATAAAAATTTGGCTTTGATTTGGCAAAAGTAAACTGAAGAAATATCTAGCAAACAGAGATGACTAATTGCATTTGGATGAAAACATTTTCTAATTTATTTTTGAATCATATGCTGAAAATTAAAAATCAACTTATCCTATTGCCTCTTCATTTTCTCTCAGTTTCTTCAGATATTTCTGGTTGACGATTGTTCCATCGGGCGGTAGGAGATGTACATCGCTGGGATGTAATTTTCTCACGTGTGTCTTCATGGAAAAGTTGCATGTGAATCCTTTCGAGCACACCGGGCAGATGTAGTTCCGCTCGTTGGTGTGAGTCCTCAAGTGCTGCTTGAGAGAGGCTGTGCTGTTCAGTAGTTTTCCGCATATTTCACAGGTCTTCTTCCCACTGTGGATCCTCTCGTGATCGCGCAGCTGGTCTGCCCTCTTGTACGTCTTGCCACACACGGCGCACTGATATGTCTTCAGGTTCAGGTGATCACCGCTGATGTGCTTGGTGAGGCTGTGCTGTGTGTAGAAGCCCTTTCCGCAGTGCGGGCACTCGCAGTGGAACTTCTTCAGGTGGACTTTGTAAGAGTGCGTTCGTCTCTGGAGCCAGGAAAAGAACTTCTTGCCACAGTCATAGCATTCGTACCGCTTGTTGTTCGTGTGCACTTTGTCCATGTGAGCATTGTAGCATTGTCGAGATGAGTAACTCCGACCACACTCTGGACAGGTGTGAACTTTCTTAGGCTTAATCTCCGTCTGCTTGCGCTCACTTGTCGCATTGCAGCCGTGCTTCTTGAACAACTCAATGCCTTTGAATTTTCCGTTGCATCTTCTGCATTGGATGTTCTTCGATTCCATCTCCTTCAGCTGCCGTCGGGAGAACTTGTGAACAATCCTCTTGGGTATCGCTGGCAATTCGTCTGTGGCTTCAATTGGCGATTCGGGCAGCTCTATTGACTTCATTTCATCAGACGCAGTCATTTTCGTGTCCACTGATTCACAAAGAGAATCCATGGTACTTTCGTCCAACTTCTCCTCTTCCTCAAATAGCTTCTCTTTGAATTCTATGGATTCATCAGCTTGCTGGGTTGTTATGAATTCAATGGGTGCTTCCTTGGCTTCCTCGTCCATCATCAAATCCTTTAATTTCTCCTCGGTTGCCAGACACTTCTCACGGAACTTGTATGCCTGCTTCATTTCTCCTTCGCAAGATTGACAAATTCTGCTGGGATACGTTGGATATTCCGTAAAAGTGATGCCCACTAGCTCAAAGTAGATGTTGAAGAATGGAATCATGTTGTAAGTCACATCCGGAAGGGGTTTCAAGGCATCACTGGATTGAAGGCAGAGTCGACAAATTGCCCAATCCTCCATTGTTGACCTGTTACAGAAGAAGATCTCATTGAGAAACTATTGCTTTTAGTACTGAAATATGCACCACTCACTTGGAAATTTCAGTAATATTATTGTTTTCCTTTCCGACACAAAACACAAGAGTGGCTGTCAAAATACGTTGTCATTTCTATCCGACTATCCAACTTATCCGGAACAGCTGATTGTGTGAGTGAGACGTGGGAAATTAACAACTCCACACGTGTATTCAGTTTTTCGCATTTTCTGTGCTCAAAATTACCATGAAAACTGTGAAAAAGAAGAAGGTGTCGAAGAAGAACAAGAGTTCTTGGCGGAAACATGTGGATATATCAGATGTGGACGGTTTCTTGGAGTCATCGCGACTTGAGGAAAGAATAGGGTTAGTTCTTCCTCGATTTTTGTTATATTTCGTGAATATATCTGTATTTTCACGATTTTCCAGGACTGTTGAGGATGTTCCGGACAGTGAACTGTTTCAAGTTGACAAAACACCCAGCAAGAAATCTCAGAATGCTTCCGTGAAGTCTAAACGTCGCGCTATAGCTTCCCGGCCACTGAAGTGTCTGTCTGGCTTGGAAAACGCCTCCAAGGTCACAGATCCCCTGAAGAACAGGTAATATTTTACCTACCCTCTATTAGTTGTGAATTTACAGAAATATTTTGCACCATTTTTCACAGGACGAAGGTTAAAAATTGCAAAAATGCCATGCGATTGAAGCATCCTTCGGCAAAAAAGGGAAAATCATCAAAACTTGAGGAAAAGAAACAGGATTTCGCTGAGGATCTTTGGAATGATGTTAAATCATCTGCGGAAGCAGGAAAGACAGACACAGGACTGGACAGCGAGTGGTTCTCCGAGAAATTGGTGGAACATCATTTGAGAGACACTGGAAAGGCTCCCTTCAAGGTTCCCAATACTGCACGCCAGGTAACATCGAAACTGAAGGCTTTCGAGAGTCCTCATCCGGGAACGAGTTACAATCCCAGGAAAGACGATCACAGGCAATTGCTGAACGATGTTATCAAGAACGAGGAGACGTTGATGAAGAAGGACGCACATCTGGACAGAGTGACAACGAAGATGTTCAGCAAAGTAGCGCCTGAGGAGAGAGACAGGCAATTGCTGCAGGAAATGTCCGCAGGTTTGGGCTTTGACGTGGAGATCAAGCAGGAGGATGAGATAAAGAAGGAGTTCCCAGAAGAAGACACCGTGGGATCGATAAATCCTCCTGTTGAGCGGAAACCGAAGAGTAAGAAGGCGCAAAAGAAGAAGGCAGAGGAGATTAAGCGTCGGGAATTGGTGAAGAAGAGCAAGATTGAGAAGAAGAAGATTAGCGATATTGTCCGGATTGGACAGCTGAAGCAGTCCATTGTGAAGAAGGAAATGAAGCTGGCTAACAGAAGAAACAAGGAGGATAAGGAGGAAGCCGAGAAGGCCTTTAAGCCCCGACGATTGGGCCATCGGGCCTTCAAAGAGCCCGACGTTGATGTGGCGTATCCAGAAGAGGTGACTGGAAATCTGAGGACGACGAAGAATCAGGGAAGCGTCCTGAAAGATCGCTATGTGAGCCTGGGAAGACGAAATATGCTGGCGCCCAGCAAGAGACAAGGCGTCAGGAGACGCCACAAGGTGAAGAGATATGTGAGGAACACGCACAAGTGCGCCATGGAGAAGCCCATCAACACCTATCAGCCCGGAAAGAAGAAATAAATCGGTGAATTCGATTAAAATAGAGACGTTTTATTGGTATGTGACTGGCATGAGTGATCATTTGACCGGTTGAAATGGCATTTGGTTGGATGACATGACGTTGTTCTTTGGCGATATTTCACTAGATGTTCATGGCGCCTCCTGGCCAGGCACTAAGAAAGCTTGGTCCAGATTTTGTGCACCTTTGAGTTTGTGTCAAAGAGACTTCTTACCATGATGACTTGAATAGTTCCCACGGCAACCATAGCGACCACCTGAAAAAACGACCAGGCATTCACCTTAAAGTAGTTCTCCTCCGCCACGTTGCGATCCCTCGCCTCGAACGATCTCAGCAGATCCTGCAACTGGCGCGCTCGCGTCAGATGAGTCCTGATACGCACGATGGACTCCTGAATGTCCTGCACTTTCATGTCGTACACCTCTTCCGGACGCAATCCCTCGAAGTCCTCCCATTTGTTCTCCTCATCCACCTCACCATCTTTCTCCACGATTAATTCAAAGAACACCGTCTTGCGACTGAAGGAGCTGAAGGTGTTGTCGAAGCAGAACTTGTAGTCTCCGGACACTTTTGCCTCATGCCGATGAATGTTGTCTGAGCGCTTGTAGTCCACGAAGATGACTTTGCTCATGGGGTCGAATAGTTCAAAGCTCACATCCAAATCTCCGTGGCCCCCATCGATCACCTGGTAGTCGAGGTCGATAGTCTCGCCGAGCTTGACGCTGTGGAAAAAACATAGCTTCGAGCCGGCGTCAATGGTGGTAGTCATTTCCGTGTTGTACGCCCCAATCGATCGCATAAGCACGTAGAAGAACGCAAATGCAATTCCCTTCATTTTTGCCTAGACTGGAATACTTCGTAACACGTATACGAGCAGGAAAGCACCTTTTTGCAAGATTTTGCACACAATTGTATATCTACAATGGCGGCTCCGGGGTCTTGTCAGCAGAACAATGAGGTTATGCGCGTTGTGTTGGCAGCACTGGTATGTTGGAAAATCCAATTGCAGCCGATTGCATCAAATTTTCAGGATTTCACGCAGATTTTACAATGTTCTGTTAAATTTTCAGATGTATTTCTCAAGGCTGAAGTCTATAGTTAGATTTTCTTCAAAGTTTTGCGAATGACGAAGAAACGCGAATGAGAAATTCTTCAATAAAAAATTTTAGAGGGGTAGCGAATGGGAAATTTCCCCTTTTCAATTACATTTTAAAATATATCACTATAACGACCACTTCTTTGCTTCTTTTCACTGAGCCACAGAGAAGCGGAGGAGGTATTCTTTTACTTAATCATTTTCCTACGCCGCAATAATGGATCTATTGCTCGCTCTCATTATTTTGGAGTATTTTGTCATCAACCGGTAAAATTACTTTAACGATATATCGACTGGAGTCTGGAAAATTTCCCAGCTGTTCCGATGCGCCCTCGTGAGACAGCGGCTCAACTCGGTAACATCAGTGCAAGCAAACAGCGAGTGGAAAAGGCCAGAAAATCTTGGCGAAAACGCCTCTCTACTCGCGATGAGGGCACCAGTTTAGACAACAGTGTGGTGTGGACATGTCGAGCTGCCCTTCCCACAAATAATCCCTCAGTTGCACTGTGGCTGTCCCAGTGAGAGTGCTCCAGTCAAAACAGAGTTTGGATCTCGGTTTGGGTGTTTTCCATATGAGGGCTTTTCTGAGTCATTTCATAACTATGCAATTGCATTGAAACTTTTCCACACGACAAGACTATATTGGAAAATTGCGTGACTTTTTCCCACCTCCTCCCAGTGCGATAGATTTTTCCTTGAGACAGTGATTAGTGGCGAACGCGACGAGATAGATTTGTTGTGTCCGGAAGGCTCGCTGGCGGGCAGTTTTTCATGCCGGAAGGCACGCAAGTCTCTCGTCTGGACACTGTCTAACCGCGTGGAAGGTCACCGGCTAAGAAAGTGAATTGAAGAACTCCAGAGGCAGGACTTTCTTCGTGATCATCCTGGATTCAATCACTCCCACAATGTCTCCAGCATTCCTCACGGCAATCGCCGTGATCCTGTGCATCCTCTTCCGCCTGCTGAACGTCAACAGCCAGCCCGCGAAGCCACACGTGTGGTGCGTGGACGGAACCTTCATGGACACCATCTACAAGATCGCTCCGCTGCTTCGTGATCCGTGAGTTGACGCACATTTTCTAAACACTATCACTTTCTTCGGTGAATGCATTAAAATGCGTGTGGTCATTTTTGGGCACTTTCACTGAAAGCCACCGCCATCCGAATGGTGGGAACGGGCATTTCTTTTGGCCACTCTCACTCTCAGAAACTTCCCAGCTTGGCGGAAGCTCGGGCAGCCAAGGAAAGACCTTGACAGGGTGGAATGAGTCACGGCGGAGCTTTTCACGCTATGGTTTTCCAAGGGAAAATACAAGAGTGGCACAAAGGCAATCGAGTGCTAATGGAAAAATGTGGCCACAGATGTCATATTTTATTATATTCCACTGAAGACATCGCGGAAGTCCCTGTTCTGCTCGACAGAGTTGACAGAGAAGACATGAGCCAATTCCAACCACTTATTTGCAAACTTATTTGCTACTAAAACTGTCCCAATAAGGTTTTTTTTTTCTCTTTTCCCACTTCACATGACAAATACGTTTCGAGCAAAAAAATCAACTAATTGGAATTCTTGGCAATACACTTGATATGATGATAATAATCGTGGCCTGAATGACTGGAGATGGTTGAAATGAATTCACTGTCAAGTTCATTCAAGATGAGATTAAACTGCAAGACACCCCAGATTTGTGGCTGAAACTTACGTAAATTGAATAGTCAATTGAGTTTTTCTTATAAAAAATTAATTGCTAGGCTTTGGCGGTGTTGCTTTTGCAACCGTGGGCGATTTTGGCTAGAGTTGTGGCTGACTTAGATAGGAGATCAAATTGAGATAGCGATTAAAAGGGAAGCGCCACAATGTTCAAAATTGCGATCCAAGCATATAAGTAGATTAGAAATCTCAGATCTTTAAATCTGTGCAATCAATCTATCAAAAAACATTCTTCATCAGCTCTACTTGGAACAGTTCAAAATGAAATCGATAGATAAACTTTCTTTTTGCTGCGTAATCTTTCTGCGTAAAATTAATCTCAGATCCGCTTCTTATCAAAGTCACGAAAGCCATAATTGTAAATTCCACTCGCTATCGAAACTCCACAGTTTCCATGTGAAATTTATCGCAAACATATGGCACGAGGGTGAAGATTTTGGCTCATTAGGCCCTTAATCGTGTGGTACAAAACCCAAAACTTCTGGCGAATGTCTCTGTCAGCAAAACCAGCAGCGTTTTAGAGTAATATCAAATTTATTACAGGAAAATTTGACAATAATACCGGTGATAAAAGGGTTTCTAAATTGTATAAGCTTGAGATGATCATTCCTTCTTGGGCATATTCTTCCTCGGAGAACGACTTCTCTTTCGGTTGGCTGATTTCTTGCGTTTGCTGGATGTTGAGCGCTTCTTGGACGATGAGCGCTTGCGAGGACTTTTTGCAGTTTGGGCGTGTTTCTTAGTCTGCCTTCTTGTGCTCACAGCATCCTGAGGAGCCTGATTTGCCACGTCCGGAGTTGTGTTTTCCATCTTCTTGATGTTTTCAGACAGTGCAGCAAAAGCTCGTGCGCAACGATAGAAAAATCAGTGAAAAGTGTCTTTTGTTTGACCGATTGCTTTGACTGTGATCTTGAATTTGACCTGAAATCCCCAAACACCTCATTCAGTCCATCGCCATGTGCCTTATTTTCCCATAACCGCCTGAGGTGTCTAAGGCGATTCGTGGGGCTAAAAGCACTGCTGAAAAATTGAACATTTCGTGTTGAACGGAAATTGATGGACGACGCAATCGATCGGCAGGGCAATTGAAATGTTACTTGCGTGGGTCTGAGTAATTCCCATTAATAAATGATAACGTGAGACTCTTCAATGCTCGGCAGCATGGGTTCGCTTATTTAGCCGGCTTCTTATCACTCGCCTGACTCACTCAGTTGACGGCTAATACTTTTTAAATTAGCAATAGTGAATTATTACAGTGGCTCTCTTGCTATTTTCAAATTGCCATCAGTCTAATTTTATCGTCAACAATATGTGCCACTCTCTTTCCAACCCATTCAGGTCCAATTGCCGCGCGTGATGGGCAATTTGTGTGAATTCATGAAATTGACTTCACTGGATCGTACGATTCCTGGGGCGAGTCGCTATGTTAGGTTTGGATGACTGTCCATGAGGAGATTTAAATGGAATGAAATTAATACGCATCAATTTGACGCAATTGCTTCTGGATGGCAAAAAAGATTGCAAACACTTTTCACTTCTGCGCTGACACAGCGGTTCACAATGCAATTTTTCATGCACATATTATGGCTTTTGTGCATATATCGAAAGAGGTCAATAAAAGCGCGATGTTGTGCAGAAAATGAGGTATAACTCTCCAATTGACTGATTCTCAGTATTGACACTTCATTGGCTTTCATTCTCATAGCGGTGAAAATATTGTGGCAAAGAAAATTGTGATTATATTGAAGGGTAAAAGTGTGCCTTTTGTCTCTTTTCTTTTGTCTGTGTCAAGATATGAATGGACATGAGGAAAATTGAGAGTGGCAATTTTATGGACTGCAAAACTGCCATCAGTCACACTATCGCCGACCTTTCATGCTGACCCTGATATGAAATATAATTATAGGTGATTGAACGAGCGAGAATGAAAACAGTCTTATCAAGTGGTATTGTTGACTGTGTTTTTTTCATCCTAAAATTGCACTTGAAGTGTTAAAAGTTGGTATTTCTCACATTAGCTCTTTTCTAAGGTCGCGCTATGTTTGGTATTTCTAGATTGACATCAAGTTGAGCACAGAAACGCAGCTCCGCATGAGAATTTGCAAGAAAATCACATGTGAATGTTATCAGAACTTTTCATGTGCAATTTACGACTTTCAGTCAAGTCACTGATGAAGTGATTTATTAATTCATAATGTTTGTATGGAAAGGAAAGCACTTTAGAAATACTATTTAATATTCAGCACATTCAGTATCAGAAAGTTTCCTTCCCATGGTAAATATTTAATTGATTGATATTGATAACCAATTGAAAAATGCAGTGCATTTGTGTGTGTGTGTGTGTATATGTGTGAAAAGGAGAAGAGGAAAATTCTTCAATCTCGATAAATTTGTATTCGACACTCGTCATTATTCCAAAAATACCTTCTCTTTGTGGCTTTTCTGTAAGCGCTTTACAATATTTTGCGCCACAAAGCATTACTCCATATCGTTCAAGTTCAACTGAAAAAGATAAAGTCTATTTGTCAAGAGGTAATTTCTTCCGTAATATTGAGGTGAGAAATTTCTAATTACACTGTTTTCTACAGAAGTTGTAAAAGTATTTTATAGTTTGAATTATTTGGAGACAATTTGGGGCACTTGTGTCACCAAGAATCAGGTGAAATTCACATTTTGGGACTTTGAGAACTCGCTGTAGTGGAAATACTTTACAAAATATATTCACGCTGGATGATTAATGGTGAGGAAGTGACAGAAAATCAACACTTTAGAGCGGAAAATTTATCAGACACTCAAAGAGGTGTAAAAAAATTGTGCGATAGTGTGCATGGAAGAGCTATCAAAAGACGATGACTCAAAAGTTTGTTCTTCTGGGAAAGTAATTAAGTTCTCCTTGAAAACGATGCAGTCCTGGTTTCTTGACATTGTTTAATGATTCTTTGAAAAGGGATGCTTTTGAAATATGATGAATATACTGGAAAATTGTCTTTGTCAGCAAAACTCTCAGACTTTTAATGTAATTACGCAAGAATTTATTACAGTAAGATTTGGAAATAATGCCAATGATAAATGATTCCAAAATTGAAGATAATCATTCCTTCTTTTGCATTATCCTTCTCGGAGAACGATTTTTCTTTGGACTGGCTGATCTCTTGCGTTTCCTGGATGTCGAGCGCTTCTTGGACGATGAGCGCTTGCGAGGACTTTTTGCAGTTTGGGCGTGTTTCTTAGTCTGCCTTCTTGTGCTCACAGCATCCTGAGGAGCCTGATTTGCCATGTCCGGAGTTGAGTTTTCCATCTTCTTGATGTTTTCTGACAGGGCAGCAAAAGCTGGTGCGCAACGATAGAAAAATCAGTGAAAAGTGTCTTTTGTCTGATCGATTGCTTTGACTGTGTTCTCGAAATTATTTTAGGGAATATTTCTGGCAACTAAAATCTATTGGTCGCGATCCAATGCATTCAAAGGAGAAATCGATCAATTGATGATGAATTGTGGTTGCATAAGTGCGCCTCCACGTGCTCATAAGAGTGCATTCTCTCTATTTTAGTCAGCGCGATATTACATGATGGCTTTTCTCTTTCTCATCAGCTACGTTCCGACACGGCTATGGGGCTTCAGCGGACACGTCCAGACCATTGTGCACAGCATCGTGGGTCGTGTGAAATGTCCATGGTCGCTGGGCGAGAGGATCTATCTCAAACTGACGGACAACTCCACGCTCACGTACGATCTGTATCAGTCTCTGATTGAGCATGAAGACGATATTACGGTGGCTATTTGTCCGGGCATCGGCAACTCATCGGAGAGCGTGTACATCCGGACGTTCGTCCACTACGCCCAGTGCCATGGATACAGATGCGCGGTGCTGAATCACATTGGCGCCCTGCAGAGTGTCCAGGTGACTTCCACGCGGATCTTCACGTACGGCCACACGGGCGACTTCACCGAGATGATCAACAGCCTCACGAAAAAGTATCCGTCCACCAACATTGTCGCCGTGGGCTTCAGTCTCGGTGGGAATCTCGTGACTAAGTACATGGGCGAGGCGGACGTGGCGCGTCCCAAGAACATTATCGGCGGTGTGTCGATTTGCCAAGGCTACAATGCTGTTGAGTGAGTATTTTGCCGCATAAAACCACCCTTGCGTTGATCAACAGTCGCGTTTTATCTTCCGTGAGTTTGGCAATATTATGAAATGTGTCGAATGTTGAGGAGCTTTCACTATTAATTGATCATTTCAATGCACATCCAACGACGCGTTCGCACCTATTAGATATTGTAATTAATGTTGAGAAAACCTCTTGTTGCATAAAAACTTCCGAGAGCGCTTTTCCCCCAATTTCATCGTGTCAGCGAAATGCCGATGAAATTGGGAGCCGCCGTGAAGCTCATTGAGTGGGCCTGGCGAGTGAAATTGAGTAGAGTTCTTTCGCATGGCAGGGCGACAAATTGGCTGCTCAATTGGCAGAACTTCCGCCGCTTCTATCTCTATGTAATGACGGAGAATGTGAAGCAGATCATCATGAAGCACCGGCAAATGCTCCTCTCGGACGACGTGAAGCAGCGATGCAAGCTCAATGAGCGGGACATTGTGGCCGCCGCGACACTCCCAGAACTCGACGAGGCGTACACGCGACGCGTGCACAACTTCCAGTCTGTCAAGGAGTTGTACAATTGGAGTTCGTGCATCAACTATCTGCAGAACATCGACACGCCGATGGTCTTCTTCAACGCCAAAGACGATCCGCTGGTGCCCGAGGACCTGCTGAAGCCCATCCGTGAGTTTGCATGTGAGTATCTTGTCAATTGAGACCTGGTAAATTGCTTCGGAAAATTTATTTAACCCCTGATTCACATTGGCAAATTGTCGCAAGCAGAGAGAGAGAGAGAGAGGGCGAGGGAGAGTGAGAGCAGTAATTCAATTAATTGGGTGAGATGAGGTGATCGTCAATTGTCGAATGTGTTTTATTGCCTGGAGAGGATTTAGATAGGAATTATAGTTGTGAGAGCCGGAAGAGAAAAGTTGACTTGAGTGATTTTAGAGTTAATTTTCCGTAAAAATACGCATAGATTGGAATCGCAAAAATTGCCTATTTGGCTGATCCATTAAAGTTCCATCTCATCAACTCTGGAGTTCAGACTTTGACTTGTAATAGAATATGGTTTTATCTCCAGCCTTGGAATCGTTCCAGATTAACAAGAAGCACTCTCATAAAGAAAATAGCTAAAGATAGCAAAATTCTTTCTCTTATAATCGGACCAGACATAAAATGTCAATTATTTAATTTGGACTTCTTCAGAAAGCCTTTGCAATCCGTAACAACTCGCCAGAACATTACTAGAAGTGCTGATTGAAGAACAATTCTGCTTTTTCTCCACTTTCAGCGGAAAAATCGCATACGATGTATGTGGAACTGGCTCATGGCGGGCACCTGGGCTTCTACGAGGGCGGCCTAATCTATCCGAATCCAGTAACATGGCTCGATCGTGCTCTTGTAGCTGTGATAGGCGGCCTCGTGCTGGCTCACAATGATTTCCAGAGCAAGAGTCGTGCCGCGCTTGCGACGTCTTAAGACCAAATCGCAACATTCGTCACGCCCATCCATCAAGTTTCCTGCATTACTTGAACCAGTTGTTTTATAAACTTTTATACATCAACATTATTTAACAAAACTCATGTGAATTTATGTGGAAAGAAAAATCTCTCAAGTCCTTTGTTTATCTAGTGACAAAAAGGATTCAAAGAATCAAAAGACACGTGTTTCTTAGTTTGTAAGGTAAATTAATTCGAATTGCTGGTTCTGCAGAGATGCAATGAGGGGAATATGAAGTACGATGCTTTGCAGAAATTCTCTTTTCGTCGTTTAACAATGACGATGCCACAAGATTGCTACCTTCATTTGCTGCGCAGATGAATTCTTACAAGTTCATCATTTCTAATTGATAGTTTGTGCGAAGGAAGAGTGAGAGAGAGAGAGAGAGAAGCGGGCTAGAAAGTGACTTTATGTGTGAGATCCTCTGCAAAGGAAATGAGTTGGGAAATTGCGTTGCTCAACATGATGAGCTTGAAAGGCTTGATAGCATTATAATGATAAAACTGTATTGGAGAATATTTAAATGTGTGACTTGAATGTTTCCCCACCAGAAGACACGTATCAAATCCAGTTGATGTTTTCCTCTGTTAAGCATAGATTTCGCTCCCCAGTGTGTATTTTGTGAGGCATCAAATGCCAGGAATCTTTTGGAACTATCATAAATGGATTCTTAATGTTACGTTCCTAACGTAAATATGTCTACTAAATGGCGTGAAATATCTATTTAATCACACATAATGTGAACAAAATATCCATGTATAGAGAATATAAATAGAAAGGAAGGGAGGAAGGAAGGATATCAAGTGAAATGTTGAGAAAAAAAAGTGTTTCAATCACCAAAATGACTGAGAAAAAGACCTTTTAGTAGAGTAGAGAAAAAAACCGATTAAAAAACTTTTAGATGAGGTATTAAAAATTGGCGGAGAAAAATTCACGATCATACGGAGTGGTTCTTTAAGGCTCGTGATGTTCTTTGCAACAGAGTTAAGAGAGAAGAAGAAGTCACTATAACATTTCCCTTGATTTTGTAACAAAAATTCAATCAAAATGTTCTGTATTTTGTCGTGTAGACACGAAATGAAAAGCAAGACATTCCTGAGTTTATTTTTCAAGTATAATATTAATAAGACACAAATTGAGATTAATTGGCAAATTTATACAAAGAAAAGAGTGTATTTCTGTGAACAAGAATGACAATATATTTTATAGTGATTAATGAGGAAGTTCTAGGATTATAAGAAGGTGAATCATTTCTATATCTTGTTTATCCTAATGTTCTTTTCGACATTCTCTTGAAAGAAAAAGAAAGCATAATTTTTCTGATTAGGCAAGCATTGTGGCGAAAAGGACTGACAAAATTGCTAAAAATTGGCTTGGAGAAAATATTGTAAAAGAAATTTTGGTGCCTTTAACTTGAGTTTTTTCAACAAGATATCGATAGAAAATTGAACTGTGCTTTGAGGATTGTTATTTGATGATTGAAAATCAAGAGTGAATTATCTTGACATTTCTATAAAACGAGGAGGGAGAATTCCGTACGCATTGGTCAGTGTATGTCTTTTGCACACCTGAAAAGAATTTCAACAATCAAGAAGGAATTCCGCAATGTGCTAATAACTCCACTTTTTGCAATGAACCACTTGCCATTGTGTAACTTCAGTATATTTATTGAGCAAAGCACACATAATCACACACTTCCAATGCCGCCTCGGTGGCTTCGTGTCTCCGTTCGGGCAGGAAATCTCCCCTCACAACTATGTCTGGATGATAACGTCCGGGAAGATCGTAGCAAAAAACCCCCAAGTGTATTAATAAAAATGTGGATCTACTTATTTGCTGTGTGTGCGTGTGTGTTGTACGAAGAAAAATAAAGTACTCTAGAGTTTTTCCAAACAGTCTCCTGTCTCTCTGGAATGTATCACATCTGCCTGTACCGAAGCCTCTACGCTAGTGCAGCCTGGAAACCTTGGATTGGGAAGTCCCAGGCGTGTTGGACTCAATAACATCGGCGAGGAGAGACTTCTTAATATTGTACTTGCCGATGGACTGCTTCCACACGTCGTGGGTGAGCGAGCTAATGGCCTGGGTGGTTTCCGTAACGATCTGAGAGTCGTTCTTCTTAGCCATCGGCTTCACATATGCGTATCCCTCCTCATCTTCGTCGTCTATTATGTCCAGGAGGCCTTCGCGACAGAGGAAGGATACCTGGAATGCGTTCTCCACGGACTTTACGAAGTTTTCAGGATCGCAAACGAGCTCAAAATAGGGAATCTCTTTGCGTCCTCGCTCGTTGTAGATCTTCGTAATTTGCCTCATTACTTCATTAACTCTCTGGCCACCCTTTGTTGTCTGCTGCAGCTTGTCTATATTCTCTGGCTTCTTCTCTTCAGTCATTATGTTTCTCTTGCGCTTGGCGCGCTCTTTCACTACTTTCTCCTGCTCAGCGGGAATCTCTCCGAAAGTGCCCAGCAGAGGAATTGCTGCATTGGATGCCACCTTCATCTGCTTTCCCCACACGGGAGCCAATCTGTTCCAGTACCACACACCATTCGAGTCTATAAGTAACTCCTTCAGGGCATTCGTGAACTCATTCTCATTGAACTGCGACAGTCCTTTGGTCTTCAGCGATTTGGCTATGATTTCGTTGCTCACTTTAAACACTTGCAGATCCATGGCAACTTCCGCAGCGGTCCTGTCCTTATCATCATCACCCTGCTCATTCCACACCTCATTGCCCTGGCGCATGAGCTTCTGCACCCTCGTTATTACATCCAGCAGCTCTGATCCTTCCATGGTCTCATCTGTCCGGGAAAATTGTGTGGTTAGAACACTCTTCGCTATAAGCATGATTCTGAAGAAACTCACTTATCTCATTGGCAGTCTCCAGCAATTTCTGGTACTTCTGCCGCCGGCGAGCTTGATCAGTAATGCTTTCCATGACTGAACGTCGATTTCCTTGAGTTTGCATTGAAAAAGAGAATCGTAGATTGGAGCGAAAATCAGACAACCGCACGGACGCCTTACAATTGGTGTTGCCAGATTGGGGGAAATTCTGGCCGACGCGTCGCAGTTGTCAAGATCTCAGGAGGAAAATAAACAGACGAGCAAAATCTTATCCACTTTTCTACAAGTCCAACCTGGAGCTCCTTGGGCGACACATGGCGAAAGCCACACCACAGTATTACGAGGGGTGTGGACGAGAAGGTCCGATAAAGTGCATCTTCCTCAGTGAATTCCATCCGGTGCACGGATCGAAGATAAGCTGCCAAGTTCCGGAGGGATACGTGCCGAAGGAGCTCTTCGACGCCGTGAATGTGTACATCATCCCAAAGCCCACGGCCATTCAGCGATGTGTGCTGACGATAAACTCACTGGGCTGCAAAATAGTTGGATATCCAGTGAGAATTGAGAGTCCCAAGTATGAGAGGAATGCGTACTACTTCAATCTGTGCTTCGTCTGCGATGGCTGGGCCAGAACGATCCAGTACGAGCCGGTAGTGAAGAAGCTGGCAGAGTACTTGGCAATGATGGAGGAGGAGACGTGTTTTCTCTCGCGCGACGCCGGAGGGAGAATCGAAACGCTTCTGGCACAAACGATGCAGGATCTGAACGAGAAGAAAGTCACGACGATCATCGAAGGTGACACCACAATCTACTTGAAGATCGTCAACCTGCGGACGGATCCGCAAATTGTCATGGATCACATGGTTCCTACCTTAGAGCCACAGGTAAGCACTGACTTCAGAAAACTTCCAGCAAGATTCGAATAAACACACATTTTCTTCAGGTTCGAGACATGCCGCTGGAGTTGTGGGATCTCACGAGTCAACAGGTGATTCCCTTCATTAATGGCGTGAACCACGTGGCGCGAATTGCAGCGGAGGCAGATGTGGAGAACGCCCTGGTAAAGGCATGCATCCAGAATCTTTTCTACTATGGTGTTGTGAAGCTCCTGCCGCTGATCAAGTACAGCAATGTGTACATGTGCACGCGAAAGCTGCAGAACTTGACTAAGAACCAGGCTCTCTTCTATGCGTGTCGCTCAGCCATCATGCTGAAGCCAGATCAGGAACGCCCCACACTCCACAAGATACTCCAGCTGTACTCCTTTATGACTCACGGTGTCACGCTGCGGACTCTGTGCCAGCGTCTCAGCCCACGAGACAGCAATATCGACGAACGGCAGCTGGTGATCTTTGGGTTGACTTACAAGCTCATTCGCTGCATTAATAAGTACCCCATCTTCACGGGGCGCCATCCGGAAATGCCCATTGGCCGCCAGAAGCTCTACAATGGACTTCTCAGCTTGGATGAGATCTGCTCCATTACTGGCCTCTCGCCGGCCAAGATAGAGTCAGAGATCGACACAGATGCTAACGTGACGGTGATTTGGAAGTAAAGTGCCCTAATTTGCCAATAAATTCCATGAAATCCTTTGAAGAAATGATTAATTCCTCAGAATTGCCTAACGGCCAGTTTTGAAAGTTCAGCGGAAATTTCCTAACCTCAGTTTCAGTGACGTCCCGCCTAACAGGATCGTTTGTTTACTACTCCACTTTTTGGGCGATTTTCCCGAGAATTTCCCCAGGAAACAGTGTTTTTCTCTATCAACACAGATGGATGCTGAGATGAAGAATTGTCTGGCACTAGATGTACTGGTGAACAATGAAAAGGTAATATGAAACATTAGATATTCCTACGCTGCGTCTTATAATTGCGTTGTTTCTTGAAATTCCCAGGTGAATGTTTTCCAATTGTCTGGGAAGCTTCACTTGCCGCTCCTGCAGTGTTCCCAGAATCTCGAGGGATGGCTTAATTCCTGTCCAGCGACAGAGAAAGATAAAATTTCACGGGAATTCATGGTTAAGGGCGAAGATGAAGAGGGACATGGCTACATTCGAGTGCTCACCGAGGAGTCTTTCAATAACCTGGACAAGAAAGGCATCACCAGCTTTCTGTTTAGCGTAGAGAAGAACAGACATGACACACTTTCTTCTACAAACACCTATCAAGGAGGCAGTTCATCATTCAAGCGTATAAAATTGACCACTCAGCTGAGGAAAGGCACAGTTCAGCCTTCTTTGGTGCCAGAAGTGAAGAAAGAGCCGACAGCACCCAAGCCAGCAACAACTAAGGAGGTTGTAGTGAAGAGAGAAGAGCCAGTGGTGAAGAGAGATACAGTGGTGTCCAAATTCTTCAGCGAGAAGCCCAAGGAAAAGCCACCAACGGAGCCCAAGAAGATTGAAAAGAGTCCAGACATGAAGCAGACAAAATCAGATTCCGGCAGTGATAAAGATGCCAAGGTGTCTCCGATAAAGGGAAAGCCTGTCGCTAAGCCTGCGCCTGAGAAGAAAGCTGATGGGAAGTTCAAGGGAAAGGCAGCTCCTGCGGGAAACAGGATGATTACGTCTTTCTTCACCAAAGCTCCCAAAACTGCAATTCCAGCGACTCCCGTCCCCAAACCGAAGGAGGAACCACGTCAGGAAACACATGTGGAGACGGCTAAGAAACGTCCGCTATCTGAGGAGAAATCTCCGGTGCCAGAGAGGAAATCTCCACCGAAAAAGAAGAAAATGTCGAAGAAGAAGCCCAAAGTTAAGGCTGGAACTTCGAGAATCTTGCAAATTGCTGATGAAGATTCGAGTGAGGACGAAGAGATGATAGACAGAAAAGCTTCGAATGATAAGGATGAGGAGCAGCAGAATGTGGTTTTAGAGAATGAAGAGGTCCGCGAGAAAACACCTCCGAGACCGTATAAGGAGAAAAAGAAGAAAACCATTACAGAATGCTACAAAGATGAGGATGGATACGATAGTAAGTGAGGAGCTGATGTTTTTCCTATTCACTGGGAAACTGTATGATTGACATGATTTCTTCCAGATATCACCTTCAAGGAAGTCGATTGCAGTTCCGAAGAAGAGCACTGAAAATCCTGTGGCTTCTGCACCCAAACCTACTCTGTATTAAATCATAGAACCCCGGAAGACGAATTTGTTTATTTTTCACTTGGTGTTCGGTTCATTGTCTCATCGCAAGTATTCTGTGGACTTTTCTACTCGAAAATGCAGCCCAATTCCTCCGGGGGTACGCCTTATCCCAATTTCGTATACCTCAACAAACCAGTAAACCTTGAGAAGCGCTTGCCCGAGGATTTTCTTGCCTACAACTCACCGTTTCTACCGACGTCCTCAACTACTCCTCGCCTTCGAGACGTCACCAACTGGGCTCCACCTGTGTTCCCGCGGAGGCTTCAGTACGATCCTGAAATTGCCGCCAGGATTGCTCAAGAGGAGAAAGAGTTGCGCCTTAGGCAGGAGAAGCGGCGCCAGAAGGCACTCAAGGCCATGCAGATTGCCGAGGAACGTCGCCGAAGACTCCAGCGACTTGAGCACGTGGAAAAGCTTTCTCAGGATGTGGCTGCAATATCGATTACCAACAAGACGCACAAGAATCAAAACAAGAGCAGCATCTTCAGGAAGTCTTTAGATGACTTCAAGAGAGATTTTCCGGATGATCAGGAGAACAAAAGCCCTCACATCAGCTCACCGGCTGCTCAGAGTACTCCCATCACCAAGTACACCATCGAGGAATTGAAGGCTCTGCGCCCCAAGAATTAATTACTGATTTTCTTTGTGAAAACAATTCTTCTGATTTATTGAGAATAAAAATTTCTTGATTCTTGGAAAGCAAGGCCTTATGGGATTTCAATGGGAAATCTAGAGAGAATTCATTTGAGAGAAATTGGGTGGGAAAAGTGAGAATAATGTATAACTTACAGAGCAACGATTTTCATCTTATTCAGCTGCTGATGGGATTTTCGAGAATCTGCACTCTGAGATCGACGCTGAGTCGCTCGCTGAAGGCGTTGGCGAATACTCTCGCGATCCTTGGCGATGATATCCATTCTCTCCTTCACTGGCATTTGAAAGAAAACACCATGAAGAGATCCGAGAGACGAACGAAGCTGGAAATACCTTCATTTAGTCACATTTGATGAGAATACAGTGAATCTCTTCTCACCTGCTGCAGAAGTCTCCTCTTCAGCTCAATATCAGTGGGATTGGAGTTTTTGTTCTGAGAGTCACGGTGCAGCTGACTGAGGAAGACACAAGTGTCGTGGAAGGTCTGAATGATCTGCTGAACAGGCTCTGTGCGCAGCAGACGCCTCACCAAGTATCCTCTGACGTGCGCGTTGATCACAGAAGCGGCCTTCTGACTGCGTGGGGACAGAGTATCGCTCTCCAGCCTCACTTGCGTGAGATGCTGCTTCAGAAAGACCTGCGTGACACGATCCAGGGAGTCTTGTCGCGTCTGCGGACTGGAGAAGGACTGCACCTGCATACTATCCTCGCTCTCTTCCTGGTCCGAAGGCATAAGTGCCTCATTCCCATTGGAGTCTTCAGGGAGAGAAATTTCTGGGAATGTTTTCTTCAATGAATCGAGAAGAAGCTTCTGTTGCTCATTGAAGGTTTCTCTGAATCTCCTCTGCTCTTCACGTTGAATATCCAACAACTCCTGCATTCGAACCTTGTGTTCGGCCTCAATCTTCAAAAGAAACTCTGAAATATCACTCTGGTTTTGAGGAATGGAGACATCTGGTATTTTCGCTTCTTTCCTATCATCTGTCGGAGGTTCTCTTGTTTCAGGCGCCTTGACCGTTGCTGTTTTCGTCTCTTTGGACACTTGCAGGGTCTTTAGCTTGCCAAGCACTGAAGATTTCGGGCACTTGTAAATCTGCGAAGATGAAGGACTTCCCAAAACTCTCTTAAGCCCTGCCTTTGAGGGGACTTTTTTGGTTTTGGAGTGCACCAAGCGTGAATCTACTTTGCTCTTCACCTTCCTGAGGTCTAGAGTGTTCCTGGCTGGTATCATTGGAATTGGAGATTGCTTTCCAGAAGGTTTCTTCAGAAAATCAGCTAGATGGGGACTTGGAGCATCAAGCGTGTAGGAATTCGACCTGACTAGCCGAGGAAAAGGCACTTCCTCTCCCTCATCTTTCTCTTTGTCGGTAGGCGACACAGGCACACTCAAGGCACTCTTATCATCATCAATCGGAGGAATTGATCGCTCAGATATAGACAAATTTGATGCCAATTCCTCAATTGTCAGATCAGTGAGATCATCGGATTCCTTGTTGGCATTTCTGTCCTCTTTCGAAGGCACAAACAGTGGAGATTCTCTTCCATCATTCACGATAATTTCAACTTCAGTCAACAGATCAGATGTCGAATCAAATGATTTGCAGGTAACATATCCCTGAGCAGGATCTTCCAAATTGTCCTGAGTCGAATCCAGAGCACTGCTATTCATCTTGGACAGTTCCTTCATGTGCTTTAGGCGCTCTTCCAGCTTCAATGCCTGCTCTCTATACTGCCTCATCTCCAGCCTGACCGCCTCAGTCATCTGCACGAAGCCGAAAAAAGTCCAGGAAATAAAGAAACGGGAAAAAATTGAGGTTAAAAAGAAAGGACGACATTTGGGCAGATTTCTTCCTTACAAGAGGCGGTAAAATGGGTTCCCCATCAATTTTAAAGATGGATGTATACGCTGAATCCATTTTGCTCCAAATTTGTCTTGTTTTTCACTCGGTCTCTGAGAATTCGACCGGAATTTTCACTGTGTTTATGTTTTCTTACGTTTCCATGACCGCGGCAATATAGCTTCTTCCTTCCTCCGCATGCGATGTTTTACAATTGGCGCTGGTTGCGGGAAGGGCAAAGTTTGAAGAAAGAAATTTAACGGTTCCAAAGTTAGTTTTGAGAAAGAAAAATAAATATTTAATAGTTTCATAGGCTCTTTACATGTAAAAATTACTGTCTGAAACTGGTTGTTCTTATTTTTTAACATTTCATAATTTTCAGTTCTGCGAATACGATTTTTCCATCTGTGGGTTAATTAATAATGGACACGATGGACATGATAGATTTGTTTTTGAAGTCGTCGCGAGCTGGAGATGGAGAGTGTTTACCTTCCCCACCGTGGGTCATCGAGTGCGTCCGCGAGAGAGAAGTGCGCCACACTCTCGGCCGTCCTCCATGGTTCAGTTTACCGGTAGGTGTTCTCGCAGAAAGACGTGCAACCATCACTCCGGTTCGAGAGAGACTTTGAGAGATTTCATTTGGCTCCAATTCGCAACAGAGGCGCATTGCCACAGCCTCTGCAGTTCCCAGACATTCACTCAGACTCCGTGACCGCAGCCAGAGCTCGGCTGCCCTCTGAGACCTCACAGGAGAGTCTCTGAAAGTGAAAGAGGAACATTCCATCGAAGCAATCGAAAGTGTTCTACATTCTCAAGCAAGAATCTTCTCTTGGACAACATCAAAATTTGTGTGGCGTGACGAATTGTGCCAGTAATACGTATATTTTTTTGATGAGTTTCTCCCAGATTTCTTTCACAAGCTCGTCAAAGAAATAGAGTGTCCAGCAGGGATTTTTATTGCAATAAGCCACGAATTTTTGAGTATCTCACACACGCGAAATAGTGAAGAAAGAAAAGAGAGCTCAGCCAGCGAGTGAAACTCCAGCGAGATAAAGTAATTCAATGAAAAAAACAAGCAACTGAAAAGGTGTGGAAAGATTAGTGAAAATGCATAAGTTTTGAATTCATTTCTGCAACTTCCTCAAATTCACTCAACCAATTGTGCGGTACATTTTCTGGAATTCCAACCGTGAGATTTCATTCTTTTCTCTCTCTCTGGGTGACAAACAATCATCAAACATGCTTCCGGTAAGTCGTATAATTTGTACAAAGTCACCATTTTCATGGTGACTTTTCCACCCATCAAAAGCTCAATTTTTGTCCACTGTGTGAAACCAGCTTCAAACAAGAAGTTCGTCTCTGCAGCAGGTTTTCTTATATAATGCCTTGGAGTGAGTCGAATCGAAAAAAGAAACAAGCCAATCAATTTATTTGGCGCCCTTCTTTTCGCTGACTGGCCAGAGAGCCTCAGGAGATGATGAACAAGTTCAGTGATTTTTCTGGCATTTGGAATTTAGGGCCTGCAAAAGATTGCAAATGTGAGTCAGAAATTACATATTCGTCAGGGGTTATTTTGTGGTCTTGCTTCGTCGTCATTCTCTACTTTACCTTTTCGATTGACGTTCTTATGATCAGAAAAAGACCCTAGAAGAATTTTGGCGATTTATAATTGCCTCATTGACGATGATTTCATCATGAAACACTAAACTTTTTTCTGACAATAATAAATCAACCGTGAGGCAAATGTGTCAAGAAAACATCTCTTGCATTTGGTGCAAATTTATTGGTAAATTCTTCAAGACACTAACAACAAATTAGTGATTTATGCTGCTTAATAACTTTACTTGAAAATTAATCAAGGCAGGAAAGTGGCTGAGTATCTCGACTTCTTGTTCGTATGCAAAAGTGTGTACATCGAAGAATTAACCAGCAATTGGAAATCTCTAGCGATGAGGTAAAAGTAACACTGAGTTTCTCTTGCTGTCCCAGTAAAATGAGAAATATTGTGCATGGCTGGAAAAATAGTAGATTCTTTTATCAATATTGAACGCAGTCCTTGGATTTGCGATAGAGTGTGCGAAAGAGATTGCGAACTGGAGGGTTTCTCAAGGGGGACAAGTTTGTTTCTTGAAATATGTCTCGCTGACGAAAAGTCACTTCAATTCATACATTTACCGAGTCAAAGATAGAAATTCAAATTCCAATTTTTTCCATCGTCTTTTGTGTACACTTTTGGGCGATTAAAAGGCAATTTATGAAATGCAAAATGCTGTGCATGGCATTTGCCTCCTCTTCAGCCTCAACATTGAAATTTTTCCCCTGATCGATCAATTGAAGAAAAAAAGAATAGACACACCAATAAGTTGAATATGGGTGTTGGCGCAGTGAAACCTGAATGCTTGCGAAAGTGGATTATATCAAAATAATATCTCTGTTCGTGTGTGATGATCATTTTAAGTGTTTTCAGGCTCATTGTTCAATTGGGCCGAAGATATTGATGCGACCACTGACAAATTTACTCAATTAATCTCACTTTTTCACGCCTTTCGTTCATGTACGCTCTTTGATGGCTTTCACGAAATGCCAAGAATGGCTTCTCTGACTGGAATATTAAAGTGGAACTGAGGGAAATGCGATGTTCCTGCAGGAATTTTTATTTGAGCGACCCATGAAGGTGTCTAATGGGCGGTATTTTAATAAGATGTATACAACATTTCACACAAATATCCGAACAATCTCTTTTGACAAAATTTTCGGATGATCATTTATTCAATATTATAATTTTATATTCCGCACAAGAGAGTTTATATTCATGGAATGTTGATATTTTTGCGAGACGAAATGACTCTACTCTTCTGCGAACCACTGTGATTCTCCGCAAAAGAAGACGCCTCAACATGACAGATTAATTGAAAAATTCTTCTCAGTCTTTCAGTAAAAAAAAAGAATCTTTAGATTTTGAGAGAGAAAGGATTTTTCAGAAGACCAAACAATGGATTTTGTGTGATGTCAATGGTTGAACGTGCAACATTTAATTTCGTATGCAAAGTGTGGCATTACAAAAGTGTTGAATCTCTGTGTCTCTCTGGGTGGAGAATCTCTTGGCGGTCCCAAGACAATCTCAAGACGAAAAGGGAGTGGGAGAGAACAATAAATTACTGGAGAAAAACTCACAGTATTTTTATAACATTCAATTGTCGAGTGCGGGACTGAGAAGAAAGGATAGATTGAAAATTAATACATCAGACACGCGCATTTTGATGAATTTTTTTTATTACTTCATCAACGTCTTAATTGTACTTGTTGGCCACAAAAAAAAATCTGTAATTAACTGCATCATGGAAAAGTGTTAAAACACAGGTGAATCTCCCTTTAAAAAATCTCTGCAACGAAAATACACAAGAAAGAGTCTTTGACTCTTTACGAGATTCATCTGTGCTGAGTGAAAACGGAAAACTCTGTGCAGATTTATCTGGCACATCTTCGCATCATCGGCAAAAATGCAATTCATAAAAAAATACGTATGAATATTCGAGCAGCGATATTCACTCGATCATGGTTGAAGGAAAACTTAACCAGCGACTGGATAATTGCAATCAATTTTGTCTCTCAATGCCTTCATCTCTTGTCTGGTGAGATCAAGAATTTACTCAAGGCAAATGTCTCGAAAATTGCGCGTGTCTGAAGGTGGAATATTTGCTAAAGCCCATCCAGAATTCACACTCTTGATGGATTTCTCAAGATGGTCATGATTGATTGACTTCACGATGAGACTCTTCATGTGAATTCGTAATTAAGCACACTCAAATGCACTAAAGGAATATGAAAAATGCAACCCCTGAGAAAAAGATCGCTTTTGACGGGATGTTATAAAAGAGGTTTAATGTGATTATTCTGTGAGGCTATTCTGACAAAATGCTTAAGTGGATAATCACTGTGTTGGCATAACGATTCTTTAATCGGCGTCGCAAATATCTGAATAATTCATTAATTCCCAACCACAAGAGTTATATCATCTTAGAAAATACAGGCAAACAACTGACCTCCAGTGACACGTTTTTTGCCTAATATTCTCCAAATTTTCCTTTCTTTCTATTAATAACACGAAAAATTAAGTCATGATGTTTTTACCGAAGATTCCTCGTCAAAGATTTATGCTAAATTAAATCAGAATCACGTCTGTGTCTTTCCTCCTTCTCACCTCTGGCCTTTATAGCAATTTGCCTAATCAATCCACTTCAAATTCATTGACAAATCAATATTGAATTTCTCACTTCGTGACTTTCACAGCAAAAAACAAATGGCTTTATTAAGTAAATTATACCCTCTCCTAGAACAATTATTGAATTTTCACAGAAAATCCCAGTGCCTCAATGACTTTATGGTGTCATATCGTGCTATTCTCTTCCTGATTAATGCTTTTTACGAGTGTATCAATGGCACATATTTCGCCAGAGGATGATTAATGGGCTTTTCTACGGGGTAAATTGTACCACACACTTTTATTTCTTGCTCTACCGCCTTCAATTAATGTCTAATAAATTTTTATTGAATTACCGAAAGCATTCCGCTCTGCAGTCAGAGACACAGGACAGAAGGCATTAGCGACTCAATAAATCACTTTTCACGCTGCTTTTTCACTTTTCAACACCGCCCCATTCGTTTGGAGAGCACAGAGCGCGCATTATTTTAATTGATGTTTTGATGATGTGCACAGAAAATGCACGTGCATGCAGGAGGAAAATTTGATAATTGATACATGTGCGAAATGCTGTGTCGATGTGGTTCAAATGCGAACAATATTGGTTGAGAAGATCGAATAAATCTCACGATTTCATTATTAAAATTAAAATGATGAGGGATTCATCTCGCGATTATAGTCATTGGAGCGCAAATATCTAACGCTGGGAGTCCATTTAATAATAACATTAATTTGCCCAGTGCGAGTACCATTTATCCATTTTATGTTAATGAGTTTCGTGGGGTGTTTGTGCGCTGAAAATGGGTGGTTGTGGCGCCCAGTGGGAGAGCTTTTCAGCCTCACCCAGCCGCACTCCGCTAAAAGCTTCAAAGTGCATTTTATTGCCCTGCAGTGAAAACTCTCTCACCCGAGATGCAGAGGCGAGTGAAATTTATAGGTTCACAATTGTTGTCTTTGATGCAATTAAAAGCAATTGA